GACTTATATACACCTAGTAGTTTTTAAATAGTCGAGAAGGTGTGGCTGGTTCAACTGGGTGGTCCGCGTGTATGAGTGTGAGGTGCATATGGAAGTAGAGGTAGAATATTTAATGGGTTGACTGTGATAACTGTTATTTAATACCGTAGTAAGTATTTAATGTTCATTAATATACAATTGAAGGTAAGCGCACGTTTTATACGATAGTCCAATACAGAGCATCATTTGGTTGGGAGCGTAACACCACTGATAATTTAATTTGTGTATAAATAATAGGACCTAATGGCCGATAATGACGAAAGTCGTCGAAAAATTCGATTATTATGTCGCAATTGCAAAATCAAGTAAAAAATAGACCTAACGTAAAACCTACAATATTGAAAGGATTTCACTATACCTCACTCGTATTTCAAATAAATAAATCGTAATAAAATAATATATATAAACTATATACTGTTATAAACAGTCTCCATATATTTTGTATACATTATATCTGCACATTAAATGTCTTAAACTTACGTAAAGTAAGTACGTTCCTAAAACTGTACGTAGAGTAGAGGCACGAGGTTAGGTTAGTCAATTATTATGAATATGTTTTGTTAGTTTCCATACAAAACATTATTTTATGGTCAAAAGTATGTATATAAAAAAAAATATTGATATAATTCCCTACGTCCTACAACTTATACCTACCTACTTGATAAATAATTATAGTTTTCTCTATTAATACTGACAAAAGAGTACAAGAGATATCACTTTGTTATCAACATAATATTATAATAGAATATACCAAGTGTTCCTCGTATAAATATTTTTATTGCTGAGTAAATTAATTTGTTTCTCAACAAATGACATATATGTTTTTAATTTGCTGGCACAGTGTAAATATTTTTTTTTTCATTCCAACGAAGTATATATAATAGTCCCATATAAGCACCTAGTTGCAATTTTTTAAACATTTTAAGCTATGAATAAAAATAGATAACTGAACCATCAAAATAACCATTATCCACATATTTAGATTATTTAGAATAACAATAACAATAAACATGTGATTAAAATAAAAGTAAAAACAATATTATTTTAGTAAAAAAAAAAAAAAAACATTCACAATCAATAACGCCTTGTTTACCTTTACAACTATAGATACCTACCTATTGGAATTTATAGTAGGTATAAACAAAGTAGCCTTGATTTATTGTGTATGATAAATCTAACAGAACTAGTAGTAGGTATTAATTATAATAGGTGAATTAGTGCTAATGTTTACGCTTATATAATTTTCATAGGCGTAGATATGAAGTGCTATATACAATAAATGCCTATTCTTATGCAGACACGTATATATAGAGGAATCACATCTTAAGAGCCTAGCAATTAAGGCTTAGTACCTATTGAATTGGTTTATATGCAGTACACAATGTCACAATGTATTTTTTTTAAATACTCACGTATTTTTAAAAATATTCAATTATAATATTTTTAATAAATGCAATGTCTAATGTGTTCACGAATCACGATATACAAGTCATAAGTGTTAAATTATGACCTAAATGTACCTACCTGTCTACTCGTATATAATAGATAAGTCACGTTTGATTAATTTGTTTTATTCTAAACAAAGGTTTAACAATTGCCTTAAACATTTAACCAAATATAACGAACAAAATATGAAAATACATTTTCATCATTTATTATTTCTGAGATCCTTATTGAAATTTAATAATTTAGTGTTGTTCACCAATTCACACATTCTCTTGAATTACTATCAACCATTTCACATGTTTAACTTTCAGTTTTATTTATACACTTTCTATACAAGTTTAGGCACCTTTCTCCTCATTAAAACATCTTAATTTGTTTGCTTTATCTATTCATAAATATTAATTATGTATATTATACATTAAACAAGACCCCTAAGATGGTCCAAAACCTGATGCAACGACGTAGTTACAAAAAATTTACCAACGGTTACAGAAGCGTATTAAAGAGATAGATGCCTAGAGAAGAATTTTGCTTGTCCTGAATGATTCGTTAAGCTGACGAAGAAAGAGATATAATATGTTATACACAATGACAGTTTTTGAACTTTTTCCAGAGGGGGTCCTTTAATATTAATTTACACTATATTTAAAAAATATGTATTCAATATTTATTAGTTTATTTTAATTAACTTACATATAATTGTATACATATCCTTGTTTTAATTAACAACAAAGTTTAAGTTTAATTTAAAAATTATAACACAAAATCTACTTTTCGTAGTTTTAACTCAGAGTCTAGAGAACCCATACCCCCTAGACCCTCCCCCTTTAATAAATAAAACCATCACTAATTTAAACACAAACATAACAGTATAAGTAGTTTACAGTAAGAATCTCAGTTCGTGTTTCATTTTTGATTGTATGATAATTGATGTCGAAATGTGCCAAAGAAATTAACATTTAAATACACTAATCAACTACTGAATAGCTTTAATTAATATAAAAGGGTGAAAATATAATTTGATTAATTAAATTACATAATCATTAAGAATATAAACTTTTAAAATCTATTATGATATATTAAAAGGAAGTGTTTGTGTGGTTTGTTGTACTGCTGCGTACAGCCAATCTATAAAATCCATTGCGCCCCTCCGGGATCTCCATCTGACATTTTGAACTCATAGTCTGAGACATAATAATATGACGATCTGACATAATTTAAAAACCCGAAAAGTCGTATTATTAAACGATTTTAAATAATCTTAGGTGATGTTTCGCCTATAAATGAAAGCCTCTCGTGAGCATATGACACTATACAGCGGCAAACACGATTGATAGTATTTTCACCAAAATACGGAGCACATAAATAAATGCTAGTGAGATTACCTCACTATTACAGTGACACCGAAAAAATAAATCACTTGCTATTATGACAAATATCAAATATTAACAGAAATTTTTCCATACACCTGCAGTCAATATAATAAAATATGCCAAAAAAAGTCGATAATAATAAGGCGTGTTTTACAATAATTGTAAAATAAACATAATATATCATAGGTTAGGTGTGAATTATAATGCGAATTGCATTTTTTTTCTGAATGTTCTAAAACAATGCTTTTGAAGCACAAAAATTCGTTTCTTATATTATCATAGAATTAAAATATGAAACTTTTATTTTGCATTTTTTAACATTTTAAGTGCTTTTTTAGGTTTTTAAGACGTTTTGTCTTCTTTTTACCAACTTCATAGTGTTATCTATTTTTTAAAATGTATTACACCTATAGACCGATTGTACCAGATAAATACGATGCCGACTGCAATAAAGAAAAAGATAAGCTTTTTATCGAGTTGTAATGTAGTCGTATTGTACTATTTGCACTGTTGAGTTTAATATATTTGTATACCTAATAAAAAAAAAAGTTTTTTTCCAACGTTTAAAATAATTTTTAGTGTATTTTTTATTATGACATTTTCCTTGTTTTTTAAGCATTTAAATCGTCACCCTACCAATGGGTATAACGTATTACATATATATCCATCCACATTACCTACGAAAATTTTTGGATTTTGATTTTTGTGTTTTCTCTTCTTAGACATGCCATATATTTGCAATTTTATAATTAGGTAGTTTCTTTGATGCGCGAAAGTTTCACGTGAATTTAAAGATATTAAACCAATTAAAATATTATGAGGACATTAGCCTCACCCCTTCCCTTCAAATCTCTTGGTTTCATGTGAAAATGCAATAGGTATACATACTACACACAACATACAGGTTATTGGTGTGGCCGTATGCCCGTATTATTACGTATTTATTACCTACCTACTTATTATTATACACAAAGTATACATATATTTTAAAATTGTATATTATATATATATATATATATATAAAAAAAATGAGTAATCCTGTAAAAATAAAGATAAATTAATTAAATTATGACATAGATATGAACTTATACTTTGCTGTACAATGACAATTACTGTTTCGCACGTATAAGGTTTCCAGTTTTTGAGTCTTACAAAAACAAGAATAAAATAAGTAAGGAAATACCACCAACAGGAAGACGATAAAAAAATAAAAAATGATCTGTTCCAATGTCATAGAAAAGTTCGTACACCAAATAACGCAGTCGTCGTCGGTGTAGTCATCCTCGTCATAACTATAAGAATTAAATACAATTCTAACATTATTATAAGTTATAGGTACACGAATGTCGTATGTGGGTGTTATGGAAACAAATTTCCAAAAGTACCAAAACCAAATCCACTATGAACCGTATCAGTATACATCAGTAGTGCAACTTTTGTTTGGCGGGATTTTTAGGATAAGTGGCAAAAAATTTCCTTGTCAGAAAGTTTTTTTTTTAACGTACACACAAAATTGTAATAAGGTTATTACCTTAATAATAATCGGTATCTAGCGTGCACAGGAAGTGAAATTTAGAGGTTATACACCAACCACCCACATTGGCTCAAAAATACAACAGCTATGATTGTTTATTTAATAACTGTATCTTGAAATTATGTATTTTTTGCTTTTTTAAATCCGGCTTTCATGTACTTTCATTGTCGGGTTAGGACTAACAGAAAATTGTTCGATTTATTTATAGGCGGAGATTTGATTGAACTTTAGGGCTATGGACTATTTTAGTGATGAAAAAAAAAAATTATCACTTATATTGTACTGTTATGCCGGTGTGCCCATTGGTCGTCACACACGTAAACGTAACAATAAGCTATACAAGTTTATTCTAATTTCGGGGTCAACATCATATTTTTCTGGAGTGAGGGGGCTATAATAACGGTTAGTATTATTTTTTTTTAAACGATTTTAGGGGGTCTAAGCCTTCCCCGATGTCCGCCCATGGATTTGTTCGTGAACCACGATTATTGTTTACCATACATCCCCCCCTCCCGTAGAAAATTCCCGGGCGCGGTAACTGACGGTAATTCACAGCCGCTAGACTTTACGACGCCGTGTAGGTACTTGCGACCGAACGAAACACGAACTCACTCGGTGATAACGGGAATCATATTATGGCGCGCGGTCGTGACCGCGTCTGTGGCCGGGCTAAAGTCTTCGTATCCGATCGCGTGATTTCCGGCTGGACGGTCACCGGGGGATATTGGCGCGACCGTGGACGACAAATGGCCGTCGTACACGATAGTGCATTCTGTACAGTCCGAGACGTCCTGCATTACGACCGCGGTCCGCAGACAGACACCGGTGGACGGAAAACTGTGTACCCGCACTGCCAACGCCGTCGCAGCCAAGGACAACACGAAACAATAACCGTGCATGGTACTGAGAGTAGACGCAGGAACTACTCACCAGTATTGTTTATACACGATTGTGTTTGATTTAATTTTTAAAAAAAAACCCTACGATAACACGATAATAATACAAAAGTTGAAACATTCGTTGTTATTACGTCTCTACGCAACAAGTTTTTTCAAAACCGTTTTATTATTAAAAAATACCTGACCTAATTACACTATACCCGACCGGGACGATACAAAACAAGTAGTATAAATAGGGCGGTTCTACCCCAGGATCAGGATCAGGATCAGAATCAAGGAGTATCCACCTCCCCCGCACCCTCCTCCTCATTTGTCCGCCACGTACTCGACGTGTTTTACCACGCCCCTTTTTTTTTATTTTTTTCTACGTGCTGGTGCAACTATTATCCACTTCCTCACTCCATGGAGTATCCACCTCCCCAGCACCCTCCACCACGTACTCGTCTTATTGTTTTCGTACTTACAACGTTATCACATACCTAACCTTTTCGTCTTACTGTTATCACATACCTACTGTTATCGTGTACAACAGCTGTAAACCACACTCCGACTCTTGGCACCATATANTAATAAATTATTATTATTTTTCCAAATAATATTCTTCCTATGATATATATGTTCTGTGATCACGATAGTGTACATTATTACATACCATCATATTTATTAGTCATTAACAATACGATTATATAACAATATTATTTTATAACGCGCAAATAATTATACAACGGACCTCCACAGGCCTGTATAGCGAGGGTCTGTAACGTCCTCCTCTGCCGATATCACCATTGGCAAATAACTGGGAGGTGATATCGGTACAAACATTTGAAATAAGTAATTATGTTAGTTTATTTATATTTATTTAAATGAGGTCTTAATGTTATACTTACTTTTCTCGTTTCTTCTAAACGTGCGATGTTCTGCAAAATCCTATTTTCAAGAGTTATTAACTGTAAAAGGTCTTCACGGTTCAGTAACACTCTGCATCCGTCTTGAGTTATCGACTCGAATACGATAACGTTTTCTCCTTTATATACCATACTCGAAAGTGTCGTAGTTTCGGTATACGAAAAAACATTTTTTTTTATGTGTCGGCGGATTCAGTAAAAACGACAGTATATCGTCCCCATTAATCGGTTAATACTTTGAAAAAAACTCGACGGTTGAGACGGATCAAGCCCCACGTGTAGAAACTTGCGTGAGGGGAAATCGATAGTGAACGATGAACATTCGGTGAGATCCGGAGGTGATACCGGTGCGACGTATTCATACTTTTTGAACGACATATTTAATCACTTGTAAAAATATTTCAAACACTAAAAATTTGTATTTAGAGAAGCGAGTTAGACGACCTGATGCCACGACTGTGAGACGAATAATGATTTTGTTGTGAACGTGCTGGTATTCTCACGAGTCAAAATGTGTGGATTTATGGTGAGGGGCTAAGAGACCAAATCATGCAGGATCGTACAGGTTCTTGCAGGCGAGAAACACATTGCGCGTTGCTGTCGATATATAAATATATTTATGTATATGAATAGATAATATTTCNTTCTCGGAGGGTAGACGGGCGGGGGAGAGGACGCGAGCTCGCGCGCGCGACCGCGAAATAATTCTTTGACCCGGTCGGCGGGCGGGGGAGAGGAGGACGTTACAGACCCTCGCTATACAGGCCTGTGGAGGTCCGTTGTATAATTATTTGCGCGTTATAAAATAATATTGTTATATAATCGTATTGTTAATGACCAATAAATATGATGGTATGTAATAATGTACACTGCCGTGATCACAGAACATATACATCATAGGAAGAATATTATTTGGAAGAATAATAATAATTTATTAAAATATATACACATACATAATATATACGGTGCCAAGAGTCGGAGTGTGGTTTACAGCTGTTGTACACGATAACAGTAGGTACGAAAACAGTAGGTATGTGATAACAGTAAGACGAAAAGGTTAGGTATGTGATAACGATGTAAGTACGAAAACAATAAGACGAGTACGTGGTGGAGGGTGCTGGGGAGGTGGATACTCCATGGAGTGAGGAAGTGGATAATAGTTGCACCAGCACGTAGAAAAAAATTTAAAAAAAGGGGCGTGGTTAAATACGTCGAGTACGTGGTGGTCAGATATAGGAGGAGGGTGCGGGGGAGGTGGATACTCCTTGATCCTGATCCTGGGGTAGAACCGCCCTATTTATACTACTAAAACAAACATAATATTTCAGACAACAAAAGAAACGGAACACAACAGTACTTATATTATAACCGTCCTACAGGTATATCTGACCTGAATGACTTTTTTATTAATTAAACATTTATTAATGTTATGATATTTAAAAAGACGGGCGTACTTCGCAGTCCAGTAGCGAATCTGTAGCTCATTTAAGGAGGGAGAGAATCGTTATCTCAGATTCATAAGTACACTAACAAGAACGTAACTGAAAACTCATTTCCGGAGGTGGGGAGGTTTAATATACTACACGTGAATATTTGTTTGCGTTCAAAGCGTTTTTTAATAATTTTAAGAAGTCTGGTCGTTTTGGACCACCTGACATGTCCCCGGTTCAATAGTCCTTTGCACATCGACGTTTAAGGATAACAATTTTCAAAAATTAGTTTCCTATAATCCCATTCGCAACATTTTTCTGTATACATCTATAAATAATGTGACTAAATAATTATTAAACTGTCTAGACATAAAAAATACCTAAAAATAAATATTTCAATGTCTACATATTAGCCAGCAGACATTTGTTCTAAAAAAAAAAATTAACTTATTAGAGTAACATTTCTATGTATTTTTTTTTTTTATCAACCACAAATCTGTCAATTATTTTGTCCCCGTCAATGTTTATGTTTCTATGAGTATTGAGTAAAGCTAAGCCAATTAATCTTTCCTCACTCATCTACGTTTTTAATCTAATTTACAAAGCAATAAGCAAAATATTAAAAGCAGGAAAACATATAATATGGTTATTAGTTGGTCAGGAAGTTATAGGAAGTCAAATTGCTAAAATATACACAAACAAATTTAAAATATGAATTAATTTTAAAAATATACTCTACATCATGAATGTGGCAGTTTAAACATTTATTTTATAATAAACTCTAATATAAAGAAATTCTCTAACCTGCGTAGAGTAGAAAAACTACGTTATGCTGAACCAGTAGGTACTTATTGGCCAAGCAGTAAGAATAATAAGCAGTGACTTTATTGTAAGATAATTTATTTCACAACATTGCTTGAAATACATTTCCCGGTAAAAATTTACCTAAAATATTCAAATTTAATATTATGAAGTTATTTGAAATAAAATTTACTTTTTAATACTTTTCAAATTATAGCTCTGCCACTTGGGTATGCAAAAGGCAATTTCTAACTTTAAATAGTACATCATTCACTTCTTGAAGAAATGGGTAACTAGTTTTAATTTTCTATATCATATTAGTGCTATTAATATTCTGAGACCATTTAGTTAAGTTTTTTGGAATAAAATACATCATTGTTTGGATTTTCTGGTTTTTCTTGCCACAAAATCTTCGTTTTAATTCTTTAATTATGCTATCCAATATTGAAATAAAAATTATGATTCTATAATAAATTTCACAGTTATTGATGTTACTGGGATTTGGTCTATTTTTATGATTAATGTTGGGCAAGGTAAATTTTTTTTCTACATGTAATTGGTCCCTTATAGATTTGCATTCACTATAAATATTTTTAAACACAATATCAAAACAAAAAAATTGTTTTTCAATACTATCACTATATCTTCTACTACATTACTTACCGATAGAATATCCTGATCCTTCCCTTGTGCAATTTTATTTGCGTGATAAGTAGCAAAGAGTATGAACTGATGATAAAGAAAAGGTTGATACTATACATTTACAATTGCACAATGGTAATATTAATGATATTTTTTTAAATTCAGAGACTGTATCTTCCCAATTTGACACCTCAAGGCTTTAATAATTTCTGTTATGATCTTTTAAATTGTAGTAAACTGTCATGCTTTTCCATCCATCGTATTTCGCATAACCGCACAAAGGAGCGTTATAAGTATTTTTTTAAAACTAAATTATCATTTATTAAGATTGAAGTTATAGTTATGAGTTTATGACTTATGAACTTCATATTCATTAAATCAATGGCGCTTTTGTTCAAGTAACGAAAACAAGTCACACCTCCCCCCCCCTTAAATCCGCCACTGCAATCCCACGATGGGTAGGCCACTGTTGTAGGTGAGTAGTTGGAAAGATAGGATATAGAGGGGAATTCAATTTATATCAGTACGCAACGATAAATCGTTGCTAACGAAAAACGATTCTGAGCAAAGTTCAGTTAATAATGTTGCTTTGTCAACAATATATATGTTACATGGTAAAATAATTACATATGAATTTTATATTTGCTTTAATAATATTTGTTTAATATTGTACCTTTTTTCCCGTTTTTTCACAGTTATTATAAAAATAGTTTTGAAAATCAAAAAACGACTTCCCTAAAGAACCACTTTAGTCAGATTTCTTTTCAGAAAAAGTGCTATCATAATAAATCGGAGCAAAATTGCTAGTAGAAAAGTTGTCCACAGAAAAAAAAAATATATCATTGTAAATCTTTCAATGTTTTTGTTCGGTTTTGCTCATTTATTAAAAAAACTAAAATGACTTTCACATTCACCAACTAGACTAAAAATTTAACAAAAAAGGTCAATTGTTGTTTTTCCATTGAACCAATATTTCTGGTAGAAAACATAAGCCATATAAATTTAAAATAAAGAAACCATGATGCCTTAAATTTATTCCTTTTCATTTTCGCCTTTTTTTGGGTTTTACCAATTGTTATAAAAACAACTTAGAAAATCCAAAAACAACTTTCTTTGTGAGTAATTAAACCCAATATGCTTAAAAAAAGCTCAGAATCTAAATGAATCTAATAAAAAAAAATGCACACATCATAGTAAAACAAACGGATTCCTCGCTATGCTCGGTGTCTAAAATGATGATTGGTTAATGATTCAAAACAAATGTTTACAAGTAGTAAGGTAGGTACCTTAAAATTAATAATAATGACTGAAAATTAGATGCTTTCAGCTAAAATAGGTTTGGCTGTTTTATATAAACTCTTTATGTCTTTTCTAAAAATATAATAAAAAATAAATAATAGGAAAACTTTTAATATTTATAACTTTATCTTGTCTATCGATTTTATTAAAACCAATTCAAAATAGAAAATTAGACATTTTTCAAGTATTTGACGTATTTCTATTGTCAAAATTTATTTTACGTAATAATGTTACCTAACTTTAGTCGTAAAAATGTAAGTATTTTGGTAATTACGTTGTTTAACTACCCAAAACGTGATGGGTAAGCATCTACAATAGACATGTTTGCTTTAATATGTATAAGTGCGGTACAAAAGTCACAATTCTAAAAGCTTTCTAAGTATTACAATAAAGTCATTAAAAGAATAAAATTATACCAAATATAAATGGGTAATTTACAATGATCAATAAAATTACAATTTATAACAATATGTAGGTAATATTTTCATAACTTATTAATGGTAATTCTATAAAATATAGGTAGTAACTAATTATTAAATAACCAAGAAATTAGTAGGTAGGTAATAAGGTTGACATTACGTGATGAATTTTAAATAATACAAACTATATAAATTTTGGACTGTTCGACACTACAAACACCTAATTTTAACTTGTACACTACAATTTATAATACATTTATGTACAATTTAATTACAATTATTATTTTGTTACATTTCGAAGGCCATTATTTTTTTTCACTACGATTATGGTAACGAGCATAAATACACCAATCCAACCCGAGGCGGACAAAAATCCTTTATATACTGTGGGATGTGTTATTGACCAATCTCTGGCAGACAGGGCTCTAAACGACTCTGTTGACAAAGTGATTGGCAAAATCCAACCAATTGACCTCAGTAGCCAATGCATGCCTTCCAATGGCCATATCATTCCACTGAGCATGGCTAGAGGGAAGAAACTTCCCAACCCCATAAATGTGGCCGACGTGTCTGTGTTACAGAATACTGACACCATAAACCCTATTTTCAATCAAAAAAATATTTATAAATTTAAAACTTAGGTCCAAAAAAAATTACAATATTATAATATTATTATTATTATATTATATTATATATATTATATTATATATATTATATTATATATATTATATTATAATATTATAAATGGGTTTAGAAGAAGTTAGTGTGTGAAACAAGTTTAATTACCAACGAGAAACTTTTTTATTGGTATCTACTTATAGAAGTCATTACTATTATTTGGATATTTGTATATTAGCTATAATTAGGTACTAAAAGTTCATATGAACTGATTCATCTGATGTATTTACTTGCAGTTGCTTACCATAACACATTCCACTGGTCCCAGTCAAGAAGAGCAATGATAGTGTCCAAACCAAACTCCCCACCATTGGATTGTCAAAGAACACAAACAGTACCAACATCATTAAAGCGGTTTGAACGCTCAAAACAATATATTGGACTACAATGTGAGATAACAATACTTCTGTCACTGTCACGCCTTCAAATAATAATGTTTCAATGAATTTACAGTTTTACAGTTATAATCACAATAAGTATAATGAATATAAAATAAATAGGTATTTAAATAATTACCGGCAACTAGACTTCTTTCCAATAACCCTCCCATCTTTTCCATTAGTATTGCTCCCACAGTGAATACCATAGGAAGGTAAAATTCAAATCTATTGACAAAATAATAACAGATTGAATTATTATTTTAATTTTTGTTTAGGTATGTTCATTTTAATTTAAAATATTAAATGCCCACATATTATAGTTAATACTATAAAACTAATAATGCAAATATTTAGATATATGTATTATTATAAAGTTTAACTAACAGTGATATAATGGCTGGCGCTGTGAAATGCCCGAAACTTGGGTTGTTATTTCCATAAACTGCATCTTCCATCTAAACAAAGAAATATTATCAATATCAAAAATTAATGCTATTATATTAGATTATAATAAATTTTTTTATTAATTAATACCTTAAGTGGTATATCAGCCAATGCCACAGGCCATTCACAATCTCTGAATACACTTTGTAAGAAAAGTACATACCTTGAGAGCATATCTCTTCGTAATAGATTACTCACATATTGGTCTAAAAAAAAAAACCACAATAATCAATCAATTATTTTGTAACAATTCAAAATATTGCAGGTACATTATAATAATAATTCTATAATATGCATTACTAGACATGTCTTGCCATATATTGACATCACTGATATTTAAAACCCTTTCTGTCAAATTGTCCGGCTCTTGAATCCGTGCACCAAGCGATTCAGAATAACCGTCTTCAAAATATAACACTCCCCAAACCTTATTTTTTTTGACAGCAAATTTTGCTTCATCTAAAGAATCATAGTCTACCTGTTTAAAAATAACAATCATATTTACATTTTTATTGATGAATTATGTATGTAGACAATAACACTAACCAATTTATAACTTTTATCCTTTAAATTTTGTAAATACCGACAACTTAATGGTACACTAAAATTACATCCTCTGGCAAGATAATTACTGCAATTTGACATTCCAGTTTTAAGCTCTTCATTGACCACTCCTAATTTCAGCCCTTGTGGATCACGGCCAATGCAAGTGCAAAACAAGTAGCATTGAACAACAGGTAATATCATTAGGAAACACATGATTCTATAAAATAATTTTAAAAAAATATAACCAAAATAAATTATTATGTGAAATATTTAATTAATTTTGTAAGTATAATTCTTATACGCAACAATAAATATTATATATATTTTAATTTACATGTTTATGATAATATAATAATGGTTAATAAAAATAGAAGACATTTTAAACTTAAATCATTAATGATTTATAATTGCGTATTTATGAAGATAATTATTAATATTTATCTATAGTACGGTATATTTCTTTTCATCCAATAAAAATTTTTCAATAACTGTGCTAAAATTCGCATCTTTGAACAAATACTATCTGGTTTCAGTGGTGGCAATGGTTTTCTAGCTGGTACAGGATACATTTCAATATTCTAAAAAATAAAAATAATAATATTAAAACTGAATCTATTTGTACATAATCAAAGTCAGTATTGGTTTGGTTTATAGATACTTAATCGATTCCAATAAAAAATTACAGAATTGAGAGATTATTCTTAGTGGAGGGTATAGAGGATTAGAGAACCACATCTGATAAGTTGCTGAATAAACTTTTTTTTAATATGTCAAAAAATAATTTTAATATCATACCATCTGTAGTATAGAATGAATAAGCTATCCATAATAAATACCCATGAAGTAGCATTAAAAAATATATTACCTCAAAGCTTATCATTTGGGTATGGTCATGATAACATACTAAAACTTTATTAGATTTATATAGTAAATGTTGCCTATCTATTATATCTATTATTACTAGTGAGTTATTACTTAGTAGTTATTACTAAATGAGTTCACCAACCCTTATGAGGCTTACGAGGGATGTGAGGGAGGTGTAGAAAACTGTGAGATTGGTAGTGGAAGTACCTAAGTAATGATATTTATGGATATTTAATTTGTTACAAGCAAGGCTATTCGGGAATTATTCCTATTTATAACAGTATATATTAGGTGATTTTTTAAATTTAAAATACGAGTTCTTGCATTTGTTTACAGACTCTTATCTATTTTTATGATAAATAGGTACCTACCTATAAGTGATATCCTATCTTTTCAACTTGTACAAGTTATAAAAGGATGTGAGAGGAGTTTTTGGGTGAGGGGTTAAGATGTGAAGGCAAAATTTGAGGATATGAGGGTTGCAAAGGGGTAAAAGATTGGGATATTACATTTAGGGGAAATTGGGAATTTAATACTGGATTCTATTGTACCTACTATAAATAATATTTATAAATAACAAAAATCAGATTAGTGGTATATTGGTTTAATTGTGAATAATGATTGTTTTAATAAATTTAAGTTACCTATTATTAATGTAAGGTATTTCACTAAAAATAAATACAATTTCTATCAATTAGTTTTTAAAATAAATATATTTAATTGTGTATAGCTTATACATACACAATTTTCGTCTTCTCTGTCCATAATACTGCTTCTAGTTTGACGTTTACTAAGTTCCAAGAAAGCTTGTTCCAAAGTAGAGCAGTTATGTTTCAGAAGTAATTGATTAGGAGATTCTTCAGCTAACAATGTACCATCTCTCATTAATCCAATCTGTAAATATAAAATAATATTCTAATTAGTTGTAACAAAAACACCAATTTTTTTTATACTGTGCAATTAAAAATGATCTAAAATTATTTTTTCTTTAGTGTAAAAATAATCACAAAATTTATACAAGAATATCTAATTGAATGGATCAATTTTTATTGGTCTCTTCAGAATAAACGACTTAATTTTTTTTCATAAAATAGGATGGATATAAGATAATTTGAGTTAAATCATAACCTTTATTAAAAATGAGTACTATACCACCATCTTTCATTGCAATAAGTTTTCAATAATAAATTCACAACACTAAAAATTACTAACCGTATGTGCTTGTCTGGCTTCTTCAATATAATGTGTGGTGATTACAACAGTTTTATTTCCATTTGCTGTCATGTCTAGGAGATGTTGCCAAATACTTTATAAACACAAGAATATAATAATAATAATATGTTAATAATCATTTATACCTGTATGCAGTAGTCCACTAACCTAGCACTTAATACTGGATCCACACCTACAGTAGGTTCATCTAGTATAAGAAGTTGAGGATCATGAAGCAATGCAACTGCAAATGACACTCTCCTTTCTTGACCACCACTATCAATAATAAACCGTTAAACTAATATTTTTTTTTTTTATAAACTTTAAATGTACTAAAATAATGAAAATAGTAAATTATCATAAGTTTATATTATATTAATAATAACCATAAGCCAATAAAATTAGCAATGTAAATATTATTTTTGCTTAAACTAACCTTAATCGACTAACAATGCTTTTTTCATTTGGTAGTTCTAAAAATTTTAATAATTCATATGTTCTGGTTTCTATTTGTTTGTGACTCATACCAAAGAGCCGACCATAATAAGTCATAGTTTCTTTAATGCTAAATTCTTTGTATAAAGCAAGTTCCTAAAATAAAAATATTAGGTAAGTACTTAATAAATGTATAATTCAATAATTTTGTTATTGTATATCTGCCTGTAATAAAAATAAACAACAATAATTATTAATAATTACTTGAGGCATATATCCGATGTTAGTTTTCGTCCTAGCTTTGACTTGTACATCCCCAGCATCAAGTTGACACCGCCCAACCATACAACTGAGTAAAGTAGTTTTACCACATCCACTGGGGCCTAGAAGACCATAACTATATGCCGGAAAAAAAAATGAAAATAAGTAAAACTAATAATACATAAGATATTTCATTCTACGTGTTGTATTAATTATTTAATGGATCTATAATAAATCTATTGCATATCTACTTAATAACATCCTGAAAATAAAAAAAAATTGTTTCATTTTTAATTGGAAAAGATTGTTTTATTTTATAATTTTGTAAATGTTAAATGATTGAACTCTTGATCAATATTAAGTCATATTATACATTTTTCAAGTCATTGAAATTTTTTTTCATACATTTTGTTACAATAAGTACAATACAAAAATTATATAATGTCATGATGATATAAAATAATACTAAACAATTTTTAAATAAAAATACTTGTAGGTACTTTAATAAAAATACATTTTTGTAAATATGTGTATCGATGTTTATATTGTTTTTAACTAGGACATAGTTTCTCTTCAATGACATACAGTTTTTTAGAGGTTTTCAAATAAGTTTACCTTTAAACAAATTTTATTTAGTACCCACTACTAGTATAAAACAAATCTGATATAGAAAGTATATATAATTTGTAAGGACATAACGATGCACATCATATTTTTATTCTGTGTTACATCAATGACCCTGACGTTGTTGTCAAATGATAATCACCTTTCTCCAACTATTATATCATAGATATGTACATAGATTCGTTCAACAAAATCCTATTGATTGTAATTTACAATGTATAATACTTAGATAGATACATAATTTGTCTTTTGCTAGTGTTCTACACGAAAACACTATACTAATTATGTAGGTACTCTACTTGTGAGATGATTTAAATATTACGTTAATTTACAATAATTAATTACCCATTCAATAATTTAATATTTAGGTGAGTAAATACCTAATCATCAATTGGTAGGTACATATTATATCAGTTTCAATTTGTGTTGGCTCAACGCTTAACACGAAAATATTATATAGGTAGTTGAATGACACACTAACAATAGATTTATTATTCAGTGATTAATAAGATTAAAAATATTATGTCATTTAGGTTTAAATTACAATAACAGTATTTATTAAATAATTGGAATAAATGCAGTTTATCTCCCAATCTCGGTTTTTTTTTATTAGCTTTTTTTATTTTGGATGTTATACTAAAAAAAATTAAAATCAAATTTTTTTGAAAGGGCTAGGTTTTTAATGCTGAATGTGATTGTGCAATCAGAAATGTTCATAATATATGATTTTATGAGTTATAAAGATTTTAATACTGTATGGCACTATACAGAATATATAATACATAGAACAAACAATCGCACGTTTGGGGGACAGCTTGCTGAAACTACTGGGCGGCACTCTTCGTCACAACCGAGGGAGACGGGGACGGGAGACACCTAGTTTACTTAACCGAAATATCCAACCTAATACTACAAGAAACCAAATGTCCTATAAATGTAAATCTAAGCCTCACCAATGTGAGACCGGCCCTTTTGACTTTTAATCGAAAATAAATGCTGTTTTATCAGTGTAGTAACCACTCATTAACATTTGCCGGATTTGCTAGTCAGTACCTATTCAAAAATACGGAATTTAAAATGCTGAACAAAATAAAAAGGATAACACTATTTTCAAACAATATTAAATTCAGTAAATTTAAACACATACCTATTTAAAAAAAAAAAAAAAAAGTACATTTTGAAAAAAATTTTAAAACGAGAATAAGAACTAATAAACTGCATTTATGCTAAATAATTAAATAAAATACAAATTGTTTAGCTATGGAATGCGTATACATTACAATAAACAAAATAATTCCATCCACATGTTATAATAATTAGATTAAGTAGGTATATTATTTTACTCACATCGTGCCCTCGGGTACAGTCATGTTAAGGCCTCTAAGGACGACGCTGTGTGGATTATACCTCTTGTAGGCTCCCCTGACCATAATGGCTGCTGGCCTATCGACTCCATACTTATCACTTAAAGCCATCCTAGGCAATTCCATGTTAGTACAGTTTTATATTTAACCAAAACATCACCTGCAATATAATTGTTTGTTGTATATTAACTGTGTATAAGAATAATATATTGTAAAAATAATTTAATATTATAAATTTATTATAGGCAGGTACTTTTGTATCTACATATTATATTATTATGTTTGTATTTTATAAATAAAAATGCATACAGTTCATATTATAATGAAAATATTTAACGTTTTTCATTTAAAATTATGTTCCTTTATTATTGTATTGTATTTAATTAGATAATTTATAATTGTTTAAAATTAATCACTTTACAAACCACATCTGAAATAATACATTTATATTTACCACCATAGCCATCATATTCAATCCATAATTTACATTTTAAATACCTACCTAATTATGATTTAATAATTCCATATAGATCCAAAAAATACGGATCTAGGATAATAAATCTTCCTCTAACGTCTAATGGGGACAATCCGTCCCCGTTAAATTTTTTTCAGCATGTTTTTATAAGATTACATTTTAATACATTTTTTCCTAACATTTTTCTTGTCACTTATCACTTACAATTTTTAATACTAAACTATAATACAATTATATTTTTGAAACGTAAAAAATGCAATATAATAATATAGGTTGTTTTTTTTATAAAATGTGTACAATGTGTACAAGGTAGTTTGAATTTATAAAGAAGTTATAGTCAAAATGGTCAGAATATAATCATAAAAATATTATACAAATTTAAAAAATAAAATTAATAAAATAAAATAAAATAATTAGAATTATTAATATTAATATACTTCAACTGCATAAATAATTTAAAATTTCATATTTTTAAAAGTAGATACTAAAACAAATAGGTACATTTTTTTTTCTGTGTCACTTATAGGTTTCATAAAATTATTTCAAAACACAATCTTTTAAAATCGTGTTGCAAAAAATATTACCGGGGACGGAATGTTCATGTATAAAATTATGACGGGGAAAGATTGTCCGCATACAGAGTTTTTTTCACGGAGACAGATTATCCCGGGACGAATTATCCGTTTTCCGTATTTAATTTATATATTTGCAAATTAAACATTATAGTTTAATAGTTCAATGGCGTAGCGAAAACCCTCCCCTTGACAATGTTTATTTAATACAGATAGATATGTAATAAAATGATAAAAAATGAATTATTTTACAATGTAGCCATATTGTGGCTAACTATGTAAATTTCATTACAATGTTCGTACTGAAAACTAAACAAATTGTGATGTGAAAGATTATTTATTATTGATGCCCCAAACTATGATAGTGGTTTATGGTTATTTTTTATAAAAGTTATTAATATAATTGAATAAGATTTCCATTTTTTCCATCGAGAAAGACATAAATATATTGTAGCAGGGACAATACTATGCTGTTATAGTTTTAATATTATAGTGAAAATTATCGTGTTAATGTTGGTGCTATTTTTTCCATATTTTAATTTTCAAACGAGATATGAATAATATATAATATGTGAAATATTAAAATTTAATAATGTTCATAGAAAATGTTTGAAAATTAAAATGTCGAATAATCATCACTAATATTGTACAGATAATATTATTATCCTTAAGTTTGATAATAATAAATAGGTAGGTCAATTTGACTCTAATATTAAAATTAATAGCACAAAGTTGTCCCTACAGAACGCTAATTTGATGTGTCGAAGCACGTTCTCTAATAAGTATTTAATTAATAGTGATAATGAAAAAGATTTCGCATTTTTTCGTAACACCCTCCCTTTGAAAATTCCAGACTACGTGCCTGTTTAACACTGATACATTCATAATATAAATTTCTCTAATAATAATAAACAATTCTTTCAACATCAAAAATAGAATTATGTATTGAGGACCTATGTGTACTATAGGTACCTTTAATAATTTCTACAGATAATATAAATACCTAGTTAGACCTTCACTGGAGTAATGGATTATAACTGCGTATACCTAGGTAGCACACAGATTAATTCAGTTGAAATTTCTCAAACATAACCAAGGTTATATCATCAAAAAACGCACGCATAAATTTAAAAAAAAAATATTTTTTATTAATTGTACTATTACTTTCTTATTAGGTACGCGATAATTATTGATAACATTGAGATAATAGTTGATGAATCATAATATTTTAAATTATGGTAGGTGTAAAAAAAATATGCATATACTATGATTAAAATCTGTCAAATAAATTTAACTATTCCAACAAAAATTATTATATTAGGTATAGATGGGAGTATAATATTAGATCGGCATAAAAAGAATTAGGAAACGGAATTTATACTAATACAATAATTAAATCATTTTACTGATTGAACAATTCCTTGAGTACTTCTTTCATAAATATATGAACACTACATTATTTTATTTTTCCAGGTATCTAAATTTGTAATATAAAAAAAATGGCATGTAAGCATTTGTGGACAAAACATTGTAGCATAGATAATATTATCTGTAATTATGGCTCAGGTTAAAAATAAAATATATATTTACTAAATACTTATTTATTGTTACACCAGTAACCAGGTACTGGTATACTTACCTACCTATTTTAGAACTTGTAAAAAAAAAAAATCACTTTTAGAGGAAACCACAACCGCATCTATTGTCACAGTTTTATAAACGCATGGCATTGCAAATTTAGGTTCATTTAGGAAAATTGTGTGCTGTTAGTTTTAAATTATGAGTGAATTGACCAATTACCAAACTTAAAAAGAATAATATAATAATATTATTTGTACCCCTTTCATTTTACATTCGATATTTGAATTTTTAAATCGTGATATTTTAAATACCTACTCGTATCTCGCTTAGAAATTCAAATATCGAAAAATCACCAACGAAAAGACAATGATAATGGTCTAAATAAAAACGCAAATATGGCGTCATTTTAATTAAATTTTACAATTGTGTAATTAATTATTGGACACATTAGCATTCCTTAATAAGTTTATGTGTATAATATTATTGTCTATTTGTTAATGCATATGTTTAAAAAAAAAAAAGAAAAGATATTTAATAAAAACTAGTTACACAACAATATTATTATGTAGTCAATTATAATAGGTATCGACATTTATATTATTATTATTTTTTTTTTCTGAATGGTCAATATACTTGTGTACATAATATTTTATTACAAAATAATGTTTATAATTTTATCACGTACTTTGTAAATTTGTTACTTATCCAAAAATCGATATTATGATCAAATTATTTTACTTAGTTTAAGAAAAAATTTGATTTGAATATTATAGTATGGTTATTGATTACTGATATTATTATTTTTGTTTTATTACAATTTATCGAGAGTATAATACACAATTTGACCAAATGAAATAATTTTTTGTTATTGTGTATTTATGCTCATATCTTAGAGTCATACATGTACCTATATAATTATGCATGTCACATATATCATACGTGCATGACGTCACAAAGCATTGTACACAATTTGTTAATCGAATTCGAAGTCAGCCAGAATGCAAAAATTATTAGAATTGTTTTTGTTTCACAATATGAAGTTTAATAAAATATTTTATAAAAGCATTTTTTAAAAAAAATTTTCGTGTGGAGGTTTCAATTAAAAGACTAAATCTAAATTTAAAATAATTTTTTATTCATACTACATAATATATGTGTGGATGAACATTCTAGGAAATCGGCGACTAAAGATATTATTACCCACCTATATTACTTCATTATATATAGTTTTTTAACAATGTGCAAACAACCGAATAAAATAAAATTTAAAGAGAAACCATAATGAGCTATCTTATGTAATATAATAATTATTTTAGAATGTAGGAAAATAATAAATTATTATACCTACTTTCAAAATAATACAGTTGTTATAATATCACTTTGTACCCGTTTAATATTCGTTATTAATGCTAATTTTAAACATTAATGATAACTATTTTAAAATACTCATGAAGTAAAGGGAGTACTACCAATCACTATAATTTAGATCAAATTAAACTTGATGTCTCCTTTCTATATATTACCCTGTTTAAAAAAAAAATCTTTAAATTTTTGTTAGTGAAAAACAAAAATCTATCTACCACAATATCGCGCTGCACTGCAACCAGTTATTTCTATTGAATAACTACTAACAGGTAACAGAGATGGGTAAAATTCATATTCAAATTCCACAAAAAATAGATTTTATATTTTAAAAATATAAATTCAATGATTTGAAATTCTGCCAACTCTAATAATAATATTTTAGCACACGTGTGCATGATCTTTAGTTTAACAATACAATTAAGTATAGAATAAGTATAATATATGAAATGAATTTACATTGATACATAGGACTAAAATAGGTAGGTGTAAAAAGTAGAAATCAAAATAAATAGGTAACTAAAACATTAAGTTTCTGTATCATTTTTTTTTTTTTATTATGGTATTTTTATATTATTATATCCTGGTATACGGAATGATTTCTGAGTGAAAGTGGTCAACGTAAGAAACCAGTTGGGTGCTTATAACAACCACGTCCATTACATAATGTGTACAAAATATCCAGAGAGTAAATGACCTAATACCAACTCGATCAGGTTATTGAACATACAATGATTTCCGGTAAGTATGTATCAACTTATTAATTTGAATAAAGTAAACATTCATTTATATATTATATTTATATAGATACAATAGGCTAATACATATAATTATAAAGTTTAAGGAACAGACTCTTTAGTAAGGCTAAAAGGGATGACCAAGATCGCAAAATACAAAAATAATAAATGTTATCTCGATATTGTTGAAACCTTTAGGTACAGGAAAATATATTTTGCAATTCATACATAAGTGTAATTTGGTAAAATCATAGCATATTTTCTGTACATTTATAGATCAAAAGGCAGATTTCGGAATCTATAGTCCTATAGTTACATCTAATAAGTAAAAAATATATGTAATAGGCAAATATAACACTAAACATTTTATTTTTAGAGTATACGTATCTAATTAATACTATACCGATATATATATATATATTTGTAAATAAATTAGTATTCGTAGATATTATTTTTAAAAACTTGAACAAAATATGTTTATAGGCAGGTAAAGTTGTCAATAAAAATCTTTGCCTAAACATAAATACATAATATAATATAATCTATGCCAGAATTATTTACTAAATAAACAAATATTTCAAATAAGTACCTATATTACGATAGTTGTAAAACTTTATAGGTACCAACAACATTTAATTGATTTTTCCTTGTTAATATAGGTAAATATACGGCCTATAGATAATAATTTTGTATCTTTACTTAAAAATAAGTTATCTCTACGTTTTCTTTACTGGCATAAATGCACCAACAATTATTAACTAGGCATTTTAGGAAAATATCTAGATATATTATAATCTAATATATAATTTAACGAGACAATATTAAAATTTTAATTAAAAATATTACTTACGTACCAATAAAAATTGAAACGAACGAAATCGTCAGAATTACTCGCGTATCTCACAAGGCTAGAACGTATACTGTAGTACATGTGACGGGATAACCAATTGCCAGTGGTAACTCGAAACAATGACGTAACCCTTTTACCATGTCCTTCTTAAAATGTTTGTATTAAAACCATAAGGAAGGGAGATAGAATGAAGTCGCTTTCGTCTTAATGTCAAAGAATTAATTTTTACAAAATTAACCATTACCTATTGGAGACATAAACATAATATATATGCCGTTATACGTATAAATTATAAGTATAGTATAATATTAAGTTTTATACATTAGTAGTTAGTACATAGTATGTTTGCGATTCCAAGTACTACAAAATATTTCAGTTGGATGGCCTGGATTTGGATTCCGTTTTCAGGAGTTGATAGAGGGTACACTTAAATAGACACAGTTTAGGTACTTCTTAATTTTTTACCCCTTTCAGTGTTCAATACAAATTACCTATATTTTGACACTGCATTCGAATAGTCTAATTTTATTTAAGGAACTTTGATTAATATTATTTTATTTTATATAAACAATTAATCAAGATACAGCCATCTAAAGTTGGTTGAAAAATATAATTTCTATTCATTTGTCAAAATATGTTAAACGAATGCATTATGTATTTCTTGTTTATGATCGAATTATATTTTTCACAAAAAAAAAGTGGTCAAATTTTTTCACTTTAAAATCTCATAAACATTTGATAAAATCATTTTTTTTAACCGTTTTAGATGAGTCTCAGGTAATTTAAAAAAAAAACATTTTATTAATCAAAGTTGCTTGAAAAATAGTTCTCTGTGTATCGATATTCAAAAAAAGGTATTTGTAATGTACAAGCGCGTACCGAAAGTGTTAAAAATTTGAAATTTATTCTAAAGTTTTTACCTTAATACTTCTTATCACCACCTGAAAACGGAATTTAAATCCAAAGTCGACCGAAATATTTAGTTAGCTGGAAGTGCAAACACGCAGTATATAAATTATTTATTTAAAAAGTTTAATGTCATTATATAAATAGGTAAACAAATTATAAATAATGTCATATTATATTAAGTATATTATACCTATAGAATATAAATTCAGAATTGTACGATATATTTATTTGTTTTAGAATTGAAAACAACAAAAAATTATTGTAATTTAAGAAAAATGTTTATATCTCAAATATTTTAAGTTTTTACAATTACTAATATAAAAAATATTTGTTAGATAATTTTGATATTTAAAATACACACTTAATTGAAAAAAAGTAATAGCCTTACAAAATGTTCATTCTATGAAAAAATAATCCTTTCATTATAAATGTATAGGTAGTACTCCTACCCTTTTAAAACTCACTGAAATCTACACTTTAAAATGTCAAGTCCAAACTCTCACTTCTAAAATAAGAATAACAACGATTCGACAACAACAAGATTATACTACTTCATTTCAAATCATCTAATACCTTCCCTAATTTGCTCAGTTACACAACCAAATAAAAGAAACTAATAAATCAACTAAATATATTAAACTAAGTACTAATTGCATGTCTGTTCTTTTTTTGTAATTATTATTTAACAGTTTTTCATTAAACTCTCTACTATATTCTTCGCTTGGCGTAATGACCTAATTGTTTATATTCTATAACAGAGTCAAATCTTCATCGATTCTTCAAATAATAATTAACTACCTACTGTTCATATTAAGAAATCTTGATTAAATACTAAAATCTTGTTAACAGTTTCTTATGTTTAACCAAAAAAAGACGGACATACTTCACATGCGATGGGTGGGCCAATGTAGTTTGGTGAGAAGTGGCGGAGGTAGAATATAGAGAGAAATTTAATGTTTATCTGTACGCAATCATTGCTAACTGAAAACGATTCTGAGCGGAATTCGGTTGTATATGTTTTGAAAAGCCGTAATATTTTCGATTTATACCATAAATGTTATATCCAAACACTTAAAAAAGAAAATTGTTCATATACTCAATTTTTTTTTTTTTACCATAAAATACGATTTATATTGAACCACTTATTAAATTTTCGAGTATTTCTATTTAGTCTAACAATTTTATTCACAGAGTACCTACTGAATAAAAATTACGTAAACAACTCGCAAAATTAAAATGTCTATAAATTTTTCAAAAATTGTACAAATGTTTTGAACATTTTACTAAGTCTAAAAAAGGCTAATATAGGTGTTTTGTCCAAATTTAAAGTCTCTATGGACATTTTGAACTGAATTACAACAAAAAACAAAATTAAAATAATAAAAGCATTATTTTCCCGATCTTTCTACCTTTTTGTTTGATTTTACTCAATTATTGAAAAAACTATATGGAAAATCAAAAAATGATCTTCGTAAGAAACAATTTATAAGAAATCATCAGTGGAAAATCATGACGCCACAAATATTTTTTCCCGCGATTTTTCCAAATTATGAAAATCACAAAGAAAACCTCCCTAAATGTACTAACTAGATAAAATTTCCTTTTAGAAAAGTTGACACACTTCATGAATCGGAGTAACATTTCTGGTAGAAATGTTGTACATAGTATAGATAAAGAAAAAAAAAAAATAAATATCATTGTAAAATCAATGTACTCCTCACTTTACTCAGCATCTTCAATCAAAACTTCCCTTGACTTTCCAAAATTAATATCCTATTTTTTAGCTAATTACCGCAGTATTTTGATATATTTGTTTAACATCAATAAAACGAACAATAAACCAATAATTTGTACCTTAATCTCAAATCAGTTTAAATTTCTCAAACATAAAACTCTATTTTTAAAAATGAGTCCTTGTATATTTGTTAAAAACTTAGTGATCAAATGAAGATGCATATAATAAACATTATCAATCATTATTATTTGTCTCCCAAATAAACTTGGAAAATTAATATAGATTAATATAATTTTATTTTAAACATTTTTAAATTTAGCAACCCATTGAAACAAACCAAATAGATTTGTGCTTTAAATAAAAATAATATTGTTTACAAAATATAAATTTGTTCAAATTATGTGTATTACTAATGAAAAATAACACATACCTGTAATATATTACTATAGTAATTATCTTTCAAAAAAAGTATAAAAATATTGTTAGTAGAATACAAAATTATACAAATTGTAAAAATATGAATGCTTAATTAATTATTCCAATTATTTTAATTATAATCATTAATCAATGAACCATTTCTGAAAACAGTGGTTTATATTTGGAATTTGATTTGCGCATTCAAATTGGAGCGTTTTACAAATTTTAAATGAACTTAACAAATAAGAAGAAAAAAAAAATACTAAAACATCAATATCATTAAAAAATCAATTAATTTTCAGAAATTAAAAATAAATAATAGGTAGATACCTTTTTTAATGATATTGTAGTTTACCAAAACATTTTGTACCACGTAGATTCAAACAAAAATAGGTTTCAAATAAAAAAACACAACTGGCAGTCATGTGGAATTCTGAAAAAAAAAAACATTATAATATTTTGAAAGTAATTATAATTTATCAACGCCATTGTAATTTAATTAGTTATGGTTAGGGAACGGATTTATATGCACTTGAAATCTGCAAAAAAATATTTAAAATAATTTAAAAATAAAAGTAATAAAGGTGTTTTAAAGTCCCCCCTCCTCTAACAGCTCTAATAATATTAAATAAAATTGTCTAACACTAATAAATGATCAACACAAAGTATTTAAATATATTAAATATATAACACATACAGATTTATTCGGAAAAAGCTACTTTGTGATAATTATTTTTGTAATGTTAAAAATAATTTTTAATAAGTTAGAACCGTTAAAAAAGGGAAGGGGAGTAATTTCAAACTTCTCTACCATTATTAGTCTTTTAAATATTTTTAAAATTATTTTTAAGCGCTTATAAATCCATTCCCTAATCATAATAATTGCTATAAACAGTTCATTAAAAATAATAACGTAACGAATTCATAAAAAAACGCAGAAAACTAGAATACAAGGGATTAAGAATATATATCAATTAAATTTAACAAACATATAACAGAAAACTATTTTGGGAAACCTGAACAAACGCGAAGGAACTAGTTTACAGTTACATTTGGACAAGTAATGGTAGAATTTACTACAAAAGGGACGAAATGTCCAAAAAACCCAAGTAAGAACTAAGAAGGAATTTAGTTTTTTATAATATTTACATATAACAGTATAAATATTAAAACTCTTACAACAGTATTATGTTTAAATCTTTACTTTGTAATTGGGAAAACAAACTTTATTAATTTTAGTATTGGGCACACATCGTAAAACTTTTATTCATAACTTACTTACAAACAAATTTAACCTTGTGTAGCATTAAATCTTTTATTAGGTATAATTATATATGTCACACATGCAAATAACTTAAAATCATAACTAAATAAATTGCACAGTCTGTTATGCTGATGACACTGTTATTTTTGTCGATGGTAACTCTTGGGACACGGTATTTTCATCCATACAAGATGACCTGAGAAAAATCAATAATTGGTTATATGAAAATAACCTACTATTAAATTTAGATAAAACTTACTTATTACCACACTATAAACTAATTCAAACCAACCAGATATAACCAGCTTGTGTATTCACGATACAATTGCTCGAATCCAAAATCGTGTACATGTCAAACTTCATTAAAAATAGTACGATTGTGTAAACACATAGGCATTGAAATGTGCCATAAGTTTAAATGGCATGACCACATTAAACAAGACAACGATAAAACTAGAAAAAATAATCGATGATTTCAAAAATGTACTTTAAATTAAGAAAATTAGAATTGTATACCAAGCTGTAGTAGAATCTATAGTTAACTATGGTATTTCTATTTGGGGAGGTGCTCACGATACAACACTAAATATATTCAAAATAAGACCAAATAGAATTTAAAATAAATAATAATTCGTATCACACAGAATATCTATACAAAATTGTAAATGCTCTACCCATTAAACAAATTGTTTTATAAGACATCAGTAATTTATATAATTAAAAATAACCTAGTTATTGATAATGGATATAACAAAAGAAAATTACCAAACATTGCTGTTCTCTTAATTATTAAGGTACGTAGTAAGAGTATTATTATTGTTACCTAATTATTGTATATGTTTAAGTTAGTTTCATCTCATAAGTCTAAAACTGTAAAAAAAAAAAAAAATGTTAATTGTAAATTATTATTTAAATGTATCATTTTCCTTATAATAAATTGTGAACTCGTGGGCTCCCACACGAACCTGTTCAGTGGGGCCCATTATCTTTTCGAAGAAATAAACAACAATCATAAAAAAGAAAAATTGGTGTGTAATTTTGTTTTATTTCTAGTACCTATCTGATTTTCATAAAATTTCTAATAAAATTAGTTTAGAAAATGTTTATGATGATCTTGTAAAAAGAAAAATCTACTTATTGTATAAATATATATGTAAAAAATATTTGACTGTTTTCACATATATTTCGTCCTTGGGACAAACAGAACTATAAATAATATATAGAATATATATGAATTCTTTTAGAAAGTTTATCCTTGAATATTGTAAACCCAAAATAATATTTGATAAACATCCTCTATTAAAAATATCAAGGAACGAATCGGTGTATCGCATTGTCATACTATAACACGATATTAAGGTTGAAATATAATATGAGTAACTTACATCATTTTCAAAATACTGCAATGTCAAATCAAAAACTGAAGAAATGAAGACTAAAAAAATTACCAACACGAATAATATAAAATAATGAAAACAGTTTAAAAAGCAATAATTTAACTCGCAATATAGATAACGGAGGTTGAAAATTGTGTAAAAAATATTGTAAACAAAAAAATTCCTTCATGAATGTATTCCCAACAGCAAACAAAATGTATCTTAAATTAATAATCACGAATAGTTATATCGAACTACATAAAGTATCATTTTGGGTATTTTGTAATAAGAGTTTTAAGTTCATTAATTTTAATGAAAATGCATTTGTATACGAATTATATATATATATATTGTGTACCTAACATTATACTCATAACCTGTATAAAAACAAAATGTGTTTGTGTATTGGAACGAGTATATTTCTAAACCGAAAAATCTATCCTATGGTTTAATTATAAGCATGTACCTAACAGAAAAAAATATGATTGAGTAAGACGAATAATGTCTGTGTTAAAATAAACTGTGCTTCGCACCGTCTTCAACTGTTAAAAGATTGGAGTGCGAATTAAATCACGACCCTTCGATCGTTTTCAGAATTATCGAGAGAAAAAAAAAAAAATACCGACAATAACCTGCATGGCCTACTACACTACCTGTATAGCGTAACGGCGAACTCGGTTTGTACGATTATGGCGTAATAAATCGTAAATCGTAGGAACTACACGAGCGGAATTATTATCGTGGACTATGCGGTACGCCTAACGAAAGAAGAAATGATCGAGGAAGGTGCAAGGATACATGCAACGCGTAATAGTTATAAACCTGTGACACGGTGTTCTACCGAACCGGTCAAACGAGTGGTGGTTTACACGTATTGTCCAGACGAATGAAATAGTGTAGGCACTGTATACTGGCATATTCAAACGTACCTATCATACCTATTATCGTGTTACGCGTTACATCCTAACGTACGGTAATGATACGAAAAAAAACACGCCCGGGCGAAACCCAATAAAATATTCCCGTCGGCGTAACAGTTCGTTGGAATACTGCGATGCACGCGGACGGAGAAATTACGGCCAGCCTACTAGAGGCAGCGGCGGACATATCCCAGTTCTGGGAATAACGGGGAACGATTTCTCGGGCGTTGAGTTGCGGGTAATAATGTGGCGCGGAGGAAAGCCCCGGGCTATACATCACTGATTAGCGGTAACGCTGGAAAATAACCCGATATGGAAAAGACTGATGGTGGATGAGCGACCGACAGTAAGGCGGGTGGTTGTAGTTCAAACGGATATAATGGCAACGTCCGAATTTAGAGAATTACAAGATTTTTTAATTGAAAATGTGTACAAATAGTAAAGAGAACCGGCGTAGCGGGGCCGCCCTACACAGCTCTCCGAAACGCCCAAACGAAATCTAACGATCGACTATTTGTTGGCTTCCTAGTGAAATAATTTAATTTTCGGCATCTAAATTGTCCAACTAACAAGACAAATCTAAAAAAGCACAAGAGTTCAGAAATGTTGGTGGCTCCATTAGGCTCGGAGGAGCATCGATCACAATTTTTTTATTATACAAAAATTGTAACGAAATGTACATAGTTAGCCAGTACAACATGGCTACGTTGTAAAATAATTTATCTTTTATCATTTTATTGTACATCTATCTGTAATAAATAAACATTTTCAAGAGGAGTGGGCATTGCTACACCTACAACCAATATTTTCAGACAAATCATCCGATTGACAATTTCCATTAAAACATGTAGGTTTTCATTAGAAAAATCAAAGTCGCTCCTTTTTTCTTAAATCTAAGTATTCGAAAATATCGTCTTTCACTACACTTAACAGTTACAAATATCAAAATTTAAATGCGTGCGTAATTTAATCACAAAAATGAAACGAGCACTGAGCGTGGCTTGCAAAATCACTTTATTCATCATTATAAATAGATATTTAAGAAAAATGGCTTAACGGAAGGGAATATGCTTGAAGTTATGTTACGCAATAACGTTATTAATGTCTGTGAAAATGTATGTGTGAAGGTGAAACTTTCCATGGATTAGCGAGGTAGGTATACGTCGTTTTAGGATCCCTAAAAATGCAAGTGGAGTTGCACGCGTGATGGAAGAAATGTCGTGTATTCCTAAGTATTGTGTGTGTGTGGTATCCGCCTAGTGTTTTTGGGGATTTTATTTTTCAAACCCCATCCCAATCATTCAAACGTTATAATTGCGTTCGTTTTGGAAGTATTATAATACGCTCGGATAAGCCGTGGTGCCGTTGGAAAATTGGCAACACGGGTTTTCGACGGTCCGGCCGTCATTGTCGGCTTTACAGCATTTCAATATGATCACACCGCGTCAATCGGTTAATATTATCGTATAACAAATGAGAAAAAAAAAAAAAAAAACCACGTCTCCGATACACGAAAAAGGTGGGCGGTAAATTCGACGCTAACGGGTCTAAAGGCACGGGCTGCTGCGCTCACGGGCGTTTCGTTTTTATTATTTGCGCGTATATGACGGCCGTACGCCGATATTTTCATAGCGGTAATGCGGACACTACCGCGGAACTACGGCAAAACGGACAGCGTGTGTAACGATCAAGTAGTTTCGCCCGTGTCGAAAACTTCCCCCGTACCGCTTGCGCGCAACAGCCGGCCGCCGCCGCCGAAGATCGCTTGTGTAACGCGACCGCGTACAAGTATAATAATAATAATAATATTATCATTGTATTTGCGCGCAGATTTCTCCGCGTCCACGTAAATACTTTCCTCCGTTTCCGCGCCACCGTAAGGTCAACACTGCGGGCACGGCCTTCTTGTTCGGTAACGATTGTACCGCGCGGTTGCGCAATATGTAAGTATAAGGCACCGGTGCGCCGTGCGATTTGTTTTCGCTTTACCCGCCGGTCGGGCGTGGACGTGTGCAACCGTGCTGTTTGCGTCTCGTGCGCGTTCGCGTCTGGTTAGAGGGCGCCGACTGCAGCCAGACCGGAATCGTGACACGCGTTCGCGCGCCAACGGCGACTGATAGCACGCGCGCGCGACACGCGTTACGAGCGGGACCGTAACGGCCGATCCCTCGGGAACCCCACCCCCCCCCGCCCCGGACACGAAGACTTCCGGAATGTTTTCCCATCGCGCGCAAATGTGTTCACGGAAAGGTTGTGCGCCGCGATAGGTTCGACGGTGAACCATCCCGCCACGAACATTAAAAGCCTGTGCACAATCGACGTCACCGAGATCATTCAATTTTGATCGCAGACCGGAGATCGCATTCCGATGTCCATTCGTCGTCGCGTTATCGTTTCCAAAAATAGAATAAATAACCCGAAGTTGATGAGAACTGTAATAAACGATTGAGTTGACGAAACCTCGTGGTTTCACCACGGTGGTTGGTTGTGCCGGGCCAACGGACGTTTTTCGTGCTATCACAGGCGAATACGTGTCCATTGTAATTGCGTCTGTTGACTCGCGTTGTGCGTGGTTCGTAATGGACGGCAAAAACAACGACGGCGGTGCCGAAACGCAGGTAAACACTAATCAAATTATTCCGATGACAAATGACGAGAAAAAATGTGCCGTGGTTCCTTAATCCTCGCGATCACTCGGGTGAAACCGTTGTTTTGTTTTTTTTTTTTTCCCCCCTCGTGAAAAGTTTCGTATATTACCGTGCGCACCGACAGTACCTCGCGCGAACCTCGTCCACCGGCGGCCAACAACGACAGCGAAAAACGGTAAATAAATAAATAATGGATAAATATACGCTCGATAGCAGCCAGGTAACCCGGTTCGTGAATCCGATTTGTGCACGCGGTACCGCACGCAGCGGCGGTGCTCCGATGACACTACGCCCCCAAACTTTAACACGTACAAAATACGTTTTGTCGAAAACGATTTCGGCGCCGGAGCCGCGGTAAAACGGCGTCACGCGGATCACGCACGACCTGACTGGCTGGCATTACAAAGAATTTATCGCCAACACAACCGTTTCGAGTTATCGAAATCGCGTTCAAAAAACCCACGGCGACAGCGACACGAAAGCGTTCGCCAGCGCGGCCGAAGACATGAGCTAATTTTACCGGTTTCCGGATGAGACAAAAATATCCTCCCCTCCCCCTCGCCACATTGCCCGTCCGATCGGACCACTGTATCTTGTTGCACCGCAAGTGCAGTACGCGTGGTTCGCCGGTGGGTTTTTTGAAATGTCCGGGCCGGGTAACATTGGTAACGTTGTAGATCAATGGCCCAGACGTATTTTATACACGCGCGATCAATAACAGCTGGAGTCTGGTTGGGATAATCATTTCGAATAAGAACAATTCGCAATAAAAATCAAGATCAACAATAAAACGTGTTCAGAAATAATACATTTAAACATTTACACCGGACAGTTTTCGATGGTAAAAATAATATTTTTCCATTTAAGAAAACGGATATTTTTTTTTTTTTATTTCTTTAACCGGACCGGCATAATATAAACCTACGTAATACCTATTGTGTTTGCGGCAATATTCAGAGGACTTTATAACCACATCTAATGTCTCAGTCCGGCTACCGCGTAACGGACAAAAGCAACGCTTACGCGAAACTGGATTGATTTTGATTTTAGAGTAAAAGTACCCATTATGAAATTTACGGAGAACGATATTTCGGAGGGAACGCCATCGGCATTTTTTTTTTTTTTTCTAATTATGAACCATTAAAAATGTCGCAGTTATTTAAAAAAGCAAAAAACCGTAAGGTTCTTTTGTATTTTTTTTTTCTACATCGAGCTGTGTATTTCGAATAATACGCAAACTCCGACACATCGTTCTCTGTACATTTCATAGTGGAAGCGCTTTTACTTTAAAATCGAACCCGAGCTAGTCTCACTTAATTTGCATAAGCAATGTTTGTATGCGTGTTACCCGGTAGTGGGACTGAGACAGTAGACGCGGGTATACCGCGTCCTCTCCGTAAGTAAACTGTTATGTTATTACGGTTATATCAAAACAAAGGAATATAATAATAAGTTATAAATGTTACGATTACACGGCTGTTAACGTTTTCCTGCGGTTAACGGATCAAACATCTATCGACAATTAATCGTCATTTGTTAACTGACTATGTAACCTGGTTAAGAATCAACGCTGTCGTAATACGCCCGGCGCGCCGTGATGCATGTTGGAATTTTGTTATACATTTTAAATGCGTATAAATTCTCATATTTTTTAAACGTTTTTTTTTTTTTTTTTTTTTTTTTTTTTTTTTTTTTTATCATTTTTCATTCTGGACATTTGCATCATACTCGACACTTTTTCAGCGCGTACAATTTCCCAATCTCTGCGTGTTTATAGGAACGGAACCCGTACAGCAAATAATAATTATCAATTGACAATGTAACGTACCTGTACGTGTACTATATTATCGTAGTGCGGCGGCATCAATTTTCCGAGGTGTGTGTTTTCGCCACAGCCCAGCTACGTTTGAATTTTTCAAACGGTTTTTGTTTTTCTGTGATTTTGAGTACAAAAAAGGAAGCAACAAATTTAGGATTACACGATAAGAAAAAAAAAAGAAAATCTTTGTATTTTATACATTTTGTCCGTACCTGAGCGAATCTTGCAAAATTGTCTTAATTTTGTGGGTTTCAAGGTTAAAATTAACTATCCTCCGCACGGCTACGACCCGGTGCTTCACAAGCTTATTCGCATGTCTTCAGCCGATCGTTGAATTGCCCGACAGATTTGACATGGTATATTAGATATGTTGAAATAAAAGAGTTGACCAAAAATGTTTCCCGATTGACTACACTTTTTAAGTTAAAACTTCCAACACGAATCCGCTGTTCATATTGTAAATATGAGAGGAAACATTACGTACCTATATGTCTTGTCATTTGCAATGGCTAGTTTTGATTCGATAATCCAATTGATTTTAAATTCGAATATGATGAACGTAATTGAATTACACTACTCTACAAACTATGATATCATAACAATTACGAATATGTGTATACTGCATGCCGAGTATTTACTCTTTAATCGTATTTTTCATATTGTTAAAAATTAAAAGTTGATTTATTTTATTACAATTTTATTCAGTCGTTTAATATTAAACGACAATTATTTTGTTCTCGTCTATTTTAATTGTTTGAGTGTGATAACGTAAACCGCTTTTTTTTTTTTTTTTTTGATAATTAGTGACAAATTTGTATTTTATTTTTTCCTTCAAAATGCGTGTTAGTTTTTTGGAGATCTTGTACCGCACCGGTAATATTTTGATTTTTTGTATTTCCGTCAGTTATCTTTATACCGTAGGTAGGTGTATTATTATTTATTATCGAAAACACAAATTATTAGTTGTTTGGACTTTGTATCAGCTCCGTAATCGTGGTCGCAATGAGCCAATGAACGCTACACTCGTTATACACGCGTGCTAGTGACTACTAGCTTTTCCGTCCCAATCAATCACCAACATGATTGCCTATAATTCGCCCACCTTACTTCCACCTTTAATTCGGTTACCTGCAATCACAACATTAAATTAATAGGTAATCTATCTATCCACTCAAGTTTACTACATCACGAGAACGGATACTCCTACCACTCCGCTTGAGGGTGATTTTAAAAGAGTCTAAGAATCAAGGATAACCACTCAAAGGATCTCAGTGGGCATCCTTAATATCCATTCCTCCTCTTTCGTCTAAAGAATTTCTCCTGACTTTAGTCGAAAATCGCAGAAACGTACTTTGGCTTTCTGCAAATCGATCAGTCATTCACTAAACATCAAATGTACAGAGCTTACAACAAGAGTGGATCTACTTGCATGAGTGAGTTAAGTTCCGAAAATACTACTCTCCGGGTCGCTCTTGCTTCTATTAATAACAGAGTCCTCGCTCTTGATACTGCTGGGAGAAAAATGGCCACTCCTCCAGCTGTCAGTCATATTTCCCAACTACTTCTGGAGCGTTCTGAACGCCAACAGTGTTTGTGCAATATTGTTGTTGTTCACGGCCTACACGAGTCTTCTAAACTATTACTTGCTACTAGAGTTATCGATGATTTTAAACGCTTATAAGTAAGTCTATTCAGCCTTTGTCTTAACCGCCAATCCTAAACTATTTAAGCCTGATCGGACCAATGATGTAAAGCCAAGGCCTCTGAAAGCGGCTTTCCCGTCCAAAGAACAAGCTCTCCGCTTAGTTAGGGATTTTAATACTAAAAAACGCTCTTTAGATCTGGAAATCCTCATTTTGGAAAGTCTTGAGGCCGGATCTGAAGTCGATAATGTCTATATTGATTTTTCGAAAGCTTCCCACTTCCCTCTTGAATTTCATTATATTTTACCGCTAGAAGGCAAATTGTCTTTATTAATGGTGTTTCATTTGGATCCGAAGCCGTTTTTTAAGAGTTCTAGGATTTATCAAGTGGAACACCGCGGACTTTTCCTCTCACAATTGCCTTTCAGCACTATACTCATCCCTCATCCGACTCATTATTGAATACGGGACCGTAGTTTGGTACCCCCACTTCGCGCGCAATCAGCTTCGTATTGAGCACGTGCAGAATAAGTTTCTCTCGTTTGCTGCCTACCCACTAAAAATTAAGCACACCTTGCACGACGATGCCATTATCCTCTGCCCTTGACCTACCTTCCATTCTCGCCGCGTTAAGGCCGATGTCTCCTTTGTCTCTTTTCTTCTTGATGGTGCCATTAACGCTCTAGACATATTGTCAACCATCACTTTCCAGGTCTCTTCCTACTCCATCAGGGCACACTCCCTGTTCCACTTTGCTTAATTATGGATTTTATAATCCTCTTCACCATGCTTTACGTTAAGAAAAAAAAAATCAAATGTATTCAAAACCGTTCTAACTAGGATATTTAATGTAGGTAATTGGCAAGTAAGAAAGTTGTTTTTTGATTTTCCAAGTAGTTTTCTTAATAATTTAGAAACACCGGATAAAAACATAAAAAGATCTGTACAATTTACGAAAATAATGCTTTAATTATTTTCAATTTTGTTTTTTGTTGTTGTTGTAATTCAGTTAAAAATATTTGTAGACTTGAAATTTTGACGAAAATCGTAACTATTATGGACTTCTAAAACATATATATTGTGTAATTAAACTTTGCTCCAAATCGTTTTCCGTTATCAATGGTTTATCGTTGTTTAAAGCATAAATTTAACCTAACCTTATTATCCTACCCTTTTTTTGACTCTCCACGACCAACTACTGCTGCAATTCCAATAACAACTAGCCGCTATGTAGTTGCATAATTTGCTTACTCAATGGGACATGGGTAGTCAAAATGAAACAGCACGTTCCCCTTTTTACATTTCATGGTCCATGGTTGTAAAAATCTGAATTCAGAGAAAATTGGATAATCGAAAAAAAATATTTTGCTAACAAAAAACCAGTAGTAGGACAATTTTTTGTGCTCGCGATATTGACTGTTGGATATAGTTTGGTTTTGGTAATGGTTCTGATAATTCTATTTTAATTAAATTTATTTTAACTATCTGTATTATTTTAAATAATAAAATTAATATTAAGTTGTACTTTTTCTATTCATCATTCAATTTTTCATTCACACACACGAAAAAAAAAATATTAATAATAATTTTAGTAATTAATAGCAAAGTTTAGGTAATTCGAAAAAAATTAAAACTTTTTAAAAATTTTTAAATGCCTCATCACAAAGTGTGAGGTCAACTTTAATTTTGAAATGTGTAGGCCTCACACAATTTTATTATATTAATAATATTGTCACTAACGTGTTAATAATATTAAAAAGTATTAATTTTCAATACTTATTTAGTTCCCCAAAAAATCTTTCCTCGACGATAATATTGACAACCACAAGTAATTTTCTTCAACGCAGCAGATATAGATAATAATATTGATTGTTTATATGCCGATTCAGGTATTAGATTAAATTACAGATTATTTAAGATAAATGATAATATACAATGTCTATCAAACCGAAAAAAAACAACTATTATTTTGATACAACTCTTGTAGGAAATACATACTTAATCATAGCCAAGTGTATAAGCTAAGTAAGTACTATACTAGTATATCTGTAAGCAGTGAAAATGGAGTGACTAATAACCAAAAAATATAAAATATATAATGACCTAGTTGGATGAAACATCATATGATTAATAATTTCTGAAACAATATTCTGCAGTCTATCCATAAGTGGACGAAATTTTCTAGATTCCAAAAAAAAAAAAAAAAAAAAAAAAAAAAAAATGAAATTAATTAAAAATATTAATTCATATAATAAATTTAACACCATTATTCAGGGGTGTCCCACAAAGATATATCCAGAGATAATTCCATACTTTTTTGTATAATATTTATAGGGATAAGGACTGCAAATATTTATGTTTAAATCAATTTTTTATGGCTTAGCAAAAAACTTAAAAAATTACTTTATTTTACTAATTTTGAAAAATTAAAAAATGTTCAGAAGAAAAAACTATAAAATGGCAATCTTCTAATTTTACAAAAACCATAAAATAAAGTTATTTAATAATTGAAGTCCATATTCCTGCGAGTAATTTATATATATATAAAAAAAACTGAATTCAATAATCTTTATTATCCCAAGAGATATTGCAATAGATATCTCCATGAGACACTATAGGAACTATGAATTAGCCATCAAAAAGTACAAATGAAACAAATGTCAATTAAAAATGATCGCTTATATTAAAAGCTAGTCTAAAAAATCTTCTTATTCAAAATATATATCATTTATTTAAACATCATTTTTTTTGTTTTTGTTTTTTTATCTCATTAATATTATTTTAGTAGTTTAAAGAATTTTGAAATCAAAATTCCAATGCACAGTAAGCTGTCAGTTATAATAAATTATCAATAGTAGTGTCAATAATCTGTGTAAACATTTTTGAGTAATTCAAAATCATTGGTTAGACAGGATAAACATTTAAATTTCTACGGGATATTACCTTTTTTACACACATGTACACTCATAAAATGTAAAAACAATGTATGAAAATAACTTTACTAATGCCACGAGTAAAAAAAATATTAATATTTAAACATTTTAACTTAAAAATTATTACAGTATTGGAAAATAAATGTATAAAATGCAGGAAATAATAATTATTTTATGAAATTTTTGGGCATTATTTATTTGAAGTATCCTTGTACACCGAACACTTAAATCCACTATTTAAATGATGTTAAGTATCCAATACCATACTATTGAGATCATTTTTTACCTGAAAACAAATTAAAATGGATTAGACTAGCCATGAATAACAATATTTATGTTTAAAATTATTAATTTTTATTCAATTTAAATTGTTTTAGAAATAATTAAAAATAGATGAATGAACCATAAACATAATACCCTCTTTGCAATAAGAAACTTTAATATTGTTCAACATTATTTAATGTTATACTCCAAAATAGAAAGAATGTAAACATTTTAATAAGTTATTATTTTAGTTATTTATGAATAACTGTAGTTATTCTATAAATCAACAATACTAGACCAATTGGTATAGAAAAATCCATATTAAAATATTTTAAATAATCAATTTGAAATTTAATGAAATAAAAATTATTCTTTGAACTAAGCATTAAGGATGAACATTTATAAGGGACATAAAATAAAATATGATCTGATCTACTGACATTTTCTATAGCTATCCAAATACTATTATAATAATTTATAATAAATAATCAATAATAAAACATTTAAAAATATTTAATTAAAAAGCAATAAGATGTTTTTATTTATCCAACATTTTATCATAGTCAAAACAGTAGATAAAAACAATATACATTTTTATTATTACCTATAGAATATGGAGAATACAACAAATTAATACATGTCAATGAAACGAAAACTTTCAAAACATTTGATGAAAAATTCCAGATTCTTTAATGAACAGCATTTGCTATTAAATAATCATTTTTGAAATATTTTTTTTTGGAGGTTAATAATATGTATTATTTCAAATAAATTAAATTAAATTATAATATTCAGATTATTATTTTAAACACTGTACACTTATTAACAATAATTAAATTTTTTTTTATTTACTTTAGAGTTGTAGTTATAGCAGGGGCATCATCACGGCTTTCATCGATATTTGCAAACATCATATTAAGCCTAAATTTTGTGTCTTGATCACTTACTGAGGTACTTGATTCTACCAGAGCTACATCAGAATTGAACTTGGGTAGGTCTTTAAGAAATTTATTCTTAGATTCTTCTTCTTCTTTATTTTCTTTGTACTGGCATTGCATTTCTTTCAAAATTCTACATTCTTCTTTTAGTTTAGACAGTTGATGATTATAGTGTTCTTTTACCAATTCTATTTCTCGTTTATCATTCTGCAAATTTGCGTTCTTAGTATTTAATCTTAGTTCTAAATCCGCAATACGAGCATTTGATGCATCTAATAGCGCAGACTTATTGTATAGCTTATCTTGAAGCTCTATTATCAAAAATGTATATTATGTACATGTTATATTATGTATATAAAAATTACTTAATATTTTATCAAACATACCATTCAAATGATGTCTATATGATTCTTGACTTAACATAGCATTGGTAGCATCGTACCTAAGAGCATTTATATGAGTCACAACATCGCGTTGTCGAGATTGCAACTCACCACACATGACTAGTTCACGTTGCAAATTTATCACTGTATTTTTTAGTTCTTTACTCATATCAGCTGTTGCTTGTACAATAGATAACTCACTTAAAGTATTGAACAGCTCTGCTTTAGTCTCAGATAATTGCTACAAAGAAAAACAAATTGAAATTAAAGATATCAACTTATTTTTATCAATACACTAACTTTGGTAACATCAGCAGTCTTAACTCTCTCTCCATTATAACGTTGTTCTAACGAAAGACAATTATTTTTGGCTTCTTTAGTTTCCTCTTGATATTTTAAACACTTAATCAAAACAAATGTCAAATTAATTAATAAAATCCTACAATTAAGCATAACAATAAAAATGTTCTAACTTCACTTTTCCAATGTGATACACTTGCTTGAAGGTCTTTAATTTGTTTTGAAGATGTTTGCCTAAATTGTTCATAACCTGATGTTACATTTTCTAGTTCAACCTGCAGCATTGAAACCTGATCTTTCTGTAAAATTAATGCATTATTAATATTCATTGAGATATTTTGTCTTGTTGAATTTTAATATTAGACTGACCAAAGCAGAATTATGTTCATCTAGTGCCCGACTACTCCGAGATTTACCCAAAAGCCTTCGATTCCGTTCAGCATGAACTTCCCTACGATTACGTTCAAATTGTAATTGTAATGTTAACAAAACAATTTGGCTTTTTAATAGTTGGACATTGTCAGTAGATTCTGCTGTATGGCGATGCTTAAGTACTATTGCAGATGTCCGTACATATTTTTCTATTAAGCATAAAGAATTATCTTCTTGATTATTAATAGTATTTTGTTGACCTTTAATACCTACAATAAGTTAAAAAAAAATATTAAGATACTACAACAAATTTATAAGATAATTATAAACATACTATTGAGTGTATCATTATATTCAGGAAATATACTGTAAAATAAATGCTCATAAGGTAGTTCTTTATTGTCTGTTTGAGTAGTTTGGTTCAGTTTCGGTACCTCATTTTTCTAAAAAAAAAAAAAATTAAACTGTATATTAAGTAAGTAATTATTTTATTTCAGTTAAAATATAATTTAAAAATTAACAAACTTACAGGCATTTCACTAGTATGGCCATTACTAACATGTATACCATCCCCAAGATCTTCTTCAATTTCTTCCTGTAATGCTGAAGTTCCAGAAGAAATACTACTCCCATTTGCTTTTTTTATTTCAGGACATGAATTTGCCCTTCTAACACTAAGGGATGGAAATTCTTGGCCATTTATAGGGCTACTGCCAGTACTTTGTCCTAAAACAAAAATATTTTTTTTATAATTACAAATGTATAACTTTATATTTAAACATGTAGAAAAATACATTAAGAGGATGGTACCCATACATTTGTTGTCATCTTTCAATCACGTGGCATAGCAAATTTTCGTTTACATGGAACAACTTTACATTTTAATATTACAGAGAATTAACCTATTACAAGACTTAACAGCATAAAGTTGTTCCATACAAATGCAAATTTACTATGTCACATGGTTGTAAGACAGAGAAAACAAATAACAAATGCATAGGTCACGTACTCTTAATTAATAAAAATACAGTGGAACCTCAATAAGTAGAAATTCAACTGAAATGCAATTTTTTCAACTTACTAAGGTTTTTCAATTATCAAGGTTTAAAAAAAAATTTGATTTAGAGTTTTTAAAAAGTATACACGTAGTATAGTTTTTAATATTATAAACACAATGAGTATTGTTATTAAATAATTATTTTAAAATTATATGACCAAAAAATTATTAGATTTATAAGTGGCAGCTTTAAGTATTTTTAACTTAAATCATCAATTTAATTTTTTACCCACCTACCTTTGCCAACCCGAAATGCCACACCCTACCACAAATTTATTTTAACAAATTTTAACAAATACCAATAAAATTTGTCAAATTTCACAAATTCTTTTAATGAAATTTATTTTGTTAAAACATAATATTTTTGACATATTACTGGACACCCAGACACCCATGATCCACCCACCCATTTTTTGATGAATTATATAATTCAAATGTATTCATTATGAGTTGTCACTGTGTAAAATTATGGGACGCACAAGCTAATTAAACAAATGATTATAAAAATGATCTGTTTATAATTGAAACACAGAATATTGGAGTTCTCTATAATTTTCCTTTAGAGTTATCAAGGGTTTCACAAAGGAAAATCATTTATCTTGACTTATCGAGATCCCACTTCTATAAAAATAAAATAAACATACCATCTATAGTTTTCTCTGGGGTACATTGACTATGATAACGTTTCCGTGTTTGAACAATTTTTACAAATTCTTTGATGGTAGAAGTATCAGGCATATGTAATCCTCCTTCATGAGTTTGACAAGGTGATCCATTACTCTGTTGATCGCATTCAATTACATCTTCATCTCCAGTCTTTAAAATATTAATGAAATACATTATTTATTACTATTAATTAATCCAAAAGTCAAAATATAATTAAATACAGTAATAAGTATGTTACTTGTATTATTTCTGGATTACTTGTCTGTTGAATTTGGGCTGCAATAGGTTTTGGCTCAGAACGTGCATTGTTCTCTTCCTTAGTTGAATCTGTAATCTTAAATCAAATAAGCGTTCCAAAATTAAAAATATGAATCAGTAGAAATTATATTTATTTAATAATAAATAATATCTTTTTAATCACATTGTGTTTTGATAATTTGACCTAATTCTACCTGATTACGTTCCATTATCATTTTGTCCATTCTACGGACAAGCGCTTGTGATTGAAAGTCTTCTGGAGGAAAAAACAACCCTTCTTTTTTCAATGGTGAACTAGGTTGAGAATTTGGTGTTGATGAATTTCGCCTAGATAAGTTTTCTAAGCCCATTGAATTCAATGCTCTGACTACAGTGGAGTTTATAGTTGGCAATCGTGATTGTTGATTTATAACATCCTTTCAACATTATTTTGAATAAGTCATAATACATGTAATTGAAACATTGAGCATATATGAAGCGACAGAAGAAATATTTTTTTGAAGACGTTTATACAGCCACCATGGAGAATATTAGAATATTTGATTAAATAGGACGATAATTCAATATTTTTTTTAAATTAGCATCAAAATTAAAATTGACAATTTTAATTCAATTTTTTTACAACTAACTTTAAATTGTCTAAAAAAAAAAAAAATCATGGTAGACTTATATATAACTTATAATAAAATAATATTATTTGACGATCTTAATGATACAGACATAGAGTAATACATAATTAAATTTAAAACTCATATGGTGGAGTAGATGAGTTTTACTTTATCTTAACCTAAATAGCTCATACAAACTGCATAGATCATAAACATTAGTTCTATATAACAGTAATTAAAAATTGAATTGTACTATATGTTATTTATTATGAATATTAAAATTAACATGTATACAATTTGATCAACAATGTTTGATAATTCAGTTCATCAACATTTGTAAGCACTTCTTATTTTCTAAAATAATGCATAAACATTATATTTAAACAGAAATAAATTACACAATACAAATTGAATTAATGATGCCAAATTGTGCACTTAAAAATTACTTAGCCAACTGACTTGAATAGTTTAGCACCGAAACCAGTATTATCAGATATTCAAATAAAACAATTCATTTGAACAATTATTTGATTTTTTTAATGACTTATACTTAATATGATAGTTGCACAAAATTGTTCATTTCCAAAAAAGGTCATCATCAAAAATTATATCAATATTATTTTGGTTAATAGTAATTTATAATGCATAATCTGGTTTCATTAAATCAATGAATCTATACATTTCTATACATATCTTTAATGCTGAGTTCACAAGAGTAGTCTGAAGAAAACTGCACTCTTTGTGTGTGTCATCAAACAAATACCCATAAACAAATCAATGTCATTATTTTATTAAATAAATAAATAAATATATATAATTAAAAGAAAACTTCATAATTTAGGGAGAAAATAAGGTTCTAAATATTACACATAATATTGGAGAAACCTTGACTAATAATGTCAACTCAAATCTAAGAAATTCTACCAAAATAATAATTAAAATAAATGTATATACATAAAAAAAAAAAAAGTAAACATAATATTAAAATATAAATTCTATTAAATTAATTATATTATTCTAAAAAAAAATTAGTAAATAATGTACAATATTAGAAAAATAAAGATTTAAAATAAAAAAAGAGTCAATACTACTGATGGGTACACCAATGTTGCAAATGCAGTTTGGGAATATGGGAATAGGATACATAAAGTACTTTAATTTATATTTGAAAAAGTATCAATAAATTATTTTAAACGAAATACGATTCTGAGTGAAATTCAATTATACGTGTTTTGAAATACGATAATATTTTCATTTATCAACAAAACTGGATCATAAAACAATTATAAAAAAAACTACTTCATTACACAGTTTTTTTTACCATTAATTTACTTATAACTTTTGTGTTTTAAAGCATTTTAATATATTTCTGTCAATTAAACAATTTTATCAACATTAACCCAAATAAGAATTTACAAGACTCTAAATATCAAATGTGTCTATAAATTGTTTAAAAATAAATGTTAAGATAATTTTACCATGCCTATAAAAGGGCAAAATAAGTATTCTTTAAAAAGGTAAATAATTTTTAGCCTATTTACAAAAAAAAAAAAAAATCATTATTGCTGTAAAATTTCCAAATTATTATGAAAACTGGTTTAAAAGTCCTAAAAACGTGACTTTTTTTACTAAACTAGATCCAAAATACAAAAAAAGAGGTTCCCTTGTCATTTTTTGATTGGGCAAGATTTCAAGTAGAAATGTGGCTCTGCTCTGAATCTAAATTAATTAAAGTTAATAGAATGTTAAAAATAAGAGAGTATCTTATTAACTAACTATAAACTTTCATAACTCATAAATAAACATTATTAAGAATAAATAAATGACTTATTTACTAAAACATAATACTGAGAGAAAAATTAAGTTTTGTGTAAAAATAAAAATATTTATAGACTTATAATAAGATTGACAAAAATTATTATTTTTTTAATTCAAATAAATTAAGGGGATTTGATACAGACTAGGGATTCTGTCATCTATATTTACACATAATATGAAGCATAACAATGTAAACCAATGTTTAGATTGTTGTAAAGAAGCTATTAGACTTAAGATTTCAATTCAACGTGAAGTTTATATGAAACTGACCAGAACACCTTTTGAATTCTAGTCCTTAAATTATAAAAACTTAATTTGACAATACTCTAAATTTATATATTGTGTATGTGTAAAAAAAAAGATAAGGAAATCTGTATTGTTTCATATCTTCATAACATTAATTAATTCATAATTATAATAAAATAAAATATTCAACATAATTATATTAATTCTATCTTAAGTATACTTTTTTAGATTCTGAGTGGAGCGAAGAAGCTTATGGTTTTACAAAGATGTTTATTTTTTTTAATCTGTAGACAATTTTTCTACAAAAGATTTTGTTCTGATTTTTCAGTATAGCACTTTTTCTGAAAGGTAATGTACGGAGGATCTTTAAGGTTATTTTTCAATTTTCTCTTATAAAAGTTTTCTAATCAAATGTAAAAAACCGGAAAAAAAAAACTAAGGAAAAATTGGAAAATGTATGAAATATAGGTATGAGTAATTATTTTTCCATATTAAATCATTAAATGATTGCTTCAAACTCCAAAGTAATTTAGACTGTCTTACATCATGGGCATATAAACTTGGCTTATCCTTTAATATTTCAAAATGTCATTTTAAGATTTTCACTCATCGTAGAAGTCATATCAGCTATGGCTATAACATTAATGGAACAGCCACCTTTCTCCTTGATAAATTAGTTACCGACTTGTATTTACTATATGAATCAGTGTTTACACATCGAAACTATATGTTGTACAGCTCTTAATACCATCGGGATCATTAAGAGTATTTTGGCCTAATTTAGATTTACTTCCTCTCTGAAAGTCATTTACTGTGCTTTTGTTAAACAAACTCTCAAATACTGTTCTATTTGGAACCCCACAGCAGCTACGCACTCTTCTTTATATAGAACGTGTCTAGTGTAAATTTTTAAACTCATGAGTTACAGCCTTAAGATTAATTTCCCTCATCCACAATTACACACCTATTAAAAGCCTCTGCCTTGACTCATTGGCAGATAGGAGACATCAGGCCAATCTCAAGTTTTTAACTAAGCTTATATATAGTGATATTAATTCCTCTCCTCTCCTTTCATCTATATCATTCAAAGTCTCTTCACGCAGGACACGCCATACATATTCATATCTTATTCCTCCTTCATTTACACTCTGTGGTTTGAATAAACTGCATAGTGCGTTGTATGTCTATCGCAAACTTTCTTAATTTGTATTTGTTTTTGTTTTTTTTTTTCCTGTATGTTTAGCTTACAACTATATGCTATAATTGTGCGCAATGCCCGTAAATAATAAAATAAATATAAATAAATATTAGTTAAAAAATATTACAGCCTTTTTTTTCTTGTCAATAACTTTTCTACCAGCAACTTTGCTCCAATTTACAATGATAGCACTTTTACTAAAAGGAAATCTGACTGGGAAGATTCTCTTGAGCTACATTGACAGCAAATTTACAATGATTGTTTTGATTTTCCCAGCAAATGTAAAAAACTGGGAAAACGTATGTAAACAGAAATTCGGTTCCATATTAAACAAATATTATTAAAGAAAATTTATAATGCCTATTTAATTATTTTACCATAATGACATATATATTGTTGACAAAGTATCATAACTGTACAACACTCAGAATCACTTTTTCGTAAAGCAATGGTTTATCGTTAACAGATATACATTAAATTCCCTTCTGTATCCTACATTACCAACTTCCCACCTACAACAGTGACTACACCAGTCCCCATTATCCTAGGACAGCTTTTTTAAAATAATGATGACATTCATTTGAAAGTACTATATTTAGTATTTAAATAAGTAACACCAATTGTAAACAAGCTATTTTTAATAAATGATACACAAAATATTTACCCTGTTAGGAGTTGTTTCTGGTGTAGCTTCTACCGCAGCTTCTGGGGGTGAATGTGAATATTCCATGTGATTAAAAATTGGCGCTTTATAAAAATTCTTTAATATAATAAATAAATGTGTAAATTAGCCAATGATAATTTAAAAGTACAATTACAATAAAAATATTTATTGTAATTAATTAATTGTAAAATACAATTAAATTATTAAAATAATACTACTAATATTATCTTTACCTGTAAATTAGGAGTTGTTGGCATAGATTTAATAGTATCTTTATAGAATTCTCCACAATGTGACATTGGACTCCATAATTCTTTATTCCGTACACTATTTACACTAGTTATATCTCCAGTTGCACCAACACTGGACTTTAACACATCTAAATGTAAAATTTAAAAAAATGTATTCTTAAAAGTACTATAAAATGTTAATTAATTTGTATAATATCTAATTTATTTAATACTATATTAGTATTAAAATAATGGGGATGGATGTAGCCACAGGTGTAGGTGGGAAATTGGGAAGGTAGGATATTGATGGGAATTTATTGTATATCTGTAAGCAACGATAAACCATTATTTACGAAAAAAACGATAAAATAATTAAATAGGCTATATATATTTTCTTTAATAAAATTTGTTTAATGTTGTACCAATTTTTTCAGTTTTTTTTTTTTTTTTTGTTTTTCTTATCTTATCCCAGTTTCTCTCATTTACTGGGAAAATCAAAATATTATCTCTCTAAAGTACCTCCCTAGTGAAATTTCATTTTAAATTCACCGCTATCATTTAAAGTTGGAGTAAAACTGCTGGTAGAAAAGTTGTGCACAAAAAAAAATAAGACCGTAATATATTTTAACTAATACCTACATGTCTTATATCTTCCGGATATCTTTTGGTTTTTCAAATTTGATGAGAAAATCGAAAAATTACCTCCCCACACCGATTTCCTTTCACAAAAGGTACTACATGTAGAAATCTGAGCAAGTCTTTTGGTAGAAATGTTGCATACAGATAAAAAAGAAAAAAAAAATTAACATCTTTGTAAAATCATAAGCTTTTTCCCTACACTCATCTAAAATGTACAACAGGTATTTTTCACAAACATAAATTTGTAAAGTTAATAAATATAGTTTAATTTTATATAGACATATACCAAAATTGGATAAATAATTTTGATTTTTGTATTTCATATTCAAAAAATGAGATGATACTGGGAAGGTGGGATACATAGTTATTTAATTTATACCTCTGACCAACGATAAACCATTGGTAATGAAAAACGATTCAGAGCGAAGTTAAGTTATACATGTTTTGAAAGGTATAATATTTATGATTTACATCAAAATTTGATTTTTAAACTTTTAAAAAAAAAAATTTTTTTTACCACCAAGTACGATTTATAATGAACCTTCTAACAAATGTTCAAGCATTTTATATTTAAAGCACTTTATTATACAACAAAAAAATTATATAGAGCATTAAAATCAAGTTGGTGTTTTTTTACTATTAATTTACTATTAATGTTTAAACTATTAATTAAATATATAATACGTATCATGAATTGCAAATCTTACACGAAATTCAAAAAGTATGCTGAAATATAGTTAAGCCATGAAACAATCAATTTATAAACTAAGTGTATGATGGTAAATATATAATGGTAAAATTATTAAATAATGACTACTAATATTCTATGCTTTTCACTTTTAAATATCTTCATGTTTTCATTATAGACATTGTTATTTTTGGTGATTATAATATCTTTTTTATTAGTACTCTGATTTAACCAATAAGAGATTATCCTGAATGGGGAGTTGATACTACACACATCATACAAATTGTAATTATATTTAAATGTATCATTAGATGTCCAATAGAAAATAAATTATTACTATCAACAAAATCATAAAAGTTTAACTTTTACTTTGGTTTGTTTAAAATTCATTGATAAAATGAATAATATAAAAAGCACAACATTTCATTAAAAATATTATCACTACAAAGTGATATTTATAATTATTATTAATATTTTATATTTGAACTTAATTAAATATTACCAAGAGCTGATGAAAAGCTTGATCCAGTATTTGTCCAACTTGAAGGATTCTGATAGTTCCTATCCCCATTTTCCAATAATGTATATTTTGTGCATTCCATAACAACATCATGTTGTTCCATTTTTTTCCACCTTAAAATAGTTGTATTTAAAAAAATAAGAAAACAATTTAAAATTAGTATAAAATATAAGTGTACCTATTCTATTAAAAAAATATATATATTTTATAAAAACAATGTAAATTCAAAAAAAATTCTGCTGACAGAGTAGTTATACACGAGTCAAAGAGCAACTTAGAAAAGGACCCAAAATCTAGAATTTAATAATTTAATTAGAAATGAATAGAAATAGTTGAAGAGCAAGAATTTCTTATAAAGTCAGAGATGCTGAAAAAAATTGAAACTCTTAAACTTAACTTAACTCTTAACTCTTTAACTTACCAAGTTAAAATCAATTTTGAACAAAAAATAAAAGATTAATTATATAACCAATATAATAACTAGAGACTGGATTGATATGTTGTTAAAATCGATGAAAAAGCACTTGAAAACGTCAAAAAGCATTGAAAAACTCACTTTAAAAATTTGTAAAAACGCAAAACTAATAGAGGGGTTTAATAGTCTCTCTCCTCTAGCAGATTTAATTTATCAATATAATTTTGTAACACCACAAAAATGATAAATAAAAAGTTTTTTTTTTTTTTTTTTTTTATAATATGTACTAATTTATTTTAAAGAAATTATTTTGTATGAATCAATTTTTAGAGCCATTAGTGGGGGAGGGGGGACTTTGAAACTTTTCTATAATTTTTTGCTTTTTAAATAAGGTTGGTAAATGCTTTTTTGTGGATTGTAAGAGAATATAAATCTGGTCCCTACTAATAACCAATTCTAGGAGTGCATTAATGATTTATAAATAACTTGTTTAATTAAGAGAACACTACACATTTATTTTTTGACTCTGAATTATAAATACCAAATTACCAAATTTGAGATCAGACAAATTTTATCCTATTGGTTTAAATATTGGAGTAAATTGCCTTATTACCAAATTTTTTTTTATTTTATTATTTTAAATGTTAGGTGCGATTTGAAAATGTAAAATATCACAATTTAATAAATGTTTATTTCACTTAAAATTTAAAATCTCATAAAAAATGTTGATAAATCAATTTACTCTAATATAAACATTAAAGACACAAAATGTGTTTTACTAAGCGCAAATTTGATTTAGTCCATTCACAAGACAGATATAGTAAATGCGAGTGTGGTGTTGTTTTAATATTATAAAATAAATAAATAAATATTTATTTACCTATTAACCGACGTTTCCACTTCTTTGCTACTACAAATCAAGTTTGGGTGCATACGCATTGTATCTACCATAGGCTAAATTTAAAAAAAATTATATAATTTACATTTTATAAAAATATATTATAGAAATGTCTTACTTTAATAGTATGAGTGAAAACTAATTGATTATCAGGTGTGCTATAGTGTTGTTTCAGATATAAAACAAATGAACATGGATACATACTATATAGCTGAACAAATAATACATATAATGATATTTGAAGATGGAATAAATATATTTCTGGAACTCTATTCTTTTGTGAAGTATTCCAAGCAGCAAGTCGACTAAAAATATTTTATTTTATTAAAAAAATTGTAACAAATAAAGCTATTATATTATGTAGGTACCTAAATCCATCAAAAATATCTGGCAGAAATTCAGAAATAAATGCAGGAATAACAGTCAGAAGAACATTTAGGACAAGTAAAGCACTGGTTATTGTGATTATTTCATTTTCCGACTGAAAAATAAATACAAATAAGGTAATTCATTATAATTTATTATAATTTGTTACAATTCATACCTTTAAAAGTTTTATCAATTCTTTAAGCAAATAATGATTTGTAATTTTAATCAACCATGTTGGTTGTCTTTTTACAATGTGACCCAGTAATGTAAGTGCTTGAAGGCGATTTGCACTTTGCAAACCATTTCCAAGTCTAAATAGTTTCAAACATTTACATATTTATATTTTTGACAGTGAATTAATCAATAAAAAATGTATTGATATTAAGTCCAATTACTTATCAAATAGAAACTTGTCATGTGGTTCCCTAACAGCTACTAATACTTCTACAGCTCTTTGTGAATAAGTGGCCATAAAATAGTCATACATTCCATTTACCAGCCATGGTTCCCGTACTATTGATAACAAATTATTTTTATTATAAATTATCCATATTTTTATTATATAAATAATAATTATATCTTACTGTTATTGAATTGTTCATGAAATTTGTGCTTTACAACTTCTACTTTTTGTGGATTGTTGGATTCTAATGCAGTAAACAGTTCCATTATCTCTAATGACATCATTTTGCCAATTGTGCATTCTATGTATATTAGACCTTAACTAGAATATAATAAAGTAATTAATAATAAAAGATTAAATAACAATACAAATTTTTTATAAAACCTACATAAAAGCTCTTAGTCACATATACATTTAAAAATATATTTTCAGTACAGATTTAAAAAAAATCATATTTTTGCCATTTTACTTGATTTCCCTTCTTATGCCGTATAAAGTTATTGTCATAAATTTAAATATATTAATTGTTTAATCTGCAAAAAAAAAAAAAAAATTAAAACTTTATCAATCTACAATTTCTACCTTCAGTTAATAATAATATATAACATGTTAACAATCAGATATGTTAACATGATCTTTTAATTAGTTATTATATTAATTGGTAGTAAATAAATGCATATAAAATGTTTTAAAAACAACTTAATATAAAAATGTGTTTTCCTAATTTATAAACAAATTAATTCATCATTCCTAATAGAATATTAATATGTACCTACTAATCTTGATAATAATGTAATATAGTAAAAATAATAATGGGGTAATACTGTAAAAGCGATTGTATTTATTTTAAATTGTAATTAAATAAACAATTTGATGAAAAATAAGTACCACCAAAAATAATTAACTCACCATATTAGTTTGAATTTTCAATAGATACCTACTACCTATATTATACGAAAAGAATGAACAGAACGTTTATGACACAGTAGTGTTTCTGTTTACCCAGAGTAAATTATTTTTAGTCGTGGGTTTAAATTAAGTGAACATAACTAATGGTAGAAAAAATGACAAAAAAAAATGAAATGGCTTCATTTTCTCTTGTCAATTGTACATTAGTTTTGTAATTAACTAGTACAGCACAACATACATAAAATATACGTCGATGTTAAATTTAATAATTAATATTACTAAATGTTGATAACAAACACAATGCATCCAACCAATTCAACTGAAGTCGATCAGATGTTAAACTTTTTCAAGGTCACCACTGACCTATTAAATTATTTACGTGGCATTGATAAATTGAAAAACAACATAAAGATGAATTGATAAGGTATTATTGGCTATTGCTTAAAGTTCCGTAAATATTGCCATGGAAATTAGAAATATCTCCACAAAAATACGTCGTATTACATTTTCTTTCACTATATAGTTGACTTTTGTTTAGAAAACTGGCATTCTAAGCTTTATTCATTAAAAAAAATATAATCAACAAGTTAAAAAACTTTTATAAAATTCAATCAGACAAATACATAATATTATAAAATTAATTGTTTGAATTTTTGAAATATCAAACAAAAATGGTTTACATAACTGAAAGTAAGTTTTTTTTTTTTTTTACATTTGTATATTGATCATTATTATAATTTTGTTTTAAACTTTCAGTATATAAATTAGAAAAAACATTATTTATTATCGATCTTGTACCTTTTTAATTGTTAATGAAATTATGTTTTTTTAATTGACATTAAAATCTTAATAATACATATACTCTAAACAGTATATTTATATTATTGGTTAGGGGTATAAATGGTAGTTATAAGTCCAAATATCACTAATATCTATAGGTACTTTTTTTGTATGGTATTCATATATTTTTGGAAATTTTGACCTTGGAGAATATTTTAAAACATTTCTTCTATATTGGATTATATTAAAAAATATATTTTTGAAACTTTTATATAATTTTTTGTCACTATTACTCAGTAATTGCCTGTGATAAATTTTTAGTCTTTATTGAGATAAATTCCAACCAGTCATAATATTATATATAGATAAGTATACATTAAAAATGAATTCTATGAAAAACTGGACTCATATTTGACATATTACCAAATATTAAAGTAAAAATGTTACTTGGAGATATTAATGCTAAAATAGGTCAAGAACCAATCTTCAGCACGACTATAGGAAGTTATAGCTTACATCTAATCTCAAACGATTGATATACTTTGCTATGGAACGAGATATAGTAATAAGTAATATTGTCTTCCCTCATACAAATATACACTAACAAACATGGGTATCGCCAGATTGGCGAATGAACAATCAGATGAACCACATAGTATTAAAAGATGATAGAATCAAAATATGTATAATGGATGTACAGAACATGAAAGGTTTTAGCAAAATATCAGATCATTTCATTGTGATATCTAGTCAGATTTAGATTATCAGTAAAATTTGTTGGAATATTGTGAGGGAGCAAAAAAGGAATATTATTAGAACACAAAGAAGAGAGAAGATGATACTTATTGGAAAGGGCAGGACAATTGAAGAGGAAATAGGAAGCATTGCAAATAGTGGAACCATTGATTGCTCTATTACTGCATTGAACTTTGGTTCATAGTATTCCATTAGTTTTTTAAAAATTAATTCTGTCTATAAATTTTCTTCAGTAGCATTTAATGTATACAGTAACTCTATGCATCATCTCCAATAACACTGAGTAAAACTGTAACTTTTATCTTTTCTGGCTTTGCATCAATTTCATTAGCTCTCAAGTACAAATTAAATTTATTCTTAAACAATTTAAATTGTTAATTACAATCATCAATCTCCAGTGGAGTTGATACTAGGGTAATAGAACCATTAGACTGTGACATATTATATTTTGTATTTCTTATTATAAAATAAGTACACCAACTAGTATATTAAGTTTAACATAATTTTAATATCTCTTTAGTTTTTAATAGTATTTAACAGTCATTATAGTTCAGAACATTATAATAGACAATCGAAGAAAAAAATGAACACATGCTTCTATAGTGAGCTGACTTTAGGTGACTATTATTTTTTAGTTTTAAGGACAAAAATAAGATTATCTAAGATGCTCGTCAAATCAATTATACTTTATTCTTGTGAAGCATAGGCGTCTACCAAATCTGACAAAAAAAAATTAAAGATCTTAGAAAAATCTTACAAAGAGTTTTTGGCCCAAAAAGAAATGATAAAGTTAGCTACGAAATAAGGTCAAACAGAGAACTTATGACTATTGTACGAGTCCAATATAGTGGCTTTACTCAAGAGCCAGAGAATTAGGTGGGCCGAACACGTTTGATGGGCTGAGGGCCAACTTATATTGACTATCACAAAATGAAAACCTAATAAAAGTGTTCCGAGGAGAAAATCTTGACAATGATTGGAGGACCTAATCAAGAAAAATCTCAGAATGATAGGAGTGCTGAATAAAGAAGAACTGGTAGCATATAGAGAAGCGTGGAGGAAAATAGTGGAAGCGACAATGAGCTTAAGTGGCCTAGAATAAGCCTTTAAATAAATAAATAAGTATATACTTAGGAATATTTATATTTTATACTTGAATAATGACTAATAGATATAATTATTGTGATGCTGACCAGTAGGTATACTAATACAGTAACTATTTCTTACTATTTTTTTAATTTTTTTTGGTGAGAAATATTTTTAGAAATATTTCATCAATTGTTGCATATAAATATCATATTTCAGATATTTTAAATAAATATTAATCTGAACTGTAGCTATAATTAAAATTTTAATAATAATGATTTAATTTACTATTTTTTGTTTATATTAGGTGGAAGTTTACAAGACCACACACCTATAAAGAAAAAAATTACAGATTCATTCTGGGGTGTTGTAAACTTTGTATCATTTTTGTAAGTGTATGAATAATTGATAATTTTAAAAAAATATGAATGTACTTGAGTAGGTAAGGTATAGTAGGTTGGAAGTTTAAAAAGTATAAGATAGGATATAGAATAATTTTATTTATATATTTAAAGCAGCGATAAATCGTTTTAATCAAAAAATGATTTTGAGTGAAGTATTGGTAATTACTTTGGATACCTATGTAGTCTAGAAATCAATAAAAATAAAATCAATGTATCGACATTTGTTATCAGTTTTTAATTGTATAGAAAAATTGTTAGTAATTTTGACAATTTTTTCAAATAAAGTACCACGCTGGTGAAGAATCCAGTTATTTTAAGGTATGATACAAATAATTTAAGTCTTAACTGCTACACTCAGAATCTAAAATAAAATAAAAATTATATATTTCTAGTTTTAGATTATGAGTTTAGCAATGAAACGTATGATTTTACAATGATGTTAATTTTTTTATCTGAACAACTTTTCTACCAGTAATTTTACACCGATTTACAATGATAGCACTTTTTCTGAGAGAAAATTTTACTGGGGAGGTCCTTTAGGGAAGACATTTTTTTATTTTCGCAATATATTGGGAAAACCAGAAAAAAATAGAGAGAATGGAAAAATAGGTATAATTTAAAACAAATATTAAAAAAAAATATATAATATGACATGTATATTGTTGAAAAAGCTCTATTATCAACTGAACTTCGCTCAGATTCATTTTTAGTTAGCAATGGTTTATCGTTGGTTGCATATATACATTAAATTCTCTTCTGTGTCCTACCTTCCCAACTTCTTACCTACAATAGTGGCTGCACCCAGATATGAAGGATGTTTGTCTTTTTTTAATAAATGTAATCTTCTAAACAAAATCGAATTAACTGATTTATTTTAATTAGTATTTACCACACAAATCTTTTTTTTCAGTTTTCAAAGTCTATTAAGTCCCAATTCGACTAGATGGGGTAATCAATATTCAGTTACATACAGGCGACCTGGTTCTTCATCTAGTGGGTATGTACAACACATTTTAATATAAATAATACATAATATAAGTTTATTTTCATTTGAAGTACCTTGTTACAGTTCCCCCCAACCATACTATAATTTGTTTACATGTTTATTTATATTATTTATTAATAATAAAGAATTATTCTAATGTTGACAATTTACAATATTAATTTCAATTAATAACTAGCAATCATGCAAATTATGAATTAAGATACAAATAATATGAATAAAAACAATAACAATGTATTACTAAAATAACATTTACTTTTGTTTAAATTTAAAATATTTATGTATTATAATAAATTCTTTTTTTTTTTTTTTTAGAACACTGAGACCTCAAAGACGTTTTGGTGGATTTGGTCCTAGTACTTCTGCTCCATCTCCTCCATCAACATGCAGCAGTTGCATGGGATAAATATATTAACAGAACTCATAAAAATTATAAAATTAATAAATACAAATAATCTAATCTTTATGTTTTTGTGAAATAATTAATCATAAAAAATTTTAATCTAAATAAAAGTGAACCATTAGTTTAAGTTAAATACTCTTATGAAAATTATTAGTTATATAAGTAATTTATTCTTTATTTACCACATAAATCATATTTAAAATTTAAAATATAACTACATACTAATATAGTAATATTTATACCTTTATTCATCTACTGTAATATAATATTTTATACTTTCTTTTATTCTTTAGTAACTTACCTTACCACAACTAAATTAATATAGACAATATTAACTTTTTTTTTTCTGTGTATTATCTCAGAGGAATTCAGAATTCTATACTTACATAAAAAAAAAAATTTATTTAAATTCAAAATTCAAGAGATCATAGATATAGAAATTTAAACTTAAAAATCTAGCTTTTTAGTATTGTTGAAACCTATCTATTAACTTGTCTGAAATTTCAGATTTGTGTACCTGTGTATATTATTGTTTTAATCACTAGCTCTAGGAAGAGGTCAAGACCTATTAACTGATGGTCAACATCTAACTAAATAAAATTCTTCAAGAAAAAAGATGATACACATGTACATTGGAGCAATATTTCTGGTCAAAATTGTGTACATAGTATAAAAAAATTTAAAAAAACATCATTTCACAAATCACATTCATAAAGTAATTTATTATATTTGGAATAATAGTTATTGATAAAATGACAAGTATTACAAATATTGCTAAGATGTTTGTTTATAACTTTTATTACATTTAAATGTAATTAAAAATCTATCCAATGTTTTAACTAAAAATTTTTCTCCATTTTTATATAGAGAGACTTTCTTTTTAAAATAACTTTTGGACAGCTATTAAAATCCACAGTGTAATATTCAGTATTCTGTTAAACAATAATTCAGAACGTAAAAAGCGAGGAAGTAAAATCCTGGACTGAAAAATCTGTAACATATAATCCCAGAACATAAGAATCTGGAACTAACAATAATTTTTTGAAATATGTTAAAACTTGTAAAACGCAAAAGAAGAAAAAGGACCAATTGAAAATTCAGGGAAAGATGCAAAATAGGAAAAATACATATTTGATAGGTTTCTCTTTGGATAATGTCAGTAAAATTAATTTGTGAAATTTCATCTAATCACCCAACCTCCCGTGGTCATACCTCAAAGAAATTATAGAAATTTCCCATACAAACTTCAAAAGTAACTTCTTGTTGGAGACAGACAAATATTAACATCCATTTTTTATTATGATCATGCATATGAGTCATCATCATTAATAATGATTTAAGGATATATTACCGAATAAAATAATTATTCAAAACATATATAATAAGTATACAATGTAGTCAAATGATTTAATAAAATATTAAAAATTATCATTTATAAATAGCTTATAAATTTTTATATTCATATACAATTAGTACAATACATACAAATATGCTTTCTTTCAACTAGTTGATAAAAATTACAATGTACTAATTATTTAGTATACTTTATATTATTCTACAACTTCCTATATTATAGAAAACCACAAAGAATAATTGATCGTTAAAAAATTGATAAATTTTACCCGAAAAGTTTGCAAAGCATTCTATGGTATCTTTCCTGAAAGCATAGGACTTTTGGATAAGATTGAGTTGAACTCAAGTAACCGGTCTAGTTTGTCTTGAATCTAACTCAAATCAGGACAATTAGTCTAAAAGAAGTAGAAGGTTTGGGTTTAGGAATTGGAATAACATTAAAAACAGTCCAAGAAGTAAGAATTATATAAAATATATTTATGAAATTGTTAGAATCGATAATTATTATTATTGGGAAATGATCGCTACCATTGGATCATCTAGAGTAGCCCAAGTTAAACGCTAAATTAAATTTCGAGAGGAAAGAGAAATATCTGTACAAGAATTATCCAAGTCGGGTTTGCCAACTTGAATAGCTGTGTCGTTGTTAAGTATATATAAGTTAGAGGAATTTATAGACTCATAAATAACTTTGCTTCGGCGAGAAGATAATTTGGATCTCCAAGTAGGATGATGAGCATTGAAGTCGCCTGTAAAGAAGCAATTACTGTTAGCAAGACGAAAAAGAAAATTCTATGTGTCAATGAAAATTATGGAATCATTGGGTATACTCGTATAACATGACCATAAAAAAAGTACTAGATTGACCATTAATATTCGAAATTTTAACACTAATATCAATTTTGTTAACAATGAATAGCTTTAGGACAGAACTTATATCTATTAAAGTGATATTGAGTGATGAATGAGTGACTTCAACCATGCCATCATACCCATCGTACCGGTCGTCTAAAAAAATTAAAATGAGGTATAATACATTTGTGAGACGGAAGAAACAACTTCTTGGAGATTATGGAACATTTCTACGCTGGCAAGATATGTTGAAGCGAGCAGGGAGAATACTGACATTCGCTGGTAAGATATTAAACATAGTGTTATTTAAATTAGAATGATAGGAGAGTTGTTAAAGGATAGAATAACTAAAAAATAAGCATAGAGATGTTAGGGATGGAAAGGCAAGAGAGAAGAGAGGCCTCAATTAAATTTTGAAGAGAGCAGGACGTTTGGGTAAAAAAACTTGGGAAAGTGATAAGACAATCGGAGTTTTTTTTAGAGAAATTCTCACCCAGGTTAGATTAGCACTGTATGTATTTGGATCCTGGGAACAGTTCTTTGTAGCATAGTCCAGGAAATGACCGTTTGGAAAAGAGAAATTATTTTAATATGGATAGATAACGACTTCACCACTCCAGAATTTTAGGTGATAAGAATTTAAGTTCAACAACCCGGGTCGGGATTACTATATTACTGTGCAGTCTGTTTTTGTTGAAATGTGCTTGTATTAAAGGACTGTACTTCCGTCTTCAAACCGTCCCAAAAGTCCTCATCTGGAAAGAGCTAATTCCCTTGAAAGAGGAAGAAAAGACTTTTGCGTATTTTAGAGGATGCCAATGATCCACTTCTGATTGAGAGTCTATGTGCTTCGCAATATTGATGAGAGGGCCACAATATTTAAAGGAAAACGATTTAGTAAATTGATCCGTGTTTTAAATTTTTTTTTTTAATAGTAGATATAAACGTCTCGTGCTCTTCACGCAAGCTATCATCGATAATTGAATCAAATTCATTAGCGTGAATATCAGTGCGTTCTTTGGAGCAGTTATGCGACAAGTCCATATCAGCTGACAATTGACATGAGCTTATTATGCGTCTCATTAAGAACAACAGATAGCACACTATCGTAATTAAATGAAGGACTGGAAACGATTAATGTGTGGATTATTGTCTAAAATGTGTTGTAAATTTGGGGAGATTGGACTAGAAGGCTTGGATGACAAATGAGTTTTCTTCCCGATGGTGGTCCAATTTTTGTCAAAAACGTGTTTTCTGGATAGGTTATTTTTAATTTTACCAGTTGGAGTTGAGCCCTTAAGATTGGCCGCCGGCCAATGACGACATGCACACGAAAATGAATTAACTGCGATAAATGGAATGTAGATAACGGAACGGTAAACTTACAGGCGTCCCATTACGATGACCGACTAATTGCAACTAAAGAGTAAATAATAAATATATAAACGCTTAAAAACTGAAAACTCTATACCCACTTTTAGTCATAACTCCATAAGGCACCCAGTACCCAATTGGTACTTATAATTATATAATATTATTATTTAATATTAATACCCCCCCCCCATGTATAAAAAAAGGCTCAGATAGGGTCGGTAGGGCTATAACCCAATCAGTCATATCAATGCGCACGTCTATACCTACATCCAATACTAGATATCTACTATGTGATCGTTCTACTAAAGCTATATTCACTTTATTGTATAACAATTTAAAAAGTGCAAAGACAAGTTATTTAACTATTTAAGAATGTCTATTTAATTAATTTGATAAATTAATGATACTGCTTTAGCAAGATTTAAATGGCCAAGAAACGAATATGAGGGAATATATTTCACCAGCCAATTTTCAATTTCTAAGATAAACTTTTCTGATTCAAAGTGGCTATCCAAATATTGACAATGTGATCAAAAACAACGTTAACATGTGGCGTTGGCAGTGGATCAAATAAACTCAAATAGATTTAAAAACAAACAATTAAATAGTGGCACTACTGTTCCGGTCGTACACCCAACGTCATGTCATAAAAAAGAAGCCTTATATTGAGTTACAAGTATAACTGGGGGAAATATAGCAATTAATATCGTCTAATCCAGAAGAGAACAAGTTGTTTTTGTGCATACTGCATACATACTATTGTCCTGCACGGACTGCATATTTTTTACAACGTAGGTTTGTATGAATTTTATTTTATAAGCCCTACATAATTTGTACTACAGAATGCCAATGATAGGCAAAATACCGATGTTATCATTTTGTTTTTATAACATAATTTGTTGCATATATTGTTTGATAACAATAGATTTTTCAAGTACTCGTGATTGTGAACTATTATTATTTGTATAAGTAATAAAACTTTATGATACAAATAACGATTTATATTAGTTAAAGTGGGTCGTCAGTTACGATTATTTTTCACTAGAATATCGAATCGCCTGGACATACTTATTTATGTCGATATAGATACCATAGTTATACCTCTGTATAACTTTTTCCAGTGGTATATAAAATAGTAAGAGGTGACAGGCTTACTCTGTTTTAGGCCTGTCAGTTGTCACTACTTAGAATTCTTAGACAGTGTAATGTTACTTTCTTAGAATTCCTAATGTAACGTTTAATATATCATTTAGAAATAAAGATTAATTCATTGTTTTTAAATGACTATAACATTTCAAAAAATTAATTTAAAAAATAAAAAGCTGATATTGGAGATAGGAGTGGCCACTGTTGTAGATAAGAAATTGAGAAGGTAGGATACATAAGGTTATTTCATTTATATATGTAAGCAACGATAAACCATTGCTTGAGAAAAGACGATTCCAAGCGCAGGTCAGTAATATATAATTTGAAGTGCTGTAATTTTTTGTTTTTACGATTTTTGTTTAAATTTGATTTCAAAACGCTTATTAAAAAAAAATTCCGGTGATTTTGGTAATTTTACCAAGTCTAGGTAAATCCAATATAAATATTATTACCAAGTTTCAAGTCTTCGAATTTCATAACTGAATTACAGCAAAAACCAAATAAAAATTTAAATTCCTTAAAAGCTCAAAAGATTTGGCGGTATTATTGTAAGAAAGTAAAATAAAAAGGCGACAAAATAGATGTCTTGTGATTTTTCGATTAAATCATTTTTTCTCTTAGAAAACGTCCGTGTTTTTATAAAATAATGAAATTGTACGTTTTCCTAAGTTTTTTCCCATCTAAGTGTTTTATTTAAAAAATGGCGTCAAAAATCTAAAAATTACATTCTTAATGTACCATCTAGACAACTTGAGCTTTCAGAAAAGTCGCTACACATAAAAATCGGAACAAGTTTACTAAGAAAAAACGTGTCCACAAACTAGAAAAAAAAATATAAAAATCTTAGTAAAATCAATAGCTCTCTCACTACACTTAGAATCTAAAAAGAAAAGCATTGTCTTACACTCAGAAATATTGTCCTCTTTTAATTTTAAAATAGGTAATTTTACTCTAAAACCAAAATTAATCGAGTTATACACAATCTGAGTAAGGATTTTGCTATATTACCCGTTAGTCGAACTGAAACAGAACATGCATATATAATGTTGTCTTAAGTTGTTAACGTATCCTAGTATATGTGATCTGTTAATAGAACTTGCGATTATTAATATTGGGTACTTATTTAAATATTTTCATCATAAAGTTAAGTCCATTTAACAAAGTAGATAAATAATAATGTATATATATATATTATACATACATATATGATATAAGTATTCAATAAACTTTAATGTTGATCTGAAACATATTACAGCAAGAGAGCAATCTAATTACTAGAGCCATATAATGATACCACTTTGTAATAATCAATCAAATAAAATGATTCTAATATAAGACTATGTTTTAAGTTTTTATTTATTAAGTTTTAATAGCAATAAATAAGTACAGATTTTAAAATTTTAAAACAAAACATTAATTTACAACAAAATAGGAAAATAAAAAAAAAATTACTAAAATAATAAACCCAATTCTCAATAAATTATATTTTGTAAAATTAATATTTTTGCAAATAAAGTACAATTAAATTAAATATCTAAAATATTCAACTGGCAGTGGGGTGCAATGTGTAGAATTGAAGTCTTTCATATAACGATTGGCCTAAAAACACAATATAAATTATATTTTAATACATTAAATATTATAAGTAAATATAATAAAATTATTTATATATTTATAATAATCATTCAAACAATTAATATTCAAAAAATTATAACTTACCAAGTAAAGTAACATATTTATTTTATTTTGGTCACTCCAACCATCACCCAGGTTTGATGGATGATTTCCAGTAACAGATGGAAATGAGTTTGTTTGTTCTTTCGAATCTACACCATATTGATTTAATAATTGTTCTAAAGAGATACACGCAATTAAAATATACCATAAATAATCTCTATTCAAATTTAAGTTTGTATTGTTCAAAATACTAAATTTGATTACTTAATGACTTAATTTATAGACATAAATGAATTAAAAATTAAATTAAATTTACTTTGTTGTTCTCCTGAAGTAGACAACCAATTCCAAAGGACCAAACGGGATTCTTCAGTAAAGAGTTTTGGATATCTATTTTCTAGTAATGATTCTAAGAGATGATTTCCTCGATTAGAACTAACATTTTGAGGGCTATTAATTATAAAACAAATTAATTAGTATAATATAATGTTCAAATTATTTTGAGTTTTACTCAATTGCAATAATTTCATCATTGGATCGTCGAATAAGTAGAACAGGTCCATGGTATTGATTAATATTTTCTGCCACATGTAAATTTGTAAATTCTCGTACACAAAGTATAACTAAATTTTCAACAATGCTAGGCATTCTTGGAATTGCTAATGGAACTAGATCATCAAATGTAGCATCCAATATCTAAATATTATTATAATTTAGATAATTTATATGCAATACATTCGTATAGTGAAATAATTTATATTTACCACAGCATGTACATCAGGAAATTGTTTTGCTAAATATGAAGAAGCAAAACCACCAATACTCCAACCATATAATATTATATTTTGAGGACTAAATTTTAAAATTTTTATAGCGAATTCCATAACAGTTTCAGCTGCATTTTGTTCTTGTTTGATATATGGTATGCCCTGTAAATAAGAGAAAATAAAGAAAAAAATTAACAAATTGACTAAATAATTATTCTTATTAATATTTACTGTACTATGACCAAATCCAGGATGATTCCATCCTAATACTGAATGATGAGTTTCAACCGCTGAACTCATAATCCCAGCTTCATAGAATCCTGCATTTCCTTCAGTACAAATAATTAATTTTGAATTTAGAGGGTTAATATGCATTGGCCTATAACAAAATAATTTTAATTTAATAAGTTTCTTAAAAAAAAATTATTATTATTATTACAACCAATAAAAATTAACCTTCTATCTACAAACATTGAGTCAATAAAATTTCCATCAATGGTTTTTAATTTATACCGTATCCCTCCAAATGTAGTTATTAGTGATCGTCTTCCACTCTGTAAATTCTGATGCACTATATAAAAATAACATGATATTAAATTGATTTCAACATTATTTTTTAGAATTAACTTACTTAAATAAAATAAAAATGAAGTAGAACCTGGGTAAATTAATGATATTCCAAATGTATGCAGTGCTATAAACCCAATAAGACGGCTAGGGCTACTTAAAAGTTGTAATGCCAACTTAAAATTATAACTCATTAAATTTTTCCTGTAAGTTTTTCTAAAAAAAGAAAAATAAAAAGCATAATTTACAAAATGCATTCTAAATAGATGTAGTCTAATAATTAAATGCATACTCTTCATTTATGGGCCATGAAAAATCTACAGGCCACGATGAGAAATCAAAATCATACTTGTGCAAGTTTTTCTAAAAACAGAAGATTAAAAATATTAATTCAAATTAGAATAAATTAAGTATTTAACAAAATACTAACTTTATTATTAGTTGAATATTCTAACTGAGCATTTTTAAGATCTTGATAAAAAACTTTATATTTTGGATTTATAGCTCGTCCATAACTTCTTAAAAGAAATGTTGTAATCAAAGTAATGCCAGCTATTGATCCATGAAAAAACACTTGATTAATGAATTCTGGATTTAAAAAGCATTTACCGTACATGAATAGTAATGCAGGTGAACAGTAAGTTGCTATTCTTGTAAAAATATAAGACTATAAAAATAATAATAAATAATATAATTATGATTAGCTCTAATCTCAAATCAAAATATACATTTATCTAACTTTAATACATATTCATATACATACAGTCATTAATATTTTGTCGGCAATTTTTTCTTGCCATAATTGAATATAGTTCTGAAAATAACAATTTAAATTTAATATTAAAACACTATATTATTAAATATTTGAAACACACATATTAAATTCTTTTTTTTTATTAATTATTATAATACTTTGTCATCTTCTTCTCCTTTACCTTCATTCAAATTATTTGGAACCGACCATCCTCTTCGTAAATCTTTACTTTACCGATCCCTCAAATTGTCCTTGTATACCCCTGTTATCCTCATATCATTTTGAGTCGCATTCAACTACTTTTTTCAGTCTTCCTCTGGCCCTCTTTTCTTCTACGTATATATTTTCATTATAATTCTTACTGCTGATTCATCTCTCATCATGTATGCCAAGGCCAAACCATCTCAGTCTATTTTCTCTCATTTTTCCCACTATCAAAGCCAAACCTCAGCTACCTCTTATAAACTCAATTTTTATCTTATCATCTCTAGTCACTTCTCTCATCCACCTAAGTATTCTCACTTCTTTTACACTTATTATCTGTTTTAATTTTCTGTCTACCGTCTAACACTCTGAACCATACGACATAGTCTCACCACTCTTGTAGAACTTAACTTTAAGTTTCACTAGAATTGTCTTATTACATAATACACCTGATACTTTATCCACTTTATCCGACCACACTCAAATATTTATTTCAAATTTGACATGGCTCCCTCAACTGTACACGTAGCTGCTTCACCAACTTGCCCAATAGCATATAATAACATATATTATCATTTTTTTTCTACTTGTACCTCCTACTTAAAGTATATATAGTGTACAAATGGCAAAACCTAATTACAAATTTATGTTTATAAATTTAGTCAACAAAAAGTCAAAAAAATTATAAACCAAGAATAGTAAATAACTGCATTATGAAAGTTCCATAGTAAATGTATACTTCTTAGATTCGGAGGGTGTTTTTTTTTTCTACCTGTAAACAACTTTTCAAGCAGAATTCTTGCTCCATTCGAAAAATTATAAGAGACCTTTTTTATTGCATTTTGGTTCTAGTTGGTGAATAAAGTGATTTTTTTTTTCGTGTAGTTTTTTTTAATAATTGAACAAAACCAGCTATAACTTAGAAAGAATGGAAAGTTTACCAAAACAATGGATTAATTATTTTTAATTGTCTTTTTTGTTGTAATTCAGTTAAAAATATTCGTGAAACTTGAAATTCTGACAGAAAAGTTATATTTGCCCTTTCTAAATATGGTGAAATTTTCAAAAAATTCCAAAAATATTTTTGAACTATTTCTAGGTATTTTACATTTTTTAGTTCTTCTACATGGCTTTTTTTATAGTAAATACTATTCGGATAAAATTGTTTTACCAAACATAGGTACTTGACAATTTATTTTATTTATTAAAAATAAGGGCAGAAGCCCAAAGTTTTAATAATACAATTAAAAGAAACATTTTAGTAAATTTATACAAAAATTCAAATAAATTAGAGTTTTAACATGAAGTTTGTTAAAAGTTGTACTTAATGGTGAAAAAAAAGTTGAGCATTTTGTAGTTCTTTTTTATAACCATTTTAAGATCATATTTTAAAAAAAATTGTAAATATAACGGCATTTTAAAATATAAAACTTAACTTTGCTCAAATCTGTATTTTGTTAAAAATCGTTGCTTACAGATAAAAATTAATAATTTTATGCATTCTACCTTCCCAACTTCCAATTTTTTTTTTATTATTATTATTATTATTATTAAATAAAATAAATAAGGTTTTATCAAAAACATGAAAATTATTAAATATATTGATTATTAATTAAAATATTTTAATAATTATGACTCATGATATATTTCAATTATGGTCACAACCTTTGCTTCATTTAATATAATACATTTTATAAGAAAAATGTTAAATTAATTCAATGTTCACAATGAACAATGGTGTGTTGTGTTTATCTTGTTATTTATTTAAACATTTTGAACATTATCTTATCTATAACCATTTTGCTAATTACAAAGGTCATTTAATAGTAAAGAAATAACGAGACATATTAAAAAAATAAAATATTTCAGTTAAACTAATAGAAGTGTGTTGCACTGCACTCAACACATAGTATACTATGTAATATAATAGTAAAACCATAACTATAATAATTTTGTCCTTGGATTCATATATTTCAGTAGCTAGTGTCAGTTTACATACATTTTCTAACCTGTTTATTTTTTCTTTGGATTCAAATTTAAAAGAAAATGGCGGTAAGTTTTAAATATATTATTTTACTTAAGTAGGTATTTATAATGCGTAAATACTTCAATTATTTAATAGGCATCATTAATTAATTAATTAATTATTGAATCAACCAAATTAAATATTTATAATCTAGTAATATTTAATACAATATTCTCTAAAATACCTACTAATATGGTTAATTAAAATTAATCTTTATTTAATTTTAAAATATCTCTCATGATTAATATCAAGTTATATTAGTTCATGAGTGCATCAAATGGTTATATTTTATAAAATTAGAAATTTAAATTGATATTTATGCAAGTATCTACCAAGAACAATTGTCTGTGTTTTTCTTTAAAACTATTTTATAAAGTAAATCTTTGTTAAATATAACATAAAATATGTAAGTATTATACAAAATATATCAGTAACTTCTTATTTTAGTCTAATAATTTAAAAAGATAGGTATTCTTTTATTCTATCATATAATTAAATAGAGCTTTGATGTTAAATTGTATCTTCAATATAATATGGAAACTTTAATGAATTGATTGGTTTGTGATTTAATAATGCAAAGTTAATCTAATGTACTAAACATATACTCATCTCATTATCCATGTAGCATTTATAACCTATATAACCGTATAGGTTGTATAAGAAAACAAAATACCCATAATAGCAGGTCAGTAGTCGTACATAAAGGATGGAAAACACTACTCATTGTACTAATTGAATATTCATGTACATATTTTGCATTGAAATTAATTTGACTCAAAAATAGACCTCACTACTATATACTTGATATTTGAATATTTTAAATATTACAAAATAATATTTAGGTAAATACTAGGATAGGTAATTATTTTTTTTGTTAAGGAATAAAATTTGAATTATTATTTGGGTTTGACTTATTAATAATTCCCATGCATATTATTATTAACAAATATCTTAAAATAACACTACCCAAATACAGATATTTTATTTAATCATATGAATTAACTAATATAAAATAATTCACTAAATATATTTGAGATCAAATGTAAAATACTAGCTTGAAGTATTTTGATGATACCAATTAACAATGTTATACAATTATAACTTAATTTACTATTACCTACTTTATTTGCAAAATAATCAAGTTATAGATTTACTTTCACATTTAGAAGTATACTTAAATTAAGTTTTTTTTTCAAATATAATATTAATATAAATTAACATACACCATATTATAATCTTTAATGTTACCGTAAATTAGGACATAGATTTATTTGAAAAGATAAATAAAAAAATAAATACTAATAATAATAATAATGTGTAAAAATGATCAGTATTAATTAATACTATTGTAATACTTTTTTTAAAATTGTATTAAAACATAATAACTTTAATGAAAACCTACCTATACATAATTAACGTGTAATACCTACGTACAAATTAAATTAAATAGAGCTGGTAAATATAAGCTAATTGTTCAAATTGGGTATACTGTATAAATCATTTAATTTCTAAAACTATTATAATCTATTCTATCTAAAACTAATCTAATTAAAATTGAGGCCTAATAAGTACACTAATTCAAACTTGATAAATAATCATATTTTATATTTGTATTCTTACATCATTTCTTCGGATTCCTGTGTACACCTTGTATAATTCTGGTGTAAATATATAATCGGTAAACATTTTTGGGATACTTTTTATTTCAATACAAAATTATAATACTAATGATTTTTAAAGCAATAAACCAAGTACATGGTGAAAGTTATTGTGAAAATGAAAAACAATCAAAACTGGTATAAACAGCGAACACGTTAAGCAGGATTTTAAATAAAACCTTTTAAAAACAAATTTATATCATGATAATGAAATAAAATAAAAAAAAAATGTATGTCAGTATCACAGAAAAAGTAGTCAGCACCTTGTAGTTTGTACGTCAAATACTGAAATACCGGTCATATTGCTTTTATCTGCTTTTCATTGGTCAATACATGCTATGAATTATGATAAAATATACCTCATACTCTGGGTTGCATGAAAACAGTTCAGTAAACTGTTGACAGGATAAAGTTATTGGTTCTGTATAATTCAAGTTATTGAACGAATTGCGTTGCATGAAAATATTGTAAAATTTTATATTATTGAGGTTAAACCTGGAAAATGGTATAAAATTTTACCTAGTTTCCGGTTGCTTATACATATAACTCTTATCAAAGATTATGAATTGTGAATAATTGTGATGTTATTGTGATTTGTACTAAATTATTTTCACTGAATAATTATTAATTAGTGTTTAATAATTTATTACAATTATTTGTCTATATAAATTATACGGAAGTCGAATTAAATTTTTTTGTGTTCAGTTTGTTAAGTTCTTAAAGTTTACAGCTTAAAGTTTTGCTATAGACGTTAACGAAGATAAAAAAAGAGGCAAAAACTTCTCGGAGAGTGAAAAATCTTTTATAGTTGATCTCGTATTACCTTTTAAAAATATAATTGAAAACATCAAAGTTAATTATAGAATTGAAGTTTTGAATTTTGTATTTAAATTTTTAGGTGTTATATACACTGATACTGATGCAGACCAGTACATAATAACAACTGACGCAGATTTGATCTATCTCTAAATAGTCTTGGTCTAGGTAGACGAATTAAAATTTCCATAATCATATTTTGATCAGTATCATCAGATGAAGACGAAGACAAAGATGACAATGACATTATTGTTAAAATAAATTATATCCAAGTTAAAAGCATGGATTAAGATGAAGACATTAATTAAATATCATTAAAAAAATAATAAATTTAAAATGCATAATCACATTTGTTTTTATGTGATAACCAAAATATTGTATATTTTGATGATAAGACAAATAAACCAAGCTGTAAATTTTACAGAACAAAAATCTGACCAATAACTTATCGGTTTGATAACAATTTTTGATAAAAATGATTAATTTTACTTACTGAACGGTTTTTAATTTTACAGAACCGATAATGCGTTATCTGTTCTGTATAGTTCCATGCAACCCAGAGATAGTCTTCATACTAATAGACGAGCAAGGCACGTCTATGTGTTATTCCACGGTCAAACATAGAGGGCGCTTTTTAGTGATCCAGTGACTAATATACGATAAAAAAACCGTATTTTAATTACGCTATTTTATCCAATATATCATAATAAATAATTATACCTTACAAATTATAGATTAATTCCGTTTTTAGTAATTATCAACAATATCTTAAATTATTTTGAACAATTAGAATGGATTATAATTTATGTAATCTTTTCTAATAACCGGAACAGATCTCATACAAGCATAAACATATTAGTTAATATGTCCATGGTTAATATAGATCTTATCAAAAATGTAAATCCATTAAAAAAAATCGTAACAAGTTTGAAAACATACAAATTTTATTACAGATCTCAAAACTTTCATTCATTCTTGATAAAATGCAATATGATTATTTCCTACTTCCGAGATATATAAAAATGTTCACAAATTCTTTCATTGCCGGACAATATTTAATGTTAACACAAGGTTTATAGATAATACTATCAGTATCAGTACTATCAGTATTATCTATAAACCTTGGTACTATACATTCTCTATGGTACTTAATAATCTTATCTACTATGGTATGATCCATGGGTATAATTGAACAGCTTATATAAAAATATATATTTAGGCTCTATAGGTTTAGTGATGATAAAAGTAATTTTACTATCTATGGCTATAGTATAATAAATACATAGGTATACAAAAATTTCTTTTGAAGGACATAAAGTATAAAAACTTGCCAAATTTTATATTAGAATTTTTCCGAATACAGTGTTAATTTATTTGTTATATTCCTATATTCCTTTTAACATATTCCTATGTTCTTACGGTTTTTAAGAACTGGGCATTTTTGTCTATAAAAAAATTTTTTATATAGAATTTGATAATAAACTTTGAAAGAAATTAACTATAGGATTGGGATGTTTGTGCACTAAAAACAAATAAATATAATATGATATATACTTTATGCACTAAAAATAATTTTATAGGCATGGAAAATTTAGCAAAATATGCATTACAATAAAATATATCTACCTATCTATAGTACCTATTTAAAATAAAAATGGGTAATCCAGCTCAGACTCAGATTCAGTTAATAAAATGTAAATGCATAATTTTAATTTTTGTATTTTGTACCGGAAGCTGTTAAATATGTGTTTAAATACAGAGATAAAATTTAAATTATGCACTCGGATATAAATTAAAATCGGAATAACTATGTGCAAATAAAATGTACCTCGCCATATGTTTAAATACATCATGAATCAAATTTCTATTAAAAAATCAATTCTAATAACACAATTATTTTAAAAAAAAAATAATACGCAAAATTATAAAAATCTCAACTAATAACCTTTTCTTATTCTTACCTATCCAATAATATATAGACTGTACAAATTATATGTTAAAGTAGTGGAGAAAATTAAGATTAATAAGAGCTCCATAATAAGTTATTAATCTTAATTTTGCCGGGTTAGGAAAAACGGACGTGTTAATATCAATAAAGTTGTCAGCACGTTTTATGATATAAAAAATAAAATATATGGAATTTTGCCAGCCCAAAATATGGTTATTGTAGGTCACGCTATTCTAACTATTTCCAGATTTCCATTTAAAATCTGCTTGGTTGTTGGTAAACATAATAATTAATAATATTCAGAATATTAATATTTCAATTAGAAAAAAATAGTTAAAAGATAATATTTCAAAAATTTACGTACTTATCTATTTAGGAGGTCAGTTATTGATTTTTCTTATAATTTTCTTAATAATTGGAGAAAAAATTGAAAATACGGAAAAATTAAGCAATATATTATATATTATAAAGTTATAACTAGGTATTTTTTATTGTTTTCGATTTTTAGATTCCGAGCGTAGCGACGGAACTATTGATTTTACTAAGATGTTTATTTTTTTTTAGTTTGTGAACACGTTTTTTCGTAGTAAACTCCGATTTTTACGTGTAGCAACTTTTCTGAAAGCTCAAATTGTCTAGATGGTACTTTAATAAGATCATTAGATTTTTGACGCCATTTTTTAAATAAAACACTTAGATGGGAAAAAACTTAGGAAAACGTACAATTTCTATCAGAAAAAAATGATCTAATTGAAAAATCACAATATATATTTTTTGTATACTTTTTTACGGTATCATCGCCAAAACTTTTGAGTTTTTAAGAAATTTTAATTTTTGGGTAGTTTTTTACTGTAATTCGGTTATAAATACTAGTAGAGACTTGAAACTTGGTAATAATACTTATATTGGACCTACCTAGACGTGGTAAAATGTCCAAAATCATCGGATAATGTTTTTTTTTTTAATAAGCGTTTTGAAATCAAATTTAAACGAAAATCGCAAAAAAAAAAAAAATTACGGCACTTCTAATTATGTATTACCTCACTGCGCTCGGAATCGTCTTTTGTCAAGCAATGATTTATTGTTGGTTTTACTAAAAGGTTTATTATAAATTGTAAGTTGGTACACGGTGGTCTAAAAAACAAGTTAAAAGTATTGTAATTATTTTTAATTTTTAATAACTATTCAAAGTTCAAATTTTAAAGAAAATTTGTTATACAAATTACGTACCTACCTCACGTACTCAAATTTTCCTATTTATGTCGATAAAAAACGTTTATAGTGCTCTAAAAATATGCACAAAAATTTGAGATGATAAAACCACGGACAATTTAATTTATTTTATGGCTAGTTGCACATTAATATAATTTTCAATTTAATTAGTTTATCAAAATATAATTAACCGAATGCGCTTAAAATTTTTTCTCGTTAGCTATGATTCATCGTTGTGTACAGGTGTGTAAATGATTACATTACACCCTGTATGTCTACCTTTCTAACTTTCCACCTACAAAATAGTGGCCAATGGCTTACCCATGAGCAGTATACTGACATTTTAAAAATATTATTGTTATAATGTTCATTAGTTATTCGAATTGTAAATGTTTGTATTATTTAATTTTAACTATTAACCATAAAGTGGAGGGGTCAAGGGAAAGATAAGAGGTATAATTCTGTTCTCCGATGTTAACATTTGTGTAGACTGTAGATCAGGAGTAGTTAAATTCTTTTTGGTAGAGATCTACTAAGAATATAATTTTCCTTTGAGGATCGACTTCCTAACAAAAATGTATAGTTATAAATTAATAATAGGTATTAATAATAAACATAGATATACAAATAATAAAACTTAAATGTATAGTTAAATAATGTTTTTATCACACTACTATTATTAAGACTAATAATATAGTATTATTGTAAACCCAATTGCTAGAATGAACTATGTTGAATTGTATTACTTGGTAAATTTACAGCAAAATAAAAATAATATATTAAGATTCTTAATATTTAAGATAAAAGTGCTCAGTAATTGTTATTTACTAATTACATGAAAATAAATTCTAACTAAATGGAGATCTAAATTTAAATCAACTGTGATCTACCGGTCGATCGTTTGGTCACCCCTGTTGTAGATAGTCTCCAACCGGAGAGCTATTATTACGTCCCTGTTTGTTAGAAACGCGTAAAAATTAGAAAAGTTTTCAACGGAATCGAATTTACACTGCAACAAATATAATTTCATATGGATCAAGTCATTGATATTGTCAGGGTATGTGTACGGAAAAACTGTCTGTCGATGCGGAAATGTGAAAATCCTGCGTACCGACGTTGATAGGTTACAGTTTGTATGAATTCCGGCATTAAAATATATTTCCCCCTACATAAAAACGTCTCAGATATTTTACGGGCCGTTTTTATACACGCCGTTCACTTTGGCAATATTTCGTTCTTTAATTAAATATACGCGGCGGAACGGCGGCATTATCCCTGCGCGGCTGAACGGCAGATCGGAGGACGAGCGGACAGCTGCTGCTGCTCGGCGGGACGTGAACTGCGCACTATCCAACGCGTCCGCGCGCGCGTGCGCGCCCGCGGGGGAGGGAGGAGGGTGGTTTACTCGAAATAAAGAACACTTATCACGTGGTGTGTGTGTTTCTTTATTCGCGACGCGTGTCGCTGTAACCAAACGATAAGAATACGGAATTTACGTTTAACCTCGATACAAGATAACTCGCTCAATTTGCCAGCGAAGTTTTACGGCCTATGCTCGTTATTCGCAACCGACACGTCTAACAAAACCGCCCCTGAATGTAATATTATAATATGTCCGTGTCCGTATTTACAGGCACAACTAATTTAATCAGACGGGTTCGCTCGACTTTGTTAGTTGACGAACAGCGAGAAAATTCGTCCAATATAATCCGGCCTTTTGGGATGAAAAATCCGCGAGATCGTAAAACATTGCAGACCGCTCCAGCACGATATTTCTCACATATCCGCATGGGAAACGCCGACTACAATGTAGTAAATCCCTGCCAGTACCGGGAGGGGGGACCATCATAACGTGTAACCGATTATACTCAGGCGTGTCTCGTGTTGTACAATAATTCATTATTCGAGTTTTCTCACCGGGTTTCTCGAACGATAATAGTAATCGAAGGATCCTGGGAAACGGGTCGCGATATTTTGACGGTGCCGGTCGAAAACACGTACTCCCGAACGTAATAATTTCTCGGCGTTCGCCTATTGCTCTGCTCTGCCCGCCTACCGGCGGCCCACAGAAGCACAGACGAACTCACGGTCCGCAGTCGACACACGCACGTCGTCGCGTACGTTCGTATTTACTGCGTTGTCTTTTGGGTTCGTCTGCACGCGATACACAATTTTTATATCTTTTTTTTTTTTTTACTGTACCCACGACTATATTATAATCTCCGCCGTATTTAACACGGAACAAAATACAGGTAATCCATCTAGACCGTTTATTTTTCAATAATCTACATTAATATCAATATTTATTATTGCACATCTATTTCGCCATTCGAGGGACACGACGGCGGTGCAGTAATAATTGCTATTATTTATTTGTTCGTGTAATTACCATGTCGCTTGTAGAAGTATTTTAGCTTTATTCACGTAATTGTTTTATTCTGGTGCACCGTATAATTTCCGATACGTCTTATAACGGTACTTATACATTTTTTTTTTTGACTACCTACTGTCAAATGCTGTTTGAAAAGGTTTCAGGGTCCTTGAATAAAATTAGTTTTGGCTGTTGTTAAGTAGGTAGGTAGGACACATTAAATAAATAAGACGTCATAACATAAACATGCAATCGTTCAATTTAATAATAATAAAAATAACTGTTATTGCAATTTACAAATACAAACCTCATAAATTGTTTAGGTATTATCAATGACTAAACTACACTTAGTATACATTTATTTTTAAAAATGACTTACAAATTAATCCATTATATTATAAACACTTATGAAAATTATTACCTACCCACGAATGCAGTTTTTTAGTATTATTATATTTTTAAATTTAAGGTCATAGTTATTAATTTAATTGTTATCAAAACTGAATGTGTACTGTATACTTAGTATGAAAATTCCTTAGTCCCTTATTATATACCTATATATATATATTTGTTTTTAGTATTAGTATTGTAGTATTGCTGGTTTGAGCTGGATACTGAAGAAAACTCAGTGGATTCCAATATATTTTATTTTTTGAACCAATGTAAATATTAAGTACCCTTGGGCAACTTTAAATTATAAATACTTAACTCTGGCCGGTTATTCTTCACAATTTAGCACTGCTTATACACATAGTATATTTTACTTGCATTTCATAATATAAATACAATATTTCATATACATCTTATAGAAATATTTCGAATATAGTAAATAAAAACAGCTAGTGTACCTGTGTACTGTGATTGAATGTTACACAATGGTACTACATATTCGTCTTATTTGTTTCACTATCATATAAACTTGTAGATACTATTATTTAAAATTTTAAAGCAATGACGAATCAATTTAAAAGTGTGTTATGAGTAGATATATTGTAAATAATGCCTAAGTACAGTTTATTTATCATTTACCTATTTGACTATTTTTTAAATTATAGATACTGGGAAAATATATAAATTATTTTCAAAATGCATTTGTGTATATTTAATCTACATAAGGTATTATGAACCTTAACTTCCTCTTAAACTGTTTTCTTCCGAGGGAACAAACTAATACCTTTTGCATTAATTATATCTAAAATATATGTTATGGTTATCTGATAAATATTTAGAATTTAAAAATAATAGTAAAATCTAAAAAGATTAGATAAACTATTTATTTATTCTAAAAATCTATCTTTTCCTATTAATTCAAAGTTTGAAAACTTTAAGAACCAAAAATAAAGTAGGTAGTACTAAATGTGTATGTTTTTTTGTTTAGATTTTAAATTCTTAATCAAATTTTCTATTACTTTATAGTATAACAAATGTTTTTAGTCTATGCCTTTGTTTAATAATAATAGATAAAATTCCAAATGGATAACCTTATTACTTTTTTCTAATTCAATTTTTGTTTTTTCCAGCAGTTTCATAATGGACTTGGAATTTGATTCTCCTACGACATTAATTGAAGATGTTACTTTACCTTCATTGTTGACTAGTTTTAGTACTTCAACTACAAGTTCAATAGAGTTTTCATCATCTGAATCAGAATCTGAAACTACTCGACTATTGCCCATTGTAAAACAAAATTCAGACAAATATGTATATAAAAGCCCAATCAAATCATTTTCCTTAATAGATTTAACGGCAATAAAATCGTTTAAACCTCTTATACGTGAAGACTCAGCTATATATTCTACAGAGACATTAACAAGTGCCATGACTACTAGAACAGACTCCGGTATTCACCATTCCAATAGTTGTCTAAACTCTATAGATAAAAATAAAAAAAAGTATGCACATGTTGAAAGTAAAGTCAAACAATATATCAAGGATATTAAAGATAATGAAGCTAAAAGTAAAGCCATAAGACATAATTCACAACCTTCATTAAAAAAACAGCAAGTAAATAAATCAGTTAATGATATTATTAAAACTGAGGGTGATGAAATTATAAATTTAAAAAATAATTTGAAAAAATTAGAAATTCAATTATTGGAAAAAAATAGACTTATAGAACAACTTCAGTACAATTATAAATTAATGGAAAATAAGTATAATTCTGCAACAAATATTATTTTGAAATTAGCAAAACCTAGTAGAGATGTGTTGAAATTTACTGAAAATGAATTAATTGAATCATTATCACCTGGCCATAGTATACCACCTCCTAAAGAAGTTTGGGGACATGGGTATAAATTAAAAAATTCCAATACATTATCAGCAATAAGGAAAGATAACTCAAAATTAGAGAAGGAAAATGCTCTCAGGGTTAGAAAAGTGAAATCTGGAGGTGACTTAATAAATTATTCCAACATTGATGGTTACAAGACATTGAGAGATTCAAGATCTGCTATACAAAAGGTAAATTATTATCAATATACATATACATATATTTATACATAGAGAGAAATAATATTATTAAACATTAAAAAAAAAAAATAAGAATGTATAAAATTGTAGAACATATAATTATATATATAAACATAAAAGTATGATACTACTTTATGGTAAATTTATTTTTGAAAATATTTGAGAGTATTCAGCTAAAATTATCAAAATATGTTAGTTGGGTATACCTACAACTTGCATACCTTTATAGTGTATGCATTTATTGAGTACATACATTTTTATTCACATTATTATTTACTTTTATTAACTTACATTAATTTAAATTTATGGAGTGATATTACTTAAAACTGTAATAATAAAGTGATAAATGTAGATAAGATGTAATAGGCCAGGCAATAATAATTTATGGAAAAAGATTTCAAAATAAGTTGAATAAAAATGATGTAATAACGGTTAAAGCGGTTGGTTGTATCCATGGGAAGTATAGTGTTGCGGCAATGATGCAGCCAAAATGGAAATAAAAAGGAAATAGTCTCTTATGGTGTAGGAGGGAACTCATAGAAACTTAAGAAAGCCAAGGGAGGAGTGAATAGTAGAGAATGGAATTATTCAATTGAAGTTAGTAAAAAAATTAGATTTTGACTGGTGTTTCTTGAAAATTGTTTTGATTAATAATAGATTATCTTTATTAGTTTATTATACTTACATATTTACATATAAGTAGAACTTGAAATACAATACTATGAAACAATTTAAATAATTAAATTACCTTTTATTATACATTTTTTTTTTTTTTTGTGAGAAAGAGAGGAAAATATAATTAATTATTATAGTAGATAAATATGATGTCACGTTTCATAAATATTACCATTTTTTGTTTTGTTCATAGTTTATTCTCATTATTAGGAAAAGTAACTAAAAACTATAAATACAATACCTAGCTGTTATTGTATTTTTTTCATCTGTGAGCTGTCATCAGCAGTGTATTTCCGTTTTGCTGTTTTTTATAGATAAAATAGAGAGTGACGATTTTGTTATGTCAACATTGTTGTAGCCAAAAAATTATTATTTTTAATATGGTAATGTTGTCTTATAATGTTTTTTTTTTTTATTTTAAAATTGAAAACGTATCTGCTGTAATGATAATTACTTTAGAAAATTTACTATCGATTTTAATATAAATATGAATAATGTTTATTTACATAATACAAATTATATGTATTTGGGTTTATTGTCTATATCATAGATATATACTTGTAAATAATCTGTCCAATTTTGGTGTTATGTCTTATTATAGGTAATTATGTTATCTAGTGGTTTTGAGTTGCCAATTACGCAACTTATTTTTATTTATACCAACGAACAAACGAAGTACTAAATATTGCAGCCGTCAGTCAGTTATAGGTATAGGTGCTCGATATCATGATAGATGATTTCTAATGCCATATTAAGTAATAGAAAAACGTCAATTTCAAGGTCACGACCAAAAGCCTAATGTCATATATTTGTACTCCAGTAATATATAAATATTTGTGTAATATCGAGTGCGTTTTAAAATTTAAAAACAAATATGAAATAATCGCCGTTATTTTAAGTTATTATACTTTATATTTTATTTTAACAACTTAACAGGTCCCTTAACCATCATTACTGACTATGCTTTAATGTGTATTATTGTACCTTCTTACATATATTTTTACTATTTTCAGGAATATTCGAGAAAACTAATTAAGCAAAGATAGTATTATATATTGTATATTGATATTATATTAGTCGTTATAACGTTAAAATAAAACTATAATTTTCTTCTTTAATTGGTTTTAAAAACAATAAATATTAGTGAGGATATGTGTGAGACCACGGATACAAACAATGTACGAATTGGGAGGGAATATCTAAACGAATTTTTCAGAAATTTAAGCGTACCTTTACTCTATTTGTTTGAAGTGAAAAGCATTGGGCGCAATAACGGATACAAAGATACCAATTTTGTTTCATTTAAAAACTAGCCATTGACAGAGAAAATCATTTTTTAATATCTAAAGTAATTTTCATAATACGAGATAATTTGGAAAAACAAAAAAAATACGAAAAATATGATTTATTCAAATTATTACAGTGCAACGAGATCATTATTTAAATTTTTAAGATTATATTTATCTACCCGAAATCTTTGTTCAAATTTGAATAATGGAATATTTTATAAAAGAAAATGCTTTCTATTTAGCGAGTAAGGAAGTTATTTAATTACTAAAAATTACAGAAAACTAGGTAAAAACGTAGGAAATGCGGCAAATTGTACAGCATTTGGGTTTTTTTTTTATTATTCGGTTAAAAATTATTTTAGAGATCTGTAGTTTTCACAAAATATTCATAATATTAGCTTTTTGTAGACGTGATTAAATTTTAAAAACATAGCTATTTTTAGGCTAGTAGGTTTAAGTATTTGATATATTCATGTTTTTATATGGTAGATATCTATTATTAAAATTATATAACTTAAAAGATATGCTTAAATATTTAACACAGGTACATTATAAGTTGTACTAAGTGGTATAAATTCAAATTTTAAATGAATGCATTTTTTTTTTCATAAGTGTTTTAAGATCAAATTTTGAAAAAAAATCGTATATTTTACGGCCTTCTAAAATATATCTTATCGAGTTGCCCTCCGAATCGCTTTTTATTAGCAATGATTTATCGTTGTATACAGATACCATTTAAATAACTGTAACTTAAATAAACGTATCCTCGTACCTTCCCAACTTCCCACCCTTTACAGTAACTGCACCAGGGATTAAAGTGGCACAAAATAGCAAAGAGTACTGTGACCCTTATTTTATTTTGAGTGTTCCTTGTAGTATGTCCCCGAATGTTCCGAAAATTAAGGAATTGTCAAGGAAAAGGTTATTCATTAATTTGTCAAACCAAAAAATGTTTTATCGCTTTGCCAGAAAAATTAAATTCTTTTCTATAAAATAAACAATATGGTTATAATAGGAACATTTATTTTATTTTATTTATATCATTGTCTATAATAACTTTACTGATGTGTTCACATAAAAATTATATACAAATAAGTCATGTCAGAAAAATAGATAATAGAAACTTTAATATTTTTCTGACAACTTCATTATAGAATAATATTTTTTAACTCTTACTACATATAAATTTAAAAAAAAAAGGGCTGATACTGCTAATTGGCGCGTTGTTGTATGTGAGAAATTGGAGAGATAGGATACATAAATTTAGGTAATTTATATCTGTAAGCAATGATAAACCATCGCTAACGAAAAACAATTCTGAGCTATTTTTATTTATACATGATTTAATAATAGGCCGTAATATATAACAATGTACGATTTTCATCGAAATATAATCTTTAACAAATTTAAAAAAAAAAAAAAAAACCTCTAGGTACTTATTTTTTTTTTTACCACTAAGTAAAAATTATAATGAACATCCTATTGAAATGTCAACCAACTTTTCTGCCAAACAATTATATTTACCTACTAGTATATACTATCTACCAAATAAAAATTACGTTAAAAACTCGCAAAATTAAAATTCTAATAAATAGCTCAAAACGCGCCAAAATGTTTTGAATATCTTACTACATCTAGAAAAAGTAAATATAAGTTTTCTGTCAAATTTTCAAGTCTTTACAAATATTTTTAACTAAATAACAAACAAATTATAATAATAATGAAACCATTATTTCCGTGAACTTTCTCGTTCTTTTTACGTTTTTTTTTTCAGTATTTCCCAATTATTATAAAAACTTATTGGAAAATCAAAAAATGACTTTTTTAATACATCAACTAGATCCGAAATTTAACAAAAAAAGTTATCTTGTAATTTTTTGATTGGAACAAGTTTCTTTTCGAAAAGTTGTTTTCAAACAGAAAAAAAACCTTCACATCTAAAATAAAATTTAAAAACGAAATATGCATAGGAACATACATATATCATTTTCCTTTTGACTTTCATTGCACATAATCATTATCTTAACACCTACGTTTTATAAATTCGCAAAATAAGAACCATACAAAATTATAAAATATATTATATACCGATAGTCTACACTATACTGTATAATATAAACTATAGAATGGGTATATAATTATTTTTTTCTCGTTTCATAAAAACTATATTTTATTGCAATAATGCAGTATAATAAACATAAGTGAATAAGTGATAGTTCAAAAGTCCGCTTACTGACAACACTCCGACATACCATAGAATATAGATAAAATAATTTAAATAATGGTAATAATATTTTTTATCAATAATTAAACTGAAAAATATTATAGGTATTTAACAAAATAATTGTTGATAAATCTAAAATCAATAATTTCAAAGATATTACTGAAATAGTTATTTTGAACGGTTAGTGTAAACGCAGCGTACCCAGTGAACCTTTGAAAAATGTTTTAAAGAGGACTTTTTTTAAACGCAGTGAGAAGTAGGTAGGGAGACTGAGTCTCTGCGTCCCCAACACTTCTTTTTTTTAAATTATTATTCTTGCATTATATTGAATGATGTTTTCGGATTTTCTTTTAATCTTTTATCATATTGCAAATTCTTAAATAAGTGGGAACTATACATTTACACATTATTAATTATATCTATAATTAACCAAAAGTTTAAATAATTAGGTAACTTTATATTGTAGTTCAATATACCTAGTTAATTATTTTATAATTTTTCTTACCTGTAGATTTTTTTTAATCGTGTAGAAGTACTATTGTAACTTAATACATTTGGCTTTGTGTTAATTTGGCAGTGTTCCATAGTTCTTCCTGTCTACTGACTTTTACGAAGAATGTGTTTATTTTTATACATTAGGGACAGCTTTCGAAATGCCACGAACTTGTATATAAAACATTTTCTGACAAATATACAGTAAAAAACAAGAGTGTACATTTTGCATCTGTTAAAACTAATGATGTGAACCTGTAAACTATTTGAATATGATACCGAACCAAACCAAAAATGACAGTTCCGAGTTTCGAATTCAATTTATTTATTGTAAAATTTTAATAACTTTTTATACATGAATTATGTCGAATCGGTGGCGTACTCAGAGGGAGGATTAGGGGGTTTCAGCATCTACCTTTGTATTGGCCGCGTGTTACAAAGAAAAAAAAAATTGAACTATACAGTTTAGAAATATTATTGCTAATAAAATAATATTAATTAAATCATTACAAATTTGCACTATTTATTCAACTAAGTACATATAATTGTACTACATGACTAGGTATGTATTTTATAAAACATATTGTTAAGTCTATTATTTTTAGTTTAGTCCCCTCCCGTGGAAAAATGCTGGGTACTTCACAAAATCGAATTATTGTGTTTTGATGTAAATGTGAGATAATAAAATAGATTATTTTGTTATTTTATTGGCAATTAATTAATTCAATTGATCATTAGTCCAATCAATTATTATCTACTAAAACCAAAATTATATATATATGTGTGTGTATAAGGGATATAAAACAAGGCGTAGTTGGAAGTTCAATTAGTAATCTTTATTTTATGTATACATGAAAATTAAAATATCTATATAATTAGTTCTAAATAGGATTAAATGTTTTTGAAAATGTGACCACGTTTAGAAAAGGCAAATATAAGTTTTATGTCAAAATATTAAGTCTTTACTTATATTTTTAACTGAACTAAAAAAAAATAAAAAAAAAAAAAATGAAGAAACCATTATTTCCGTCATAAACTTCCTTCTTTTTCTACGTTTTTCAGATTTTGCAAAATTAAGGAAACTGCATAAAAAATCAAAAAACGACTTTACCATTCATCAATTAGATTAAAAATGCATCAAAAAAGTATCTTCTTTAATTAGAGCAATATTTCTTGTAGAAAAATATAGCGTAAAAATATAAAATAATGAAATAGTTTTAAATTTTATTCCGGTATATCCTAATTATTATGAAAACATACATCTTAGTAAAACCAATAGATCCCTTTCTACGCTCCGAATCTAAAACATATTCTATATTAAAAGCAACGCTTAGAATTTAAAAATGTTAAAAACTGAGCATTTGGTATTAAATCAAAACTTGTCAACCTCCTAAAACTCTTGTTTAAGTTTTATAAAGTGTATACTCCTATAAATAGATTATAGTTATTTATAAATTAAAGGCCTTTAATTTTAATTTTTACTTACTAACCAATTAATTTGGGTTTTTTTTAAAATTCAGTTTATTCCACTATTATTTATAATCAATATAACATATATACATTTATATATTTACATGCTCTGAGGTAATAAATACAGTTAAAAAAAAAATCGTTTTACTTCCTTGTTTTTATACGGTACTTATTTAACAATAGACCCAGTGCCCAGATATTTTACCCTAAGTTATTAATACTTCTGGCATAGGTATCTTTATAAACATAATAGAAATAATATGTGTCTATCATTGTACGTGTTTTTAAAACCATCTGGTTGCCGGCGGAACAGGAAACGGATGAAGTCTCTACATCCCCTTTAGTTCGCATGAGTAAAATCTCATTCGAAAACCGAACTATTTTTATTCGAAGCTACCATACTTTTGCACAATAGTCCCGATTATCTCTATATACAGTAACATCTTAATTTATTTTTCGAACAAATATTAAAAACGTTGAAGGAAAATGTTCCATTTCATTTGTATTGATGACCCTCATATTAATTAGCGGGAAAAAAAACCTAAACAGTGATATTTTATAAAATCTTAATATATGGTATTGTAAAGTGAATTTGTTGAACATCAGTTACTATTATAGTATATTATCAGAAGGTACCTACAATGAAAATTACATTGCTAATCTAATTATTCAAATTTGATTTCCATGTTTCACATTAAAATAATACACATTTTCTCTTCTTTTTTTTTTTTTTTTTTTTTTTTTTTTTTTTTTTTTATTATTATTTGATCCCAAATAAAATAATGTTCAAATTTTTGGAAATAAATAAAACTTGGTAAATATGTGTTTTAGGTAAAAATGTGGCAAGAATCATTGGCAAGTACTGATGTTTCTGAAATGGACACAGATCAAGAAGTAGAAATTCAATCACCACATTCATATTCTATATCATCTAATGATTTTTCATTAAATTCATTAGAAATAAGGCCAATTATACGTAATAAATACCCAAATAAACATGAATGTCGCAGTGATTCATCCGGTTGTGGAATGTCTTCTACCAGAGTATCTAAAGAAAACACACTTGTGAGTGGCATTAATATGACAGTTGATAAACAATACTCTACTTTGCATTGTGGCTATGAAATGATGAAACTACCTTCCTCTACACCCATACAAAATATTAGCCATAAATTCTGTTCAACCAAAGCTGAAGACACAGTAGTATCAAATAAACAGAATGATGGATCACAAAAACGTCATTCTTCAAAAAAATGCAAAAGAACGGTAATTTATGGTTCTTATAGTTAAATTATTGACTTTAAATCATTCACGCATATATTTATCATTTGTTATTACTCATATGTTATATCTAATAAAAAACAACTTTAAATTCTAATGTAGTTCATACCAATCACATTTTGATTATAGAAGTGTAAGATAGAAGAAAATCAATGTCCCATTGAAGCAGATGAACTAATGTGTCAATTTAAACAATGTATTGGTGTCATAAATGGAGTTGTCACAAAAATGGAACAAAGTTTTATGTCACAAAGATGAGTACATTATTATTTGTTATTTATATAAATAGACCTAATATAAATTTTACATGCTCATTGATCGAGTTTCAAATATAAAATCAATGTATATTTTTATATTCTATGATTATTGTTGCCATTAACTTGTTAAAACTAATTTAATTTTGTATTTTACTGTACCAAATATAATAATTATAATGCCAAAGACTAATATTTTCTTTAAATATTAGTGTGATGAATTATGATATAATATTGCCCTTATAATATATTGTATTCCATAAATTGCTTTATAAATTTGTAATATTTATTTGTTAAATTTATTTTAAAACCAAATAAAGAGTTTAAAAACTAAAACAAAAAAAACTAATATAAATCTTATAATAAGACTAGAACTTATATTTAGTAACATGCTATTGTTCTTGAAAATATATGCTGTAATATGGTTTGTAAATAACTGTAATTTTAAAAGTAAAAATACTTATATACTGTATTTTTTTACAAGTAAATTTTTAACAATGAATTAATTAAAATATGAGTTTACCAATCTATATAAAAATTAAAATAAGGATACTTATATAGAAACTCTTCATTAACATATATAACTTTATAATTAAATTCATTTATTTATGAATTTTATTATTTTTAAATTTTAGCTTTCTCTGTTTGTTTTTTTTTTTTTAACTACAATAAGTTTTCTTTGATTTCTAACATATTAATTATTATTATTATTATTTATTTTTTTTTTTTTGTTAATTTATGTTTAATTTACTCATAGATATTTTAGACTAAATTAAATTATTGTAATTTTAAGTGCCATATTAGTATCTGTCTAAAGGTGTGTTAATTGTTAACGACAAGACTGATTCAATATAAATAAATACTAATAATTGTTGTTTATTATTAATGGTGTGTAATTATTATTTTACTCTATATCCAGCTTAAATCTGAAATTCATAAATTCCTATAAAATCCACATTTTTGTTTATATTTGTGTTTTAATAATTTATTTTAAATTGTTTAGTTTCAAAGCTATGTAAAATATATATTTTTATAGTACTGAATAACATTTTAGATTTGTATCAGAGCGAATATTTTACTATGATAGGTTTTTTTTTCTGTATAAACAATTTTTAGAAAAGAAAACTTACTCTTATATATCAAGTGTAGCACCTTTTCTAAAAGGAAATTACCTAGTTGGTGTATTTTTAATTTCCCAAGGGTTTCTCAAAATAATTAGGGAATCCTTAGGGAATAATTAGGAAAAACGTCAATTTTTTATGACACATTACGGCGTTACTGATTACATTGTTTTTAATTTTCGCAAACTATGTTTTCTACCCTAAATATTTCTTTAATCATAAAATACGTCAAAAACCTTTTTATTGCATTTTGGAACTAGTTGCTGACCACTGAGGAAGTAAATTGTGTTGATTTTCCCAGCAATCTTCAAAATCATTTGGAAAAATGAAAGCAAACAAATTTACAATGTAAGTCTCATTATTTTAAATTGTTATGCTTTATTTTTTCTAAAATAAATATTGCTTCAACAAAAAAATTAGAAAATACCTTTCTCGTTACATTTTTATTCTAGTTGGCGAGTAATATAATGTCTTTTTTGATTTTTTATGTGTTCTTAACAATTGAGCGAAACTATATTGTACAAAAATTCTACCAGAAATCTTGCTCTCTCCAATGTATTTGCCATTTTTTTTCCTTTGATATACCTGGTATTATTAATTTTATAGGAGCATAACTAAATAAGATACATTATATTATACCTATATAGGCACTTCAATTTTAAACAATATACTTTAACAGTGTTATATGTTATGACTTATTAGTTTTTATTACCTACTACTTACTACTTATTTATTATACCATAGCTATAGCAAAAAGAAGTTTTCTTATACAAAATTTAAATATTAAGTATATCATTTTTGACATATCGTCTGTGTAAAAATATTTTAAATAAGTACCTATTTAATATTCACCAATATCTCACGTACTGACCATAAATTTATAACAGCCAACAAATGTAATGTAAACTGTTTACAATATCAATGCAACGAGTATGACGAATATGTAAATATAATATATACGTACCTATCTACTTACAGATTAAATTTTATTATTTCCTATGTGACATTAGATCACTGTACTATTGCAAATTGTGCTGTGTGTGAAATAAAATAAATGACCTTCAACTAGGTACTGTAATAGCAACTTGAAAATAAATTTGATATTTGTGTAGGTGGTACCTACAAATTAAAATAAAATACGTTACTTTTATAAATTAATATAATATGGTTAGTAATACCTAACCTTACCTACTGGACTGCAAACAGTGGAGCCCACGTACCTTACAAAAGTAGTGCAACTACACTCTTAGTTTAATAGTTGGGTCGGTCATCTAAATTATTTTGTTTATTCAAATTGGATATGAGTTATCAAAGTATAGTGGAACTTCAACAAGTAAAATTTTCGATAACTCAAATGAATGTCCTCGCCCTTGCATTCCAATATAGGATTTATGAGATACATTTTATCAATGATTCGAATTTTGTTAAGTCCTTATAAGTACCTTCGATAAGTCAAAGTCATTTGAGTTGAATTGTAGCTTATAATTCGAATATATGACATATATTACCGACAATTACTGAAATAATATAATACATACGATATTAATAAACCGAATACCAATCTAATCCTTTATATCTAGGCCTACATTTATACTTTGGTCAAAACATAATCTATATATACAATCGATGATGAAATCCTCAATAATTTGCCGTTCTACAAAAAGCCTAATGAGTCCAGTGAAGAGGAGTTCGATAATTGACGATGTGGAATCTCCCTTAACTACTCTGGTTCAAGCATTAAATAGTGTACAGTTATTACGCAAATATATTCGAGAACAATTCAGAAATTCCAGACGAGATTTCCCCTGCGCTAAACGTAATTGAAAACTTTATGAATAAGTCCTCATCCAAAAATTTAAAACAATCAATAATAACCGACTTCTTCTAAAAATAGTGCTATCTTAAATAAAATTGTTTATACTTTATTTATACTTTATTTAATATTTAGTATTATTTAGCATTTAAAAAAACAAAACCAAAAATCAAGTCTGCATGTTGTTTAAAAATATATTATTTATAACTCGCATTTTCGACAACATGAATTATTTTTTGGTCTTCGACCGATTCGAGTTTTTAAGTTTTCACTGTATATACGAGTATATCTAACTACTATTCATGTGTTTTTTTCTTGCACATATTTACAGGAGGGAGGTCTCAGCTCTTAACTTCACTAACTTTTAACTTAAACTTAATAATAACGAAAATAAAATAAAATATGACTAATCAAAAATAAATATAATAAATTAATGTCATTTCGTTAGGTATAATTTTGAAAGATTCCTTCTCCACCCCTTTCAAAAAAATACAAAAACACAGAGCATAGTAAAACCATCATTATGCTCCAAATCTAAAAAAAAATCGTTTCAAAACGTCAAAAAAATTTCAAGAAAAGTATCCAAAACATATTTTTTGATGTTTTGAACTTTTTTTGTAGATTTAAGTTGTTAAAGGTTCCGAGCTCTGGTCATAAGTATAGTATATACAGGTATTAATTACCTTTCAAGTTCCTAAACCGAGGTATTTATGTAAATAGATTAAATAAATTAGTTATTAATTAATTAATTAATTAATAGTTATTAATGTATGAGGTATATTGATTATTTCGAATGTTTGGATTAAATTACTCTTAACCAGAATCTTGTCACTTCATTTGTATTTGGTGTTGCTGCTAGTAGGTCTTCCTTCAAGCAGTAGAATAAGCAACTTTGGCAATCCAGTGAGTGTTCCCAGTGGCGTAATTTGAACATAACGTCAGGGTTTCCAAAAATCACTCAGGATACACAGACCCTGGGAAACTTTGTCCCCATGCCCCCAAAATTTTAAAAACAAATTATGTTTTGATACAATTATATTATTATATATTATTAATATAAAATACATTAGAAATCTATATCATTTTTCTTATATAGGTACATATTATTAAAAACTATGAACTGAATCGCATAATTTTTTACAATTTTAGAATACAAAATTCAGAATTTTCAAATTATAACTGTCGTTCTCTATTTTAAAGTATTTATTGTAATGACTTATAAATTCTTAGTTATTTTTATTTTTGTTTTTAATACTTAATTACTAAAACATTCCATAACTTATATCAAAAAATATAATTATAGTAAATCAAATATTATTAGTGAATTACAATAGCAGAAAAGTTTAAATCTAAAAATAGATTCAGTTTTATTTAATATATGATAGTGAAATAGTGAATTGTAATCAATTACATTTTCATCAGTTGAGTATTGATAATATATAATTTCAATTTTATTATTTTTGAAAATGTCTTTTTTCATAATTAAATAATTACTAGCCTATTTATTTATTTCTTTTACTTACGAAAAACTATAAATACACACATTTCAAGGATTGCAAATTAATACTTTTTCAACCCATGTATTATATTTGTGTGCTTATTATATAAATGCGACCCTTTGCTACCCCCCAGTCATACCATTTCTTGTTTTATACCTACTGCACTCGCATCATCTTGTGTAATTTTCCTGAAGTATACCCTACTATTTTAGTTTGTCTTTAGATCTACCTACTCCCACTCTGAATCGATTTAGGGATTACCAGGTTGGCCAGTCAAGTTCGTGTCCTAATGACAGGGATTACTTTAGTTCATTCCTGAGTTTATTATTTTTTATGGAGAGAGTTTCCACTAGTACAGCTCATAGTATACCTCATAGTAATTATAGTAACCTTCATATGACAAATATACAAACCGATCCGATAACATACAAATAATATAGCTGAGATATTAGGTGGATATGAATTAGAGATTCAGGACAATTGGTCCCCGTGAAAAAACATTATATGTAAACAATCAGACCTCACTTAATTTTTTTTCCTGTAACTTAATATATATATATATATATATTTTTTATCAATTTTATATTGCTTTTGGCTGGTTTTAAGACTCTCCATTATTATATTATTACCAATAATACGCACAAAACGGATATACAGATGAGAAATATTCGACACCTCAGTCGAAAAGGTCTATCAAATCCTTGGCAGACAAGCCAAATATTTAATCAGCCAGCACGTATCAATATATAAGAATATATAAATATATTGAAGAGAGACCTCATGAGTTGTTCTAAATTATTTCCCCGTGTGGCTGTATATATAGTACATACATATTGTATAATATATATGTACTATAGCCTATAAGTATACATTCAAAGAGTGTCTCGCGCCAATAGCACAATGAAGAATGTCAGTCTGCCACGAGCTAAAAAAATGTAAATGTCCTAAAACGTTTAGTGTCAAATATGCCGTCGAAAAATGTTCTGAATGTACATTGCACATAGTTTGTCGTTATATGCATATACGGGACTTGGCCAATAAAAAATAGATAAAAAACCAAACAAAATGTACAAATATACAAAAATCACATATTTATGTGTATAACTATAAAGTTAAACCTACGGGAGTACTAAGGAGGGGTCTATGAGGTTCGGACTCTCTTCGAAATTTTTTTAATATTTTAAAAATGTTTAAAAAAATTAATTTTTTTTACACCAACATAAAGATTTTCAATTATAAAAAGTTAAAATTCCAATCAAATTGACTATTTATTGTTTTATATCAAAGAACAATAATTATTATAGCTTCCTAGTCATAGACATCGAGAAAATTTGAACTCCGAGGCCACAACCCTTATTGACAAAATACATATTGAGCCAAGACTCACTGACTCAGCCCCTTAAGGTTTTGTTGATGAAAAATATCTTCTATACTAACGGTTATGTTATTTTTCCTTGAAAATGTTGTAATAGACGTTTGATAAAATAAACGTCGTACCGGCATATGCTGCCTCCATCATACAATCAAGTGGCATACTAAATTTTATTCAGCAACTCTGTGCTGTTAGTTTTGACATTAGAGTGAATTGACATATTATCAAGTTTAAAGATATTTGCACATTATATGTGTCATCTCGTTGTTATATTAATTTTTAAAGGAGTTACTGCAAGCATTTTTCAATCGTAATATTTCGCATGATCATATCTTATTTAAAAATTAAAATAACGAAAAAACAATGAGATAACACAAATAATGTTCATATCTTTGAGTTTGATAACAGGTCAATTCACTCTAATTTTAAAACTAACAGCACAAAGTTGTCCCTGCCGAATTAACATTTGCTATATTATACGATTGTATTATGGAAACAGCATATGTGCATATGACGCGACATCCTCTTAAGTTGTACATACTATTATAATAAAAATTATTTTTTATGAAATGTTCCTCGGAGGAATACATTTTTAGGATCCATTATATAAAATTGCCTTCGTATAACTCCTTCTAGAGAACATAAATAATAAAGACAGTAACTAGGTGAACACTAAACGGTATTATGATAACAATAATAAGAAACTCCTTACTAATCAATAAAACTTATTTTAAATAGTTTTAAATGTCTATTCAACTGGTGATTATTTATATATACTGAGTGGCCAAAAAGTTAGTTCCCGTTTTTTCAAATCATGAGCCCACTTTAATTTTGTACATATACGCCTGCGAAAAATCGGTCTGCAGCAACTTATACCTTTCCGTCAATCATGATATCGCACATCAAAATAAAGAGAGAAATATTACGAATCCTTTACTGTTTCATCATGGCACGGTGACATTCTAGCAACACATCATGTTAATTTTTAACCCCCCCCCCAACGACCCATGATTTCTATGACAGCAGCACCTAAACTAGATAACATTGTTTGTTATCGATTGTTTTTATTGTTTTAGCTTATAATTTATAATTATTATCATACTAACAACAATAAAAATCAACCCGGTTTAACAATATATGGGGTGGTTTGAGTCGGTCTGGAGTGTATGGCTCTTCTTTTTGAACAATACTGCAACTGGCAATACATACTACGAAATACTGAACGATTACCTACTTCTTAAACTACGTTTATAAGTATATATATTTTTTCGGGATTTATTTTCTAGAATATTTAAGAAACAAGCTGCTTTACAATTGTATACTTATGTTATGTCATGTCATCCTTATTTTTGAGAATAAAACCACAACCTACTTTTGATTTTCAAATAGCAACCTTTATTGAAAACTTCATAAATAGATGGAGTATTAATTAAAATAAATTTTAGTATTGACATTTTTTATTTCCGTCAAGTCGTTGACGAGATATTCCACTTTTAAGTTTGTGTTAGGAGAGTAGTGGTGCATTATTAATACACCGCGTGCCGTATTACCGCTTAAATGATAATGATTAATAAGTGTACTCACTTAAATGAACCACCTGGTTGGTACTTTATAATATTATCTATACATATTATATGCTTGATTTTAATTTTACTGATTTTGTTTTCATATACCCATCAAAATGGTTTGTACAATTTCATTTTATTTTATTTTATAATAATTTATAATTTGTAATATATATGAACTAGATGTGAGCTAGAATAATTTTTTTTTTTTTGGGGAGAAGCATTATTTATTTTTATATTGCATACTTTTCTGAAAACGATAAAGTACACCGAAATAACCAATGAAACAAAAAAATTCAGTTGATAGAGGGCACTAAATCTGTGTCCCCTCTTGTTTACGGCAATAATGGCTGCTATTCAGAAAGGTTCAGCTTGGAGTTTAATTTTCATGTTCCCAAAAATGTCCAAAAATTTATCGTTGAATTAAAAAACCATAATAACTGAACGTTTTCAAACTAATATCGTTAGTAGTATTTATATCAAAAAATAGGGCATGCTACAAGACAGATAATGTTTTTGTTAATGTGCAATTTTACAATTGCAAATGTGCTGTACAATTATGGTAGTTTTACTTAAATTACGGAAAGAGTAAAATTGTCCCGCGCAAAACAGTTATACATCAAAATAAACTATTTAATAAACTATTTAAATTTAATAAACTAGACATGTGCTGCGATCGTGCTAAACGGTGGCAGTGTTCTGAAACACCACGTCTGTACCACCACTCCAATATGACTGTCGCTGATGCCAGCGATCTCGTCGTGAGTCCGCGACTCATAATATCGCTGTGACAGAAATAGAAATTTTACTTCCGAACATCATAATTATTTGTTTTTTTGTTGACTCAAATTAATAATACAAGAACAAAAAAAGCCCGGGAGATAATAGAATTTACATTATAGAAAGAAATGAAGTAGTAAATTTCATAAATTCATTATAGACGTATAATATTATAGTATTATACTGTTTTATTCGTTAAAAAATCACCTAAAAATTATGTACTATGCTGACAAAGCACGTCCGACCAAGTACAAAATCAAAAATAAAAAAAGTTTGAAATAATGTTCATAAAAAGGAGCGGCGGTAAGTACTATTAATTTATAATATCTGAAGATATTAATATATACTTACAATTTTACGAGTTTATTCAACACACATGTTTAATTTGGTTTTTATTGGTTCTACTTTCTACTATAACGTGAGCTTTTTAGATTCAGAGAATGTTGAGGAATGTATTGGAATATATTAGGATGTTTGTGTTGTTTACGTCTATGAACAACACAGTATTAAAAAAAAATAAATAAATATTATTGTACAATCAATACGGCAATACATTCTTCACTTCGTTCAGAATTTAAAACAAAATTTTAAATAATAAAATAATTATTTTCGTAAAATTTCCCAATTCCCAAATCAGGAAAATTGATACAATATTAAACAAATATTATTAAAGAAAATATATAAACTTGGATGGTACAAATCTGGAATATAAAATTGTATGACGGAGAAATACTCGAACATTTAACACAAGGTTCTTTAAAAATTGTACGGGCAGTAGTTGTTTTAAATATTAAATTCCAAATTTTTATATTCCAATTGTTTACGTGTACCGCTATTTGAATAAGTATACTAAAATAATAACATAATAATTCTAAGTGCAATAAAGTATGGGTTATGGATCATGAGATCAATTCAGTTTAGTATTCTTTTTATTCTATTAGATCATACTACTCAAATTTCATACTGCTGAAATTTGGGTTTTTAAATTCGTCACAAGATTTATCATACGTTTTCATTGTTTTCATTGTTTTAAGTCGTGGTTGTTATAATTTCCTGCAATCATAGATTTATTATATGTATCTAAGCTGTAACCTAACTGATAAGGATATTCGAGTTCGCAATGATAGATAACAATATATAATAGTATATTATTATCTATCTCAGTGTTCAATTTAATCATCATGTTAATCATGTTAGTGGTTTAAACTTTAGATATATTCCTATCTATGCTTTAGTGCCAGTATTACAATTATTAGAGTTAAAAATTAAAATTAATTTATTTTAATGCTTGTGGCTTGTTAGATGCTTTTTAGTGCTTGATTTGGTATTTTAATTTATTTATTTACCTTCATATTGATACCTAGTTTAAAATGTTTAAATTAATTTAATTTCCATCATACATTAATTATTTAACCAAAATACCTTCCATATTTTATAATGGTTGTAAATAATAGACAAAAAACGAGTGTGTTGAACAATTTTAGAGTAAATGAAGTAAGTTCCTAATTGATGAAAAACTAATATCTATTATTTTATTTACACGCATAGATTTATCAAAAATGCCACAAAATACTATACTATGTATTATAAGGAATTGTAATACATGATAAGCAATGACATAGCCAGATGGGTTTTGGGTGTTGTAACCCCCCCCATTAATTTTTTTTTAGCTCTAGGTAAAGTTAAAAAAGTTGTAGAACTCTAAGACAAACCCTCTAACCCCCCCTCCATTGATATATCTTGACTATGCCACTGATGATAAGTATCTATATAATATATATTGTATACATTTTATCAAGTTTTATTATGAAAATAAATATAATATTTATACATTAATATATTCCATTAATATAGGTTCCTGAAAATTAAAAAAAAAATGTTTTATCTATTTAGAAAGTTGTTTAATTATTTTAATTACATATTTTTTGTGTATACTTATAGATTGATTCAGAAGATGTAACTATAAACTTGGAAAATTTAAGTATAAATAATGTAAGTATTTAAAAGTATAAAATATATAATAGTTTATATATTATAGTTGATTTGGTTGGTTTTTTTGTCTTATTTAGATAATAAACCAAAACTTTATAAGTAGATAAATGGTTCTGAACTGATTAATATACATTATATATATATACAGGCGTCCCCACTAAGAAATATCCATTATAACATCTTCTGAAAGAACAAAGATAATTCAATTCTGTTTTATTTTTTTTTTTTTATACTACTAGCATAAGGACTTCAAGTATTTATATATTTATATTTAAATTAAATTTGTATGGTTTAGAAAAAAAAAATGTATTTTATTATTTTCAAAATGTTTGAAAATAGCTATTTTAATACAGTTTATTCTTCTGAACATTTTAGAATTTCTACTTTATTTTCATTGAATTTATGATTTTTAATAATTTTTTAAAGTCCAAAGAAAATTATCTATAACTATGCAGCAGTCTATAAAAAAAGTGAATTAAAAACATATTATAATAAATCTGCTATGAATAAAGTACAAAAGTATTGAGAAACTTTGAATCAATTTTTGAATAAATTATTGATTTGAATTGATACCCTAAAGGTTTTTATTCCATTCATATCTTAATATTAGTTTCATTTTTAGGTACAAACGAATACAATAAAGCATTCATGGCAGTATACTGTCCAATTAAATCCAATTACATTCTATGATGATAGTTCAGATATACAAGTAATTTAGTAACCAACCATCAAAACTCAATACATATTACATACCTTTTTATTTTAATCCTAATTATAGCCAAATAATGCTCATCAAGTCTGGAAGCAAACTCAATATATATCAGTATGTTAATAACTTAATATATTGTTTATTTAATAATTAAAAAATGCATACATATACGTAAACAATAAATTTGGTTTGTCAATTTTGTAGTTGTACAAAAATGTATTGTCAATCCTAAACAAACTTACATGGACTACATTTGATCAACTAGTCGATGAATTTCAAAAATTACCAATTGAAAATGCAGAATGCCTCGAAAGTATTGCTAATATTGTTGCCCTTAAAGTAAATACATAATAAAATATATTTAAAAAAATGTATTTTAAATTTGCTTTTCTTTCAGGCATTTGATGAACCATCATTTGGATCCTTGTATGCTTCTTTGTGCAGAGCTCTTGATATAACTATTAGTTTTCAAAATGAAAGTGGTTTACCATGTCAGATGACATTTAAAAAATGCATAATCACAGTTTGTCAAAATTTTTTCCAAAAACAATGTGTGGATCATACTGAGACAATAATCATATCTGTAGAACACGAACAAAACCAAAGGAGACTTAAAATGCAAACAATAGGTTGTATTAGGTACAGAACTAAAATTAAATACTTAAACAAAGATAATACATATTTAAAATTATCAATTCAAATGTAACATGATTTTAATAGTTATTTATTTATTTAATTTTAATATTAAAAGCTGGTGTTAATCCAATTATAATTTATTCATATTATTTTATTAAATTAACAAGTATAATTGAATATAAACCTAAATATTATACTAATAAAAAAATAATTCCTGTAACAATATTTTTATAAGTATATGTGTACATTTTATTCATTAACAATCATTTGTGTTCGTAGATTTATTGGTGAAATTTTCAAACAGTCATTATTGTCTCCACGTATTGTTCAATATTGTGTGAAAACATTGATGTCTAAAACTAATGAAAGGTTTCTTGAGTACCTCTGCAATCTTTTAAAAATAGTCTACACTGAATTAAATGAAAAAGTATTTTATAATATTTTCACATAGTAATATATTATTTAATTGTTTTAACCATAATTAATTAACTATTTCAGATAAATTTAAAAGATGTTTATGATAATTTGATATATTTGATATCTGATGAAATGAAGTTCAAAATATCACCCAGAATAAGATTTATGATTAAAGATGTAGTTGAAATGATAATGCCTTGTAATATTTTAAATCAAGCAAATTCTAATACAATATTAGATAATAGTTTATGTACTACATAGTGAAATATTTTACATAACAGTTTTAAAAAGTTAAATCACATTGAGTACATTCAATTTAATACCTTTTTTTTTAAAAAAGATATTCTAAAACTGTTAATATAATAAATTATAATTAATATTAAATTTTAATAGACATTAATGTTTCAACAATGAATGTTTATTTTGGTGTTCACAGTTATTTTTATCTTTCCAAAGTCATCTATTGATGTATATTGATGTTTCATACTTGTTAATACTTTCTCAATAACAACTTAAAATAAAAATGATTTACTTGTATAAACATTAAACTCATAAAGTAACTCATTAATAATGAGTATAACTATGTAACATTAAACATCATAATGAATTGTGATTTGTTTTAGTAACTGTACAATATTAATGACCTAAGAAAATAAATATTTTTTTTTTTTTTTTTTTAAATAACTTTATTTTTAAAAATTACAATCTATACAATATTTGTATTACATTGAGTAATATTAATAGTTATAGACGATTGAAAGAATATATATACACGTGAAGAGGAAACCACACATTTGTGACAACTCTAAAAATTGTTAGTTATTAAACCCTTAATTTAATAAATCACAGTACCAATTCCTTTTGAGATGTCTAGTTGGATTGCCAGGGAGTGTGTGTTGCTAACTCGTTGATAAGCTTGTTGGGATTACCTCACAGTTTAGCATGGAAGCACTTGTAGTAAAGAGCTACGGTTTGGTTATTAGAAGGCAATATGAGGTCTGAATTTAGGGACTCATTTGAGACAAACCAAGGTGTGCCAGTGATGACACCCAGGCAAATATTTTTGAAACATATTGTTTGTTAATTTGAATTCTTAACAGAACCCTAGATAACGATGCTGTACGCTCATAGAGAAAGAAGAGTTTTATATAAATAATTTTTTGTGATAGGGCTAAGTTAGAAAGTTAGAAAAGAAGTGGCCTTAACAGATGAAGTCTGGAATAGAGCTTCTTTCTCTTGTGTTTAAGATGAGAAGACCATGTTTAGCGTCTTTCTAGAATGAGACCCAAATATTTATCTTTGGTTGAACGAAGAATGATGGCATTGCTGATTGATACAAGTGAGCAGTTAAGAGATCTAAATGAAAAAGTGACAAAAGATGACTTTGATTGATTAATTTTTATTTTCCAGTTAGTGAACAATTGTGAAAGAGTATTTAGGAGAGTTTGTAGTTGGAGATAAGCAGTGGTATGGTCAGAAGATGCTGGTAATAAAATGGTATCAGTAAATGTTACGACTATATTTTCATTTGTTAGCATATCTGACGTGTGAATGGTATATAAGAATGGAGAGATATCATTGCCTTGATGGAGTGCAACAGAGATAGAACATTGATTTGAATGTTACAAGCTATGAACAAAAAAGGAGTAGTTTTCTAGATAATATTTCAATATTAGGTATAAAGGGACTGGAAATATATTTTTTAGTTTGAAAAGCAGACCATCATGCCAAATGGTATCAAACACTTTTGCAACATACAGAAAATATTTCAGTATTTTTTGTTTCGAGTGCAGAAGAGGAGAAGGAGGCTAATGGGCCTGTACGACGAGGGGTTTTCTAGAAACTTGCCACATTCGAGTACTGTGACGATGACAAATAATTTTCAGGTAGTTGGAAAGTAAGATGTAGTAAGAGATGTTCTGGTTGGAGAAACCCTTAGTGGAGTACACTGTCTGAAAGTACACTTCACAACTTATATTTTGGTAAAATAAAATTTTTCAAATCCATAAGCGTCTATTATTAATCAGTTTCCAAAAAAGACTGTTCCGGCTGGTTACTGTGATGTTTTGCTACTACTTAAAAAATATTTTTTTTTGTCCCTTACATCGTCCATTATTGCACATTTATTGCCTATCTAATCCGCCTTCAATTTAATTTTCACGCATATTAAGAACCACTGGGCTCTTTTATCAAACATTGCTAGTAGATCATTCGTTATTATTCTATATCCGTGAAGGGAATAGATAATCTTATCATTCTTATCTAATTACCTATTAATAATCAATATTATTATTGGTTTTAAAAAAAAATTGAGATATTATATATCTTTATATTAAAAATTTAATATACATCAATATTACAGATATAAATTTGTATCTCTGGACTCTGATAGATATTTAATATTTATTTATTTTGTGGTTTTATATTGTGTACTTTGTTGTTCTATGCAGTACATTTTAACTTAAAATTTATATTACATTTTTAGTTTTCACTGAAATAGTTTTAAATTGAACATTATGATGTTTAAACGTGAAATTATTTTAAATTTAAATAAATATATGATTTTCAAATTTCAATCTAGTTTTGTACCAAAACATGAACCTGTGCAACTATCAGATGCAATTACTCTTGAACATTTTATTAAAGAACATAAAAGAATTCTAGTATTAACTGGTATAGTCCACCATACCATTGAAATTTAATTGTTGTAAACAATACACTTGTATTGTTTAACACAGGTGCTGGTATTTCAACTGAGAGTGGTATACCTGATTACCGTTCTGCTAATGTTGGGCTGTATGCAACAAGTAAAAGCCGTCCAGTAATTTATCAACAATTTATTAGTAATCCAGAAGTACGCGTACGCTATTGGGCTAGGAATTATATAGGATGGCCAAGATTTTCATCAATGTTACCCAATTATGCTCATACATTTTTAAAAAAATTGGAGGATAAAAACAAAATTGTGCACATTATAACACAGAATGTTGATAATTTGCATACAAAAGCAGGGAGTAAAAATGTTTTGGAACTGCATGGAACTGCTTATGTTGTGCATTGTTTAATATGTGATTATTTTATCAATAGACATCAATTTCAAAATGTTTTATCAAAATTAAATCCTCAAGTTTTTATTAGTGATATTTACAGTGTCAAGCCAGATGGAGATGTTGAGTTAACTCCAGTAAGGAAAATTGTTTATTTTATAATACTTTGGTTTTGAGTTTCTTACTACACAAATTGTATAAAACATACAATTTAGATTAAGATTAGAGCGTGTTCAACATAGGTTCTTGTCTTACACCACATATATACTCAAGATAGACCATCCTTTTCACGATTATTCTCTCATTCAAAACACCCTAAAAATACCTCTATTTTCTTCTCGATGTCTGGATTCTAATTTGGTCTTTATCACCTCCAATTTAAATGGCTCATTGAATGTGCCTGATCTGCTGACCGTGATTTCTTTTCGCAACCCACCATATGGTACTAGAAGCCATCAATTATTTCATGTTCCCACTCATTCGACGTCCTATGAACATAATCACTCCCTTCTCAGATTGCTGCGTAATGCAAATAATTCTAACATTGATACTGCCCTAGTTTGATTTTAATGTTTCACTTATCACTTTTCTATATTTTAAGTCTGCATAATTTAGTTATATTTTTAAATACTCAAAAATACTTTTTCGTTATCTATACTGTTCCTTATGTATATTGTTGTAAGGCTTTAATTTCCAAAATAAATAAATACTCATTTTCAATATTTTTGAATTTTTATTATTAGTACTATTAATAATTATAATTTGACTTATTGTTAGATTACGTATTAATTATCACCCATATAGAAATTTTGATATAATTGACATATTTAAAAAAATTAATTATATTTTTACCGGAATACCAAAGGAGGGTTTCGTGACTATGTATGCAATATTCTTTATTAACTTGTAGAATACAGATGGCTGAATAGATTTTTATAATGAGGTGTCGTTAGTTACGTCTGAATTTCAAAGGTGTCATAGGCCTAAATGATGTCTTAAAATTATGAATAAAAAATAATCATATAAATATATTATTTTATGTAATTGGGTTTTCTTACCTATAAATAAATAAATAAAATAAAATAAAATAAATATCTCTAGCACCAGTTTAATACCGGCATATTATTTGTTGCTACACCTTGAAAGTCTATACCTATATTAATCCTAACAGTATTTTTGATTTATTGATAAATCGTTTTTATCCCTACAGATGTATAAAATAAAATTATAATAAACTATTAATGTTTTTTTTATTACTATGTAAACAGGAGCAAATTGGTGGATTCAAGATTCCTAAATGTCCAAAATGCGAAGGAAACTTATTAATACCTCGTATTGTGTTTTTCGGTGATAACATTCCAAAAGAAAGAGTTCAAACAGTAAATGATTTTGTGGAAGTTTGTGATTCACTCTTGGTTATGGGATCATCTTTATTTGTGTACTCAGGTTATAGAATAGTACTGAATACAAAATCTGCTAATAAACCTGTTGCTGTAGTAAATATTGGACCAACCAGGGCTGATGATTGTGTTGATATAAAAATTGAAGCTAAATTTGGTGAAATATTACCATTAATAAATCTTTAAATTACTTTAATGATTTGTTTATGATTAGTGTGTAATTAATATTAGTTAAAACAAAATATGTTTCATACTCGTTATACCTAAAAAAAATTATGTATAAATAAATTATTAACTATATGATTTAAAAGAATAATGCAAAGCTGTAAATTGGATATAGATTTATTATGATCAGGTTACTTACAAGTATTATTTAAAAACTTAAAACAATAAAAGTTTTAAAGTAAAAATAATTTGCATTGAGTATTTCGATAAACTAAAATTAATTTTAAAAACAATATATGAGCAAACCAATGGGGCCCACAAAAATATAAACTAGGGGGTGTCAAAGTTCAAAATTTAACTATTATTAATGTAAATAATATCATTTTATCTAAATTACCAGACTTTAACTTTGACTTAAGTTGATTATTTTTTTTTTTCAAAAATGACTTGAATCTACTAACCTAGTAAAAAAAATTAGTTAATTTGTCCAGTATTGAAAAATTATGAGATTTAAAAATATTTCTTTAATTCATAAGCATCTAATATAGATTGCAGTTTTTAAGTTTTTCGTCTTGTCTTATAAATTACATTATTATATAATATGTTTAAGTAAATTAACAACAGGATGTCCTGAGAATTGTAATATATATATTTTATATGTGTTGAATGCTGATTAGGTAATATCAATTTTTAAAATTCTGCTCATATATGTAAATGTAAATTGAACATCCGTCATTCAGTGTAGAATGCTTTATCTAGATAAGTCGGTATATGTAATATATGAACAATATTATATTAATTTATTATTGTATTTGTATATTTGGTTAGGTATTCGTCTAATGGTTTACTTAAACGATAAAATTGTTATCAATATTGACAGTATTATAATATTTTTTCTACTATATTTTGTAAGCGATATTTAATTTATCAATATAGTATAAATTACTAATTAGTAGGCAAGTATAAATCGACTAGACTTAAATGATAGAGGTAAATTGAAACCACAATTTATACAGCCATAATTTTAAGATCAAAATACAATAACACGTGATTAATATAATAATAATAATTAGGTACCTTGCATCATCAACCATTACAAATGCTAACTTAAGCCTAACCTATAAATACGACCTTGGGACCACAACGAGGTCCCCATCAGGATAGAAGCTAAGAGTGATAAGCATCAATTTACTCAATTTAATGACATTCGTTCCTCTTGTTTTCATGATTTCTACAAAACATAATTTAAGATGTTACTGACTGCTTAGAACTCTTTTCTCTGAGCATGATTTGCTTCAAAATTTCCCTTGGCATACCCTGGAATCCTGTTCTGGGTTTATATTCAGTTAAAAATATTTATGGAGACTTGAAGTTTGGACAGAAAATGTATAATTGCCTTTTAGACGTGGTCAAATTTTCAAAACGGGTATTTTTTTTTTTAGCTATTGACAGACGTTTAAATTTTGCAAATTTTTTTTGTAATTTTTTTTTGATAGGTAAAAAAAACAAATTGAATATAATGTAGTTTTTTCTTAATAAGAACTTATATCAAATTTAATCGGAAATCTTAAATATAACGGCTTTTCAAAACATAATTTATTTTAATTTTGCTACGAATCGTTTTTCGTTAGCTATGGTTTATCGTTGCTTACAGATATAAGTTAAATAACTATGTATCTTACCTACAACAATGGCGCACCCGTCACCAGTATCAATTTTTTTTATTTGTATTTTTGTTGTAAACAACTTTTCGGAAATAAATCTTGTTCCAATGTATTTAATATGTAGCACTTTTTCTGAAAGGAAATTTTATCTAGCTCTCGGTGTATTATAAAAGTCAATTGATTTTTTAAAGAGCTTTCAAATTAATCGAGAAAAAAATAGAAAGAAAATCATAAGTAAAACGATACATATTCACGGCGCGCTGCTGCATAACCGATTTCATTGTTTTTAGTTTTTTCTAACTATGTTTTCCACCATAAATATTGATCCAAATAAAAAACAACGAGGCGTTTTTTTATTTAGTTGGTGAGTGTTTTGATTTTTCCTGTAGTTTTTTAATAATTGAGCTATACTGAGAAAAAAATAGAAAGAACGGTAAAATGTACAAAAATTATGCTTCTATTGTTTTCAATTTTGTTTTTCTGTTGTAATTTAGTTAAAATATTCGTGGACTTGAGATTTTTACAGAAAACTTATATTTGCATTTTCTAGGCGTGTTACTTATAGGCATTTGTGTTGTAAGTTTTTACGGATTTAATTGTTTAATCAAACAGAAATGCTTGACAATTTAACAGTAGTTTATAAAAAATTATACTTGGTGTTCAAAAAAGAGTAGAGTTTAATGTAGTAAACGAAAATCATAAAAAATTATGGCATTTAAAATCATGTAAAACAAACTTCGTTCAGAATCGTATTTTGTATTTTTATTATAATTTGTTTATTGTTGTCTACAAATAATATAATTTAATTTTGTTAAAAAATGTTGGATAACTTTAAAATAAGCTATGAATAGAATAGAATCTAAAAGTCAAAACAATCCATTGGGTAAGTATCCTTCAAAATGATTTGAGATTCGAATTTTATTTAGCATGCAAATTTAAGACAACCCAATGTATTGTAAATTTGATTTATTAACATAAATTAAATAGTAGATATTCAAGATATGGGTTATTTAATAATATTAAATAGTAAATCTAGATATTATAATATCGAGAATCGAGATAAAGTTGTGTTCTTTAATTTTCTATGACTATACAGACTATACAGGTTATCAATTATCAATAAGACACTCGTTATCTCGGAAAGTATAACATATTTTTGAATTTTTGATCATCCTTTTTGGGAGTGAAACTAACATTATTAACTTTTAATTTTCAAATAGCAACCTATATTGAAAATCCCATAAAAAGATGAAGTTTTAGTTTAAACACGTTTTAACATTGACGAGATATTCAACCATATGTTTGGGTTGGGCGAGATTAGTGAAGCACTTGTCTTCTTCTCCTTCACCTGTATTCCAATTATTTAGGGTTGGTCACCCTTGTTCTAAATTTTCGCTTGACCCGATCTCCCAACCCACATAAACCGACTGTCCTCATATCATTTGTAATCGCATCTAACCCTTTTTTTCAGTTTTCTTTAATACCTTTTTCCTTCTACGAATATTTGCATTACAATTCTTACCAATTCAATCGATTCAGATTACTTTATCACCATGACATGCCCAAATAATTTTAATGTATTATCTCTCATTTTATTTATTTATTAGCCTAAGCTACCTCTTATATATACTCATTCCTTATCCTATTTTCTCTCGTCATTCTATTCATACACCTAAACATTCTTATTTCTGCTACATTCATTCTCTGTTTTATTTTTCTGTCTACTACCTAACTCACTGGACTATACAACATAGTCAATCACACCATACTTATGTAGATCTTAACTTTAAGTCTTATTGGAATTTCTTGGCATATAAAACTCCTGACACTTTTCTCAAATTTATTCAACCACACTTAATCTTATGTTTTACATGCTTATGAAAGTCACCGTTATTTTATACAAAACACGCTAAGTACATACTTAAAACTTTTAACTTCGCCTATCACCGCTTTTTATCGTTAGTTATTTTGTTCTGTTCAATTAAAGATTAGAGTTACAGGACAAGGTAGAATCTAAATGCATTTAGTACTCTGTTTTACTTCTATTTATAAGAATTAGTAAAAGTCCCTTTGTCATTATTTTTTTCAAATGGTACTCTCTATTCTGCAAGCTTATTATTAACCTTATTGAAGATTTTCTCCTATCAAAGCTGTATCATCTGTAAACATCATGTACCAGTGTAAATCTTCTTGCCGTAGAGATACCATGGGAGTATTTTCATCCCCATCCACAGGAAAAATGGTATTGTGTCAATTATAAAATATTAGTAAAACACTTGGAAAAAATAAAATGCCGAGCGCCAAGCCGCTAAATAATTTCGTAATTTTTTATTATTTTTAAACACGAAAGTGATTTTTTTGGAGAACTTTAAGTTGCTGAAGACTCCAGCCTAGAGTATAAATAAATATTAGAACAATTTTTACATTTGGATAAATTGTTTCAAGGCCATTCATTTTCATAATTAAATTTTCAAAGTTTGAGAAATAACTGCTTTTCTGAACCAAATTTAAACAATAAATGTTTTAATTTTTTTCATACAAACACTACAAATTTCAATATTATTTATTAATTATCATTACTATTTTTTTCATATTTGCCCCCCCCCAAAAAAAAAATTGGCGCCTTAGGCTTCAGCCTACACAATTTGATGTTAAATACCCCATTGAGTTGACAAAATATAACTATTTAGAGTTGCTTGTTTCTTAAAATATAAAAAAGTTACGATAAAGTTAATATTTTCTGAGACGCTGAGGGTTTTATTGAGGATTGATCACTCTGCATATCGAATTATAATAAAACAATTTTTTAAAACAATGCTGGCATTTTTATGTTCAAAAAAATTTGCTTTTAAATGGAAAATAACGAAATATTTTATACAATTTTAGGCGAACACCATAAATTGCAATATTTTTAATAGTAATAAATATACGTCGTGATTACGTGAATATAATATTATGACATAATATACTAAATTTAACTTTATGATACATGGGGGCCGTGAGGACAGATATTTGTTGAATCATTATTTAACGAAATATTATACATAATTTTATGTAGATATAGAGTTATATAGATTATTATTAGTTAGAACGTTGGATTATAGATGTGGATTGTAATCGAATATTTTGATTTTAGATTTTTAACCGTGATATTTCTTAATTCGTGGTTAGAATATAATATTATGTCTTTGATTAGATTGTCCATAGACAAATATGTATAAAAAAGTAATACTGCTATTCCTGTTACTATAAACTACTACTATTACTTTGTAGTTTGTACCACCACCACGTATGGCTTGGCACGTATGTACCATTTGCGTCATGCGGAAAAGATGGGAGCGGACTAAGTTGGAGGCACTGTGTATGTTGTGCTAGTGTCACACTGCGCGTCGTTGATTGTAAATAAACCGGCGGACGACCCCCATCCATCACCCCGATTCAGTAGCCAGCCGTCGCGTTTCCATTCGCAAACGCCAAATATGGTAGAGTGATATTAGACGGACCTTTTTTCCCTCCGATTCACGCCAGTTCGCCGTGCCGTTGTCCATGCAAATTCTCTCCCCCCGCGCCCCGCGATCGAAACTACGTTCCGGTTATTTTATTTTATTAATATTATTTTTTTTATCTTCTCTCTGTCGGTATTTTGTATTCATATCTCGACTTACGATATTGTGAATATTTGACAAATTTGTTTCTATCAATTACTCATTCATCATTTACGGATAATACTAAATTTAATAATAATATAGATATAGCTGAATCACCAGACTGCTCCGCTAGTTATTTCCGAGATAACGCCGAAAAAATAAACTATATTAAGAGAAATTCTCGTCGCATGAGTCACTGAGGTGAGAACACGTTAATACTATTTTATTTTTCAATATCCTTATGATTGTAGGCCTAATAAGTATTTAACTAATATTAGCCTGTGTAAGTACAGCTTCTTTACTATTGTCTGGGGGCGTGGAGCCTATGTACAGTGGTTTGTTTTTAACCATTTCCTTATAAGCTAATGATTACCATTTACTACACACTTTTATTTACTGATTAACATTTACTCGGTATTTTAACAAGTTTAAGATAGATATAAAAATGATTTGAAATATTTTGTATAATTATATTCATTACACGCCCATTTTTTGGATTCATTGATCTTGGATTTGTATTGTATGTTTTCAATGACAAAATTGTCTAGGACATCTGTTAGTTATACTTCTTATTTTATTTTTTTTAGTTAATGATTGAGATTTGAGTTTTATGCAATTACATTGAGATATTAATTAATATACTTATTAGTTTTTAATTTTAAAAGTTTGATTTTTTGTGTTTTTAAAATTATAAATTGTCAATTAAAACCTACCTACTTATGATTTGAACTTTAAAGAAATTTTTATTTTATGTAATTAATTAATTAAATATTTATTGATTTTATGAAACTTAATCAATATTTTATAATAACCACATAACTAAATTATAATTTAAATTTATTAAATATTAAAATTAATATAAAATATAAACTATATACTTATTGATATATTTAGATATAAACAGTATTTCTGATTATATTTCTGTAATGTTATTTCATTTATGTTAGTTTAGTAAATATCTTGCTTGTTAATAATTTTTAATGGAACCTATTAAGTAGGTTTTTAAAATTTAGTTGATACCTATTATTTTTGTCATCATTTGTTATATAAATTATAATATAAATAATAACTCAACATCATTTTTATTTTTAAAAATTTGAATCTAAAAATATTTTTCTAATTTATTTAAATTGTATACAAATTTACTTAATATTTTACACCAGAGTTCAACAGAGAGTGTGACATACTGTTAAATGTATTGTATTATGAAATTGAGCTGTATCATAGTCAACTTTAAATTATTAGTTTATTGTATTCGCATACAATTATTAAATTTTTAGTTAAGGTATTTTAAGTTAAAAATGTTGTTTCGTTAAAAAATATTTGCTGTGTATCTACCTATCCTCATACCTTACTGATTTTCAGTTTTAGCTAAATGTATACATAATCATTGCTAAATTGCTATACTAAGCAAGTATAGTATTAGTATACTTTAGATTCCTTACATTTCCCATAAGTCATATAATTGCTTATATTCTACTTATCTGTATGACATTCCTGGGAATTCTATACATTTCTTTGGAATTATTTTTTTTCATGGACATTTTTAAGAGCAAGTAATTTAATTTTAAATCAATTATAATAATAAAAATAAGTAAGGCAATATTTAAATTTATAATAACAGTAATTAGTTAATGTTGAAGTGTCTAGTTGGCTTGTTTAATTATGTCAACTTCTCTTTATTTATGATTGTACATGTTTAGTAATTATCATGTTATCTGTTATTCATAGGTTTAAATCATTTTCGTTTATGATTTCTGTTTGAGATCACTAAGTTTCGAAAAATATTTTTTATCTTTTATTCTTAAAAAATATTAAGTTAGGAAAAACAATTTTTATTTTTTATATGACTAAGAGCTACTTAATTTATTTACTTAATCAACAATTTTCCAAGTAGGTATTTAAAAAATATTTGTTTTATACAATTTACATGATAATAAAATTGGTTATGAAAAAAGTTAATTTTTTTCCTGAAAAAGACTTATGTCTAATGTTGATTATTTATTTTAAGGGTCTAGTTTTGTAAATATAATGACATTTTCAAATAAAAACCTACTTATTAGTTTTATAATATTTTACATCTTGGAAGTTAATTTTGATTTAAAATTTATTTGTAGTTTCTATTTAACATTTTTGTTCAATATTTATAGCTACAGCAATCATTTAATTGAATATTGCCAGAAAGCATGTTGCCTATAGAATTATTGCAATCTTAATAACTTTATATGTCTTGCAGATGTCGTTTAAAGTAAGAGCCAGTAAGTTTCGTCATGTTTATGGCACAGCTCTAAAACGAGAATATTGTTATGACAATATAAGAGTATCTAAATCTTCGTGGGACTCAACATTTTGTGCAGTTAATCCAAAGTTTGTTGCATGTATTGTTGAATCAGCAGGCGGAGGCGCTTTTATTGTTTTACCTCTTTCAAAGGTAAGTTATTGAAAATTTAATCAATACTAACTTAATATAAGTATATTTAAAACTTATGTATAGTTAAATGTAAAATTATATTAGTGCTTGTGAATAATACATTTATATACTTATCATTCATTTATTAATTAGATATATAATATTATTTAATTATTTGAAAATTTTATTGTATTCAGAAAAATTAAAGAAAATTTAAAACCTCATTTAATGAAATAAAATTTGTCCTATTATTTTATATTTAAATGGTTTATAATAAAAGGACAGTTGTCCCATTAGTTTTTTTGTGTATTTAAGACAAATTAATGGTTAACATGGGTTAATTAATAGATGGGAAGTACTAATCGTTTTATTTTTACTTAAATTTATATAAAAATGGTATAAAGAAAAAAACTAGAACAGTCCCATTTTTATTTCAAAGTAAAAAGTTAAATGTCAAATCTAAAAACTCAAACGCATGTAATAACAATTGCATTGAAATATAACAGAAAAATTGCTTCACTATATCTAAAATGACTTAGGATATATAATTTAGTTAATATTACCTAATTGTGTATTATTATCAATTTAAATACAATTTAATAAACATAGAATAATAAAATGTATAATGTTGTAGACATAGTTCATTTTAAATCAGAAAAATAATAGAAAGTGTACATCTTAGAACTGTTACCATTGTTTGAAAATAGAACTCGTTTTCTTATTTCCTTGAATCCATTAAGGTTTTATAGTATAATAAGTTGAATAATAATAAATAATAAAAAATAATAAATTGAAGACATATTTTTTGATAAGATAATAGCGCCACATTTAAAAATTATGCATGTCTTAAGAATAATAAAACACAACATATATTATTTATTACTTAGTAAAAATGTCAGAAAGTTACTATTCATGGTAAAATATAAAAATAGTTTCCATGAAATTTGAGTACATTGATAATGCTGTTATATTATTTATGCTTTGTGTAAGCACACAGTTTTTAACCATAAACAAAACACTATGTTAAGTATATTATGATACAATTTTTTTTATTACATATTATCTAAAAGAAAGTGGTACTAGGTATATAATATTTTTTGATTTATTTATATACCTATGAGTTAACTAAAATGAAATTAATAACTATTATTTTGTATAAGCAACTAAATTTGAATTTAAGCCAAATAATAGTTTATTGGGTTATTTATTTAATTTTGAATAAAATTATAGTTAAATAAAATAAGAAATTTGTACATATTATATTTTTTTTAAATTAGACATTATTGATTAATATGAAAAAATATAATTTGTTTGGTGCTGAATATGTGGTCTAAACTCATAACTAATACTGATACCATGTGATACAAATTATAAAATAATAATTTGGGAAATTAATTTTTCTGTTTAGTTTAACTATTAGTTAGTATATTTTATAAATAGCTAGAGAAAGAAAAAAGTGTGTTTTATATAATTTTGAAACACGTTTCTCTAGTAGATATTATATTTATTTTTTTGACCATTCGTTATTGTAGATTGTCACTAATACATCATACCATAAACATTTTTAATATCTTCATTTAACCATTAACCATCAGTAAAATTACATAAATTTTTCAATGAGGAATTGCACTCAAAGCATCAAGCATAAAGCATTTCATTTAAAACAATTGCATAATATTGCTGTAGGTTTTTTTCTGATTTTTATTAAAAATAGCTGAAACCAATGTATTTGTAATAAAAATATATTTAGATTGTTACGAATAAAATAAAACACTTCATTATAAAAATGTATTTAATATATACTATGTATTATATGTATCATATCTATCTTATATCTTCTTATTTATATTAGTATATACTAGTTCAATTACAAAGTCTTGCCATCTTATTTATATTAATAAAAAGAAGTGTGTGTTCATCTATCTGTGCATGATGTACAGACAAATTTATCATACACAGAGATCTGAAAATTTACTTAGAAAAGCACATAAACATTGTATGTACTTTCAAACTAGATTTTCAAATTTCAACCTCTAAAGTGTAGTTCACACAGTATTTTTGGTATTTTTGACACAAAAATTAAATTATTTTTTTTGATAATGAGTTATATTTGTCAAACATATAAAAATAACAGCTATTATTAGTTGATATTGTTGTCACAGGTAAAGAAGTAAATTAAAAAAAAAAATGTATTACCAGGCAGTAGCAACATTAACTGTGATAGCGATGGTAATGGAAACTAAAAGACACAAAATTTTATTTTTTTAAATATTTGTTCAATATTGTTAAAAGTTTATAAACCTTTATTAATACAATGCAATAAGTATATATAATGAAACTTTTAAGTTAGAAGTCCTCTACTTAAACACTGGTATTGAAGTTTTAATCAAATAATTTTTGTTTTGTATACACTAAATTAGAAGGTTTTTACATCAGATAGGTTTGGTTTAACTGAAGTAAACACTTGCAGTGCTTGGAATGACATATTAGTATATTGATGTGATTGGAAAGTTTAATGTAAAATTGTTTAAAAAATAGTTTCGATTCTTTTATATTTTGCTTTTAATATTATTTTTGCAAGTTATATATAGTATTATAAATTCTGTATTATTTAGTAATAGGATAGCTCTCATTATATTACATTTAGTATTTATTAATTTATTCAATTATGTATTATTACATTAAGTTTTGAAATTTAAGTAGTTTAAAGGATATAATGCTTAAGTTATTCTCATAAAAAAGATTATTATCGATACCAGACATGCTATGTAATGTGTTGTTGATTTGTTTATTGTAATTAAATATGATACAATAGTCTAAGAGATCTTGGCAATCAACTACATCAAAAACAAGTACATTGTCAATAGACTATTAATATCATTATTATCTTTGTTTAGATAGTTACTGACTATTTTGAGTTCTATTGTTACAAATTTTGTAAACATCTAATTTTTTTCTAATACAACATAAAAAAGACTTACATCGCACTGTTATATGTGAATAGTTAAAAAAGTAGAATATAGAAAAGAATTTAATGCATATTTGTACAAAAAATGATTCTGAGCAGAGTTTGGTTATCATGTTTTAAAACGCTGTAATGTTTACAATTTGAAAATTATACATTTGATAAATTTTCCGGGTTTTTCCCGTTTATTATGAAAACTCCTGGAAAAATCGAAAAATGACTGACCTCCATAAAGTACCTCCCCAGTCAGATTTCCTTTCAGAAAAAGTGTTACACTTGAAGATAAAGCAAAATGTATGGTAGAAAAGTTGTTATCAGAAAAAAAAAATAAAGAAACATCATTGTAAAACCAAACACATTCTTTGTTCCATTCAGAATCTAAATTTATACTGAATAAATGGAGATACCTAAATCACTTTCTTGAAGTTTCCAGTTTAAATAGTTATAGTTATGTAATTCAATTTTTGTGGAATCTTAATTATATTTATATTTGGATTAAGTTACTATTTTTGTATTTACAATCTACATACTCTATTATTAAAATTTAATACATCCTTTTATAGTAATAATTAATTGATTTATGTTATTTTAATTTGTTTATTTTTTCGTGGATATACTCGACATAATTAGGGCAACCCCACTTAATGACGTTGTACGTCTAAAATAATATATAAATATTAACTAAGTTCATCGTGATTTCTATATTTAAAGTTCTCCTAGGAGATCAAAATAATCAAAAATACATTTGAACGAATGTACCGTGTGCAAAATGCCAATTTTCCTTGCGTCCGATTTGTTGAAAACATTAAGTATATTTCAATATACTTTTGACATTTATATCAATTTTACAAACTTATTATTTTGCATTATTTAAATTAGAAAACTAATTGTAAAATATATTCCTATAAACCATGTGTATTTGTTTAATTTACTTTGAATGAAAAAATGATTTATTTTATGAATTGAATAATTTGTTATAAGTTGATTAGTTGTTAAATCAAAAAAAAAACTTGGTTTGATGAAGGTACATATAATTATGCCATCATTATCATAGTAGTCATATATTAATTTTCTAATTTTACCAATATATTTTACAATCATATATGGGTCATTTAAATTCATTTAGTTGTTTTTTTTATGTATTTATCTTTACTATATGACGTCATAATTTAGTATGCATCCCACATACTGCCAAGAATCAGATAGAATAAAAATGATGAACCTCCTACCTAGATGTTTTCAATGTTAGTCCATATTGTGGTATTTAAACTATTTGATTATACTTCACTCAATGAAAATGTTTAAATTTTTTTTGTATTTAAACATAATTAGTATTTATGAGTATAGAGTATAGTTATTGTGGAATCAATATTTCTATTTCATTTGGTTTTTGGTCATTATACATTATATGTATACTATTTTTTATAATTCATTTAACATAATAATACTACTAAAGAATAAAACTAAATTGTTTATTACCATTTAAAGATGTTTTTACAATTAAATATCACAGTTAGACGGATTTATGTATTTTAAAGGTTACTTTTTTTCTTATTTTCATAGATTATTTCTAATTATTTTGCATTTTATTATAATATAGTAGGTAGATATATTACATTGTTTTTTTTGTTTTATAATATATTCATGCATCAAATTTAAATAATTCAAATCTTATTTGTAAAAATAAAATTTAATGTTGTCCTAAACAACCCTAACAGAAGAATTTATAGATTTTAAACAATATAAAATAAAATATTACATTTGTCACTTAAATTCTTTGAAAGATCATACGGAGTGTTTCTTATATTTGTTGGTAAATCAACGTTATTAGCAACATACAACCATAATTAAATACTGATATAATTTAAATTTATCAAATTTAATATGAAAAAAGTAACAGAAACATTCAAAAGTAATACTCTTTTTGTTATTAAATTTGAATCGATCTTCAGAATAATTATTTTCTTTTGATTTAATACTATATAGAATTGTGTAATTTAAATAACTAAATTTTGTTATAAATAATTTAATGAAATAGAAATATAATGAATAGGTTTTTAATGATAAAAACAATTTTGTAGATACTTTTAATAAAAAAAATTATAGATTTTGTAAAAATTTTAATTTACCAATATATTTTAAAAATTATCTTTCATCTATTTATAAGTATTTCAAATCGAAATATTATTTTCTTAATTTTTGGTATTTAACTATACTTATCATTTTTGTTAATATCAGTTGTGCCATGTTTTTTCATAATTTTCTGAAGTTAAGTATTTAACTGATAAATATCTTTACATAAATAAAAAATTATATTGTCTTTTGGGGTAAGGTAATTTTTAAACTTTAACAATTATTATTATTTATGTTATTTTTAGATTCAAAGTGCGGCAGTGTTAAATTGGTTTTACTATGATATGTTTTTTCTATCTGTAAACAAATTTTCAGAAAAAACTTGCTCCAAATAAAAAATGACGAGACCTTTTTATGTTGAGTTTAGATCTAATTAGTAAATAGAAAAAATAGTTTTTTGATTTTTGATTTAGTTTTTTTTAATAATTGAACCAAAGATTTACAAAAATTATGATTTCATTATTTTCAGTTTTGTTTTTTGTTAAAATTGAGTTAAAAATATTTATAGATACTTGAAATTTCGACAAAATATTTATATTTGTTGTTATATTCGTGGTACAATTTTTAAAATATTTTTGAGCTATTTTTAGACATTTTATGTTTATGAGTTTTTATTTGGTAGATACTATATGGATATAATTATTTGACTAAACAGAAATGTTTGAAAATTTATCATGTGGTTCATTTTAAGTTATACTTAGTGGGCAACAAAAAAAACAAGTGTTATTTTTCTTTGCGATGGTTTTAAGATCAAATTTTGATGAATATCGTGAATATTATGGTCTTTCGAAGCGTGTAAACAAAATTCGCTCAGAATCGTTTTTCGTTTACAGTGGTTTATTGTTGCTTACAGATATAATTTAAATAACTTAACATATTCTACCTTTTTTAGATTTTAAATTTTAAATTCTATTTTTTTTAAAAAAAAGAAAAAGAAAAAAACTTCAATTAATAAAAATGCTCTTTAAATGCTCATTATTTGACTGATGGTACTATTTGTAGAACAATTTTCGAAATACTTTTTCTAAAACATATTGCTGTTTTTTTTTTCTAAATATTGTTTTAGTGAGTGAAACAGTCCGATTTTTCACACGGTCCCTTTAAGCCTACCTTTTCCTCCCAGTAGAACTCTGCATGAAGCACTTTTTGAAATGTTTAACAGTTCATTCCTTTAGCTCGTTTTAGAGTTTTTTCCTTGGAAAACCCTTTTTTTGTTTAGTAAAAATGCTCAATTAGATTATAAGATAAAGATATTAAATGCCCTTTTTCTCCCTGGTGATATTTTATTTGAACAATTTTTCTATTCAATTTATAAAACTGATTAAACCTGGATAAAAAACGGTAATTGAAGAAGTAAAGACCTAATAGGTAGGTCACACTAAAGAAAATTACATACCCTTGTGCAGGAGGGCATGCCTAGGGGGGTACGATAGTTATCTATGACCACAGAGGTGCTTATGATAATTTTTAAAGTTCTTTTGAATTCAATATTTTAACCTAACAAATAACCTATGAGTGATTTTATTTATTGGTAATTTTTTTTGGCACCCGATGATGATTTTGCTACGCTTGACACTACCCGCGTGTGCTGTCTCTGTCTTACGAACATGACATAGCAAATTTTTTGTTTAGCAGAAATAACTTTGTATTCTTAGTTTTAATATTAGAATGAATTAACCTATTACGTAACTTATTGTTAAAAATTATTATCTGTGTAACTATTGGTTTTGAAGATTTTAGTGTGAAATATTATAATTTAAAAATTCTTACATCTCTATTAAAATATAACTGCACAGATAATTTTCTCAAAGAGTTATGCTTGCTAAGCACAAATTTTCTATATTTTGTGTTAATTAGATGGTTATAGAGCATATAAAAATTAAATCCTCTTACAATGTGAAGATTGTGTAATAAAGAGATATGTAATAATGGTAGACCCAAGATTTAATTATAGGGAAGCAGGTAAAGATAGAGAGGGATGAAGAAAAGTTTTTCCATTCCACATTACTCTAAATCATTTATGTCACATTCTACTATTAATATAATATTATCAGCAGAAAATACCTTAAGTTATAGTAACTTGTTTCCTCAACTTAAACTTAACTATTATTATTGTATCCATTTAATGTATTTTGAATATGTATTATGTATTTAATGTTTTAAACTTATTGTAAATTGATTTCACGCCTGTCATTATATTTAAATAAATACATATTATAAATTAGAATAATTATTTGTATAACAGCTTTAATTTTGTTTTTTAAAAAACCTCTACATTTTACATTCTGGGTAGCGCGAGGAATGTATTGATTTTACAATGTTATTTATTTTTTTATGTGAACACTTTATACAAGAAAGCATACTCCGATTATCAAGTATAGCACCTTTTCTGAAAAGAAATATTTTCTGGGTGGTACTTTAAAGAGATTATTTTTTGAAATCTCATTAATATTCGAAATAATGAGGAAAACCTTGGTCTTTAGGTTAAGAAAGATTGCAAGATTAAAAATGAGGTTGTCATTGGCAACTGGTTTTATTTATTTTTGTTATTATTAAGTTTTTATTATTTTAAAAATATTTTTTAAACAATCATTGTTGTCATAGAAACGCACATTGCTCTAATCATTTAACCATAGTATGACATAAATACCATATATTGTATTGTCGACAAAGCAACACTATCAACTGAACTTGACTGAGAATCTTTTTTTTATTAGCAATGGTTTATCATTGCTTACAAATATACATTACATTCCCGTCTATATCCTATCTTTCATACTTCCCATCTACAACATTGGTTTTACTCATGTGCAAAGTATGTAGGTCTTTTTTCATTTTCTAGATATTTTAAAATATTGAAAAGAAAAGATTATAGATGAGATTTTTTATTCTCTTCATTTATGAACCACTGGACAAATATAATCGTTAGGCTGGTCCTTATTTTTGAACTTCAATAATTTTGTGCCTTGGGCTCGAAATTCTGTTATTTACATTGTAAAAATTATTTTTGTAAATTTTGTTTATAATAAATCAACCCCTTCACATGCCTCAAAAGGGTTAAACATTGTAAAAACCGTGTGTTTATTGATTTATTTACATTTATTTTTTAATTTTTAACATACAAATAATTTATCAGACACTTTATTATAGTAAAAAAGATTAAAAAATCAATTTAAAAGTTGGTAGATTTGTAATAGAAAATTTAAGATTATGTATAATTTCAAATCTACCAACTTATAAATTGATTTTTCACATATAATGGTAAGTTTCACTGAAATGTTAAGGAGAGCTATTATGTAAGAAATCTTTTTTACTATAATAAAGTTGTTGATACATTTACTTTTGTAGGTTTAAAATTCAAAATAATTAATGTGAAATCTACCTCTTTTATATTAATTTACACATTTTTGAGGCACTTGAAGGGATTGACTTTTCAAACCCAAAATTAAAAAAAAAAATATTTTTCCAATGTACCTTACAGAATTTCAATCCTGTGAATTCAAATATTTGACATTTATTTTCAACATCTATAGGTTAAAGGCTATCCTAATAGAGTATATAGTATGAAATATTGAAAAACTAATAGTTTCTTTGCTTTGATAAAAACTAAAACTCTAAATTTTATATTTCTCTTTTTCTTTTATTACCTACCATAGTTTATTTTTATTTTAAAATTTGAATACATTGTACAACAATTTTGAAGTGAGTTATGTGTGGTGACTTCACAGAAATGTGGTTCGATTAGTAAATCTCTTGTTTGCTTTTATTATTTTTAGCGTTGCCATTTAATTTTTATTCTAATTTTAACACCAATTTATTTAGTATTACAAATACATGGAATTGTTTAGTATAATATTTTGTGTAATAATAATGAATTCAGAGGGTTGATAATTGAGTGTTAATGTTAAAACTAAATCATTGTTTAATTTGTATGACTTGAGTCATACGTAAAGTCTATGTAAACAAATTATACAAGTGTTGTTTTGCAGTTTTTTCCATTACTACCAAACATTGGTTTATTCTATCTAATATTTTCAATAATATTCCATTTTGATATATTTCATGATCACCCATGCCCCTAAATAATAATGGATTTATAAAATAATAAGATAGTCCTAAAAAATTATTGTTATCATTTTATTGGAAATACCTAAATACTTGTCCAAAAACAGTAATCTATTTTAGTTATTACATGGCCATGAGTCAGATTTTATTTATGATCATACGATACAAACAATAACTTGTGCTTTATTATTATTGATTATCATTTACATGTTTTTAATGTACAAATCAACATTTATTCAAGTTCATTTATTTGTATATAATTTCAATTAATAAGACCTCTCAAAAAGTTTAAATAAAAAAAAATAGGTAAACTTTTTTTTTTTATTTATTTTTTTTTTACTTAATCGAAAGGATAAATGATGTACAAAGATCCTTTTTTTTTCTGTTTCTGTAATTTTTGTCTATGCATCATGTGGAACCTGATGACAATTTAGATAAAGACTTTAGAAAAATATTAGGTTTACTTAAAGGAACATTTAATTTAATTTCATCATTATTGGTTTACTTAATCAGAAGATATTCAAATTTAAAGTTCAAAAATTAATTTGCATTTGCAAAATTTATTAGCACTACAAATATAAGAAAGGCTTCAATGTGTTTGAACATACATAACAAAAATAACTAGACTAGTTTTAGTAACTCTTGGTACTCGTAAGAATCTAGAAAAAAATACTGTCAATAAATCCCTATATATAAGCTTAATTTGTCATTCTTTTTACTTATTTGTAGTTCTTTAATTACGCATTTAAAAATAAAGAAAAACAATTTAATACTTGTCATAAGCAGCAGTCTATATACTTTAACTTTACTTAGGTGTATTATTTTAATCTAATAAAGAATTATCAAAAGTTAAAAATATTTGCTTACAAAAGAAACCTTTATTATTACTCATAAAAGCTGTTACATATATATTTTTAGATCCTATTATACATATTTTTAAATTTATTTTTTGTCATTAAACTTAACTTTCTTTGTGTAAAGAAAGTGCACATGAACATTGTTCAGCTAGTAAAGAATATAGAACAGCTTTACTTAAGATTTTTTTAAAAGCCTCTACATAAAACCTAATCTCTAGATTTTATTTGTACTTTATTTTGTGTTAATAAACATTAAATAGTAAGTTGTTTTTTTTAGACTGGCCGATTACCTGCTGATCAACCTGTTGTCGGTGGTCATAAAGGTCCTGTACTAGACATTGCATGGTGTCCACATAATGATAATGTAATTGCTAGCGGTTCAGAAGATTGTGTGGTAAAAGTTTGGCAAATTCCAGATGGCGGAATTTCACGGTATGTTTGTATTTTAAATTTATTAATTTGTATTTTTTAATAAACTGAATTTTTAATTTTACATAGAACATTAACCGAGTCTGTAGTGGATTTAATATATCATCAAAGAAGAGTTGGTCTTGTTTTATGGCATCCAACAGCCCGAAATATTTTACTATCGGCTGGTAATATTTTCATTTTTACCTTATTTCATACAATTTTTTGGTTATTATTTACACTTTATTGTTGATAGGATCTGATAATCAAGTAGTAATTTGGAATGTTGGTGTTGGTGAACCACTCATACATATTGATTGTCACCCTGATATAGTATTTAGTGCATCCTGGAATTTTGATGGATCACAATTATTGACAACATGCAAAGATAAAAAACTTAGATTAATTAATCCTAGAAGTGGAGAAGTTGAGCAGGTTATACATTCAAGTTTATTTAAAAAAAAAAAAAAAAAAAACAAAAGTATTTATTGTTAATTATCATTATAGGAAGTAATATGTCATGAAGGTAGTAAAGCATCCAGAGGTATATTTTTAAAAGGAGGCCTTATATTTACAACTGGCTTTAGCAAACTTTCTGAAAGGCAGTATTCATTAAGATCTCCTGAAAAATTAAATGATCCTATTATTATGGTTGAATTAGACACAAGCAATGGCGTTATGTTTCCATTATATGATCCTGATACAAGTATGATTTACTTATGTGGCAAGGTAAAACTAAAATTTAAATTAAGCTTAATTTAATTGCATTGTATGTATTATACATTTGTATGTTTTTAGGGGGATAGTGTTATTCGATATTTTGAAATAACTGGGGAACATCCGTTCGTCCATTATATTAATACATTTCAAACACCAGATCCTCAACGAGGAATTGGTATGATGCCGAAACGTGGTTGTGACGTGTCAATTTGTGAGATATCTAAGTTTTATCGTTTAAATAATTCTGGACTCTGCCAAGTAATTAGCATGACTGTTCCAAGAAAGGTAAAATTTAAAGTATTTTATATTTTGTAATATTTTAAAATAATAAAATATTTTTAGTCGGAATTATTTCAAGAAGATTTGTATCCAGATACTATTGGAGATATTCCCGCAATAGATGCTGAAGACTGGTTTAATGGTCAAGATGCTGAGCCAGTATTAATATCCTTAAAGGATTATCATCAACCCACACGGTTACCAACTGCTTCTGAAATGAAGGTGGCTAAAAAGCCAAATATTCTGGATAAACCATCTGCAAATAAAACTGCTAAAACCAGTTCAAACAACACCCTCGCAACACCTGTAGCTAAACCACAGTTTATACAACCACAACAATCAATTCCAGTTAGTAACAATTAACATTTTAAAATAAAATTATTAAATAATTTGATGTTAATATACCAGATGATACACTAAACTGGAAACATTTGTTATCTTGAAATGTATTGACTTTTACTGAATTTCTTTTTGAATCCTAACAAACAAATAGTCCTAAAATACATTATCATTTTTTTTGTCATCTTTATTTTTGATGGTTAAACAACTACCTACCATTAATTTTTAAATAGCAGTATATATAGAAAATGCCTTAAATAGTATAGGTGGTTAGGTTATGTTTAAATAGTGGTGTTAAAATTTTTGATTTCCATCAATTTGTTGACAAGGTATTCTATTTTTAAATTTGAGTCAAGGTAGAGTTATGGTGCATTATTAAAACGCTGTGCACCGTGTTGTCACACAAATAATGCTTCACTGCTCTCCCCTGACCCAACCTTAAAAGTGGAATATCTTTTGTTAACCCATTATGGATTGATGGAAATCAAAAATTTCAACACCAATATTTTAACTAATACCGGAACCTATTTTTTGAATTTTTAATACAGGTTGCCATTTTAAAATCAAAGTAGGTAATGGTTGTATCCCAAAATTAAGGGTGACAAAAAAAAAAAACAAATGTAAAATTGTAGAGCTGTTTGTTTCTTTAATGTTTTATAAAACCTTTCACAGCGACATGAATAGATTCTTTGGTATAAGATAATTTGTTTATACAAAAATCAGTATAAAATGTATAGATTATTAAATAATGGTAAATTTTTCCTTTTTATTTTCAATTTTTGTATTTGTATCTTAATTGTACGTTAATTTTTTTTTTTCACAAATTTTCTTTAGAAATTTAAATATTATATTACAATTTTTAGAATATCATTTACATGATGGAAAAAATAGGCGATCCAGATAAAAATTTAATTTTTTTCTAAATATATGTCTCCCCTAAAGAAAAACAGATAGGAAAAAAAAATAGAATATTAACAGCTTTAGCTCTAGTGAGGTCCTGTTTAATTGGAGGAAACATTAAATGTCTACAAATTTCTTTTAGGATGATATTGTGAAAGAATTTAAAGAAGAAATAAGGAAGTTGAAAGCTATGATTGTGAAACATGAAAACCGCATTAGGACTTTAGAAGCCCGAGCCATTGAAGATGCTACTGACACAGCAAAAGAGAGTGGTGACTCTCTTGTTGTAAAAAACAATGATCAGAATGATGTGGAATCTAAACATGATGATAATGATCTTATTGATGCTAATGACGACGAATAATTTGTATGGTACAAGTATTTATTTAATACAATTTTAAGAGACTTTAAAATAAAGTCAATTTGTCCCGTTTATATTGGCTAAATTTATGACAACATATTTATGTAATCACAAAATAACATGCTCAAAGTGGTTTCAACTCTACTTTTCTCTAGTCTTCAGTGTGTGTGTTTTTTTAATTTTTAATATCAATATAATACTTTAAGTTATGTTCCTCTTTCCCTTGATTTGTAATCGTCCTTTAATTTTATACGAGTTATATTATTAATTGTATTCTCTCCGCACTTTTTATTCACCACATAAAGTTATTTTTGTTAATTTCATATTGAATGGTTTTATAACCCAAATACGAATACTGTTAATGAAATGCTATAGATTTGGTTGAATTAGTCAGATATTTAAAAATATCATTATTATTCCTTTAAAATTGAGAACCTCGATTAAAAAATTTAAATTGTTTAAAAGGTATTTTTACAATTTTCTAGGATTATTATGTGATTTTAAACAATAACCAACCTTGATTACAAAATAATAGTACATTTTTATCTTAACCTGGGACTTCATAATTTAATATGTGCTTCCAAAAAATTGAATTACCCCATGAATCTCTAGTCCTTTAACAAGCATTACAATAATCTATTAACATGATGGTGCGTATTATTAATAATATGTTATTGTAAAATAAATTATTTTATATACTGGTGTGAATACAACGAGTGTTTCATGAAAATGTTTTTTGTGCTGATAGAATTAAAAATAATCCATGTAATTTTGATAATAGAGATTAGCTTGACTGTAAATTGTAAAACACTGTGTTATAACAAAAAAAAAAATATATATATATATGTGTATAAGGTAATTATATATTATACAATAGGCTTATGTAAAACAAATTATGGTAAACTAATAATACTCATTTTTTGAATATAATACTTTTAATTTGTTTTTAATAAGCCTTTAAAATTAAATTAATTTATATTTTAAACAACGAAATTTTATTATTTTAATATAGGACATAATAGATTTTAAATATTATAAGATTTTAACCCAATTATTGTTTTAGTTTTTAGTTTAACTGGTAGTATAAAATCAAATACAATAATTAAAATAACATTTATGTGTGACTGTTCCAATTATAGTGTTAAATTAATCTAGGTTTTTATTTTATTTTGTTGTAAAAAATTAAATAGTATTAATTCATAATTTACTTGGGCAAATAACTAATATTATATAAACTATGATGAAGGAACATAATTCTATGTTGATTATATTAATAGCATTTAATTATATTAATATTGATATTGACATCAATTTTTGTATGGTTAGTATATATTTATGTAGAATACAAAACAAAATGTATACTGTTATTACAGTTTGTAGCACTGTAATTGGAATACTCACATTTCGTTTTAAATTTCTATCGTCCTATTATGCATTTAATATTTTTAATTTTGTAAGTTGCATTATTAATTAGTAATTTAAATGCAAAAACGACTTATATTTCTGTGAACATATTATAAGTTTTAGCTTATTTTAAACATTGGAAATTTTAACAAAATTACACTTGTTATTCAAATATTAACACCATCAATCCGTGTTGTGTTTTTAATAATATCTACCATTAAACTGATAAGGTCTATTTACTAAATAATTTATTAATTCTCCTTCGTCGGGTTGCTATGTTATTAAAAATCTCAGTACATTTTTTTCAAATTTTACAATTTAACCTTACAGGGTGCCTAAGCGAATTTTAACATTAATCTTTATAGAAAAATTCAAGTGCCAATTTTGTGGCCAATCAAGTGCCAATCAACTCAAATTTCAGTTTATTAAATTGTATGGTAACCAGTCTGCCATTGTTATCACTCACAAAATTTGTTTACTGAAAACAACCATAAATAATAATATATTATTAAAATGCTCAACTCGTTTTGTAATACCCATTAATAATATTGTGTTGAAATTACTTATATTAAATAATTTACAAATTTAATCTCAAATATTTTTATCACACTAAGCATCACATAATCGCATATGATAAATTCAGAACTAATATGCTGCGAAACATAAATCTTAACTTCTGTCATTTATCATCCTTTAAATTCATAATATGTAAATAAATTATACCTTTAAATAAATTTGTTATCTATTTTTATACATTTTGTGTAATACGTTTTGTCATTTAAATGTATTATTATTATTATTATTTTTATCATTATTATTACTACTATTAGTTAATGGCTATTTAAACATAAAACTATATTATTATACATATAAACGAGTATATCTCAATAATAATATCGCGCTTTTTTAATCCAACATTTTTAACCAAAACTTCTTCCTTTATTTATGTCTTACCTATTGTCAACAGATGGCATTTTAAATATTTTAAGTATTGAAAAAAATTGTATTTTGTTATAATAATAATATATATTGTATTTTATTTTATACTCTTTTCTTATGTAAAACATATATATTTATATATTATATACATTGTATCTCTCAGTAAAATATCAAAATAGTCCAGCTTCTAAACAATATATTGACTCAGTTTTATTTATATTATTAATTTAAGGGATTGAGGGAAACTCAGCCATGGGCTTATCATGTAAAAGTGTTGTTTAACAGTGTTTGTTCAAGTCTCACTCATTGGTTATTTTGTTATCTTTTTATTTGGGTGGAACCTGTTGAGGATAAAAATAATCAATATTCCTCAAAACAAAGTCCCCTCTCCTACTCTCCTAAAAAAAAGTCTTACTGATTGTCACAAGAAGATAGGTATGTAAACACATTTCATTTAAATAAAGCATTCGAATATGAATTTTACTTTCATCAGTTAAACTGACTAAATCATCTTTTAGTATTGTTTAGAAGCAAAAATATTTTTGATTGACTTTACTTTTTCTAGCTTATACTATATATTCTGTATATTGTTTCTAGTATAATACTGTATGATTATAATGTGTATAGACTATAGGTATTGATTTTATAATTATATATTACATATTATATTATAAAATCAATGGAATAGGTAATACTTAGTTTATTTATATAATTGTGTGCGTGTGATCAGATAAATTGAACAGAGTGTATTAAACTTTTCAAAAACATAAATATTGTTTAACATTTGTATTTTCACTATTTATTTGTATTGTATTGTTTAGTTGAATATACAGATATGTTCAGTGATGTGCCATTTACACACAGTTGTTGTGTGTTTGTAAACCTTTCATAGTTTCACCCAAAATTGTATTGTTAAAACGTTGTACATTGACACTTGACGATCGTAAAACATACTAATATTTTGATTAAACATGACTACTTGAATTACATTCTTCTTTTGTACTTATAGTTTCTTTCAAATTAATTTTTATTATCATTTCTTTAAATTAAAATGTAAATATTAGGCAAACAAATTAATTATAATTGTTTGGCAAATGAAAATTAAAACGTGACTAGATTAACATAATTCAAATATTGCTTCAGGTCATCAAGTGAACATATATTTTATCCATATTGTAATACTACAATATATTTAACATTTTATTTTCCATCACGTTAAATTAATAGAATTGGCTCGTTTACGGTGGACCCACAAACGTATTAACAGTATATACGTGGGTAAGCGTTTTGTCAACGTGATAACAAATAATGTGATGTTATTAAAGTTGTAACTGTCTAGTGTTTACAGTACTTGTATAGTTTTTTTAGATCTTACTGAATGGGTATAGTTATACTAATAGCTTATATTATATACTTATTATACAATAAGCTACAACAATTTAATACAGCACAAAAGGAGGTATTTATAAACAATAACCTGGAATAAATAATAATACTCAATAATATAAATAATTTAATTTTTCCAAATTTCAATTGGTATATTTGTTTGTGTATTTGCTTAGTATAATGTGTTAAGTTTCAAACATAAGACAAATATGGTTTTTACATAAAATGAGTATTTACTTATTTTTTTAAATATTAACAAATTAACCATAATATACACTCGACCATATAGATATAATATTATGTTTATGTGAATGTGTCTATGCACTTGACCAAAGGAGAATATGGTCACAGACTGCTGAGCTGAACAATCACCAAATATATTCAATCGGAAATGAGGTAAATTACTAATGGAAACAAGTGTACAAAAATTTGTTAATCGGGGAAATATTTGGTTATCATTCAGGAAATCTGTAGTAATCTAGGAAACCTTGGTAATCGGTAAGAAAATCATAGTATTCTGGAATCTGGTGTACCTACATATATTATATAATATTCATGAGTGATTTACCCCTATGGGGAAATGCATATATTATGTTAATTTTGCGTATGATTGACAAGAAATGATTATTTTCGAGGCGTTATACCGGTATATGTTTCTACATTTAACTGTTTATTGCTTATATTATTATCGTATTTATTAGAATTTAGCATCTGAATCAATTTTCCATGTACTTATAGCATTCTGACCTATGTATCTTGTCCTGGTTCCGCACCTGATATAAGAAGTCTAATCAGTGGCTTCTCTAGGGTTTGATTTTGGTAAGGGGCAATAAACATCACACAATTATTAACCCATACTTTTTTTTTTTAAATGTACATATAATTAAATTTAAGTACAATTTATTTGTACTGTTATCATTTCACCTTAATTTATATATTTTCACTTATTCTTTGTAAATTGCCGTTTGACGTTAATAAAAAAATGAAATAAAATATAATGATGATAAGCAGGGCTATGAATTTAATGCACTAAGTGTTGAATATGCATGTATTTATGTACTAAAAATAGACGAGATATGCTTTAAAGTATGCATTGCCTATATTAATAAAACCTTCTGCTTTTATTAAGTACATAAACAAAAACAAAATTCTTTATTTATATATTTATCTTCCAGTGGTTTATTATCAATTGAAAAAAAAAGGAAATATTGAACATATTATATTATAAGAGTATATCCTTTGAACTCTTTGTATTTTAACTATTAAATTGAACAACTGCATGACCAATTTATTATTACAGTAAGTAGGTATCTATTTATTTATGTTTTTAATAAATTTATAAAAGATTAGGTACGAATGTATATAGTAGATATCCAAACAATTATCGGATAACAATTTAAATTAAATATCTGATTAGAGATAGAACATTTTCATTGAAACTATAAAAGAAATATTATTGAAAACAAACATTGAATTGGATTACACACTGGGCGATTCGAACTCGCGTCTCTGTGCATTTCGAAATTAAACATATACTTTTATGTGGGTTTATTCACACACAAAAATAAGACGCGCATGTTTAATTTTTAACGTTTCTTTACGTTTTTTAACTATAATCAAACACTTATTTTCGTTTTTGATAACAATATTATTTTAACATAACCATGGTTGTAGTTAGACAACCATGACATAACCACAGTTATTATCATTTGTCATTATTGATACACACCATTGGAAAATTCTAAATGTATCACTCAAAAGTCTTTCCGAAACTCGTTGCTCAAAAGTCGATGCGTGTAAGTCTCTAGACAAAAATTGGTGTTCGGTTTTAAGAGCGTTAACTACAATAACTGAAGATAAAAGTGAAAATGTTTCAACTTGCTGCGAAGCAAAAGGTATATTGAAAAGTATAAAAACCTTTAAAACATCATTTATGCCAATATTTTAGGGAGATATATTAGAACGGTTTAATGCATGTAGTTTCTTACCTACCGTCAATTCAAATTGATTTGGGTATTGTGGTAGAAATTTACCAGTCATTGATAAGTTTTATACATGATATTCGGTGTAATGACATGTTTAATGATTACAAAACTCGAGCAATTGAAAAATATGGCATTTCAAGTTTAAATACAAATACTAAACGTAAAAATTTTTTCGATGAAGGCAACAGTGAAGAACATGTCTTTGATGATGAATTTGAACATTTTTAAGTAAATACTTATTTTATGATATAAGACCAGATTAAATCTGATTTAGAAAAAAGGAAAATTGCCTATGACAATTTAACTTTAAAATATAATTTTTTTTTTATCACTTGACAGAACTAACATCTGCTGAAATTAAAAAAAAAATCTGAGTCATTGCAAGATATATACAAAAACGGTTTAGGATCCTAATTCTCTGTAGAATGTGTTCATTTTCAAAGCCACGTTAAAAGTTTAAAAAAACAAAAATGAGTTTTTTCCAAAAAAAATTTTAGAATAGAGTCTTTATATAAGAAACAACAATTTAGATGGAGTGGGAGGGGCGCAAAAACTGTAAATACGGGCCTAGTCATTAATCAAGATTAATACTATCCTATTTTATAATAAGTTGGACCAAATCACACGTATTGAAAATTATCTTATCAAAATCGGTTGAATAGTTTCAAGGTGGATCGTATTTATTATCTATTTCGGTAATTTTTTTAAATTAATTATAATATTATAATGCATGTTATGCATTTTTAATACAAAGCCTAACCTCTGATTTTTCATAAAAGAGCGTCGTTCAATGATATTATCCACTGGTATACTTATTTCCTGGTAAATATGTAACAGTGCAAGCCCACATAAGCGATACTGGCGCGTTTATTTTGTAACTAGAAATCAATGTAAGAGACAACGGTCGAATCGTCAAAACGAAATGATAACACCAGAAACCTTGACCCGGTTCGACCATAGATAAAAAAAATATTTTAATATCTATGGATTTGACTATATAATCATAATATTATAAACTTCATGAAAAATAATTTTAAAAACCCCAAAACAAATAACAATGCACACATTTAATCAGACAAATTTATCTAATTGCTGCATTGAGGAGGTAATTTTTTAATTTCTCTTGTAGTTTTTTTAATAATGGGGAAAATATGGAATATTTTCGTTATAGCGGTTTCTGTTATTTTCGATTATTTTTTTGTTGCGATTCGATTTTTGCCGAACAATATGCATAAAGGGTGATTCACTAAGCGTACTCACCCCATTTTTTTTTTTTTGTTAAATTTTGTATATATTCAAATTCTAATTTGTAGAATTTTTGAGTGTAGTTAATGCCGATAATTTCGAATACTTAGATTTTTCACAACATTTAAGGAGTATTCTATAACGATACCAACTTTGGTTTTTCAAATGCTAACCTATATTAAAAATTCCATAAATAGATGGAGTATTACAGAGTTGGTATTGCGGCAGAATACTCTTTAAATGTTAAGAAAAATCTAAGTATTCGAAAATATAGAAAATTAACTACATTTAAAAAATTCCACAAATCAGAATTAGAATATACACAAAATTTAACCGAAAAACTGGGATAAGCACGCTTTGTCAATAATTCCAGTGGCGTAACTGGAATTTTTTTTAGCAGGGTGTTCTTATTTTGTGTTTAGATGTAATTTTGTAACTTTATTGTGCGCATGTAACACACATAACATACTTAATAATTATCTGTGTGTTACACAACACAACGTGTAGATAATGAATAACTGTATGTAGTGAAAATTATAATTTTTGACGGTGGGGGGGGGGGTGTTTTGGTGTTCAAACAGCCCTCACCCCTCGCTACGCCACTCTGAATCATTCTGTATGTGTAAATATTTTATTACTTTATAGACGTGGTACAATTTTCGAAATATTCAACTGTAAGTACATACTACATTTAATGTTACTGTGTTATTTATATAACAATTATTTAATTATTTAGTATACCATACTCGCTCAAACATTATGTATGCACACTGTACATTCATATTCATCTAAAGCCGCAATATCGTTTTTCAGTTGAACACTTTTCGCTTTTTAGTTGGAATATGAAAATGTGGTAAAACAAAGTAATAACAATAATAATATTATCAACCTGAATAATTGAGAGTAGTCATAAACATAATGTGTTTAAAAAAGTCACCTCCGAAAAAAATTTCGCTTGGGGCGATCATCCAGCGTTCAATCCAGGTATACTCTAGGGGGGGGGGGAAATGCCTCTTCTAGAATTTTATTCGCCCCTCCCCTCTCCTAAAAAATACAATAACTGTAAACAAAATGTATTTATTAAATGTACAGTACTCGTTACTCTTTCCAATTTAAATCGAAATGAGCAAAAATAGTGAGCCCTTCCCAGAGAAATTCTCTGAATTCCACACTACGATCACCCTCAACCTACCAACCGCCCTAAATTCGTCAAGCAATAATGCCAATAACTGCCACTATTGTTGATATATATACATCGTGTATAATTTATCCTCGAGTTCCGGAGTAACACACATAGGATATGATTTATTGCGAAACATCGTCGTTTTTTCCGCCGGTTTCCTGTGCGGACGTCGCGGTCGGTCGGGATAACGATACATTTATAAAAACGTTGTTTGGCCGACCGAGTCGACCTTCCAATATGGTGCGGCTATCGCGGAACGAGCGAATCATCTTGACCCGTCTACGCGTCCGTCGTGCGTCGGGTGGCAGACCGGTTTGTGACGGCTCGCGTTCGCGATATTTCTTTGGAGCTGTAACCACCACGCGGATTTGCCTTCCGGCGAAGTGCCCTCCGCTCGCGTAGCGTTCATTTTCGTGCGTGTGGTTTTGGTAACGGGTCCCGTTCACCGACCATACCCATTTTAGAACATAAGATTGGTACTTGAATGCCGAACCTGCGTCTAACTTATATAACTATTATCAAACCGGTATGGCTGGTATAATAATTCGTTATCTGTGCATTTCTATGCGTATATTAGGTAGATATCATTATATTATTATATTATTACAATAATGATAATTATACATAATCCGGGGCCTATATTTTTCGTGTTGCAGTTTGTAACATATACATTTTGCAGTTGCAAAATACAAGCGTGAGCACTCGTTGCAAATTATCGCGTCATGTTGTTGGACGCAAAAGTAAAAGTTTTTTAAAAATATATTGTCAATTTATCATAAAGTATATAGTATTATGATGTGCCATTTTTGTTTAATGTATAACGGCCGTATCTAAAATAGTAAATCTAAAATGTATTATGTACCGACTTGTAAACAATGTTAAAAATGTCTAAAAACAATCAATAGAGATTTAATCATAATATACCGTTTTCGAGTTTATTGACGTGCAATGGAAATTTGAAAGTGCAACATTTTCATATAACTAAGTTTTATAAAAAAAAAAAAAAAAAATAAGAAAATATATCTATTCTGGTTTATTCATGCCATAAATCAGTAAAGTTATTATAATTTTTTTTTTTAATATCAGAAACACGGTTCATTTGCATCAATGTTTACATCAGCGATGCAAATCATCAAGACATTAGTTGTGCGGTTAGTGCCATTAAATAGATTATGATACATGATATACTAAACCAATTCATCAGGTTTAAATCTTTTAGCCTTCGGTGCAAATAGTACATTAAATCAAAAATGCTATTATTAACTTATCTCCCCTTTAACTCTTCTCATTCCACTCTTTATTCTTGCTCACTCTCATTTATATTATGATCAAGCCCTAATCCGGGAGATCATGTTTCTCGGGCCCACAGATATAAAGGATCCATTGTGTCATTAATTATTCATTCAACGGTCATTAAAAATTATTATAAAATTAATATTAGAGGACACATTTTCAAGTTTAAATCCGGTATTTATCGAACCCTGAATGTGGTCTTGGCTATAATTATATACGCAGTAGGTAGCAAACATTATTTTTAAAATCCTTGATGCTGTTATAGTAAAATCATATTTTAATAATATAGTACATGGTTATGATGGATATCGACTATCGTATACAATGTACATGATACATTATATTTATAATTAAGGCAAAATAATAGCCTCAATAAAATAATGAACTATTTTGGATTGTTCTTTTAATGGTTGAAATATACAATAGAATATTTTGATTTTATATTAAATTATTTGGCTGAAGCTATTTTCTGAAAATTAGGAAATCTGAATAGATTTTCTTTGATATCTAAAATAGTTTTTAAGCCGTTTAAGTACGTGTACTTGGGTTATTATTATTGCTTTGAAGAGAAAATAAAAATAACATTTTAAATAAGTTGAATATTTTTTTTAAATAATTGTTTAGATCTTTTAATTGATACTATTTCGTTGTCTAAGTATTGGAAAATAGCGGATATTTTAATGATTCAAAAATTATTTGAGAAGATACCTATATGTTGCCTATAGTGTATGTTATTGCATCTAATTATCGAACCTAACCACTCTTTTTACCCATTTAGTCTAACTATACACAATTATGTTCTCCATCGGCTCTATTGAATGATTGGTCGCACGTGGTAAAGATAAATCTAAAAATATTTCATATAGTTTGATACCTAACTCTAGCAGCTTTTAATAAAATATTTACCTGTTTACATTTTTTAGCAGTATTAAACTATTTGATTATCAATAGTAGAATTATTCCATATAGTTATTCATATTTCATTTCTTATACATTCGCAAATACTTTACGATACCATGACGGAAAAACATGTGTAGATTAATATTATGTTTGGGATTAACAACATAATGGTTCGTTCGGTTTTTCACTGTTATTCATAAAGGTAAACTCAATAAATAAAAGTCGTGTGACATAAAAAAAAGAGCTGATACTGGAGACGGACGCAACCACTGTTGTAGGCGGGTAGTTGGAAAGGTATAGGATACATAAAGTTATTTATTCTATCTACCCGTAAGTAACGATAAACCATTGCTTATCATGCATTATATACAGAGTGTCACTCGAAAATATTTTCATTGGGATATCTTGGAACGTATTAACTTTTCATAATTTCTTTTTTTACAATATAAGAAATAAGTAGCTCTTAAATGTCATATTATCATTATTTTGAGTCACTCTTATTTTTTGGGGTGAACCGATTATCTAATTTTAATTTTCAAATAGCAATTTATAATAATATTCCATAAATAAACGGAGTACTAGTATAAACACATTTTGGTGTTAACAAATTATTTGATTTCCGTAGGCCCGTTGACGAAGTATTCCACTTTTAAGTTTGGGTAGGGAAGAGTAGCGAGTACCTATTATTCAGACGTCACGCACTATGATGTCATACAAATAATGCTCCACTACTCCCTATCCACCCCCTATCCAAACTTTAAAGTGGAATACCTCGTCAACAGGTATAGGGAAATCAAAAATGTCAACATAAAATTGTATTTTTTAATATAATAATAATCAGAAATTTATATTACTGGTAGGTATTGAATTTTGAAAATGTAATTAGTAATTACTCATGTTACATCATGCTATCATTGCTGTATTCTATACTGAGGCTTATTTGTGGTATAAAATTGTACATAATTATGAAAACGGAATTGGTTTTATTTTATCACTTTTAGCATTATGCAAGAAATATTTTGTTATTGAATCCTTGACACACGTAAACGAGTTGATATTGATCATACATAATACATTAATATACCTATTTACTGCATAGAGAAAACGGGTTAAAACTTATACATCCTGTGTAGGCAATGAATAATGATTATTTTAATGACATCATGTATAAGTAAATAAATATATTTTGTACAGGTTATGATCGAATTAATACAATGTTTCACATTTGCGTTTAATAATAAATTCACCGATTTGACCATTGGAACGAGGTATTGCTAGATTGATTATATACATAGGTAGCTATTATAGTACTTATTTATAAAACATTGCATTTTTTCCGGAATAATTTCTAGTCACTTTTTCTTCTACCTTTTCCTCGATTTCTATCTATCTACACCAATATCCATCTTCTTAAGCATCTCATAATTTCTCCCCTCTCAACATGTTCCTATCGTCTCAATATTCTCTCTCATTTTTCATTTTTCAAAAGGCCTAACTGCTGTTTATCTATATGCAATAAGCCTAAAAAACAGTAAGCGGATTGAGAAAAGTAGTTCGCAAACGGACTACCTCATTGCAAAGACCCTAGCCTTTTCGCAAAAAGAATAATTTTCCATATGGCCTACGAAATATATATAGTACCTATTTAATTATTATTATTAAAGTTTTTTGGTTTTATGTACCTCGGTAAAAATGTTGTTATTTATTCTTATCAGCATTCTAAGTAAAAATACAAACAATATGTATTTATTATATAGTTCCAAATGAATATAATTGTTGGTGGCCTAACATAATCTATAACAAAATACTTATGAGTATCTTACTATTACAAAACAATTTTGGGTGGGAGAGACTAAAATATGTTACTATTAAATAATTTCGTGTGTTATAAATATTTGTAATACTATCAAATATTGTTACAGGGACACCGTGTTACCGTGTATAATTCACACAATTCATATTGAATGTAATTTTTACTTATCAAATTAATGTCAAAAATTACTAATTCTTAGTTTGTTTTTACTTACGCTGTTTTCATAATTTTCTAAATATAGATTCATTTAAATAATCATTGATAGTTACCCAAAACTTAATAAATAATAATTAAATAAGTGAATAGCTGGTTTTGCTGTGAGTAGTATAAAAGTGACCTATTTTTACCTATACTTATAGTTATTTTTAATATTGAGTGGAGAAATTTAAATAATAGCATTAGGTTAAACGATACTTAAACGATTAAACGATACTTAATGCTTTTATATGAAATTTATTTTTGTGTGCAAAATAAGTCACTTTTATATTTGTATACATTATAGGAACATAATATTTTTATTTTAGTGTACACCAAGAATAAAAACGAGTTATTGTAGTTTTCAATAGTAGCTATTTAGTAAGGCCAGTAACAATGATTGTTGTACAGATATTATTGTGAACACTAAATAGGAAGGTATATATAAATTGTATAAATCACTAAATGAGCTTTACTCCTATACTTGAAACCAAACGCCTTTCCCATTCGTGGCCCTGGATGACATACCTATTAAATTTATCCTGCGTAAATTAAGAAGTAAAAAAGAAATAGTAAAATATTTTTTTAAATCTAATTTTTAATTATAACCAATACCAATTAATTTTTAAAAGGTTTATCTGTTATCCCACAACAACTATTATTTTCAAATTTCAATTTACCCTTTCAATCTTTTTTGTTATTCTTATCTACTAGTTATAGTTTTCTATAGTCGTTCATATTAGGAAAATTATTCTCCTTAGTTTGTGTTTGCTTAATTTAGTAGTTTTTATTCTTTCAAATATTTACATTTATAATGTATTTAGATAAACTTTCTCTGTCAGTTCAAACATAGCCACATAGGAAACCAATAAAATCAATTATTAATAATAGTTATTCACGTCCATTGAATTATGTAAAAGACACTGTAGGTGTAGTTATACCAAGTAAAACAATTATTATTTGTTTATAAATAATTACTTTTAAACAATTCTAGTAAAAACAGTGTACCGATTTCAGTTGGTTATTAATTGGTTAATACTTATAGGTATACTTATCTTTATGCATTTCAGACTGGTATAATTACTATTATAATTAATAATACTTAATGACATTAATATACGTTTATTTATAAATCAGGATACAAATTAATGAAAACAATTTATTTATTAATCTATTCATTAAAAAAAAAATAATATTAAACACATTTTTATTTACACCAAAAAAATTTAAAAAAAAATTGGAGGTCTTTTAAGAATATTATTCTTCCTCATATGCTTCAAAAATATATCTATATGGCACGCACAAACCAACAATAATAATCCGAATAGTTATTAATTGATAACAATAATTACTATTTATTTTTCTTCTTATTAAATCCTTGTTAATCGAACAACTCATTGTTAACCATTTTATCGAAACCAATACGATATCTTTACACATATATATTAGTTATAATTTACCTATTATAAATAAATGTATATACAAGTAAAATTTTTTTTTTAAATTTTAATATAATATGTATAGGTTTATCCTGTACGTTGTAATAATATAATATTGATAATAATATATAGGTATATTTTTATAATACCTACATATATATTTACTTTGATATTTTGTGGTTTATTTGAAACTGCAATGATATTGATTTTTGTTAAAAGTAGAAAAGTTCAAAAGAAAAAAAATAAGGCTCGGAAAAACATACATTTTGACGAATTCGATTTAAATTAATAATAATTGAAGTTACACCTATCACTAGTAAATTTTAATAAATAAATTATCTATTTATTATTTGTTGGTTTTTTAGTCAATTTGATGGTCTTTTTATTTATGTACTTTTGAAAAAAAAATCCGGTCATGTCTGAACCCCTTTAAGCATATAAGTATATTTTTTACCATTCTATAAGAGAATTTGGTTTAATTGAATAATAACAATTATTATTTATCTTTTTAATTAAACTGTAAAATATTTTTAGTAACTTATAATAAGGATTAGGCTAGGAATTTTTTTGGAAGGAGAGGGGCACAGACCCCATGGACTCTTCCTGATTACTTGTTTGATATGGATAAACCTCTGAATAAACAATGCCTTAATAAACGTTGAAATACAATTATTTTTCATCATTCGCATATTACCTATATTATTAAACGTCATGCTTCCACGCACATATTATAACGCACTGTAAAACTCGGCGACCTTGCCACCACTTTTTCCAATATTTACTTACTCTACCCCCCCAATAATCATTATTATTATGGTCGTATGGACTTCTCGAGAGGAAACATGTTTTGTATATGGTTACCGTTCATATGGGCAACGATTTATTCGACGACGGTCAATGAGTATTCTATGTTTAAATACAAATTAACGGAAATTTTTTCTCTAAAAAAATAATAATGACTTTAATAAATGATGATTCTGGATCTATTCTCCATGGTAAGTTGTATATTGAATTTTAACTTTATATAAAATTTACTGCACAATGACACACCTATACATTTTTAGTTTTAAGCAAGCAAAACCTTAAAATTAGCAATTAATGTAATTTATGTTATATTGTTAACTATAATAAGTAAATAAGACTTAAAAAAAAAATCATATGCATATAAATATATATATATATATATATATATATATATTACTATGATAGTATCTATATAAACAAATTCGTAAGATAAAGTAAGTAATTCATTAACTTATTTAAAAAGTCATAAAATAGTTTATAAATTAATTTTTGTACCTAATTTAAGATATGATTAGGTATCATAGTAAAATACCATATACAATATACATTGTACCATATACAACATTATTGTTAGGTTATTCAATTACATTATGTTGGCACGAGTATTAAAAATATTATTTGTTATTCATATTTTTCAGAGTCAATTAAAGTCAAAGAGAAATCAGTAATTCCAATTACAGCAGAGGAAGAATACGCAAAAAATCCAGAAATTTCAAAACAAAATATAGAAGACCTAAGAAAATGGATAGCCACACAACCACATTTACCTCAAAATGTAACAGGTGAGTCTTCCAAAAATTTAAAATACGATAGTATTTAATTAGTTGAGTAGCAATAAATAATTATTATTTTAAATGCGCTTAAATAGTTTACTACGATTTATAGTAATTTACTAAATGAAAATAACGACCAATAATCTTCAATAACTCTATTCTGTGATGTAGGCATATTACGTTTCTTACTAACCGTTTACAAATTTGTAATTAAATATTATACCTATTATAAATGTTCACTAGTATTTTAAAATTTGTTTTAGGCTTTCCTATCTATGTTTGTGTCTAATAAATTTATGCTTCACATTATACAAATGCAATTTCATTTTTTATTACACAGGTACAAATATGTATTAAGGTATATAAACTAATTATAATTCTACAAGTATTATAATAATATATTGAAATACTTACCATTCAAATCTAAATTATTTATAATTATAAATATTTATTTATAGGTCTATGGTCTATACTCTCGTTATTTATTTAATGAATATCCATTATATCTATTATGTTCACTAATGTAGTATTTTATTCGTTGAATAATTCAATTAACAAGACTAGAAACGTAATGAAATTAATTATAATAAAATTAAATATATACCTACTAAAAGAGCTGATACTACTAACAGTTGCGCTACTGTGGTAGGTGGGGAGGTAGGATACATATGTTTATCTATTTTATTTTTATAAGCAACGATAAATTATTGCTAACGAAAAACGATTCTGAGTGTGGTTCGTTTACACATGATTTGAAAGACGCTAATATTTACGATTTTTATTGAAATTTGATCTAAAAACCAATACAAAAAAAAATATTACAAGATACTATTTTTTATTTGATTTGATTACTAATAGTACATTATTTATTACGAACTTCCTGTTAAATTGCAATAATTTCTGTTAGATCAAACAATTATACCTACATAGCATCAACCAGATATAAAAACTTTGTAAAAAACTGGCAAACATAAAAGAACTATGAATAGCTTAAAAATAGTCAAAATATTTTGAAAATACTACCACTTTAAAAGCAAGAAATTATTAGTTTTCTGTAAAATAACAAGTTTCTATGAATATTTTTAACTAAATTACAACAAAAAGAAAAAATTAAAATTAATGAAATCATTAATTCCGTAAACTTTCCCGTGTGTTGTACATTTTTTCCAGTTTTGTTTAATTATTGAGAGAACTACAAGGAACATTAAAAAACGTTTTACCTATTCACTAACTAGATCCAAAATTGAACAAAAAAAGGTATTTTTTAGTTTTTTGATTAAAGTAAGATTTCTTGTAGAAAAATTGCTCATAAACTAAATAAAACACATCATAGTAAAACCACTAGCTCCCTCATTTGCTCCGAATTTAAAACAAAAACAACAAAAATCTAAAAAAAATATGTATCAAATTTTTCAATTTTTAAAAATTAAAATTCATTTAAGTATAACAAATTGCCACGCAGGGATTACTAATACAACTCTAAAAATGCGCATAGGTAGCGAAACCATTGTAAAGGAATTATAAGGGATCCATATTATGTAAGATTTTAAAAATTTAACTAATTGTACCGAAAAAAATATTACTGTTAAAAAGAATATGATATAATATGCTTACGACATAATATTTTATACATTTATTAATTCGTATTAAATGTGTTTACTACAAATACCAAAAAAGAAACAATTTGAATGAGTTTTTAATAGTTTTTACATATATGTATATTGCTTTCTGTCAGAAAATTCCTGAATCAAATTCAAGGTCATCCGTTCAAAACACCTGCTTTATTATTAATTTTTTTATTAACTGAATATTTTTAAAAAATTGTATGTTAACCTATGACAAATTAATAAATTATAAGTAAACAACCTGTAAATACAGGAAATGTACCTTCAATTGAGTTATAAAGTTACTAGTGATAAAATAATATAGATACGTACCTAAATACGTTGATTAGTTGATCACCTTTAATAATTTTATAAATTTATCATAAAATTGCTTATTATAGCAATAATGATAATAATATAACTGCTTATTATATGCTATTATATCAAGGTATTATGGATTTTTCTGAATTAATAAACTTCTAAATCAGGTTTTTTTTAAATATACAAATGAGCCACATAAAAGTTTAAAATTTATCTATTAGTACCTACCTAAGCATAATTATTATTGTGTGTTATATTATATTATATTTTATATTACATTATATAAACAATTTTTTATTATTTTATTTTTACATGCTACAACCATTCTACATTGTCCAACAAAACTTCAAATAAACCTATTATTTTACCAAATAGAAATACTAGGTATTTTAATTTAATTTTTAATTTTTAAATTTGAAAACCACAGTCGTATTTTTTTTTTAATTTTTAGAAGGGGCTTAAATATATTTGGTGTATATAGATTTATTATTTGGCAAGTTTTTCTAAAGTATTATATTGTTTATAAATTTATAATAATCCAATATGCAGTATGATGAACGATATAGGTAAGTACCTAGTTAATTTAGTGTTATTAATTGTAATCAGACAATAAATTTATGATTTGATCAATTATTACAACATACCAATACCAAGTTTAATTTCAAAGTACATATTATTATAGTATCGACCTATAATATGTGTAATTAATCAATATTAAAACATAAATTATATTAACACTTAAAAAAAAAACACTTAATAACACTTTATAAAAACTGTCATTAAAAAAAAAAAACCTTGCATTATTTAATATAAATAATATAATATAATAATATAATCTTAATATGTCAATGTTTAACTATGGGGGGGGGGGGCGCTATAATACAAAACTGATGTTATAAATTAATAGAATATGTTGATATCAAATTATTTACATAAAAGATTTGTTTACTATCGCATAAATAATTGAAGCATTATATATGTTATTGTTTATTAGTATGATGACCATTGACCACACAAAGATAACATCGATCTTTATAACATCGTAAATTATAAAATGGAAATTCTAGGTATTAGTAATTTTATTTGTTGGTATATTGTGTTTATGGTAATGTTTTTAGAAGAAAATGATTTTAAAATTTCATATGCAAATTAATAAGTTGAAAATAACATGGACACACATGGTACCTATATTATCGGCTATGTTAGAGTAGTCACTAATAATTAATAGTATATTTTTTTTTTTTCTAAGAGTTTATTTAGAACAATTACAATTTATGACAAAATAAATATTTGAGTTACCTACGTTCTACTTCAAACAATCAATAGTTGAAATTAAGTCTTAAATAATTAGGAACTTGCAATAAAGCTTATACTATTTTATTAAAACATATCTTGCACTCAAAACTGTCACTTACCTCTATCCTAGACTTCAGTTAAATTTGAGATGTTATATTGTTTGGAAGTGTTTGTAACTATCATGTGAAATTAATGATGAGGCAATCAAATGTTGTCATGTAATTGTTTAAGGCGTGCAACCTTTTTAGATCCACAATTTATTTATTTTGATTAGGTGATCTCTAATTATTAATATTACATAAGTATAGTATATATACAATATTTATATTCGTATAAATAAAATTTTTAATTTTAGACAATTTAACATTTATTTGATATAATTATTCCAAAATATCAATAATCATAAAATCTAAAATTGGATAATATAGAATAATATATGTATACTCGTATAGTAGGTATATAATTTAAACTAAAATATTAATTTTGTGTTAAATTACTGAAAGCTATTAAAATTTCGTGACTCCCAGGTTACACAATGTACACCAGTGGTTTAAGGTTCTACTTACTCATAATATACTCAATTATAAAATTAAGAATAAAATATTTATTAAAATAGATATATTTATACACAATAAGTCCCCATCTACATAAATTATGTTACGTAGGAATATATATATATATAATATAAATATATATATATATATTATATATCAGGAGGGTATTCCTAATATATGAGTCATTTGTGTATGTATTGTGTAGTAAATTTATTAACCCCATAATTTGTGCACGTACTAGAGCCAATATTAAGATATTTTTTAAACTTTCTAAAATGATTTGCCAATGTTATATTATGTCTTCGTCAATTCAGACATAATAATTAACCCGGGATGTATGTAGGTACCTATTCATGAATATAATAATAGGTCAATAGATGTAGGCAAGTAATAGTATAAGCATACATTATATGCTTATACAACATGTATGCCATATATATTTTCAGCATGGGCGTTACAAGCATTATTTTTTATATATATATATACATATGTATAGAAGGGGTAGCCAATATATTTTTGATGTTATGTAAACTTAAATCCACTCTTAAAAAGATACGGACATACTTCATTGGGCACTGTTGTAGGTGAAAAGTTTGAAATGTAGAGGGGAAATTTAATGTATATACATGTACGTAACGATTAATCATTGCTAACAAAAAACGATTCTGAATGGAGTTTGTTTAATAGTGTTGTATATAATATATATATATATATATATATATATATGTTATATTATGGTAAAATAATTAAAAATGCATTATATATTTTCCTAAATAATATTTGTTTAATATTGTACCTATTTCCTCGTTTTTCCCATGTTTTTCCTCGGTTTTTCTCATTTATTGGGAAAACTCCTGGAGAAATCAAAAAATAACTTCATTCGAGTACCACCCCAGTCAGATTTATTTTCGGAAATAGTGCTATAATTGAAAATTGGAGTAAAATTGCAAGTAGATAAATTGTTCACAATAAAAAAAAAATAAATATCATTGTAAAACCAATACATTCCTCGGTCCACTCAGAATCTAAAGTATAAAAAATAATATCTATAATATCTATTCTAATATTATAGAGGGATGACCGGTGTGCCACTCTTGTAGGTGAGAACGTATAGCAAATATAATTTTCATATTTTATAGTTCATTTATATTCCATAGTATATTTAGTAGATATCTCTAACTACATACTTGTACGTGTCTATAAATGTCAAAAGTATAATATGTTTTTATTGTAAAGTTGTTTTTAATGAAAAACACGGACTTGGGGGAAGCTCCCAACCTAACCTTATGGGCAATTTATAAACTGAGGAAAAATAGGACGTGAATGTATTGGTCGGCTATATACCTATTACCTATGCAAATTTCTCAATTTCAAAGTTATTTTTGGATCTTATTTTCCTCTCAAAGTTATACATAAATATCAAAAAGATTAAGGGACAAAACTAAGTTGCATTTGTTTTGAGACCAGGAAGTCATTATATAGGCGCTTTGACTCTACTTTACATTGAACACGTAAAAGGGAAAATTTAAAGTACCTATTCAGACTGTCTTATATAATTTGTGAGTAAATTTTTTTCTTAGTTAAAAGGCTTTTTAATTCTCATGATACCCGTGGTGGAAAAGTAAAAGCATAGTAAGTTCATGATAGCACTTAATTATGGATCTTCTCCAAAAATTTTATTTGTAAAAAGTCAGTATATTTCTCAGCTGACATGGACCTCATATTAGTATTCAAGTTATGAGATTTAAATCGTTAAAACCAGAATTTAAAACTGCTTTTTTGTCACCAAAACTTATTTGACGGATAGGAGTTTCAATGAAATCAGGTTATAGGTTAACCTATAAGTACACCTAAAAATGTCATATTCTTTTGAGTCCAACTTAACGTTTGCGAAATCACTTGATAATTTAGATAATTTGGTTTACGTAAACTTCGTATATTTTGGTAGTAGATTTCAAGACAAAATGGAGAGTTAATATTTAACATAGGACTACTATTATATACGTTATTAGAAGAATAAGCCATAGGTATTGCATTTAAATATATAACACTCAGACAAAAAAACTTTTAAAAGTAGCCTTATTACTGTAAGTTATCACTATTGCAATACAAACTATAAACAATTCTTTAAAAAAAAAAAAAAAATATGTTCAGGTAAATCCAAAGAAGATGATTGTATTATGGTATATGGTATTATAAATTAAAATGATATTATAAATAAATAATGTTATTTATTATACATATTATTTTTAGAGGAAATGCTGATATTATTTTACCACAGTTGCTATTTTCAAATGGAACAAACAAAAAGTTGCATAGAAATATACTATACGCTTAAAGCAGATACGCCTGAATTTTTTGAAAATCGAGACACTTCAAGACCAGAGATAATAAATGCTCTCAACACTTTGTAAGTAAAAAATAGTTTTATTCTATAGGTACGAAAAACTATTGAATTATTTATGTACTGATTTAATATATTGCCTATATTTTATAATTGACTATTGTTCTCTATGGTTGAAGGATATATAATTATTTTTCTTGAGTATGCTGTTGTTTTATTTTTAAAAATTTTTTTTTATCATATCAGTCATATCTCTTTTAAAAATTACCGAAAAATTACTAAAAAAGTACCGAAACAATAGCGCCAACGCCGTCAACAACTTCCTCTAATATCAAAACCAATATCACAATGATGTCCCAATAAATGAAAATCTGCTGTATCGTACGTTTGTAAGACGGAGACAACACATTGGGGTATTACGCCCTCTTAATATCTAACTATATTTTATTTGTATTCAGTGTTTTCACAAAAACTGGTATTTTTTGTATTTATCAAATATATAACCCATTAGCTGTGAGTAATATTTTATAATATGTTACTAATTCAATTCTAAGCATAGCAAGGAATGTATTCATTTTACTGTGATGTGTGCTTTTTTTATTTCTGCCTATGAACAACTTTTCTATTAAAAATTAAAAATCAAAAAATTATTTTCTGTATTTGAATTTTTTTGTGGTATTTCGTATCAAGTTGATGCATTGAAGAGGTCATTATTTTGATTTACTAAGTGGCTTTCATAGTTATTTAGGAAAACCCGGAAAAAACCTTATTTATGACAAACTAATTTGATTATATTTAAATTGATCGATTTTGTTTTTTTACAAGAAATCTTGTACCAAAATTTTGTATAGATTTATAGAAGTAGGTTTTTGATTTTTTGTGTAATTTTCTTAATAATTGAGAAAAACAGTAAAGTTTGTAGTTAAAGTAGTAACGGTTTCATTATTTTTGATTTAAATTTTTTATTGTAATTTAGTTTAAAATAATCATTAGGATCTGAAATATTTAAAGAATACTTTTATTAAAGTATATTAAAATAAATAAATAAATCTGACTTAAGTGGTACTTTAAGGAGATCACTTTTTTGATTAATGGGAAAAATCGAGAAAATATATACAATATTAAAAAATGATTATTAAGGAAAATACATAATGCATACGTAATTATTTTACCATAATATGACATATATAATATATATTCTTCAAAAAGCCACACTATTAACCGAACTCCACTCAGAATCGTTTTTCGTTAGCAATGGTTAATCGTTGCATATAGGTATACATTCAATTTTCCTTCTACATTCCTAACTTCCACCTACAACAGTAGCCCACCCATCATGCGAAGTATTTCCGCATCTTTTTTTTTACTTTGACTACCTTTTAAATAAGTCCGTGGTCCGTACAACGTGTTAAAAAGGTATGTTATTTTTCTTGTCAAACAATAATGTAAATGAAAGGTCTTGTTTTATAATAGGTCATAAATTAAAATCCATTAATTATGTTAATTGTCCGTAGACAAATAAAAAAAAATACAGAAGTAACAAATTAACAAATAATATTAAGAATTATATATACATAGTGATTTTTTAATATGAAACACCAATAAAATTGGTGGTTAAGTTGGAGATTTTAAGCGAATTTGTATTATATACGATTTATATATAATTGTTTTAATCATTATTAAATCTATTTTATCATTAAAAATAGACGTGCTATTTATTACTCCTCCAGTCTAAACCTAAAACGATTATAACTCATAAACAGTAAATCTGATAGTGTTTTACAAATTAAAGTTCTAAAAAATATTTTCTATTTGAATCTGTGTTTGAAAAAAGGGGGTTTCTATTTGAAAAACAGAGGTTTATATTTATTTAAGGTATATAGAGTAGGGGTAAAAAATTAAAAATGGTTTTAAAATAAAGTTTAAACAGTTTTAACAGTAAAAACCTTTGTCTTGTTGGAGCATTAGGACTTCGTTTTTTGATTTTTCTTAGTTTCCATAATTATTATGAAACACTAGGAAAAAACGTATACAAATTAGTAAAGTTTACGACAATATAGGCTCCATTATTTTCGATTTAGTTTTTTTGTTGTAATCGTGCTTATAATAATTGTAGTGACCGGAATTGTTTACAAAATAATTATACAAGTCTTTTCTAAACATTCTGGCGATGTTCAGGTTATTTATAAACATTTTACATTTTCTAGCTGTTTTAGTTTTTAGTTGATTTTGTCCACACAAAATTGTTTTGGTTACACAGAAATACTTAAAAATTGTATACAATAATAATTCATAAACTATACTTAGTGGTAAAATAAAAGCGTTAGTCGTTTATTATTTTGTTATTAATTTATTATTTCTTGCATAATTCGTAAGTTTTGGAATAATTTTTTAGAGTGATATAAAATTTTATTTTAATATGGGACCTATGGTTTTAATGAAAATAATAAATGCGAACATAAAATTTAAAATTATGTTATTATAGATTTTATTAATATTAATTTTTATATTTCATTTAATATTGGATTAAATAAAATAATTACTTTTCGATTAAATTTGACTCCTATTGGAATTTATTTAAAAAATTATTAGTTTCTATGATAATATTTTATTAGGTTTATAACATGACACAAGTTTTAATCCAATGTTTGTTCTATTAAAAATATTTTAATTTATGGCTATCGTATACATTATGGCGTATGAATGGGTAAGTACCCTTTTAAACCAGTAGCGTCATTTGGGGGGGGGGTCAGAGGAACCATTGGTTCTACCCCTTTTTTATCATCTGGCCACTATCGGGCCGGATATGAGCTGGTGTTGGGCTAGTTTTATGCCGCAAGCCTGCAAATTTGATTCATTTTATTATGTTTTATGATTTATGTTTCATACGGCCATTTTTGGTTTATTTGCAAATTACTTATAGATGTGAACGGAGCGAGGAATGTATTTATGTTAGAGTGATGTTTATTTAAACTTTTTTTCTATGAATAACTTTGTACCAGCAATTTTGCTCTGATTTTCAAGTGGTGCTTTTTCTGAAAGGAAATTTTTATAGAACGGTATATTAAATAAAAGGTGATTTTTTGATTTTCCTGAGGGTTTTCATAATAATTGGGAAAAACCTCAAAAAAATGTAGGAAAATCGGGAAAATGTGCGAAATGTATTATTTTCAAATTGTTAATATTATGGTCTTTCAAAGTATGTATAACTGAACTCCGCTCAGAATAGTTATTTGTTAGCAATGATTAATCGTTGCGTACAGATATACATTAAATTTTGCCTCTACCTTCCCAACTTTACGCCTACAACAATGGTCCATTCATCATGCGAAGTATATCCGTTTGTTTTTTTTTTTTATTGTGCTTTTTGTTACTTACAACTGGTTGCACTTTAGTTCAAATTACAGGGCTGTTATAAGAGTCAATATAAATTTTTGAAGAGTGTCCATTCTGATTTATTATATTCTACGATTATACTAATTTTTATGGTGATATGATTATATTTTTTGAAAAAAACAAATATACTCCATACATATTAGAGCAAATAGAACAAACATAGTCAAATCCCCTCAAACTAAGTATTCATGTAGTAGTTAATATATTAGCTACTTTATAATACCGATGTAATTGATCAATTTACATCTATTCATAAATACCGACGAAATTTTTAATAATTTATACCTATGACTTATAAGTTATAGTAAGTTATAATATAGCTTTTAAATATGTAACTAAATATAATTAATAACATAACTTTTTTAATATTATTGTTATAATCATGCGTCTTTAGATACCTATATTAATAAAGGTATCTATAGGGTAGCAACTTCTATTAATTATGTATTTTTAAATTCTAAGTGTATGAGCGATCTATTGGTTTTACGTTTTTTTTTTTGTCTATAAATAATATTCAAAACATGTTTAAAATATCAATCGCGGTAACCACATTTTTAAATTCTTATTACAATTTAACGATTTATATGAATTTTCAGTCAATTTTTATATTTTAATTGATAAAAATGTATATTTACAGATATTTTGGTTGCTCATCGATTCGTAATCCGGAAAATTACCAAATTATTTACCACAGATTACGAATTTTCGAAGCTAACAAATATGTGTTTAACGATGGTGTAAAATTATTAATTATGGCAATGGATGCTTGTTTCAAGGTAGACGGTACTTGCCCTGGGTTTATATTCGTATTTGATATGAGAGGTGTTCGACTGGGTCATCTCACCAGACTTGGAATATCGTCATTGAGAAAATTCTTTACGTTTATACAAGTATATACGCATTTTAATAATTTAATTTGTAAATAGATGTATTGTGTAAATAATAACATATTATATTTAAATATTTTTTTTTTTATATAATATGGAAAGTATTTTTCAGTAATTATTATTTAAGCGTACTCAATTTAAGAATTTTTTTGATTTATGAACTCATACAGTATTGTAAAATGTATAAATTAATTTTGACTGAAACCTATTAAATATGTACGAACTTATAACGTTTATAATATTTAAGTATAGATTTTCAAAACATTGAATTAAAATTTTAAATGAATTCAAACATAATCACACCGTCATTCAATTTTTGAATAGGGTGACAAACATTTGAAATAGGTTGATTTTCCCTTCACCAAATCATCACCATTAATTTATATTAAACTTGTGTTGTGAGAGTTAATATAGCAACAAAGTAAATATATATACATCCACAAAATTTGCAAGTTATTCCGCTTCATTGAAGTAATACACATAACAATATTTCATTATTAATTACTCTTGCCCATTATAGGATAAAATTATACAAATTTGAAAAGGTCTGACCAAAACAGAAAATCTGATATCTACAATGATGATAATTACAACATGGTGTAAAACTATACGTCATGATAATAATAGGTACTTTCGAGGCTAAATTTATATTTTGATAAACATTCATCAATTGATGCATACTGAGTTTGATTTGGATTTTGTTTCATTTTGATATGGCTTTTCTTATGTAATGGTTCAGATCCTATTTAAACATTAGATAACAGCGGGTTTAGGTTAGGTTTTCCTGCAATACAATTGTATAAAACAGAACATGGTTATACCTATTGCTTCTAAACATTATAACGTCCTTGATTATGAAATACTAACCAAGACATCAAGTTTAATATTAAGTGAGAAATTATATAAATTTAAAAATATTTTTTCTAGAACAAAACGGTTTAGATATTTTATCAAAAAATATTTGTATTGAGTAATTTGTTCAAATTAATTAAGTTAAAAGAAAAATAGTTTTATATAATTAATTATTTATAATGATTTATCTTACTATTTTATAAAATATGAACATATAGATATTTTGCAGGATGGTTTACCCGTTCGTCTTAAGGGAATACATGTCCTCAATACTCATTCACTTATTGACAAAATTATGATGTTGGTTAAACCGTTCATAAAAAAGGAGTTGCTGAGTTTGGTAAATATTAATTTATTATTTTCGCTATATATTTTTAATTAACTATATGTCTCTATCTGCTATAAAATTGACCGAAAGCCAATGCAATTTAACCATAAACAATAATTGCATTGAATTGAAGTGAATTCAATTTGATTAAAAATATAAGTAATAATTTCTACTAATATATTGTTATGCGTATTAAATTATAGGAGGCAAATTATTAAACCAATCAGTAAGTTTGAAATTGACTCGTGCTTTCATATAAATCTTACACTTAGGTACTTAAAACCACCTACATAGATGAGCACCGGTCGATCGAAATTCCTTATCTCGACAAAAACCTGTATAATATAATATATTGATATACTATATATTATATTATTACATTAAGTATATTGTATATTATAATATACTTATCAATATCGTTTCAGATTCGTTTTCACACAGAAAGCGACCAAGAGAACATTTACGAAGCGGTATCGAAATTGAGTTTACCCGAAGACTACGGTGGTCAGGGGCCATCCATCGAAAAATTACACGGTACGTACGCAAACTATAACGTATTTAGGTTACTAACACGCTCTGTTTTTCGTGCGGTATGTCCGGGTATATCCTCTGTTACCATGATAATTATTGTACGTTCTACGGCCGTACATACACGATTTTACGCCACTATTATCGCTACTTATTCTTGACGAGATGCATACACGCATTACGAAAATTTTATTACGGTCGACTGCGCACCGATAATAAGCAAACAGCTTTAAGAGTTACGACTAATGGAAAATAGAAAAATTGTTATTAGGTAAGAATGCGTTATTAACACAAACAGAAGAGTAGAGCTTATGGGGATTTTTAAGTTCCTATAATATATAATCAATAATATGGGGACTCAAGCGCCCACCCCTCAAAAATAAATATGTAGGCTGTTTGAACTTATATATCTTATAGGGCAGTGATTTTCAACCTTTTACGAATAGCGACAACCTATTTTTTTTTTTATTTAAAATGACCTCTTCAAATATCGTTTACTAGAACTTGAATAATACGGTGTACAGTATACACGATGCTTATGGTTTTTAGTGACCTCCAGATTGAAAACTACTGCTATAGAGGATGCATATACATTACAAATTTATGTAATCAAAACAAAACGTTTTTCACTATTGTATTGTATTGCAATGATTGAATTTGGCTAGTATTGCAGTTAGACATGTTCTCCATCGACTATGCAAGGTTAGGTTGGCTCCAAACCAATTTATAATTTATTGAATCTGTTCCTTATATTATAATCAAGAAATAATATTTTTCAAATATTGGTCCTCAAAATATATAATATAATAACAAAGCTACAAATTTAATAATTTAAATTAATTTTTAATATTTATTAATTTATATACTTATAAGTGACTTGTATACAATTGTATGCGATTCCACTTTTAGTTATATATTTAAAAAATTATGATTTTGAAAATATAATATTGCGTACCTAATAATAGAATTTTTATAATCAATATATTATTTACGAAATAAATATTGTGAGTACTAATTTAAGAATGAAATCTTGGGGGGTAATTCAATAGTACTCGTATATTCAAATAATTTTTTTTTACTGTCCCTACATTACTTATTATTTTCGTAGTTCGTCGGAAACTCGTTATTTCGTAATGTATACATTTCAACTTTCATGGTTCATGTAGAAACTATTTAATGAAAATAGTATTACTCGTACGTGTTTCGTAATTTAAATGGTAAACTCACGTTTTTTGTTTGTTTTTTCACATTATAACGGTTTTTTAGCAAATACCATAGCATAATAATATAGATACTACGACGTTTTGTGTTTCGTCGAAAGGCATGTTGGTGACTAACCATGTATTCCAACAAATCGTTTTGTATTGCACGATTGTTTATCGAAATGATGATTGATATCTTTATTTTTTCGTTTTAATTTGTTCGAGTTTTCGTGATGAACTTCAATGGTGATAAGATTAAATTTTTCAAACTTTCGTCAATATCAATTGTTTTGTAATATTCCAAGAATTAGTAATTAGTATGAGTTAATAGGTCATTCATTTATTTAAAATTAAAATAATTGTAGTCACCAAAAATGCTCAACAAACTATACCCATCCTACCTTAATTAAACTAAAAATTGTTTAAATACTCGAACTGGCAACCGCCCATGACCATGGTCTAAATATATTTTAATTTTTTCTCATAATAATTTCAAGTGGTATATAAATATTATCGTTTAATATGTTAATACAACATAATTATTAATAAAAAGTTTTACGTGACTACCTGCTTATTGTTTGTAAAAATATAGTCTTTCAAAACTTAACTTTCTTCCTCTCATTTTGTATACACTATGTATACACACAACACACATCACATTACGTACCTGCATCGCATAGTCACGAGTTGATACGATAGCACTAAGTCACACACGAATTTGACCCGATGCAGGAAATAACAATGGAAATTTGCAATTTACAGTCTATTCTAATTTTGAATTAATTCGGTAGTTATAGGTTCACCTTATTATCATCTTTTTGTAGTTTTGTCAAGTACGCTCAGATGTATTTTGATAATCGTTGGTATTCGAGATGTAGGTACCTATTTTTTTTTTCTGAGTAGACGTTTATTTATTTTATTCTCGTTTTTCTAAAAAATAATATGTATTATTTTAAATTAACTATACACGATGTGTATAGTTACTAAATACACGATTACTTACTCAATACTGTGACGCTTTGCAAATATTTTTTTTTCTAGTTTTGTTTTGAAAATTGTTTAAGTAAAAATAAATATCGAATTTATAAACTAACCAGAAAGCCCTTGGGTATAAATTAATATTGCATACAACGATATAGAAAGTATTTATAACTGTAAATTTTGTTGTATATTCGAATAAATGCTAATGAAATAAATATTGGTTACATGAATACTGATTGAATATTTCTGTTTTGATATGATGAAATCGGTATTCTTATAAATTTGTATTATACAGTTCACTTTTCCGATTGGATGAAATTAATGAGACCGGTGTTCGAAAACGATTATCAATACAAAGCTGATGAATCGAAGCGGTTGAAAAAGTCCAAGAAAAGCTTGTCCACGTCGTTCAAATCATTGGAACTTGATTGATTGTAATTCTTTTTACCATCATAAATCTTCCACTCTACAAAACAAAATGGATAAAATATAATAATATTAATTTATGGGCTGCGGGTAGATAAAATAAAATCAAATTTGTTATTTATTTTATTTGAAGAAAAAAATGTATTCTTTATTGATAAGATATAACCTGATAAAAACTACTATGAAGTGAATTCACCATATCAGACATTATAAATTAATTATGTAATGTATATAAGAATATAATATTATATAGGTATACTTTATGTTAAAGCCGGAAATGTCCTTTACAGTACATTTAATTTATCATAATAATAATATATTCAGTGGCTTAAGTGCGTTTATTTTTAGGAGAGGAGGAAGTTTTTTTATAATTAATGTATAATTTTAAAAGTAAATCGACAATGGAAAATAATTATAATTATTAGTTAATTATAATAAGTACCTTTTGCGTTTTATAAAATAAAACCTGCTCTCATTTTTGTATTATTGCTGAACTTTTAGTTACCTAGTAATTTTAATCTTTATTCTTTAATCAAGGCATTTTATTTTCACCCCAAATGATGGGTTACCAAGGGCCATCATTGTCTGTAGTGCTTATTATGAGTAGTAGTAGTAGTAGTAAGAGAGGTATAGATTAGGTCCTATATCTACGCCATTGAATATATTATTAGTTGAGTTATAAATATTTTATTTAACTGTGGTGTATCTACCTAATTTTAAGTAAATCATTATTGTATTTTTTTTTTGTTAATTGAAATTTAAGTATGAATGTACTCAAAATTGTTGATTACTGTTTTATTTATATATATTGATATTATGTATACACATTAAATATATATATATATTTGAATAAATATGTTTTGTTAAAATATTATATTTCTGTAAATGTAGAAAAATATGATATGAACTGAAATTAATTTTAACCAAATTTCTAGACTGGTTTTTGGGACAGTAAATTACTATACTAAGTAGTAAAGTGAGTTACACACCTACACATAATCTAAGTTACAAGGGAATGTTTTAAATTGTAATACAAATTCTAAAAATACTTATTAGATACATAGAATTTGTAAAAAAACTTCAAGGGCAAAATTATAACCTATAATCCTCTCCTGGTTGTACCACTAATTTCAAACAAAATTATAATCAACTATATTTTAAGTATGCAGAAATATATAGTATTATAAAACAATTTTTTTTTTTAAGTCTAAGCCAGAATCAACTTATTATTTCTTTATAATTTATTTTATTTTATTTTTACAATCAGTATCTAATGTTATTAGTCCAACTTTATGTTAGGTAAAGTTGACAGGACCGTAATTTTTCTTTTATCATGTTTGTGTATAAATAATTAAGTTTAATTGCATAGGTACACGTTTATTTTTATATATACTTATATCTAGCCACCTTGATAAGATACGTAGGTAGATACTTATTTAGTTAACATGCTCAGTTAGTTAATTTCCGGGTACTGACTAATAATTATAATAACATGTAATAATTTCAATTATAATTGTATAAATTAAACCACCAATGTCAAAGCCAAACGATTTCGTCAAAATATTATAAATATTCGTATAAAATCAATCACGGTCGAACGGGGACCATGGAAAATACCTCACACTGATATACAGAGAACAGCTAGTCAGCCGTGAGATATTTACTTTTTAGCTATTATAATAATTTTGCACATGTGGAGGAATTATTTATAATAATCGCTCAGAACAGAAATTTGATCCACACAATGGTTTCTTTATACTCACGATTCAATTTTTTTTTTATTCCGATGCAACGCGGCACAAGGAATTAATTCGTATCTATTGTGTGTTTTACTTCATAATCTAAGTTTTTAAACATGTTACCATATTTTCGATTAGTAAAAATCAACCACTACTTATTACTATATACGTGTGCGACTAGGTACTGCAAACAAACAAAATACACTATTCAAACGGGAAACAGGTAAATTAAAATAAAAATACAATTAACGACATTAATTTTTTTTAAAAAATGATTTAATTAATTAAAATAGTTATAAGTTAATATTTTGATGAAAAATGAAAAATGAATACTTATAAATTGTTTAAAAAGAAAATGAAATTTTTTTTAATCAAATCGAATTTTATATGAAATTGCATTTAAAAAGTTTTCAATTGACCGGTTTCCTTCTTTAAAATCTATACAAATTGAATTCAGTGATTTTAAATTTTCTCGTAAGTGTTTCTTTTTTTGATTTTATGGCATTTAGATTCCATTGGGCCAATTTTGTTTCATCTGCAAAAATATTAAGTAACATTTTTTTATAATATTCCTTACAATTGGATGGTTATGACACTAATTTAGAGAATCGGTGGTTCAAACCTTCTGTTTAATTATTTGTACATTCGCCATTATTTAATGTAGTTTCATACACATTCCAAGTAAAAGGAGGGAACATAGGTTGACATTTTCTTGATCTTTTTCTTTTTTATTTTGTAATAACACGTCTATATGTACCGTTCACGTAAGTCATATCAAAATAATCCACAAGATTTTGAGCATCTTCAGACATAATTGTTTTTAAATAAGCCATACCTTCTACAACTTTATTTCTGGTAAAAATGCTAAAGAATCAAGTTTGGTACAATAAGATCGAAATTCATTATCTTTTCTTTATAATGTTTCTAGTTCAAGTTTTTGAATTTTTCTATGTGTATTTTGTGCGAGATGTTAAAAACAACCACTTATTTTTACGTAAGCTGCTAAAATACTTTTTGCAACTTGGATCATAGATTGTTCAAAATACATGTGCAATTTTAAAGGGTCTGGATATAAACTTCTATCTGAACAAATATCTAGTATAATGAATAGCATACTTACGTTTGTTTTTCGATTTTTTTTACATAATAACAATAGTAATTAAAACGGATTTAACCTATTCTAAAAACATAGAGCTGCTTAAATTCTCTAGGAGCTAAAGCAAAATTGCCATCCAAATACTATTCATTAGATTCGCTCAAAAGTTTTAATCAATCGTCAGTAGCAAATATTGCAATTATATTTGTTAAGTCTACCCACGTGTCATGTAGTAAAAGTCATGTATAGTTTGGTACACCAATAGTCGCCCAATCACCTAGTGCAATTTCATTTAATTTATTAATATAATTTATTTATACATATATATTAATATAATAATATAATTGATATTTACATAAATAATAAAGGATTTATTTCAATTAATTTTTAACATATTAAATTTTTTCGCGAAAAATTAAATTAAAATTGGATCAAATTACTGACCTTCAATAGCAGTTTTTTCGGTTCGAATATTTTTAGACCGTTAGTTTCAGAAAGTCCTTTTTATTATGTCTTCAACTGAAATTCGAGCTTTACATAAAGTCGAAAGTAAATTAATTAGATTTAGCATAGATTTCAACTGGATTTACTTGGGTTGACTTAACTTTTTCCTTTATTTTTAGTAAACATTTTGAAACTTGAACATCGCTTTCATTCGATCTATGGTTGTGTTCGATCCCTACATAGGATCTAAATTATTCAACTTAGAAATAATCATGCTCCTATCCAGAAGAACATGGAACTACCATAACAAAATTAGAACTAGATATGCCCGAACTAAAGAAATGCTTTTCAAATGGGAAACGACAAACAACACCCAATGTAATTGTGGAAACCCTTTACAAAACATCAAATATCGTCCAAAAATGCCCCCTGGAGAAAATGCATGGAGAAAATGCATGGAGAAAATCATTAAACTTAGAAATTTAAATCTCAACCTTAATAAAGAAAACTGTTATATTATTAACTGCTTATTTACGATTTATTACACTCCTTTACCTTATTATTAAATGAAAATGTACATTTAAATAATATAATATTCAAACTATGTAGAAAATTGTACACGCCATACAATAAATAAATAAATAAATAAATCGTGTCATTTATATTGCATAAGAACCATTATTATAAATTATAATAAACCCTGTATCAAATTGGAAAGCATTTTTAAAAAACTTAAAATTTGATTGTATGGAATAATGGGGTTTGGTGCAGCTACTTTTATGAGTAATTTAATGCATACCTGTAAGTAACGATAAACTATTGTTAAAATCGAATTAAAAAACGAATCTGAGTAGAGATCGATATATAAGATAACTAGAAAATGCTAATATAAGTAGATAATTGGGAAAAGTTCATGGTTTTATGACTATTTTTAATGAATAAACCAATTTCAAAACTAATTAATAATAAAAACTGTTTATTGCGTAATTAGTTGCGTTTTGCCTTCATTATATAAATAAACCTACAAAGAAAATCAAAATATATTCTTTCAAAGGCATATGTCAATATTTGATAACAGAAAATACAATTCAATTTAATGATCGGAGCAAAGTTTCTATTTAAAATGTTTAAATAGTTGTTAAGTTGTTTTGAAAAATTTTTTAATTTAAAAAAAAAGCTCATATTACTTATGTACTTCATCGCTACGATCGTATAGACTCTATACTATAGAATATTACTAAATGAGCAATGCTTATTGATAAGCCGCTGCAGTTATACGTAGGAAGTTGGTAAGGTAGGATAATACACTGTGATTTAATTTGTATTTGTAAGCAACAATACACAATTTCTAATTAGTATTCAAAATAATTTATAATAATAAACGATTTTGAACGAAGCTCGATAAATTATGATTTAACAAACTTAAATTGAAAATTATATAACACAGTATCTGTTAATTAAAACTATGTGTGTTTTTTCATCTCAAATCGATTTTTATAAAGCCAAACCAGGGGCGTCTCCACACCTTGACTTTATTATTAATAATTGATAAGAAAAAAAGACAGACATACTTCGCACGATGGGTGGACCACTTTGTATAGATGAGAAGTTGGGAAGGTAGGATATTTTGTATAACATAAAAGAACATCACACGCTCCCTTTCTCCTCCCTCAGGTACGCGCCTGAGCCAAACATAATATTGTCTTTACATAAAACTAAAGTTCTTAAAAATCTATAAAATACTAATATAAAATTAAATAATGAAAATTGCATGTCTCTACAATTTTTTTTAATTATTTTTTTCCAATTATTATAAAAATAAAAAAAAAAGTATAAAAAAACGACTTCCTAACTCACCAACTTCTCACAATTTTCTTTATAAAAGAGGTTGCCCTTAAATTCTGGGGCAAAACTGATGGTAGAAAAACAAAATCGAAAAATTTGAAACAATATCATCGTTAAAGCTGTACATTTTTGGGTTATTTTCAATTATCTGATCGGCAAGTCAAATATTGACCTCAAAGTACCAAATATATCCAAAAGTAACAAAAATGCTTGTCGTTTTTTTTATTTGAATAAGATTTCTGATAAAAAGTGATTACACTGATTGCTACTCATGATAAATAATTTTTGAGCTTTTTTTGCTGGGCCAGAACAATTTTACTTACATAAAACCAAATAAAATCCTAAACAGCTGATAAATTTCAAAAAACAATAAATAATAGAACAATTTGACCAGATCTGGAATGAGCTGTATGCCTGTATATAAGACTGACTATAAGATAAAGTATTCAGTGAAATTTCTGACCTCAAAAATTATTTTTCACTTAATTATAACAATAAAACAGAAATCGTTTTTGTGTGAATATTAAAATTTCCCCAGCGTTTGTGCTAGGGTTTTTCCCGTAATTTAGAATACTATAGGAAATATCAAAAAATAACTTTCTCATTATCGGTGACTATACAATATGTTCAACTATAAACCATGTCCTATAAAGTTGATGATTTGAACAAGATATCATATAGAAAAGTTTTCCACATAGGTAAGTACTGTTGTAGGTTGTTGTGGTTTTTTCTACCCATTTTTCCTTTGTTTTTCCCATTTATTGAGAAAACTCCTATTTATAGTGCGTAAGCTTTGTGGAGTACCTGGTAAGTAGGTAATTGATTAAAAATTTATTCTATTTAAAATCACGTCCCAGCGAATTAATTAGCTACCGAATGTAAAACCTGCAGCTTAAAGAAAGAAGACGAATAAAAAATATTTATTGTCTATAGTTTAGAATCTGAAAAATATACCATGTAGTTCGTAGACATTTAAATAATAACCTCAATTAAAATGAGTTTTATCTGTATAAGTATAATAATTTGGTAATTCTAAAATCTAATAGGTATATCAATTACTAGAATATTTTAATTACAATAAGCGACCTCGATTCTAAATATGTGCCGGTATAGGTATAACGTCTTAGTAAGAATAATTATTTCTTGTATGATTTTTACCATATTATACTTGAGACTGTAAAAATTTAAATCACGTGCAATTTACAATATATCTACATACTTATAGTTGTTATTTCCGTGTGTTATAAATAACATCACCTTAACTTAAAAACATTTGTTAACGTGTTTAATTTGGCGTATCTTATTGCGTATAGTACACTATATTTAATAACACCTAAATCTCGAAAAAACAAAAAATACTCGCAGCTTATTAGTGTATCATTAATACATTAATTTATTATAGTTTAATTTTTGAGATTAAAAAATTGTAATTAGTAACGTTACTTGGAAAAATAAGAATATTCTTAACTATTGTTCAAAATAGATGTTGTTTTAAAAATAATTAATTTGTCTTCCATTTACATAGCAAAAAGATGAAAATTAAAAATTAATTTTAAAGTATTTTTAGTATTTAGTATTTTTAAAGTAGTAATTACACTACGAATATATTATGAAGATATGAAGAGGACGTTATACCCGCATCTACTGTCTCAGTCTAACTATCGGATAACATACAAAAACAGTAATGCTTATGCAGAATAAATAAAACTAGATTGATTTTGAAAATTTTTAGAAAACAATATTTTGAAAGGAATGTCAAAAGTGTTTTTTGTGTTGTAGTTATTTAAAAAAAAAAAAATAAAGGGTTTTGTATCATCTTTTATGTTGAAATGTATACTTTGAATGATGTAAAAACTCTAAAACATTCACTCCAAAATATTGTTTTCTATAAATTTCATACCTAATAGTTACTTTTACTCTAAAATTAAAATTAAGCTAGTTTTACTTATTCTGCGTAAACATTGATTTTGCATGTTATACCCGGTAGTTAGACTGAAACAGTAAATGCGAGTATAACGTCCTCTAAAGAGGAAGTAACAGTAAACAAAAATCGACCGTTAAAACATGGTTTCGTGGTTTCCAAAAATACTCAGACCTCGTTGATCGTAGAAACACTGTTTTGGTATCAAAATAAACACTAGAACAAAACCTATGCTTTGTTGGGAGCCGATTTTTGATTTTTTTTTTTTTTGCTGATTTTTCATGATCGTTTAAAAACGTACAAACTTCAAATATTAATAATATCGATTAAAGAAACAAAAAAAAATCGGATCCCAACAAAGCATAGATTTTGTTAACGTGTTTATTTCAGCACCAAAATCATGTTTCTACGATCAACGAGACTTGAGTATTTTATAAACTACAAAACCATGGTTTTGGCAAATTTCGACGAATTTACAGCTGTCGCACAGGGTTTAAAATTGAAAAAAGGTGGTCAAAACTCAACATGATATTACAATTTTCTAAGAAGCAAATATGGGCAAGTATGGGGAGCTAATCTAAACATTTACCAACTCCTTATAGATTTTTTGAAATATATATTATATTAGCGTGAAGGATGGTGAAAGAACTGATTAAAACCGTAAGTAATTAAACATATTACTAAAGCTATAATGAGTATTAATTTGTTATCACTACAATTATTAATAATGTAGACATAATATTTCCATAATAATGATGACAATTGCAACATCTTATTAGAGAGTAGTAACAGATTTAAAAATAAATGAAACAATATTTTTATTGAATATTATATTACTATATTATAATACTATTTTATCCAAGATCAGTGTTTATTTATTAACTAATTTAAATTTAAATTTATTTATATACAGTTCAACCTAGAGTCTAGAGAACCATTTGGTCACTGAATTCGCAAATTCATCCATTTTAATTATTTTAAGTATTATATTCCTCCAATTCAGATGACATTGTTGAAACTAAGAAATTATAGTTTTATTGGTATATGGCAATTATGAAACAAGTTTCATGAAAATTATATTATACTAATAATAGTAACCTTAGTGTGCAGCCCACTTTATTCAATATTTTTTTTTTATCATAGTTTTCAATAACAATTGATGTTATTGTTTTATTAAACTATTTCAAGGTTATATATTTATTATTGTAATAATACATTTTGTAATTCACCACAGATAATGTTATACAAATATTACAAATTATAATTATAGATACCAGACATATATATTATCAAAATATAAAATGGTATTGTGCAAATATATTATTTATTTGTATATAAATTAATAATAGATTAACATTAGTATTCAGTATGTATACAGTGAATTAAAAAAAAAATCTACAATTGACATATTTGATATTTTAAAAATTTCAGAAATATTAGAATATTAATTGAATTTTAATTACACAAAATGTGTAAAACTCAATATTTCAAAGCCTATATAAACAACTGGTAACATAAAATAGATAAAAATAATAAAATAAGGTATTTAAATAATTTTGTTAAACAAATTATTTAACTTCATAGGAATGTTGCTCAATAGAATATATTACTTTTTTAAAAGACGATTTATCTCTTTGTTTTGACGTTCCATATTTATGTCAGCTTTGTCGGTTTTATTAAGAATGCTTTCAACTAAATCATTTTGAGAATCAATTTCTTCACCAAGACCCAATGCTAGTCCTATAAATTATTAATGAAATTAAAATTGATAATACAAAAACTAGCCCATGACCATAACAAGCCTAGCAGCTGTTTTTCATCAGTGGTCATCATAACAATACATGCAGTGTGAGGCTATAGTGTAACTGGTTTATTTTAAGAATCCATGGGTACCGGATGACATTATAGTGTGTTGGTCACTAGACAGTTTTCATGTCACCAACTATAATAGTCCAAATTATTCAAAATGATTGATTGATTACCTTTTAATCGAGCCATTGAACCAAGAATCTCATCTAAATTGTTGTCTAATGTAGATTGTGTATTAGTTGGAGAAGTTGATTCATTGTCTACCAAACCTCTTATTCGTAATCCTTGATATTAATTTGAAATTAAAATTAAATATAATTTAAAAAAATAAAATAAAAATCTATAAAAATACCAGGATGTTGATCCATAGAATTTAAGTTTGAATTAGCTTGTGATAATGTTTCACTCAATGTACTCTTGCGTACTTCATTTATTAATGGAGGACCGATCGATTCAATATCACTTGTAGAGTTACGTGGTGGCAAGTTTGATTTACCACTAAGCATATTCTTAAAACTTCCAAAAATGCTCTATAATACATAATAATTTTTTCTAAAATATTATAACAAAAATTGTACTTCTATACATAAATATATAAACACTAATACTAAGTTAATATATATATATATTAATACAAATTAATTGTATACTAAAAATAGGTGTTTAGCTATATAAAATACAATTCTATCAAAACAATTAAAATGCTTATAAATTTCAAATCATAATAAAAAAATGAATTCAAAATGGATAATTTTTAAGTAGGTATACTCTCTTTATTTAGCTGTGGGATACAGGTACTTTTTTTAGGTTGGTAACATCGGTACCTGGACTTTCATACACTTAAACTTTTTACGATACCCTCAAATGAAAAATTGATGAAAAACAAACATACATGTTACTACATTTGTTTGCAGTTATATTTACGAACATATATATACATATTTAACCTAATTATAAAATTATATTTTAGTCTATGGTTATAATAAAGTTTCACAATGATTAGATATCAATATATTAAATACATTTTGTGATATGTATGATATTGACAAAAACATATGGTACACAATTAATTAAAGGTAAGTAATCATTTACGTAAATTTTGAATAATATGATTTTTATAACTACCTAAAAGTACATTTTATAATTATTTACTTTTATCCCTTGTATATGCTTTTGACTGACACGTAGGTTTGAATTGATTTCATCAAGCCGTTTATCAGTATTTTGTAGTTGTTCCTTTTGTCTAACTAATTCCTAAAAAAGGAATAAAAATAGTGTAACTATATAGTTTATAAGTTATTGAATTGTTTTTATAACAAATAATCATTTACTTCAGCTGTAGCAGTACCAATATTTTCAGACTCTCTTAGTAAACGTAATGTTCGTTCAGTAGATTGTAAAGTTCTATTTTCTACGTCCCTAGTAGTTTCCATAACTTGTTGCTTTTGTCTGTGTGCATTTTCGAATTCTTGATTGCCAAAATTGTTGCTTAAAAGATCATTTCTATAACTCATTTTTGGACGAACCCTAGACAAAAACTCATCATCATCCACATCATCTTCTTCGTCGAATATTCCTCGAGATGAATTGCTCACATAACGGTTTTTCGACATTTTGTGTTAGGTATAAAATATAAAAATCTATAAACTTCTAGAGCTAATTGACGGAATGAAAATACAATTTTTAGATCATTTAATTTATTATACAAATTTCACATATGATAATAAACATAGACAAAAGATGTGTAACTCATGAAACTAAAACATTATAAATAATAATAATGAATATCAAATACTTAATAAACTGAATAGCAAAATAAAAAAATATAATCGATCACTAATATTTGTATGTCTTGTGTTTTATTATGAAAATTATATTGATATAAGAACAATCAATAATGTAAAATGTAAAAGAGCATATTATAAAATTAATTATATTGTGTTCAGAACGTCTTTGTCTAATATCACTTTAAAATCGTGTATAATCAAAAACATAAATAATGGGGTTACGTAAATTATACGAATTATAAATTGTACGAATCTAATGATAATAGTTTATGTAAAAATAAATGGTAAATGTCACATTTACATAGTGTGCATTTGAACGTAATTAGGACGTTGCGATTTTAGAAACACAAACGTGCCATTTAATGGAAAAATTTAAAATTAAAAAATTAACTAAAACATAAGTAAATTGAGTAAATCCAAGTTCAAATAACAGGTTTTCCACTCGCTCACCTTTTTCACTATTTTTGTTATTGCTCACTTTTTATCACTATTTAATCAATTTACTCACTATTCTCACTTTTTACATGATTATCAAATTGATTGCTGAGAATATAAAGCATTTATCCAGTTTTCACAATAATGATGGTCTATGTTTTTGAAAAAAAAATCCCATAATAAATAATGATTATATTAATATGTGACGTGATCGTAACATTATTATTATTAATTTAAATCTACCAGTCACAACCACGGTAAAAGAAAAAACTGTTAAGTGGTTATATTTACTTTCCGTTGATGAATGGAAGATTAAGCTCGGAGTCTAAAAATATATAGATATATAATATCTTGTATATTATTGTATAATATATACATATTATTCTTTAATGATTGCACAATATTTTGTTGTCGTTAACTGGCCAAATTGTAAATACATTGGCCACTCTTTATTATTCTATATGTAAAACAATATTATAGACAAGTTGATAGTATTGTATGGTGAGTTATTATCAGGTGGCTTTATGTCGGGTGGATTGTGGTTATTTGTCGGATGGCTTTTTGTCGTGCTTCGCAGTTTTATCTAGAACCGTGGCCGTGTCGTAGATTTAATAATCGCTAACTAAGATACAAATGTAACTAACTTCAGCTATATCTTTACTATTTTCCCCTTTGTTCAGTTATAATATTATTGTTTTGTAAAATAAATCAAAACTATAATGGTTTCGTATCAGACATCTGAATATTTTGGGCGTACATTACAACAATATTATAATGTAACATAAGTGTAAATAATAATTAATTTGTTCATCTAGTTTATCAAATCTTAATTTAGTGTGTGTTAATAACGTTTGTATAATGTGTGCACGATAATTATTATTTACGTTCCTAGTAAATAATAAAATCATTATGGTCTAAATTTACTTTATTCAACTGGATTTACCTATTCGATTGCAATTTTGTGTAATGATGATTACGAATTTTAAGACTGTCAAGTTTTAAGTTTATATTAAATTCAGTGGACAGTTAACTGAGTTTTATAAAAGTGATTTGAAAATATTAAAACAATGCCTGTGGCAATGAATCGAAGACGTGTTAGCAATTTTACTTACGTCAGTCCGTGCGTTAAGTATATGATATTTTTGCTTAATTTTTTGTTTTGGGTATGTATCTGTAAATACAATTTTTATGTTTAAAAAAATTTTAATACCAAAACTATCAATTTAGTTATTTGGTGGTTTACTGGTGGCGGCTGGTACATTTGCGTTCTACGAAAAATGGAATACCATGGGTTCTATCAAATTGAACACATTTTCAGATGTTATACTAAACATTTCTCTAGTTTTAATTATAGCCGGACAAATCATATTTATTGTTAGCTTTGCTGGATGTATTGGCGCTCTACGTGAAAATACCACTCTCCTTAAATTTGTGAGTATATTACCTATTTCATTTTAATTAATTTGTTTTAAGATTTTATTGTTGAACTATGCTTTAATTTTTACCAACACAATTAGGTATCCATTTTGTAGAACATTTATAGTAAGTAATATTCCTTAAGTTTATCTTTCATTCTGAACAAGTTTAATTAACTATAATATTGGTATATAAATATATTTGAAGCTAATGATAACTTAATAATTATGTTTTTTACAGTATAAAACATTTAACAAAACCCCATCAGATACTTGATATTTAATTGTTATATTTTATTTATGATATGGAAAAGTTTTTTTTATGAACTGTTTGGGAATGTAATTTGTTAGATTTTTTGGCTTATGGTCTTTTTAGTGACTGTTAAATTACTTATTTACCTAATATTGTACATTTAATATTATTGTAACTATCATATATAATTTGATTGTTTGATATTTTAGTCTTTGTAACTTTGTCTTATGTGAAACAAAGATGAAATTCAGATTAGTACACTATTCAATCTCTTGTTTTATGCAGACTTGTGAAAAGTGGCCTTCGTGTTGTATGTGACTTAACTAGATTTATTTTTGTTATTTCCCAAGTGTTACTCACTTATTGTTGTAGTTTTATAAGTTTGGATCAGTATTAAGAGTTAATTTATTTCGCTCATTGCTAAATATCTATCATTATTTGTTATTCAAAATTATTGTAAAACTATAGTTGATATTTGAGTTGTAATACAAATAGAGGCAACTTCTGTATCAGTCACCCATGTTTTCTAAACAGGTTCTCCATTCAGTGCCTCTATATCTTTTTATTACATTTTCCATCAAACAAAGTTTTCCCTGTGATCTTTTACCAACTGGATTTTTATCCATGATCACATGCATAAGTTGGTTAGGCTAGGTTTCGTCAGTCTACTGTAATTTCTGGCTCTTGGTTTATGTTAGTACGTTAACTTTCCGGAAAAGTTTTTCCAATCCATTATTTTTCCTTGCTTTCTACTTTAGTTTTTTTGTTCTTCAATGGTTCAAAAATCTTTGTTTAGAGAATTATTCTTTCAAAAACCATCAATTTCCTTACCTCAGTTTTCCTTAGACTGACCCCTAGCCAGACTATGCAAAGTGAAAACTGAGAGCATATTAGAATTATACACATCTTCATTTCTATTGACAGAATTTGTATATAATTCTTAAATATATTTACCTAGTAAGCAATAGTAATAACCATAATAAATTATATTGTTTTGATATAGTATTTATTTTAAGAAATTCAATATTTTCTCAGTGTCCATTCATCACCCAATTTCAGTTACTACATAATTGTTTCATAAAACATCAATTTTAAGTCACCAGTCTAATAATATTTATTTGTCTATGTTATTGGCCAAACCTGAATTCAGAATAACCTAGTTTATCCTAAGCCAAATGAGTTTGGCCGAAATCTCTTAGGATAAACTTGTTTAAACTAGGTCGAAGTCTAACTGGACAAACTAGATTATACTAACTAGACTTAATTGTTGATATTGTTGATATCTAAGATAAATAAGGTATAATGATATACTAAGGTACCTTGAGTTATGACATATACTGTGTATATACTGATGAAATAATAATATAATATACAAAATAGAAATTCCCCAATAACAATAATTGTGATATATTGCAGTATAAGTATTATTTCAGTTGTGTTTGTCCATTGGTCAGTCTAATCGATTTGTTGTCATTATATAACTTGTACATGGTTAGTTAGTATGTTTGAAGACACTATCCAGGTAGTTTTGTTTACGAATTTTGCATTTTATATACTATTGTTAGGTTAGATTATAATTAAAGTTTTACTTATTTTTTCTTAATTCAAAAATTATATGTGTTGTACATTATAATTATTACAATGGATACATCTTTGTGTAGTAGACAATGGAGAGAGATGTTTATCACCAAAATTGTACAAAGTGAGACCAAAAAGTCAACTCATGTGATAAGAAAGAACAAATATTTAGATTTTATTGAACATATTGAAGAGGCTGAAAAAACAGAAAACACTTTTACAACAAAGACGAATGAAACAATTTGGTGTACTCAAAATTAGGAATGTAAAAAAAGGTATTGCATGGAGTGAAGGAACCATAAAGTACTACCTTCCGATGGATGAACTATATGATGTAATTGGCGCTGCTCATATGGCTGTGGACCATGGGGGTCATGACAGGATGTTGGCTAAAACATCAAAAAATATATGTAATATTAGAAATCCTATTTTTCGTTCAAAAATTAACAGTAGATATCAAGAAGATCTATCGATTTCCAGACACAATCTGATGAAAAATTCAAGTTCATTATGGTTTATCAAGGCCATTTGATAAAATTTATTTTATTCTGTGCATTGGAATTTAAGAGAGCAGCAGAAGTAGCTTACCATTTAAAAGACATATTTCTAACTATAGGGGCACCATGCAACCTGAAATCAGATAATGGAAGAGAATTTGTAAACCATGTTGTAAGTGAAATTATGAATCTTTTGTCAGATCTCAAACTTGTGCATGGAAAACCTAGATACAGACACACAAAGTTAAGGTTCAATCATTGCTACATATTATGATTTAATAATATTGACAATATCAACAGTTTAGTCTAGATTATACTACTTTGTTCGAGTTAGTATAATCTAGTTTGGCGAGTAACATATACATTAACAGCTGTACAGTAAAATATATATAAATTGTATGAATTTTAATCTGAGGTTAAAGGTTTTTAATTATTTATGAAATACCCATTTCCATATTAATCAAATTAATTAATTTTATACTTGTGTTACATTATTTATATCAACCTTAATTCTATATGTCTATGTTTGATTTTCAAGCGTAGTGAGGAATGTGTTGGCTCTACTATCAGTAATTATTATTATTTTTGTGTATATTCACTTAACCTAACCTAACCAAAAGTTTTGCTCCAATTAAAATATGACTAGAGCTTTTTGATAACATTTTGGATCTACTTGGTGCATAGGGATTGCCAATTTTTGGTTTGCCTAGCAGTTTTTATGATAATTGGATAAAAACATTAAAAAAAGTTAGAAAACAGTAAGTTTATGAAATCAACTGTTATTTCATTAGTTTTGATTTATATTGATAGCTATTAATTGACTTTTGAGCTTTTTAAGTTTTAAATGGTTTAATGTGGATAATTTTTTTTGGTAAAATAGAATTGCTTGAAATTTGAATACAAAGTTTATTATAAGAGTTAAATTTAGTGGAAAAAAAATAGAAAGTTGTGTGTAATATTGTATTTTTTTTTTTTTTTTTTAAGTGTTTTAGGATGAAATTTGAACAAAAATCTTTAGAACATCCCTTAGAATTATTTTTCGGTGTGTACAAATATTAATTAGATAACTTTATGTATCCAACTAACTCTATCTAAAATAGTAGCAAACCCATCAATTTTTTTTTAAATTTAAATGTTATATATAATGAATCTTACATTAGGTATACTTTGTATAATTAATATTATATTAAATTTATTTTAATTTTAATTTTGTATTTATACCAAATTTTTTTAATGTCATTAGAAGTGCATATAGTAATTAATTATTTGTTTTTAATATAATTTATCTTAATTAAAAAATCTGCTATATATTTATGTTAATTGTTTAAATTAATATAGAAATGTCTGTAAACATTTATTTCCATAGAAATTATTTTAAATTTAGTTTAATATATATTATTTATGTTTTCACTATGTTATTTTATGATTTTATATTTGTATTTAAACCAACAATTTTTAACATAATATCTTAACAATGTTTTGTTTTAAAAAAGTGAGTTGTTATCTATATTATACCTATATGTATGTATATTTTAATTTATTATTATTAATATAAAACATTGGTATTTAAATTAAATATTGTTCCCTTTATTTCAGTTGCCTTTCAAAAATATTGCTGCTCAGATTACAAACCGATTAATTGTTCAAAATCCAAATTCTGCACAGAAACTTTATTGTACAAGAAATACTGAGGAATATAAGAAGTCAAAATATTCTATAACTAACAAGAGAGAGAGTGTTATTTTTAAACACCTAGATTATTTAAATGAATTACTTAATCTCCAAAATAAATCTTCATTATACACTAATAATGTAAAACCACTGCACATTAGTCAACTTGAATTTTATAAAAAATGCATACTTATTGATAGAGATCAAATTTTTAACCTCATGTATTGCACAATAGACCAGGCAAACAATAGTACTTGGAGATTGCACAGACAAACAAGGCTCTCAGCAAGTTCCAAAGCACATCAGATAAATACAAGACGTGGTCGAAATGAAGATTTGGCTACGCAGTTTGTAAAAAACAAACAAATTTACGGAAAAGCTTTGAAATATGTCAATTATGGTATTGGAATGGAAGATTTTGCCTGTAAAAAGTATTCATATATATATAATTTAAATGTGTTAAAATGCGGACTAGTTATACATCAAAAACAACCTTGGTTGTGTGCAAGTCCAGATGGTATAGTTATCCATGGAAATAAAATACAAAAATTATTGGAAATAAAGTGTCCATACACTTGTAAAGATACTATGCTAGTTGATGAAGAAAATGGAAAGCTTAGAGTGCCATATTTACAATTTGATAAAGAAAAAAATATTTATTTAAAACGGAATCATATTTACTTTACACAGTGCCAAATACAAATGTACTGTACAGGGTTAGAAGAATGTGATTTATTTGTTTGCACAAAACAAGACTCCATAACTGTCTCTGTCAAGAGAGACAATTTATTTCTTGAAACACTGGTCAAGAAAATGGAAGACTTTTATTTTAATTACTACCTTCCTGAAATAACAAAATTATATTTTTAACATTATTTGACAAATACATATTTTATTATAAATTATGTTCATTATTTAAATTTATTATGAATGATATTTTTTTTTTAAAACTTACCATATTCCTACTACTTGAGTAGTATTTAAAGTAGTACTTAATATTATAAATTTAGTTTTTTGAAAGAATGGCATGTAAATTTTTATTATTTTCATTGCAATCAAGTATAGTCTATTGAAGTTAAATAATTTTAAGTTTTGATTTTATTCCTTGTTTATTGTGTAATTAATGTTTTTTTTTTTTAATAGTTCATATATTAATTTTGTTAATTGAAATTGTATCCAACCCATTATTTAGACTTATACTTTAATAACATATTTTTTTTAATAAAATTGTATTAAGTTAGTGTAATTTTAAAAACTTGTATTCTGTTTTATTGTGCAAAATTTATTTTGTATCTTAACTAATAAAACTTATTTTTAGTGGTTTAGACATTTTTCATAAATGCTACATATATTTGTACACATAATATGTACTTAAGTACCTTTAAATCTTTGGCTCTATTAATTTTTAATTTTAATAGATAAAATACTCGCATATTTTATGAAAATATTATACTTTTTACTATTGAATAATAGTAAACAAATTTACAGATGAAAAGTCAATTGTAATAAAATGCAAAGTGTACCCCAGTCTAATAATATTAGAATATAATTTTATATCCCTTGAGTTTAAGTCCAAGAGGCAAATATATTTTGCTAACGATTTCAAATACTGAATTCTATACTGTTATATATATTAAAATTAAATTTATAAATTTACTTTTAATTTGTTTCAGTATTCATTGTGTCTATTAATATTTTTTTTACTTGAAATGGGAATTGCAATTCTTGGATTTGTTTTTCCACATAATATGCAAGCTACTTTGGAAGAGTCATTCACTGATAAAATTATTCACACATATCGTGATGATCCAGATTTACAGAACCTTATAGACTTTGCTCAAAAAGAAGTATGAATATATTTGTAAAAAGAGTATATACAAATTTAATTTATTATTATTTTTTTTTAGTTTCAATGTTGTGGTCTTAGTTCAGGAGGGTACAGTGATTGGTCTAAAAATGAATATTTTAATTGCACATCGCCAAGTGTTGAAAAATGCGGAGTACCCTATTCGTGTTGTATCAACGCTACAGATATTTCGGTTCGTATGGTTTTCAATGTTTGTATTCTGAATAATAACAATTTAATTTTATAGAAAGGACTTGTAAATGTGATGTGTGGTTATGGCGCTCAAGATAGTTCTGTAAGTGATTAACAAATAAAATATTAATATTGGTATTATATTTTGTCTATATTTATAAATGTGTATATAATATGTATAAGGTTGCTGAAGCTAGTAAAAGAGTTTGGACTAGTGGATGTATTGAAGTGATTCGTATATGGGCTGAAAGAAATTTATATACAATTGCAGGTGTAGCGCTGGGTGTTGCACTATCACAGGTACAAATAAAAAAAATTGTATAATTGATAATTATTTATTGATTTATATTTTTTCTAATTATTTTATTTTAGCTTCTTATTATAAACTTGGCGAAAACACTTGAAGGTCAAATTGACTTACAAAAATCTAGATGGGCATCTTGAAAAATAATTAAAGTATAGGAAACATAATAAAGTTTCCACAATACTATTAATGATATTCAAATATTATTTTTAGTATTTTATAATAAGACAATTTTAGGACATTTTTCATTTAAAAAAAAAAAAAAACAAAATAAAAATAAAAATTGAGTTGTATTATTTATTTAAAAAAAAATGTTGAAATTTTTTAAATTTTAAATTAATAATTATTCTTTTTTTTTTATTTTTACATGTTTATAATTTTGAATTTCATGAAAAATTATTCTATTTTCAATGCTAATTAAATTTCAATTTTTATTCTTAATGAATTCTTTTAATTTATGGTTAATAATTCATTAAAGAACTTTGCCCTGTGATAATGGGTCCAACTATATATATATATATATATGTATAAATAATTGAATTCAAGGCTATACTATGCCTTTTTAGCCAGCACTATAATGTCCACTATTTTATAAAAATATAACAAATTACATAATAATATATCAATGTATAACTATTTTGTATCATTGTTTTTAAAGATTAATTTTATATGCATAGTTTCTACATACCCATTTTGTGTATTATAATTTCATTTTTAATTTTTGCTCATACATATTTATTTTGGATTATTTATATTTTATACTATACAATTCATATGTATTTATTTTATCTCTGTATATTAATTTATAATTAACTAAATTTTACAAATTATTGATAAAAATGAATTAAATGTTCATAGAACAAATTTATTTTATACCCAAACAAAAAATTTTTTTCTAAGAAAAATGTTTTCTCTGCGTGATCATTTATTTGTATTTGTTTATTCTTACATTAGGTTATATTTTATATTTTGAAATACTTAATTTATTAGTTTAAGTAATATATAATTTCATGTATTTTTATATGATAATGGAAGTGTAGGTATTTATGCATTTGTAGGATGTATGTGTGTTATAGTAAAGTTAATATTATTACTTGAGTGTGATAATTTTTTTTATTACCTTTTTATTGTTTGGATTACCAAAGATAATGTTTTAACTATTAAACATATATTTTTATCACTTCTTGTTTCTTATTTTAAACTAAAGTAAAATATGTTTTATAATTTATACTTCTTTTAAACAGTGAATCAAAAAAATTACTAAAACCGCCATTTATAATCCATGGACATTACAGTAACATGTTCAATGATAAATAAGAATTATAATTTTTTGTACCCAAACTAATCTTTTTTAGTATCGCCGTGACAGAAATAAAAATAATTTAGAATATAAATTAACAAGTAATCTTGATTATTCAAATTTATGAAGCCACTCATTAAGTTGTATAACATTATGCAATCATGATGAATTTGGGGACTTTTTTAAACAAAAAACTTTTATTATTTTATCACCTTTAAATTAGAATTAGGTACATATTACTGAATATGCAGTTTCATGTAAATATTTATTAGCTTGTTTATTTCGATTGTTTACTTCCTAAAACCAATCGGATTAATTAACTTCTAATAAAAATGACTAAATTTCTCATTAAAACGCTCCCAAATATTAAACAAAATTAAAAAATTAAGTTATTTTAGTTTGTTTAATACAATTCTAAAACCATGAACACAAAGTTTTTAATTATTTACCGGTTTTTAATAAATATTGTTTTAAAATACTAAACCAATGATTTGTCAAATGTACTTATATTTTCTCACACAGCCACTTTTTTAACTTTGCTGAACAGAAGTCAGTTTTCATATTGTCAATACCTAAGTGGTCTAAAGGAATGTGATAGATGCAATAGTTATGTCAAATAACTCAGTCGATATACTTTGTTAAAAATATTACAAACTATATTATAAACTTTAGAATAATATTTCATATGCATACAATTTTAAAGTTAAATAATTCCAAGGCAACATTATAAATATATGACATATTTGAAAAGTAAATAAAAGTTTATTCACAAATAATAATAGCAACATATTTTATTTATTAATCTGAAGTTTTTTCAGGGTTGTTTTTATATATATAATAAGTTAATGATGTTGCCAATGTTAACCATCCTAAGTATGGAATCATAATAAAACTAGCTATTTTGTTAATTTCATAAAATGCTACGATGCATCCAAATACATTTAACCACAAACCACAAATCTCAATAAAACTCTGTAAAAAGAAAAAAAAACATTTGTTAAAATTATTTCAAATAAGATACCTACAGAGTAACTTAATTTATATCTATAGCTACACAAAGATAAATCATTACTAAAAAAAACATGATTCTAAGCCAAGTTTGATTAAATGTATATAGAAATGAAGCGATGTAAGAGATCATACAAATTTGAAGGAAAAAAAAAACAGACTTTAAATTAAACCGTCAATATTTGTATACCTATTGCTTAAGTTGTTTTTTCAGTGATTAAGGGATGGAAATAAAAATTTAATTTTTTCTACATTAGTGTCCCCACTCGCACAAAACCAGATTTAAAAAATAAAATAAATATTGATAGAATTATTAGCATAAGGATTATAACACTGTAAGACACCCTGTATATAGGTACTGAAAATACCGAAACTATCTAGTACTAAAACAAAAAACATGAATTAACGACAAATTTTTAATGACGAGCATGATGATTCATTGTTAATAATTTTTTTACAAAACAAAAATGCCAAACATTATTCATAGAACTTGGACTTGTAATACTGTGACAGTGCTAACAAAATGGTTTTAGATAATTGGATACAAAGTTCTAAAGTATAGTTACCAACTATTGTTAACTTCATTTATGGTTGGGCTCATGAACTAACATTGATGGGCTTTTATAAACACAAATTTGGAGCAAATCTACCGTAGTGGATTGGAATAACTTTATTATTAAAGTATGTGTATTCTTGTATAGAAACTTTCTTAAATCAATTCAAAATAGTAGGTGTTTCTTTGTCAGATGTAAAACTATTGCAGGTTGAATACTGTCTCAGGAATGGGTATTTGATGGTGTATGAGATATGCCATGATAACAATGAGTGTTTCGTCGTACACTCGTATATGATGTTTATGCAATTTAATACCACTGAACTAAATTATTTTGTATTATTTTAGTTCAGTAGTAGGTACCCGAGCGATTGGAAAAAACGTTCTTGTCAATAATTTGTGAACGTACACGAGTTGGATCAACCATTTTATTTGATTCCTGGCGAGCCTATAATAATATTCAACAAACCAGCCTCAACAGTAAACCACAAATATAATTTTGTGAATCCTGTAATTGGAGCTCACACACAAAATGTTGAGAGGATGTGGGGAAGAGCTAAAGGGGACAACAAGAAACTAAGAGAAACTTCTTAGATTCTTATTTGGCAGAGTCTATATGGCGAAGTAAATTAAACGGACGCAATCCGTTTAACGAAATCACGTCCGTTTAATGAAGTATGTAGTAAAATTTTGGCCACCTGCATTTTGTATTTATTATTTTTATTTTAAATGTACATACATTTTATAACAAATGATTAGAAAATTGAAAATACGAGAGGTAAAACTATATAAGTAGCGGGCGTCAACTTTTTTTTTATAGATTAGTACCTACCGAATATAATTTAAAAATTACATACCTATCTCTAAGATTATTCTAAAAATGACCTTCACAATGAACATAGGCGCGGTATAAATGTGACATTTTATGCATTCAAGAAACGCACCAGAGCGAGGCAAGCCCTCGACCAAAAATCCTGAGAATGAACCTAGCAATGGAAATACCAGACGCACAATATGGTAGCGCTATATACATAAGATCGGAGCTGATAGTTAATAGCACAACTTTCAGTCATAAATACGAAGTTGAAATATTAACTATAGAAGTAGGTAACTGTACAATAACAACAATTTTTAAACCATCAAATACCATTTTTAGTTACTACTTAATACTTTATAACTTTAATAATAAAATTTAATGAAATAAATAGGTATGTTACTATTTATAAACCGACTGTATTAGCGTTCATATGTTTTCACGGTGCATTTAAAAATGGTCGTTGTAATTATGAAATTGAGGTAAGAGGTATGATATTTGGAGGCGTTATGAGGCACAGGTTTGTGTGCATTACATAATTAGAATACGCAAAATAAATAGAAAATTTAAAGAAAATTATTTCATAGTAAAACCAATATATTCCTAGCTAGGTTCAGAATCGTAAACAATATTATTTAGTATTTAATTAGTATACCCATTTTAACTGGTGAAACTCGAAGAATAAAGGTGACCATGCCCAATTTAAAACAAGTTGTGATGCGTATAATGCTAAAGAAAGTTTTGCTGAGCCTATAGTTAAAAACAAATTTTAAATAACAATCACAATCAGAAAATTCAAAACATTTATTTTATAATTAATCTTACCAAAAAATCCACCACCACTTTGATATACCATGAAAGAAGCATATCCCATTACTATATACAAAGTTGTCCAAACTGGAGCGAACATGTAATTTGGAGGCCTCCAGGATGGTAGATTCAATGTCTATAACAAAATACATAAGGATATGTTATTTTGTATATAAATATACACAGTCATAGAATTTATACATACATAAAGTCTAGAATAAGTGTAGCAAACTGAGGGTGTCATGCAATGAGCAAAATGCTCACATCGAAACTCTTTTCTAGGGCATGAAGAAAAATCTATATATTATCTACTTATGCCTCATTATCATGTACGGATTTGAAATATGATCTATGACGCAGAGTGATGAGAATTAGCTAGATTAACTTTCGAAGGGAAAATTCTTAAGAAAATATACGGTCCTATATTAAACTCCAAAACTGGTATATACGAGCGGAAAAAAATCGCAGACCTAAAGAGACTGTATAATGACATACGGAAGGTGGATCGATAAATCGGGTACTTACTAGCAAACCAACTGGAAAACTATGTCAACGTTGGTTAGACCGAGTAAAAGACGACTTAAAGAGATTAAGAAATGGAGTGAATATATTAAAGATGAAGAGGCTCGAGAAGGTTTTAGTAGAAGCAGCAAAGCACCTAAATGGAATGTGAAGTAAAAAGTAAATAAATAAATATAGGTACATAGATGCAGAGGCGTATTTATTAAGTGTTTTTGGGTTTAACCATTCCCCCGCGAGCCAACGAGCCAAATAAACAAATTGTGAATATTTATTATATTATAGATATTTATTGTTTGATTGTTGCGATGCTATACTCTGAAGTTACTCAGAACTTAAAGTAAATAAATATAATAAATAGTGATTCAATAATTATATTTTAATTACCTATTATGGGTTTAGTGTTTTTTACAGTTTTGTTAACTCTAAAATGCTCAAATGTATAATATTCTTTTCGCAAAAATATGAATTTACAATAATTTTTTATACCTAGCTATAGCTATTTTATTATAAATTGTTCAATATAATACGATGTCAAAATAATCACTATTCATAACGATTATTAATTTTTAGGTGTATACTGTACCAGGGGCGTTATTTGAGATATTGCAGAGTACCTGTATACTTTAATGCTTATGTAAACTTTTTTTTTTTTTGTGGGTGTGGGTGCTAAGAGGGGCTACTTTACCCTTGCTAGTAGTCCTTCCCTTCGTATCCACATTTAATTGTTTATTGAGATAAAACAAAAAAAAAAAACAAACAATTTATTAAAATTGGTTTACAGCAGATAAAGGCCTCTGTCTCTCTGAATTTCGTCTTCGGCGCACATTGTACTTAACGCCTAATGTTTTGTCTTTCGCGTTCTTTTCCTCTCGCTTTGAAAGCACTTGGCGGACATATCTCTTTACTGCTTCCCAGTTTTTTCTTGACTTGAGCATGTTGTCGACTACAGTATCCGGCTCGAAGACGCTTCCAATACGTTCCTCAAGTTCCCTTCGGTACCGCCCTCAACAATCACATCGGAATATCGCGTGTTCCGTATCGTTAATGTCTGCTTGGCAGTCTATACGCATCGGGTCTTCTCGCTTCCTGAACTTATGAATATACTGGCCAAAACCTTCATGACCTGTTAGAACCTGCGTCAGATGGTAGTCAACGAAACCAAACGGCTTGATTGACCACTGTTTTACGTCTTTACTGAGCCTTTATATCCATCGTCCCGTTTCAGCCACGTCCCACTTTTCTCGGTCCCTACCTTCCCGACTTCTTACTAACAACAGTGGCCTACCTATCGTTTGAAGTATATTTGTTTTTTTTATACTGCAATTTTTGGTAAATAGTAGATATAAAAATAAAATTTGTAGGTGTATTATTTTCTTAACCCTCCCCCCACAAAGTAGGGAACCTATTTTTAACTTTTGTGTCACTTAATTAAAATTAACTAGATACTAATTATTACCTCGTACCATACTTTAATGTTTTTTCGGACAAAAATTCCTCCAATGACACCACCGATCATCGGTGTAACTGTAAATGTTACTGGAATCCAAATTTGTTTAGTTACGTCCATGATTTAATTAATCTATTGAATTGAAAATTAATTTTAGCTGTACCAAAAAAAACTTAGATATATTTCCTCGTACTTTTTGTGTTCAGTAATATTTGAATAACATACGAGTATTAGAGTACCTAATGAAAATAATAATTCATGAAAAAAAAAACAAACTTATTCAAAACAATCTACTAGTTACTACCGGTATTATTTGGTGACAAGTCACATTGTTCGCATAGAAAATGAAGAGATCTTTATTATCTATGATTATTTCATGAATTTCAACATAAGTGCTCACTAAAACAAATATCCATATCTGTGTGCTTGACTCCTTAGTCCTTGATAAAGATAAGTAGGCAAGTAAGTACCTACCTAGGTATTACAACTAATTATAACTTATTACCTACAGGCAATATTTTATATTTATTCGTTTTTTGTTAGTAATGGTTTATCTTTGCTTACAGATATGACTTAAATAGCTTTATGTATCTTAACTTCCTGCTTACAACAGTAGCACATCCGTCCTCGGTATCAGTTGTTTTTTTAAAAAAATTGTTTTAATACTTTTCTATAAATGTTATTCATGGGTAATAATAATAAAATAAGTAAGTACTTATACATGAAACAAATTCAACAATGCCCGGGGAGGGGGTGATCACCCCTATCACCCCCTCATGTCTACGCCCCTGGGTGAATAATAATAATTCAAATTATTTAAGGCATGATGCGTAAAAAAAATCCTATTTTTGTGAATAACCGTAAACGTGTTTTCTGGGGGAAAAAATGAACCCGATTTCATAAAACTTATAGCTATTTCGTTACACTCACAATCTAACCACGATATTTATTCAAATCACATTTCGTAATTCATACTACACTAGTATTACGCTATTACCTACAGTATAATATGAATAATAGAATTTAACATTTATCCAAATGTATTTTAAAATATTTTAATATGAGTTTTATTTTTATACGAGTGTTCAAAGATTATTCAACATAACCTAATTAATATTAAAATTAGTAATGGAGAAAATCCGGTTTTGTCGAAGTTCGAAAATTAGGATTCTTTGAATTCTAAATCCGAAATCCAGATTTAACTCTAAATCCGGATTTTGAATTTTGAAACATTGAATTAGTATTCTTTTAAGTATTATTAATTATAAAAAAGTTTTCATAAACATATTAGATTTTGTATCAAAAAATTGATTTTTTAATTAGAATACAGAAATCTATAAAATTAAACCTAAAATTTGGATTTTTAAATCTGTAAATTTAAATTTAGGATTTCATAATCCGAAATCCGAATTTTTCGGATTTTCATATAATCCAGATTTATACCACATCGCTAATTAATATAAGATATTATATTAAAAAGATTTTTAAAATAGAAACGAAAAATGCACACACTATATTTGACTAGGGTTTTAGTTGCTGTGAATATTATTCTCCAATATTCAGTTACTCCCACTGACTTATAGCCTTTAGATCATTTGGCGCTCGGTGGAGTTATTAGCATACACAATACAGAAGGGATGGCGTTAGGCTGCAATTACTACTAAACAAGACATTTTCAAGATAACATCCTGCCAATAAATTAACTAAACCGAAATCGATATATTTTGAACATAAATCGGCTGTAGCACAGAGCGTAAATACACTTATGTGCAGGCGTTATATTAAAAAATACCACCACCGCAAATTAAGTAAACGATTTTTTTTAAAATCATTCTTATTCCGTAAACAAGTTCCGTTTACAAATTGATAAAAAAGATGAAATTTTTATTTAAACATTTACTATAGCTACAAAAAATAGATTATAATATGATTGCAGATACCTACAAAATATATATAATACAAAAAAAATTAGTTTTTAATTAGATATCAATAAATATAAAAGTACTAATTTTAACAAAAAAAAAAAAAAAAAATTAGAAAAAATGATTAAGTGTATTCGTGTATAATTTAAATATAATATGAAAACAAAAATGCGTTTTTAATTAGAAATCAATAACGAGCTGAACATTTTTAGAAGCTCGTCTATCAAGTTGTCCAATTCGTTTATTAGGTGGGCTATGTCTTTGATTAAAGGATCATTTCATTCGTCAATTTTAAATCTTCATTAGACGAAGACTCTTCTTCATATTTTGTATTATCTTTGAAATCTTCCGGAATCATTGGCGATAAGGTTCCCATCATAAACTAAGTGATAGATTTGGAATATTTTCATGGCGTTCTGAATAAGGATCTTCTACAGTCATATACTTAACATTTATGGATAGTAAAACGTTTATAGTCTCAGTTTTAACAATAGTGCTTGAAACAATTCCATTAATCGCTTTATAAGAATCACTACAATTTTTAATACTTTTTACTGATATTTCATCAGTGTGAGAGTAATTAAATCGTTTAATTTTGCTTATACTATTCGATTGATTTCGATCATTTGAATAGTCATCGGTAATTGATACATGTTGAGCAAGAGTTTCAGGTCGTCTAGATTCGGTAGTTTCATTATCTATAAAATTCGGTTTTGAGCTCATGGATACTGTAATTGTATTATTCATTTGTAAAATGGGTATCGGTTAATTTGCGCAAGTCACTCGATGACTCAGTTATATTACACACTTTTCCTATACTTATTCTCTAGGAGTCGATTTTTCCCTAGATAAGAAAGTTTATTATTGGACGGTTTACCGGAAACATAATCCTTTTCGCTGGAAATTGTAAATATTTCCGATTTGATTTCATCGGAAATTTTGAATTGTTTAACTTTGTTTTTAACGATAGTTATCGGTAATTGATTCATGTTGAAAACTACGTTTTCGAGGAATCCTTTCGGATCGTCTTGTTTCAGTAATTTCATTAACCATAAATTTTGGTTTTGAGTTTAAAGATATTGCAATTGTATTATTAATTTCACCAATGGGTATCGGTGATTTTTATAAGTTACTCGATGATCCAGTAATATTACAACATTGCGCCTAGTTTAGGCATAATTATTGAAAGTTTTTCAATAAACTATGATGGTCAATTTTTGTATAGACAATATCAATGTTAAAAAAATTACACGATTAATAAAATCATAACTATATGTACTTAAAATTAAAATAACTATACGTACTTTTATCAATATGAAAATTAAATCCGTTGATGAATTCATGTTTTTTTGTAACTGCAATTAATTCATACAGAACGGACTAAAAGAATAACTGTAAAAAAAATCAATAAATATTAATTTCGTTAATATTCAGTTTTAAAATAAATTCTATTTCAAACACATAGTAATATGTATGTATAATTGGCTAAAATATTTAAATTATTTCGTACGTATTTTTTAAATGTATATTAAAATAATTTAGTACCTAACATTAAATGCTGCGTACAATAAATTAGGCACCGGGGATTGGAAAACAAAAAATAGAAATTAGAAAAGAATAATAGAAAAGTTTATAAGTTCATTGTAGGAAATTGTACGACATCAATACTCTGCCGGTTAAAATAAATCTTTTTTTTTTCACAAATTTAAAAAGGACAAATAATTATTGATTGTTTTGTCCTTTTAAACTTTTTGTGAAAATAATTTACATGTAATGTTAAAATTTTTTTAGTGGAAAATTGAAAATCACAATCATGGTAGGTTTAATTGGTAAAATATCAGTGACGTAAATTCAAATTTCTCACAATGAACATAATCTTTTTCTTAGTGTAAATATTTTACTTCAAAATGTAAAATTAATAACTAAACTCCATATTTCGTAATATATGTTGTATGTATATCACGAATAAACGATTAATTCATGACGTATATTTTTAAACAAAAATTTGATTTTGATATGATAAATGATAATTGATATCAAAACAATAAGCATTCTATTATCAAAGAATTAAATTATCACTGCCATATATTCATGATAGTAATCACGGTTAAATCATGATAGTAATTCAGTATTACTATTGGTGGATGTCAAAAAACTCTGCTACTGGAAAGCTCTCGTTTTTGGCAACCCAGATCTAATTAAGTATAATAAGTGCATAGATAAGTGCTATGACCCATGGTCGATTAGTTATTGATAAAAATTAAAATGATAAAATTTAATTACAAGTACTGAAAATCTAAAAAGTATAATTATTATAAATTTTAGTTTCTTATTCTAATTATATAAATACAGAATAATTATTGAATATAATGGAGTCGTTAATTAAAAGTGTTGGTGAGAATGATTATAAACCTGAAAAATGTATGTACATTCAATATTTAAAAACCTTCGTTAGTACTTATAAAAGTTTTATATATTTTTTTAAAACTTATAATTATTTTAATTTAGATGTCAAAGAGTTATCTCAAAGATGTATGGGTCCTGAAGAATTATTGCAGCAAAAGACTAATGTGGAATCTTTGGGTGAACAAATTAACACTATGCTTAAGAAAAATGTATTCTATAATTATACTCAATTTATTGATACCGCTAAAGAGATTGCAAGTAAATAGAGAAATTTAAAAGTTGTCACTAATTTGATATAAATATTAGTTATATTTTTATTTATAGATTTAGAAGGTGAAATGTATCAGTTATCTCATTTACTAACTGAACAAGCATCTTTACTAAATTCTTTAGCTAGTTCTACTGTTGTTAGCGAACAAATTTCTAATTCTGGCAAAGATGTGAATGGTGACCAAAATGCCGAAGTAGATAATGTAGTTGAAGAAAAACGGGTTCAGAAATTGTTAAATATTATGGAGCGAGTAGAAAATTGCAATGTTAGTAAAACGTGTAATATAGATTACAAATAGTAGATAAGTAAATATAATGAGCTTGGTTATAGAATTTAGATGTTCCTGACCGTAAATGTTTGCATGAAGGCGATTTGTTAGAATTGGATCCTATTGAAAATACACCAGTTCAAAGAATTCATTGTTATCTTTTTACAGATATTTGTATTGTTGCCAGTTGGTTGTCTAGCAGGTGATTAGTAATTACAATTTAATGCATGTTTTGTTTTAATTTTTTTTTAACATAATATTATTATAGACATGGACCAGCTAGATATAGATTTCAATCAATTTATGATTTATGTAACCTTGCTGTTGTAAATATTAAAGATATTAAAAATGCATTTAAATTACTTGCTTTTCCGGAAACAAGAGTATTTCAAGCACCAAATACTGGATTAAAGGTTAATCATTTTCAATGTATAAATATATTTAAATAAACACATTTTAAACTCTTTATAGAACGATTGGTTATCAAAATTTGAAGTTGCTAAAAAATCACAAATATCTGTTGAAAATAAAATGAAGGGTACTACTGAACATAAAACAATTCAAAGGGCAGATTCTATTCAATTAGTTCATAATTGTAAGAATAACAGTTTTTTTTTTGTAGAGTTAATATATTAAAGTATAACTATCAACATTATTATTATACATAAAGTATTTTTTGTCAATTTTATTACTATATTAATTTACTTAATTATTCAGTGATATTTGTATGGTTTATTATACTCATTATTTCAAAATTTAACTTTTTTTAAAATCAGATATATGCTTTTCTAAAGTTGTATAATACTTTTATTTTTTCACCCATATATTTAATAGTTAAATCACTTGATTATTTAAAAGTTTGAAATAATGATTTAATAATATTTTTTTAAACAATTAAAATATCACGGTGTAATTTAACATATTATTCTTACAGTATAATATAAAAATAAAATTAAAAATTTTGATAGTTATTGGATTAAACTCTTTAAAATAATGTCAACTGATATTATCAGAGTATTCTGAACAGTAAAATAGCATTTAATTAATTTGTTTACATTTTGTATTGATTAATCATTCAACTAAGATTAATAATTTTGATTTTTTCTTTTTAATACAATTATTTAACTTAAACTGGTATAATACTATTTTAGCTTTTGAACCTGAGATACCAGAAATAGAATTGCCAGAATGGTTAGTTGATTTAGCCGATGATTTGGATGTATTAATTGCTCAAAGACATTTTGAAGATGCAAATGTGTTGATTAGTAAAGCCAAATTTTATTTAGAAGAACATAATGATCAAATTCCAATTTTTATTGATCTAGAAATCAAGTATTATTATATGAATTGTATTTAATCCTTAGTAAAACTAATACTAATACCTACTATTTTGGATAATGCAATTTGGTATCAAAATGCCAGTTTAATAAATTTGCTGAATTGTTTATTTAATGAAACCTTTTATTTATATATAGGTACCTAACTTTTAAATTTAAATTTTTAATAACTTATTTATTTTATGCTAATAATCCTTGTGTATAAAAACTAGTATTTATTATAATTTGTAGCTTTGTAGACAAATATTTTTTACTTCTTTAGTTTTTAAAGGTCCATTGAGTCCCTTTCTCACAACATAAATACCTGCTTGAACCATATTATAGATATACATTTATATATTTATGTGTAAAAATTGAATATTAAATATCATTTGTGATTAGTAAAAGTCAAATTTAACTTTAATTTTAATAATACAGAGCTAAATTGGAAGATCGTATTCAAAAATTGACTTTAGTTTTAACTAATGAACTTCAAGTTTCTCCAGATAAATCACATAAAGGAGGTTTAAGAGCTGCTCGCAGAGCAGTTCGAATTTTGAATCAACTGGATAAATCATCTCAAGTACATGTTTATAATATATTTATATATATATATTAATAACCAGGGCTCATACTAACTTGTAGCTTTAAAAAGGGTTTTATAAGTACATTTATATGCTTTTAAAAATATGTATATACTTCCTTGAATTTTCACTAAAAATAATAAAATATTCAAAAAATAATAATAATAATAATGATACTACTGTAATTTCTTGAATTTATTAAAAATAAAATACTAATGCATGTGATACAATATTATAGGGGTTTCCTTATAGATATGATTACTGTCTTACTGACTTGCAGCTGAAGCTAATAGAAACAAATTAACATGTAGATACTGTTTAAATTATTCTCTTTATTAAATATATTTTGAAATCTATTGTATTAAAATAGCGCTAAGCATATCAAAAAAGCAAAATAGCACTTAAACTATAAAGTATGTAAAATTAACCAAAATAAACTATTTTGTGTATTGCTTCATGATTTCTTGAAACATTTGTATAGCTCACATATGTATCTCTATGAACATGGAAAAAAAAATGCTAGTGCTTAAAGTTATGAGCCCTGTTAATAACTATACTTTGTAATTATTTAATGGTTTCATTTAATTTTAGGCATGTGATTTATTTTTGAAAGTTTGTTCAAATTTATTGAAATCTCAATTACAGTATGTACAACGTGATGGTGCAATGTCAACGTTTGTTAAAAAATATTCCATGGTATTTTTTGGAACTACAATTGAAATAACACATGAATTCTTATACAAAGCCTTTCCAAACAGCCCAGCTTGTTCTTCAGGTACTTGCTATAACTTGTTAAAATATTTTAAAACAAGTATGGTTTTTTAACAAAAATCTGTTTAGCTTTTATTTTATGGACCATTCAAGAAGTAAATGATTTCATGGTTGTTTTAAACAAACATATGTTTGTTCCTCAAACATCACTGTCTAATTTATCTGAGTGTATAAAAGTGATCCACAAAAATTGCCAAGAGGTAATATTAATATTTGTTTAGGATTAATTTTAATACTTAAGTGTAACTATTATTTTACAAATTTATCCTAATAATAGTAAAAATTCTTAATAAGAAACAGTGTTTTTTTTTCAATTTTAAACAGATAGAGGAAACTTATTACCTAATTGTATTGTTTTTTTCTTCTTGTTATTATGTATTTTTGGGGAAGCTTTGGCCATTACATAAAATGTTTCATGATTTTTAATCATTACTTATTAGATAGATAATTTAAATCGAGATGTACTTTATATAAGTAAGTTATCTGATATTTTCAGTAAAGTATGGTTAAAACTAAAAAAAAAAAATGCAGAATCTATACACATTAAATTCTGAGCTCTACATGCATTAATTTTTCATGAATTGTAATGATCCCACCTAAAACTGTGACTTGCTTATAACATGATGTCTACATATTTTTATTTATTAACATTTTTAATGTTTAAGTTTTTGAAACAAGTATAGAACATTTTGTATTCCCGTTGTATCAGTCTATCCTGATAGTTCTTAGTTTATAGTTACGGTTGTTGATTTTGTTCACAAGAAGTTATATACTATGTGTAACATTACTATTAGTATATGTTATTTTCATTATTAGGTTAAATATTAGTATCAAATACAAATTCATGCTAGCAAATACTAAAAAAAGAGCACTATAGTATAAGTATTTTAAGAATTTTTAAAAATATCTTTTATTATTTACTAATTTATTAAAATATTTAATTTATTTAGATTTAGCATTATATACTAGATTACTAAATTAGTTTATAATTTTATATAAAAAATTTAATAGTCTATTGTTTAAAAACTAGAAATACGCTCACAGAGTGAGCTGTCCTAACTTGATTTTTTAAATAAATTAATATCTAATAAAGTTATAGTATTAAATTTTTAATAAATTACAAAATCCATTAAAATGTAATATTATATTTTTAGTTATGTGATTATGGAATAGATCTACAATTTCAAATTGATGGACAACTTAGGATTCCTCTTACAAAATCAATAAATGATGTTAAAGAGAAAACTATTGAAGTAATTAAAATGCGTTTTTCTGAAGATAAATGGAAGCCTTTCAATTTAAAAACAAAACAACAAAGGGATAAACTTGTTGAAGAATTTAAAAACTATGGTTTTTCTAACATTGAGTCTTATAATCAAGGTTAATATTTAATACAAATATATAATAATACATACAAATAATAAACAATACATATTTCTAGGTGATTCATGGATAATGTTAACCCAAAATACAATAACATTCACGCGCACATATCTATTACTACTCAATGATTGTTTGGTGTTTTATTCACCTGATTTAGTAAATGCTATTGATCAATTGCTTTATGAAGTTTTTGCAGCCCATTGTAATAACATAAAAAGCTCTATAAAAAATAAAAACTTTGTAAATGATGTAAGTATTTTTTAAATTAACATCTAAAATTATACTTTTTTAACACTAAATATTTTTTCTTTCCATTTATAGATAAATATCATAACAACAAATGCTAGATTTATTTTAGACATTTTTTTATCACATTGTTTTAAAATTTATTCAGAATCTACAGGTAATACTAATCCTAAAATTCACAAACGTTTAAAATCAGAATTTGGTGTTATTCCTACTCAAAATATAACAGGTTATATTTAAATTATTACATTGTTTTTTGGGTAATATAATATTACTTAATTATTGTATATTTTAAATTAATATTATTTGTTATACTTCACTTTATATTATATATTATTTATATTTACTTTTGTTATTTTCAATAATTTAAATTACAATTATAACCCTATTATTTATGTATTATTATGTACTTTTTATATTTAATTTAATAACAATATAGTTTACCTTTCAAGTGTTGTTTTAAGTAGTTGATTCAAATTTCAATATTTTTCTTTCCGGTTTTTATTATTATCTATCAAAAATTAGTTTTTTACTAATAATAATAACTTTTACTTTAGTAAAAATTAAAAGTTATTTAAGTAGATAGTCATTTCATCTCCAAAAATAAGAGTGTTAAAAAAAGGTAATGTAACATTTTAGAGCTGCTTGTTTCTTAAATTGTTAAAAAAATTGTAAACAAATCTGTTTTTTCTGAGATAATGAGTATACTTTATTAAAATAATATGGTAAGAATTATATTTTCTAAAACAATTAACTTAAAGTTATGATTATTAAAACATTAATGCAAAAATAAAAAAATATTTCACCAATTATTTATTTTATTAAGTTCAATTTTTGCAATTTTTACCTATATGGTGTCATAATGTAATCACTACTACTTACCTAAGTCTTTTTTTATCTATAGATTATATTCAAATTTATATACATTTTCAGCATAAAATATTTTAAAGTAAAAGTATCTGTAATTGTTTCGATTGAATTAAGTATCAGTTATCAATAAAGATTTGATGATTATTTATTTTGATTTGAGTTTTACTTATTGTAAAATATATGGAGGTGAATTCTAGAATAAACAGCTATCAATTCTTATAGTTTATTATATTTTTAATTACTTAAATTTTGAAATTTTATTTCTTTACATGTGAGATATGATATTACTGATATTATTATAAAATACAGAATTACCTATTAGATTTTAGTATTACTGATAGCTTATTACTAGTGTTAGAATAGGCCACCAAGAAATCTCCCAGTAGGACATGATAAAAATGAGCTTGACAAATCTGGTAAGGTCTGGTGGAGTAAGTGAATAACCAAACTAAATAATTGACTTAACGAGTGTAATACAATTTAGTCGTTCTATTAAGCTTATTCCTTAAATGTTCTAGAAAACAAGTTCCGAAAAAATATAATACTTTCAGAGATAATGAGTTTTATATGGTAAATTGATCACGTCGTATATAAAATATATGAATTATTCATATAATTTATAATTTTTCGAAAATTTTTTTATAGTTGCCATGAAAATTTAGCGCCTCATAACTTATACCAGGAAAGGCCTATTGCCCCCTCCTCCGAACCACCCCTTAAATACGGCCCTGAACTCGACAGTTTCTTCTGAAGAAAATTATCACATTTTTTTTTTATATTATATTATTTGTCTTTAATATTTTTTTTTGGTTATTATTTATTTTCAAACTGATATCCGGATTTAGTTTAAAAACATGACCTAGGTAGACATAATCCATAGGTTCATATTGTATTATGCAGAAAAACGTTTAATTGTATATGTATTATTTATGTAATATTTTTTAATTCAGACTGACCATTTTAAATTGTACACCGAATACTGAGATAATATAGTTCGTTATTACTCAATGATAATATTCATTATTCATCTAGCATAAACTTGAGTCGTAGATTTAGTAGCAATTTTGATAAATACAGATGGTAATAATTAACAATTGGTATATTGGCACTGTACTGCAACTGCACGGTCTTCTAGGATACATGGTCTGTTTCATAGAAAAGGTAGTAAGAGGTTAGGTCTGATTAGAAAACAAAATTATTATTTTTGATTGAAAAATATATACAATCGGTCCCCTCCCTAGAGAAGTAGAGAACCATTATTATATCATGGCCATATCATTTTAAATGCGAAGCGAAAATGGAGTACTTTCAGAGTGTCCATAATACGAAAAATAAATTATTATGCTATGTACATTGTACAATATTTATGGATTATATACTACTATGATCAAGATGGATATTAGAGTAATAAATATTATAAATATATATATATATATATATATATATAAATTATATAAAAGTGTAAACACTTCGCCTTAAAAATTGATTGCGCTGTCTACCCAATGAGAGTTAACATTTCTAATTATTTTCTACACGGATATACCATATACAGTGCCCTACGATTGAAATAATTAAATGCAATGAAATATTTAATTTAAATGATGAAGTACTATTTTCTTCAGCATATCTTCAATTTGACAATTAATTGTTATTCTAATACTACTGTTTTCGTTTTTTTGGATTTTGAGTTCTTGCGCACAAAATACAGCTGACCATGATAAAAATACTTAAATGAACAGAAAACAAAAAATACAAAATACAAATAACTAGTTAGGACTTCGGAGTTAAGAGAAGTTCGGAGAATTTAGTAGTACCTATTTACTATTTAGGACTTAACCAACTTAAATTAAGTACGCTAATATGTCTACGACAATTCAGAATGAATAATCAAGTATCCAAGTATTTGTCATCATTTTATTGCACTGTCAGCAACGCCATTTAGTGTTTACTAGAATTGTAAGAGATGTACAATGGTGTTCAATTTTGCTTCAGTATCATATTGATTCATGCATAATGCCGTCTTTATAGTTATATTACTCTTGTATTATTCTTAGAGTTATCTATGGACTGTAAGCACAATAAGAATAGATATGAGGTGGTCGGTCATAGAGTAATACTCTATGGAGTCGGTAATATTTTTAGAGTAACAGTTACAAAATAAATTTTGATTTAATTATTAACTTATCATTGTACTGACCCATGAAAAAAAAAAATTGCATAAGTAAAATCATTAATTTATAGTTTTATAACTTTTTGACGTATAGATGTATAAAACCTCTTATACATGAAATTACCCAACACTGTTTGAATTTACCTACATTATTATTTTGGCAATTAGCTTCAATTAAATCATTTAATATTTAAATACGTATATAATTTTTAAAGTATATATCAAGAATACAATTAAAAAATTAAAAAACCATACAAATTAAAAATATTTAGTAAGGTTGTTTACTGATCGTTTATCTGATTTGATATTAATAAATTTTAGATAAAATATGGTGTCTAAATTTTAATTTGGTCTTAAGTATTTAACATTTTTAGTTTCAATAAAAATTAAAAAAAATTAATTATTAAACTATTCAAACTATTTTAGAAGATTAAATTCATTAATTTAAAAAAAAGCGGTAATCGATATCATGTTACCAGAACCATGGTTAGGTATTTCCAATTCCCTTTGCTTAACTCGATATATCCCGAGGTTAACCGAGAGTGAAAACATCCGAGTTCGGCTTTTCGAAGGACTTGAGATGTGATTGGATCAACCATTTTGTTGATCAAACTCTGAAGTCACATGTTCATACTAGCAAATTTTCTTTGTGTTTTACTTCAGGTTAAGTATATTGTAGTACATTTAACTATAAATATTTGTTAATTTTACTACTTGTAGTTAACTTTGATAGGCAATATTATTTCCGGTGGAATATTGTTGATAATTGTTATTCATAAGACTCCTAAAAATGAATGCTGACAAATTGAAAAAACTCGGTGATCAAGTGAGAATAGGCGGTAAAGGCACGCCGCGACGAAAGAAGAAGGTTGTACACACAACAGCAGCCACAGACGACAAAAAACTCCAAAGTACGCTAAAGAAATTGGCCGTCAACACAATACCTGGAATTGAAGAAGTAAATATGATCAAAGATGATGGTACGGTGATACATTTTAACAATCCAAAGGCACAAGCTTCCCTTGCAGCAAACACATTTGCTATTACGGGGCATGGTGATACGAAATCAATGTCCGAACTGTTGCCTGGCATATTAAACCAGTTGGGTCATGAAGAAATTGGCCAACTTAAACGTTACGCCAGCGGATTTGCTACTACTAATCTCATGGGTAAGACATTAATTGAAGATGACGATGAAGTGCCAGATTTGGTCGGTAATTTTGATGAAGCCAGCAAAGAAGAAGTGGTCGCAAAGGAATCATCCGAAGAAAAGCCAGACAGTTCTGAAAAGTCAGTTGTCGAAGAAATTGCAGAGAGCTCAAAGAAGGAATAATATTGGTAAACATATACTTATTTTTAAGGTTTCTCTTTTTTTATGACCAACATTTTAGTTACTGACTGACTTTTAGATATGTTACTTTCTAATTATCATTTACATATTATATTTATAACAATTCAGTTCAATAAACCAATTAATAACTATTTTGATCATGTTTTCTTTTGTCTTAAAATATTTTTAATCTTTTAAATTCAAGAAAGTAAGAAATAAATTTCAAAATATTATTCAAGTGATTGACACATTTAAAAATGAAACAATAAAGATACGTATGTAATAAACCAAGTTATTTTTAAAAGGTTATGTTTTGTAATATTATTGTTATGTTTTGATATTTTAAAAAATAAAATTGAATACAGCAAAATTAAAATGAAAAATTAAAGAATGATTAATGAATAATTAGAATTATTTTTATCATTTTAAAACATTTGGGGACATGTAATCATAATTTATGGATATTTAATATTATCGCTTGCCAAAATCTCTATGATTTTGTTCACGATCCGAGAGATATAAACATTACCAATTTTACTACAAACCAGAAACTGAATGATTCTTTATCAAATAAATAATAATAATTTTATCCTACAATGAAAACATCACAACTCTAAAAATGAGCTAAGTATATGAAAAATGGGCTGAATATTCTTCAGTTTCTAAAATAAATTGTTTTTTCATGAATTCTTTAATGGATAAATAGTCCACATTTTTCATCCTCGTTGCGCTGCATAAAGCCAATAAAAATATGTAATAATTTAAAAAATCTGTTCTCTAATTATAATAAGTAATTAATCTTCTTTAGTTAATCATTATTTCTGAAAATTAATTATTTGACAGTTACTATCTTCTTGGTTTGTTCAGCTATTTTTCTTGCCTTTAGCATATTTTATAAATTTTCATTAATTGCAAAGTAAACTGTAAATACAAACTATTTTTATATCCAGAAGATCCCTTCCCAATACTTTTGGTAGGTTAAATAATGCTTTTCTATAAATAATTGGACCTAATCTCAATAAAGAACATACTGGAGTTTTGGTTAGTTACATTTATAATTAGTTTTAATTTTATGAATAAATGGACATTTTTCTCATATCTTCAATATAATATGTGATCCAATTAAGTTTTCAAACATTAGAATACACCGTTATATCTTCATTGCAGAACTAATACCTCAATCTACAAAAATATAAAAAAATGTATAGTATACATCAAAACATACAGAAAATAACTAACTATAAATACAAGGTATTAGTTGTGCAATGACTGTTAAATATAATTTGTCTGTTATAATACTTGATGAGTTAAATGTCTTAAAATTAAATAAAACATTTTATATAATTAGGAACGTAGCTATCTATTTAAATATTTTCTGTTGAAATGATTGAATTATTGTATAAAACTTGCTCAATAAAATATATTTACCTAATGTGTTTAATGTCTATTATTCTAAAATAACTGGAAAAAAAGAAAGCTAAAAAACAAGCAGGACTGGAAATCGAACAACCAGTTTTTCATTTAGCAGGTGATTGCTCCAATTATTGAGCTACATAGGGTACTTTTTTTTTTTGTTAGACTTAAAATGCCTATTGTAGTGGTTTGATTGATACGGATGTACAGTATACTTATTAGTTTTGTTAGTGAATGCTGTAATAAGATTCAATAATTTTACTTCCAAAAAGAAATAGTCTTATTCTTGAATTATTTTCTTAGTCTTAATTTATACTAAATATGGCTATATATTCTATATTTTTTAAACTTATCATTCTACTGTTTAATTTCTATCTGTTTGCAATGTATAAAACTCAGTTAAAAACTACTTAAAATTATATTCTAATTACTGACTTCTTAGTTTTACCAAAGTTTATTAACACATCACTTTTTTTTTATATTTCAGGATTGGTGACTAAGAGAACACATATTGAGAAAATTTCTGTTTCGCAGTAGTGACTATAATCAATCATAACTTTATTACAACTTAAAACAATAGCATTTATTTCGGAAATTTCATATAACTGTACATTCGAAAATTTATAAATACTTCATTCACCTGTAAATCACTATATATTTTGTTTGATGTACTTTGGATAAGTATAAATAAAATATAATATTATTACCAAAAATTAGTTACTTATCTTAATTAAAATTTTAGGCCGAAAGCCTTATATATATATAAATAGATTCTGGCTCCTTACCTACATAGTCTAATTCACTCATATACCTATCAGTAAGTTCTATGGTGGAGCTATTATTGCACTATTTTGGTGTATGCTTGACCTAATAGGTACAAATTTGTATAATTGAACTATATATATATGCATATGAAGTGTATTTGTGTTGAATTATATTAATTAAGGTTTAATAACAACTAAATGTGCGCTGAAGTAAGTATAATATCAAATTTTTTTTTTTTTGTTATTTTAATAAAAAAAAATTTCAAAATGCAATTATACTCCAAAAGAATTCTTGAGATTTTTGAAAACACTTTTTGAAACAAATTTTGAAACATGATGCAGCAATTCCTGAATACCTGAAATCAAAACAATATAAATTAACAAAAAATATATAGTGACAGTCAATTTTCTTGTGAATTGTAGAGGATGTATATAGTAGAAATGACAATTATATATGGCTGGATGTAGTGGAAGAGGAAGTGTTGTGTAATAAAAAGTTGCCATCAATGACAATTAGGACATTTTATATAAGTGTTGTGAGATGTTGGGTATGAGTCCTAAAGTGTTGGGCATTAAATAAAATATTTAAAATAAAAAATCGAAGTAGCAGATAAAAAAAATATGTATTAATTTATAGATATAATAAATTTATTTATGAAAAAACACATAAACCAATATTGTCTTATATTAAATATTACATTTTAAATTCTGAGTGGAGCAAAGAAGCTTATGGTTTTACAATGATATTATTTAATTTTTTTTACTTTTTATCTATGAGCAACTTTTATACCAGAAGACTTGCTCAGATTTCTACGTGTAGCACCTTTCTGAGAGGAAATTTGTGTGGGGATGTCATTTTTTGATTTTTAAAAACAGTTTTCTCAACAAATGCAAAATAACCGGAAAAAATTAACTGGAAAATTTACAAAATATAACAAATACAATTTAAGATTTTTTTTTCTGTGGACAACTTTTCTACCAGAAATTTTGCTGTAAATTTTAATGATAGCAATGTTTCTAAAAGAAAATTTTACTTGTCAGGAACTTTAAAGCTGTAATTTTTTGATTCTCTCGAGTTTTCCCAGCAAATGTGAAAAACCAGGATAAAACATGAAAAAACTTAAAATATATGACTTAAAAATAAAATATATAAAGCCTATTTAATAAATTTACTATAAAATGACATGCACAGCGTAATTCACTCAACTGGAAACACTCATTATCTCGGAAAGTATTAGTTTCATTCAAACTTATGAATCAAATAGTTTTATAAAATGTTGCGTTATCATTTTTGTTGTACCTCTTATTTTGAGGTAGAAATGATTGCCTACTTTTGATTTTCATATGGCAACCCATTTTGAAAATGCATTAAATACATGGAGTATTATTTAAAATAAATTTTGGTATTGAAATTTTTGATTTCTATCAAGCCGTTGATGAGATATTCCACTTTCAAGTTTGGATTGGAGGAAAGAAGTAGTGTATTCGTGTAGCCGTACCGCCACACAAAGAATACTCTACTGCTCTCCTTCAAATAAAAATTTTCAACACCAAAATTTATTTTCAATAATACTCCATCTATTTAAGGCATTTTCAAAATACACTGCTTTTTGAAAAAGTTAATACTTTCTAAGATAATGTTTTCAGTTGAGTTAATCACATTGTATATATCATTTTGTAGTAACATTATTAAAAAGGCTGTATATTTTTTCTTTAATAAAATTTGTTTAATGTTGTACCATTTTCCCAACGTCTATCCGGGTTTTCCAATTGAACTCCACCGCTTAGAATCGTTTTTTTGTAGGCAATGGAATACGAATTGGTTTAATTGCAAATAGTTATTGCTTACAGATATACATTTAATTCCCGTCTATATCCTACCTTTCTAATTTCCCACATACATCATGGCTGTACCCGTCCCCTATCTTACCTTTCTTTTTTATACTTATAAGTATAAAAAATAACTATTTTATGCCATTTAAACAAGATCATATATACTTACATAATACTTCACTATCTGAACAAAACATCACTAACATTTGCAATCGAGGCAATTCACTAATACCTATCAAATAATCTATTATATCATGTCCATTTTGAACAAATTCCAACTTCAAAATTTTTAAAATATCCACAAACAAATCATTGTCCATAGAATTACGTACAATCAATGGTAAACGCCGACCAGGAATTTGCTAAACAAAATGGTTAAATTAATATTTTAAAATAATTTAGTATAAATACAAACTTTAGATTTAATTTGAAATCTTACTTTCAAATATTTAAATAACAATTTAGAATCTTTTTGTAAGTATGCCCAGTCTTGTTTGAGTTGTACATATGTTTGAGGAGGAGAAGGAATAGGTATAAATGGTTTCTTCTCTATCTGATCTGTATCTGTTATTATAGTAACCTTATTGGTTATAAATTGGTCTTTTTTATTTTTTTCACATACTTCTTTTAATGTTGTTTGAAGTAAATTCATAGTATCTAGTTCTTCTTGGTCTACTTGAACATCTTTAATTTTGGGTAAGTAAAATGGTTTCTAAAAAAATATTAAACACAAATTTTAAAGCTACTCACTAATTAATTATTAGTTGTATGATTATAGCATTATCTTACTTTTGATCTGAGATGAGGAGGTTTTGGTTTAGAATTTATTTGTTTACAAGCTACTCTTGAAGGCCATTTAGGAATCTCACATTTTACTGATTTTTCAACGTCTTGACATAAAATGTTTGAATTAGTACTTTTATCTTGTAAATTATTAATTGTTTTTGTTTTAAGAAATGTAATGTCAGAATTTATTTGCATTGTATCCTAGGAATTGAAAAGTTTTGTTTGATATTAAATAAATTAAAACGCTTGTCATTTACTTACCTGTTTAATTTTGTTGTTTACAAATTCTATATCAAGTTTAGCCTGTTTGTTATTCGGTTCCAATTTTAGAATTTCTTTTAGATCTTTTTTTGCTTCATTATATTTTCCTAAAGCCATATATGCAGCACATCTTCTTTGATATGATTTAACATAAGTGCTATCTAACTTAAGTGAACTAGAGCAATCATTAACTGCTAGTTTAAATCTGTTTAAATAATTTTAATTTACAATTATAATAATTGAAGTTTGTAACCCAGTGGTAAAGGGCACCATGTCCATTTTTGATGAAAATGAATCAGCCCTATGCCCTTGTTATACATTTTTTGCTCTATGTAAAGGTATGTGACACTATATCCAGTTATCATAAGTGACAGAGATAAGGCGATGGGAAATCAAACCATACTGTTATTTCCAAGGGTTTATAATACTATGTCCACAAAATATACATTATTTTTAGAAATTATTAAAATTAGTATTTTTATCTTGTAAAGAATAGTAATAATAATATGTTTAGGTTCCATAGAGCAATTTGTATTAGTCAAAAAGAAAAATACATTTATAAATGAAAATAATCAAAAATTTGATCTTCTGTAAAATTACTATTTTGAAACATAGTCTTTTACCTCTGGGATACAGAAATATTGTATTAAGAATTTGAATAAACTTACTCATTTGTCTTAAGATAGCACAATGCTCTATTGGCATAAAATACTGGATCTTTATCATAATAATCTATGGCTCTTGTGTACCTCAATATAGCTTCAGACCATTTTTGTTTTTGTACTGATGCATTACCCTTGATTAAAACAATTTCATTAAAAGGATAAATAAATTAACAAAATAAATAATTAATAATAATTAATACTCCATAAGTTAATAATATTCATAATAAGAGTTTCTCAGTTTGGTTATTACATTCATCATAAACACACGTACGTTACGTACATATTACCATTATTAAATATTTCCCTTATTAACCAAATATGAACAACAAAAGCAGGCCCAGTCTTTCCGCGCACACCTATTTCCCCCCAAGAGAAATTTGTCTACTTCTTCATTGTCATCAATTCAAAATGACAAAAATCCAAAAACATAAATTTCACCCAACTGTTTACTGTTCTGGCGTCCGAGGAGGACAACGAAATTGAACTTGACATGTATGATGTTTCCAATCAACATGACAATATCAGGGCTCCACTAATCTATGTCAAAAACATTAATCATTTTTCCACTCTTAAAAATACGTTAGTACAGCTTATTGACCTTAATGGGTTTTCATGTAAGTCATTGCTTTCTCATTTGATTGTCCGCCCTCATTGACATCTAAAGTATAATATAATTATGGAACACCTTTTAGCCACTGATGATTCTTTTCAGACTTTCATGCCACCAACATATTAACCTTACAAGATTATTATAAGAAATCTTCAACATTCGACCCTCACCTCAGATATATCTGATGCTCACTGTAAAATAGGTCACTCTGTCAGTCGAATCGTGAACATCATTAAAAATGGATATTCGCTCCCACTGTTTTTCGTGGATATCATACTAAATACATACAATAAAGACATTTTAAATCTGTCATCAATGTTTTACACTAAAATTAAAGTTGGATTATCCTACAGGACTAAAAAAGGTTCTCCTCAGTGTCAAAACTGTCAGACCTACGGACACACTGCTAACTAATGCCACCATCCTTCACGCTGAGTTAAATGTGAGGGAGATTACTCCTCAGGCATTTGCACCAAGGACAAAAACAGTCCAGCCAAGTGCTCCCTTTGTGCGGGTTATTATACTTCTAGCTACAAAGGATGTCCGAAATATAAAGCATTTCTCAAACATTCCTCAACAACCTATTCAATTCGTCAAAATTCGAACACAGTATTCACATATTCAAATCATCACACCCATCCAAGGCTTTTTATGCCTTTGCTGCCAATTCTAATAATATCCCATTATTCAATAACGTTAATAACAATAGTCCTTTTTTCAAATTTATTTCAGAACTTTCCGCATTAATAAATCCATTAATTTCCTTCCTAATAGCCGCACTGTACAAACAACATATTCCATAGTTCAATTATCTCTATCTCATTAATTTAATTATCATGTTTCTATTTATTGATTATGAGTATTTTGTATTAAAACTTAAAATATTTAATTGTATGTTAATTACTTATATATTTGTATTTTTAATTAGTTTTATCTTTCTGTTATTTTAAGTTATAATGGTTGAGCTATAATAGTTATTTGCTAGAAGCTATATAAAGAGACTTTCTTTCTTTTTACAGCTATGATGCTTAAAATTAATAATTTATGAGAAATAAAATAAAGTAGAAAATAAGGTTAATGCACAAAAAAAATAAAAAAATATTTATTAGGAAATTGCTAACAAATTTATTTTGTAAAAAAAAGTCATAAATCCAATGTTGTTATGTTCTAATATAAACATTAAATAATAAAATGATGCATCAAATTCTCAGCCAATAATATCTACATCTACTTATCCTTACCCCTTTTCCCTTAATTGCTACTCTCTATTCATCAAACCTATAGTTAATATATTCCAGATTTTCTTCTATAAAAGCTGTATTATCTACAAACATCATGCATCATGACAGTGGTGTAATAGGTGGAGACACACTTGAGACCCCAAATATAATACTGGTTGCAAAATTAATAGTTTGCAAGCTTTGCAATTTCTGTATTTATGGTTTTTCATTAGTAAAATAATTAAAATATGTATGTAATTATTTAATTATGAAAAAAAACATGTTCGAAAATGATAAAATTGAAATAATATATTACCAATACTCCACCAATGAAAATATAATTGATTATAATATTTATTTATTATTAACTACAGGACAAACCTAGTTTACATTGAGTATTTTTATGTCCAACATATATTTTACTTATATTAAACCTATATGGAATGATTGCGATAAATTGATTTACTATGATTATATTTTTTGATGTAAGTTATGTAATATTTTAGTTATCAAGTATTAAAAAGAAAAAATAATGAAATAACCAATAAATTCATGTCATTATTACACTCTATTCAGAATAAAAGCACACTGGTGTGCAGATGATCAATTAAACATTCACACGTTGCCTGAACTCATACTCGACTGTAAACCTTATAATATGCGTGAACTCCCATGTACTTCTGTCTACTGCTGGGTACTCTTATTCTGAATAGAATAAATAAATACTTTGAAATAGAGAATAACAGTGAGATTGATATAATTTTAAAGTTCTGAATTTTATATTCTAATTGTAAATTATTATGTGATTTAATTCAGTTTTTAATAATATGTACATATTGTACCTAGATGAGAATTATACAGTGTCCTAAAGTGCTATCATATGTTAATAACTTTGTCAATAATTATTTATTTTTATTCATTAATCACTGAAAAAACAAACAAAAAAAAAAAAAATTTAAATTTGAATGTATCATACATCAACATCCAAGTAATAGCAGTTTTAATTTCTAATAAAAATGTTTTAATACTTTGGATTAAGACTTCTTCTTCTTCTTTCTTCAGCTTAACAGTCTTTGAAGGACCTGAGCTGCCACAAGTCTCTCCACCTTTCTCTGATGAGTGCTGATTCAACAGACGCATTCACATCCAACAATTGAATGTCCTTCTTCACAGCATCCTTCAATCTCATTTGTGGTCTACCCAGTGGTCGTTTCTTCTGTATCATTGCGGTTGTGACCATTTTTAGTATATCATCTTCAGCTCTCCAAATATGTCCAAACAACTCCATTCTCTTAGTTCTTATATACGTTAATATCGTTGGTTTTCTATACAATTGGTACAAATTTTCGTTTTTCCGCCTTTCGAATGTTCCTAGATCGAGATTGTACACTGGACCAAAAATTTTTCTCAAAACTTTTCTTTCAAATATTGCCAGTTTTTTGTTATCACCTTTCGTCATAGACCAAGTCTCACATCTTTGGATTAAGACTATGATTTGTTATTGCATATTGTGGTAGTTTTGTTTTTCACACCTTTCTCTAGGTCTAGATATTGAAATAGCTATTATTGAGAAACTATTGATCAAACATAAATGTATGATACATTATAATTTTTAGAATAATATATTTTAGAAATTGATTTTTTAAAAATTGAACAAATAAATTCTTCTAAAGAAGAAGAAGAACATACGAGTAAATATATATTTTTTCAATGATTAAGGAATGAAAACGAAAATTTAAGTTTTTTCTACATTTATGTCTCCCTGACCTTGTTTGTCAAGAAAAATAATTTACAGAAAATGTTTCATTAATTATTTTATTATTTTTAAAACTATTTTATACTATAATAATCTAATAAGAAAATATTATATTAATGTTTTGATTTTTTGGCGATCTATTCAAATGTGACCCAAAATTGGGCCACATTCCTATGGTTTAGAAATGCTGGTTTAGAACTCCTCCATACTGTTTGGCAGAATTTTACACCGGCTTTCAAACTGATGCAACCCCATTTGTCCCATATTATGACAGGTAGAAATATTTTGGGAGTACTCTGATCCCCTCCTACAGAGAGAGAAAATTATAAAATAGTATTTTTTTTTACTTAACAAATTAAACTTAAAATAATAATCAAGGATCGGAATTAGCACTTGCGTATACTTTTTGGTGACACCTGAACACACAGTAAGAATTAAATGTGTTTCATATTACATTGTTGTTATATAAAAAATTTTGTTTTCTTGCTCTTTTGATATTTCAATAGTAAAACTAAAAATCCATTGGAAAGACAGTCATATTCGGTTGATATTGCTGATCATATCAGACGATGCTGTTAATTTCAATAATTTGGTTATTTTAAAAATTGTCAGTTTCATCGTACTCCAAAAATCTGATTTATCCTCGTATTAATTATGTACAGTATAGTGCAGTGATTTTAAACTATTTCTGTGAATTAGTTTTTTCTATACTAACCAATATTGAAAATAAAAAATGTTAACAATGGAATATGTTTATCATCGATCCCTCCTCAAATTAAACTATTATGCAATTAACATCAAGCACACCTTTCACACAAAAATTAATAAATAAATTTGTACTTCTTTTTAAATTAGTCTGTTATTTGTTTATGATACAATTAAATATTTATTTATTTTATTATATTTTAATAGTTTTCTATAGAAAAAATTTTCACCGAGCACCATTAAAATTTTATGACACACTCGTTGGAAAACACTGGTTTGGTGTACATTGAATGCAATTTACTATGAATCAAATTTTGTAAAATAATAAAAAAAAAAAAAAATGTTTTGATTGTTTTATTTTGCATTTTTCCCAATGGTATTTTCATGTTTATTAATTGTGCATGTTGAAGCATTACAAACTAACATTTTTGGTGCTATAATTTCCAAACCCTGGTAAAAATATACATACTGTTTATTAATTAATTGTTGCAATTAATATGTACAATGATATAAGTAGGAAATTTCAACTCATTAAATAAAAATTTAAATAATGAACCATACTATTGACTTACCTAATGAATATTATTTTAATTTTTATAAGGAATAAACATTATTTTTGTTTAAGTTTAAAATAATATGTTACCAGAATTTTCTCATATAATGCTTCAGACAGTTTTGATTGTACAGTATTATTTAAGCAGTCATCATTTGAACCATCACTTTCATTTTTTTCCAATTTGTTTTGTAAATCCACTTCTTCACAAGCTTTATCCTATATATAAAATACATAATATAGATATTTGATTTAATTTATTATAGGCAACCAAGTTGGTACATACAACATCAAACTTATCCCACGCAGAGTAATCCCATGATGATATTTTATTCACACCACTTTTTGAATGATTTGTTTTGGGTTTTTTATTTTCGTTAAAGTTCTAAAAATTAAAATTTTTCTTTATAACACAATAAGTTAAATAATTATTTATTCAACAATTAAGCATATCTTAGAAGATTCTTTAACAAACTACATTATAATTTGGATTACAAAATTAAAATATCATGCAATTCTATTAGATACCACTAATTATGGGTTTACATAAAATTGATTTTTGTAGCAGATGTATCCAATATTCTCCAAATTACAGCCCATATTTTAATATTTAAGTCATGCTCTGTTTACAATTTTATTTTACTACATAAGACCTCGCACTTTTTATTATTTCCAACACTCTATTTTTTTATTTTTAACTAGTTCAATTAATTGCAAAGCTTTATTATTTTCTAATAAAAATGTGTGATTTTTTTTTTATATTCTGATCTATGATATCCTTTACAAACCGAAAAGAATTTTCATTTTTTTTTAATATTTAGTTGTATAACTTTCTTACATTTACTAAAGCGAACATTAAAAGATCATTATTATTATTTCACTAAGAGTTTAAATGTAACCTTCACAGTTATGTAAGACTGGTCTGAACAAGGTAAAATACAAAAATAAAATTAAAACTGAATCTTCACAATCTTGATACGTTAGTCAGCTGGGGCAGATAGGCCCACAGAGATACAGGGAATTTCCCGGAGTCCTACTCTAATGTAGTAGTGTAAATTTAAATTGGAATCCATAGGAGTTTTTAACTTTTAAGACCTTAAAATTATTTCTATTATTATTATGATTCAGCTTCAAATAAATATTTGTTTGAAACATAATAATTATTATTATTGTAATGCTTATTATGTTAAATTGTTTTATTCATTGTCACAACAAATACTATGTTAAACCAATTATAACAAAAATAATATACATTTTAATACAACCAACAACAACAATAATAAGAATAAATAATATGAAATTAGATTATATTCGCCAAACCCTGTATAATTCAAATTCCTTCAGCAATTCTGATTCTAAAAATAAATTAAGAGGATTAGTGATGTTTTCTAATCTTCGTCTTATTTTGAAAAAGTTAAATTTGTTTTCATATTTCAATTACTATCTTAATGATAAGACTTTTCCAGGTATCTATTAGTATATGAACACCATTTAAGGGAAAAGGGTACTGTCGTTAAAATAACATATTTTATATATTAGACTTAAAAGCCAAACAAAACTGTAGGAATTGTGTTTGATAGCAATATATATTTGAAAACTTAAGATTTGACTACCAAGGTTTTATTCTATGGATTGGTATTTTTTTTTTAAGTTTCAATCCATTTAATCACAAGTAAAATGCAAAATACATGACATTTTTTCAAAAATACAATAAAATTTAATACAGCTTCCAAGTAAAATATTTAAATTTCTACATCAAACAGAAAAATATAAAAATCAACCTAAAGAATCATAATTCGTTTCCAAAATTGAAATCTATTAAAACCGATAATTTCTCTGGCTTTTGTCTAAATAGACTAAAATATACAGTCACCGTTTGCTCTTAGCAATAGTAATATTAATATAATTATTGATTAAATTATATTTTATACTTTAACAAGGCGAGGGTGTTCTTTTCGTTTCATTTGTTCATTCCAAATATTCATATCACGCAAATAACTTGCTAACTCTTCTTCATTTTCTTTTAATTTACTTTTTAATAAATACGGATTATTCATACCGAATAGTCGGTAGGTAAACAAATTACATTAAATTTTAAAGCATATAAATTAAATTATTTTAGCAACAGCAGTTGAAAATTATATTAAGAAATTAATACTAAATTGAAAATAATAATATCAATAATAAAGAGTAAATTTTTCGCAATAACGATCAATTATTGAATCCAGACTAATGAATAAATGAACATGGATAATTATTTATCTTCTATTTTTATTGATTATAAGAAAAAAAAAACCATACGATATTTTATGTATATCGTTTATAGAAAATTAGATAAGAAATATCTGTATCTTTGTTATCGAAGATGCTTTATAACTTCTTTGTATATTACCCATGTGCTTACAAATGAGATTATAATATTCTTTGTGATTATTGACTATTGTAAAGTTTTCATTAATTCTTTCATCAGATTTTAGATATTCATTTTCTGTATTCAAACAAGTTTTTTCCTTAGAAAATTATTACCACTTTCAATATGGCGAAGTTTCGCAAGAAATTAAAATCTAAAGGTAAACGATGGGTAAAAGGACAGAGTTCTGTCACAAATCCAGATTCAAAAAAATATCGTTCTCAAGCCCAAATGAATTTTTGCAAGCCAATGTTTGGTAAGGTACTTTAATTTATATAAAGGTTCATTATAATATGAAAAAAATTATTATGCTTTAATCCAGGAGGAATTTCTGTCAATGAAGGACATAATGCATTAACACAAAACAAATTAAAACAACATGATAATATTATGAATAGTGATGACTCTAATAAATCTAAACCAGATGATGTTATATCTCAAAATTCGGGTGCATCATATAAAACATTTGAGACATTTGCCTCTGATTGGAGCTCATGTACCAACCCGTCTTTTAATAGGTAAATACTAAATGGTACCTAATATATAAAAACAAAACTACTACAAATCTTGTAAAGAATATTATGACCAAGATAATACTTTATTATTGGAACTGCAATTATTTAAATACTGTAAGAAGTCAATTTTTTTGAAGAAAATTTTATTAATAGTTTGCTATCATTAAAAAATAACTATACTCCATTGATCGAGAAAATGCATCTGGTTTCAAATATTTTTTCACTCATCGGTAGTTACGTGGTAGGAGTTTGACTACGAAATGAAGGAAATCATTCATTTGGACGCGCGAAAAAAATACAATTTCTTGTTAGATGGAGTATAGGTACCCATAATACATTATTTAAAAATAGTAAAACTAAATGTATTTTGAATTATGTGGGAGGGGGGAAGTGAAATATCAATTTCCAGGAATGTCTTATAATTTAAGCTATTTTTTTTGAAAAAATCTTGGATATTTCTATAATAATTTTTCTAAAGACTAAAATGGATGTATTAGAAAATTATAGTAGGCAGTGATAATTAATCCGATTAATAATGATCAGAAAGTTCTTCAGTGTGTATGTATTTATTTTTAAACAAATTATTATAGGTTATTAAGAAACTTTAGTTCAAATTCTTCATTGCACAAAGAAATGTTAGCTATTCTTGCTGCACTTACTGAAGTAATCCAAGTTAATGGTGGTAAAGAAACATCTACTGAGTATTTTGCTGCACTTGTAAGTAGAAGTTTATTATTTTTCCTTATTTGCTAAAATTAATGTTTAATCAATTTACTTTAAGATAACTACTTTGCAAACAACATTAACTAATGGACAAGATGATTGTGAGGAAAGTATAACAGCTATGGTTTCATTATTAAGTATGGGAATAAAATGTGTTCCTAAAGAAGTTCTATGTGCTAAATTTGGACCAACTACACAAATTTTATTATCAACACTTGCAAAATTTGCTGAATCTGATAATAATAATTTATTAAAATCTGTGAGCATTTATCAATTTTTTTAGTTTATAATTTGTATAATATAATATTTTATCTAGGTATTTAGTTGTTTATCTTTGGTACTTCGTGTTCAAGAAAAAATTGTTTGGTCTCATAGTTCAACTGTCCAAGTGTTTGATGCAATATTAAATTTTGTTGTACATTCAAAACCTAAGGTTAGTAAAAATTATTAAAATATCAGACATAAATTATAAAAAGGTAATCTATGAACATTTTAAGTAAATTTTATATGAATTTTTCTAAAAAAAAAAAAAAAAATGTAAATATTAACTTGAAATTTTATAAATTAGGCCTACTATTTTGTAAACCAATGTTAAATATTATAAATTATTCTGTTTTATTGAAATTAATACAAATCAAAATTACTTAAAATGTTCATGGTTATGGTTTATTATGCTATTAAATGATTGAACAAATTGTAAAATTATTATACATATTTAATTTCAAAAGATTCGTAAAGCTGCTCAACACTCAGTATGTGCTATATTAAAAAGTAACAAGGATTTTATGCATCCAATGGCTGGTTATACTGCTTCTTATTGTACTAAAGTGTTGACTTCAAGTACAACTAGTAATACAACAACTATTCTTCATATTTTAACTTTATTAAAAGAGTTAATGCCTGTTTTCCCTAAAAAAGAACTTAAAGTAATTAATTGATTAAATTATTATTGAAGTATAATTAAATTTGATATAACTATAATTATATATTTAAATTTTTAGCCTCTCTGTGAAGAAATTTTAAAACTTATGACTTTAAATCATCCGTTATTGCTTTCTTGTGGATTCCAAGTTTTTCATGGATTATTTGCTTCATATCCGTCATCAGAATTTATCCTTACATCTACATTAAATGCTAAATTATTAATTGCTCTTTTTGATTATCGTCCTACATCAATTGATACACAACCAACTTTAGCTTGGTTAACTGTACAAAAAGAAGCTTACATTTGCTTATCGAAGTAAAGTACATTATTATTATTATTATTTTAATTTTAATTATTGAATACTTAATAGTTATAATTTAAATATTTGTTATTTTATATAGAAGTGATTTATCATTATGCATATCACATTTAAAAAAAGTATTTAAAATATGTATTGAACTTTGGATTACTGGAAATCCAGAATGTATAAAAGCATCTGGCTCAACACTACGTATTCTTATCGAAGATTGTATTGGACAAGCTACTGATTTAACTTACCACCCATGTATTTCTGGTCTATTCAATTTAGTAACCCAATGTTTATCATATAAGTATAAAAATGCTTGTCCTCAAGTTCTACACACACTATCTACATTTTTTAAGGTAAACATTATTTTACTTCTAGTTTTTTTTTTTTTTATAGACAGATCATGAATAGTATTTATTTTAAAATATATGTTTTCCACGTTTTTAAAATAATTGTATATCAGCAAAAATACTTATTATGTTAAATTAATAAAAATACTGAAAAATAGGAAAAGTAGTTTTAAAGTTATTCATTGTTTTATCATCATTTTAAAATTTAAAATAATTTCTTGTGGTTCGTGAAAGACCAATTTTATTTAATAATTAAATGCATCCTTTATACAGGTTTATGGAAACTGTGCACCAAATATATTCTTAGAATGTGTAAAATCATTGGGCCAACTTAGAGATTCCAATGAAATTACGTTTGTTAATGAATTAGAAATGACAATTGGAGCAGCTATCAAGTATATTGGGCCTGAATATATAATTTCAGATCAAATTATTCCATTAAAGGTATTTTTAAAGTAAAATATTATCGATAAATAGACCATTGGTATTAATTGTACACATGGCAAATCTATACATTAATACTAAATTCATGACCCTTGGAGAATCTAAAAATGTGTCCTATATAGAACAGTTTTTTTATTTATACATTAGTTTTATTTTTTATATATATAATGTTATTGGTATTGATTATACATATAATACAGTTATTGTTATGCATTAGTATCCCAATTAGCTAATCAATTATTTTGTTGCTAAATGCTGTTTGTGATTATCATAACTAAGCATTATTCAGAAAAACGTTTCGGCAGTAAAGACAAATTATGAGTAGTGTGAGTTAAAACGGAACCAGACAGATACCTTGTAGAATTCTAGATCGAAATGTTGCATGTAACAGTTTGTAAGTTTATCAAAGGTTTAACAAACCTAACTTTGGAGAATTTCAGAATTTGACATAAAATTCAGAATGACTTAACAAATCAAGAAAGCATATAAAAAAAGTGTTATTGTGGTCTTAAACAACATATTTAAAATATATATAACAAAAATTATTTGTAAGATATTAATTTAATGTTTTTTTGTCTTTAATAAATATTTCAATTATTTTGTTTGATGCAATAAAATAGAGAAATATTCTCAGGTTATGTGTACTAAAATATGTCAACATTCATTTTTAAATTTCCACAAGCTTTATTAAAATTAATTTTAAGTGTAAACTATTTATTTTATTTTTTTAAACATTAAAAAAAATAAACCAATGAATAATGTTGACTAGGTCAATTTATAACAATATTTGGATAATATAATACTTAATAGTTTGAATAGAAATTGCAATAGGATACAATTTAAATATATTTTCTTTTTAGGTTGATGATGTTGGAGAATTTAAACGCAGTTGGTTATTACCTGTTTTAAAAAATAGCATTTCAAACTCAACTCTTAAATGTTTTATAAACCAATTTTTGCCTTTAGCATTGAAATGTCGGTAAGTAGAAAAATCCTAATTTTATAAAATATTTAAAATTTTAAAATTGTCTTCTTTCTTATTTTAGAGAAATGTATGAAAAAGCTTTAATTTCTAATGACAAAATTTCTGGCATTAGTTATGATCTTCTTGAATCTCAAATATGGTCCTTATTAGTTAGTTTTTGTTCTAATCCATCAGATATATCTACATCATTTCAGGTAAGATAAATTTATTTATAAAATAAATTGTTTTAATTATTTAATTTTCAAATATATTTATACAACTTGTCATAAAAACAAAAACCTTACCTAATTTATGTTTTGATAACTAAAACTAAGCTATTATCAATAAAATTTATAAATTACATTAATTGAAGTAGTCCTTCCCCTTTTATTTCTATTCTATCTAATGATCATTCAAATTGTAATTTATTTATATTGTGTAAACTATTTTATAGGATTACCTTTGTTTTTAAATTAATAAATATATTTTAACTAATCATAATATGTTTTAGAATATTGCCAAAACTATGGGTGTTATTTTAAGTTCTCGTAAAGAGTTACGAGATACAATTCTTTTGTCATTAAGAAAACTTATTGATTCGACATCTAAAAATGATGAGCCTTTATCTAACGATAAAAAACAGTTGGCTCATTTTGCTAAAAATTTTTTGCCTATTTGTTTTAATGTATATACTAATCCTGTTTGTGGCACAGATGAAGAAGCTACAAAGTTTTCTGCTTTGGAAACAATTAAAGTAATTTAACTAAAAATAAAAAGTTGTTTAATAATTCTAAATAATTACATTATTTTCTTTATGTACTATTAAAGATGTATTTGACTATATGTGATGATAACTTGAAAGAAAAATTATTTAACAAATGTTGTGGTATGCTGGACGATTCTAAAAATGCAGAACCCATAGTGCTAGAAAGCATTCTTGATATTATTAGAGTATTAGTTCCTTATCAATCTGTTGAGACACTAAAAACCTTTTATGATACTCGAATTTTTCCAGCTATGTATTTAAAAAATTTTAAAGAAGAAAAAAAATATTTCAGGTAATACTGATATCATTAAAATAAACCTATATTATTCGTTTTTGTACTAAAATTTTTTTTTCATTAGAATTTTAGAAGAAATAAGTAGTTCTAAAACACCAACATGTAATACATTTGTGAAAGAAAATGTAAAATCAATACAAAGTTTCTTATCATCTACAGCTAAATGTTCTGCAGCTACAAGTCGTGGAGTAAGTGTTTAATGTTGGTAATACATTTTTAAAAAAATAATTAGCATATTATAAACTATTTCATATTATTTTTAGCCTAGATTGCGTTGTCTAGCCCACCTCTTGGACAATATTGATCAAAAAATTTTAATGAAAATTATTTTGGCTCATTTACCTGAAGCTGTACTTTGTTGTAAAGGTTCCACTGTAAATAAGCGATGCCGTGAATGTGCTTTTTCATTAATCAACAAAATGGCACTGTTAGTTATTAAAACTAATAAAAACTTTGATGAATTTTTAACTGCTCTCTCAGCTGGTTTAGATGGTTCTGTCCAAATGATAAGTTGCACTATTTTAGCGTTAGCTTCAGTTCTTCATAATTTTAAAAGTATATACCATTCAAACTTAAATATATTTAATAAGCTATTAAGTATATTGTTTTTATTTCAGGTGAAATTAACCCATCTCAATTTGAAGTAATTTTAAGTAATGTTTGTTTACTTTTGACAACTAGTACTAGACAAATTGTAAGCTGTGCTTTAAGTTTCATCAAAGTGATAACTTCATCATTTTACAATAAGTTATTACCCTATCTTTCAAAAGTAGTATGTATTATTATGACTAGTGATTATAAAATATTTGAATTTCTAAATATTAATGAATTACACCAATATTCATAAATTGTGTTTATTATTTTGATTTTTGCATTTAGGTCATTTCTCTTACCGATATGAGAGATGATTGTAAAAGAAAATTTCGTCAGGAAACTAAAAATATCTACCAGAGACTAGTGCGTAAGTTTGGGAGTCAAGATATTATCAAATTTGTTCCGAATACTGATCTTCAAACACATGTACGCTTACGAGCCATAATTAAAAACTCTGAACGACTGAAGAAAAAAGATAAAACAAAAAAAAAAGCAAATAATGATAAATTTGAGATTGATCCCAGTTTTAAAATAAAACCTAAAACGTGTGTCCATAATTTATTTTTATATTTATTTTTATAAATCATTAATAATAATGTCCCTACATTAGTTTTGAAGAGATATTAGCTGAATGCGAGGAAGATGACAATACATTGGAACCTAATTCAAATAGAAAACACCAAACCAACCAAGAAAAGGGTAGAAAACAAAAATTGGTTAAAAATTATTTACATGAGAGTGAAGATGATATATTAGATTTTACTGAATCTTCAACAAATAGGAACATTCTGTGTAAGATTTAATTTGCATTTAATTTATCTTTTATTTCGTATTACTAATAGCAAATAATATTATAGTGTCAAAACCTATAAATGAACAATTTAAAAGTGGACTTAGGCAATCCAAAGCTGATGATGGTATAAAAACTGCTCCAGATGGTCGGCTGATTATAGTTGATGATAATTTAAAACCACTGCCAAAGTCTAGTGAGTCCATTTTTGCGTAAACTACTATTTTAATATAGTAAAAATATGTGTTTGTGCTGGTGGGTGCGTATAATATACTACTAAATTTATCTGATAAGATTCAAGTACACAATAATTTGGATTTCATCCCAAAAATAATTGCTCATAATTGAATTTCGTTCTCATAATATGAAAAAAATTAGTGCTAAATTTACCTCATTGTTATGGCAATATTGTTTAAAATGATACTCACAACATGGATGACCATGTGAGAAATTGGGAAGGTAAAAGGGAAATTGTATGTATGTATAGATGAACATAAAAATTAAGTAGTATTTACAATTTAAAAATTACAAATTTCATCAAGGTTCTTGTTTTTTCCCCTAACCAAAACATGACTTTTAAATACTACCCCAGTAAGATTTCCTTTCAGAAAAATTACTACACTTAAAAATCAGAAAAATATTCTGGTGTAAAATTTGTTCATAGAAAAAAAACTATCATTATAAAACCAAGACATTCATTTCACTGCGTAGAATCTAAAATTAAAATTATATTTTTTGATTGCCTTTTCTTGGTTTACGTGGATATAAAGCAAAACAATTATTTAATTTGGTTATCATGTGCAAGATAAAAGTTTTTTTTATTTTAAATAAAACATTTGTTCTCTAATAAATCAAACGGGGTCTTTTTAATTAATCTTAAACCATTGGCTTTTAAATTGTCACTTAAGTTAGTGGGGCTATTTTTATTTTTACTTTATTTTTGTTTCCTAGCAGGTATTGATGATGACAATATTGTACATAATGACAGTGATGATGAAATGCCATCAAAAAAACGAATAAAATATACACGTATGTACAATTTAAGGTATTTATAATTCATCAAATAATAATTAAAAATTTGCATTTCAGCTGGTGGTAAAGGTATTCATCGGCCAATTGATAATATTTCAGTAAAAGGAAAAAAAAATAAACAAACCAAAAAAAGTACATCAATGACCGAAACTCGTGGATTTAATAATAAAGCTAAGGGAAAAAAAACTCGTGGAAATATTCGGCCATTCTCTTACACTGCTTTTAAAGATTATAGTGCTTCAAATAAAACGAAAAGAAAAAGAATTTAAAATATTTATATACAATTCACTTTTTGTTTTATTTTATTATTTATGATTATAATAATATATAATACACACATTATATAAATATTTTGTCATATATTTTTTTTAGTAGAAATTTTGATTATTCAAATTAAAATCTATTAAACCAGAAACAGCATAAAGCCAGAACAGCTGACTCTAAAACAATCATTTTCTTTACAACCATCTGCACTAAACATAATTTTATATTTATAAATATTTTTTATTTTATTTCAGAGGAATGTGGAATTGTCTTTGTAGTTAAAGTCTATTGTATGACTTCTAAATACCCTTTCAGGGTTTAAGAAAAATTTTTGAACCATGTCACTCAGGAATATTCAATTCGATTTTTTTGGTCAAAAAGCTATGAATAATTTATTTTATTAGTTGTATCCACAATGAGCATAGCTGCATATTGCGACTGTTTCTGCGACAATTTTATTTTTGCTATTGTCTGAACTACAAATCCAGCTATCTATATGATTGTTATTTTAAAATTTGTTACTCATTTAATGTTTTTTCTTAAAAAAAAAACTGTAGTATATGGTCATTGTCATTGCTTAATTTGTAAATTTCATGCTGTGCACAAACAATTTTTAAAATTTTAAGGAAATATGTGTATTTGCATTATTAATACGGAATATACATTAATTCACCAAAAGGTAAATACACTTAAGAAAACTCGCTTTCATATTTTGTGAGTATACTCAAACAGATTTTGTCAGTGACTGAATAGCATAAAATAATATCTTTTAGAAATTTTCTAGTATTATTTTCAACCTATTTATTTATTTATTAAAATTGTGTTCTTATATCTAACATATATTTTACTTAAAGTAGACCTTTGGATTGCTAATTATAACTTAATATTTAACTCTATTACTATTTCTACATTGCATAACATTTTCCTTTTTATGTTTTAAAATTAAAAGGATGAGTCTTTGTTTGCGGTTTTCATTAAACGGTTTATAGGGAGTTTTAAAGGAAACTAGTTGAAGAATAGAGAATATGAAATGGACAAATGAAGCGGATGCAACAAGGTTGGACTTTAAAATTGACGGGTAAGAGAAGAATTTTGCCAATAAGAAGATTTGAAAAAAACAATGTTATTTATCTTTCTACGGTCTGATATAATAATATTGGATTATAGATTACACAATACACTATAATGGTATGTTACAGATACTATTTTACAATAAAATTTTTAAATGTCCATTTAAACATCTGTTCCAAAATTTCTGTTTACGTGAATATACGATTAACAGTAATAAATAAGTAGCGATAAAATTATCCAGTTTATCATAATCACTAATAATATTAGGGGAATTTTCCTTTTTATTTTATTATAATAATAAATTCTAAAATAAATACTAATAGGTATTAAATTGTTTCAGCAAATAAAAATAATAAAATAAAGAGCTGTTACTCTTGGTATTATAGGTGAGAAGTTGGGAAGATAGGATCCATGGAATTATCTAATTTATATCTGAATGCAAACGGATAAATCATTGCTAACAAAAAACAATTTTTAATACATGTTATCGTTAATTTTAAAAATTAAAACTTATAAAAAGAAAAATTCAATAGTTTTGAGTACAACCTCTGACTAGTGTTGAATCCAGACAATTTTTATGGAAATGGCATACCTAACTAAAATTATAGTAATGACCTTTTTTTTTTTTGCTTTTCTACTCTTTTAATAAGACTAGTTAAATTTGTTTGATTATTTAATTATTAATTTACAAGGGGAATGCTATTGTCCTCTGTTATGTACTTGGATTCAACACTGAGTACAACTTGTAATGAACCTCATGAAAAAGTTAATATATTTATTTAATTATTTTATACAAATGTCAGCTCTACGATTTTTTTTACATTTATTATAACAATCAAAAATAATAAAAACCGTAAATTTCGTAATTCATAAATGTTCTCGTTTCATTACGTAATAGCAACAAAAGAGTTTTTGCCATTTTTCCTTTGGAGCAAGTTTTATGGTAAAAAATTTCGTGTAAACACAATGACAATAATGAAAACTGTAATGCCACGACAAATCATAAATATTTTCCATTTTAGCTATATTATTATTTTGGTTTTTTTTCGATTATTTTTAAAACCCCTTGGAAAATCGAAAAATATATATTATTGCACCAACTAGAGAAAATTACCTTTCAGAAAAAATGGTACAGTCTATACTTTGTAGCAAGTTTTGGTAGAAAACTGGTTCATAGACAATAAAAATGAAACAAATCATAATATAACCAATAAGTTCTCGCTACGCTTTAAATTTAAAAATAATATTAAATGTCATAACTAAGTAGAGGGGTGAGCGCTGATAACCAGTTTTCATTTTCTATAAATTATCCTCAACCACCTCCCTCCATTGAAGTGTTACCATTATGGTTACCTTGGTGTTCTTTGTTTTGTTGAATTATTAGATTATTTTTTATTTATACAATGTATTTATTATTATAAATGGCGAGGCTATAAAGGAAGGTCACCCACACGGGGTGACGAAAGAGGCCACTGCTCCCCTAGTTTTCAACTATATGTACTTTTATCACGTAAAATAATACCTATACAATTTTGCCGAAATAACATAAAATATTTCTAGAATTAAAAATTTTCCCCATTATGTCCCTTTGCTTGCTATTATATTTTCATTCGTCAGAGCGAAACTATAACAAACCAGTACCTCCATTCTTCTCCAATCAATACATCACAATTTGCAATTTAGTTTGAGCCCAATGGTGAATGCGATAGTTTTGTTGATCTTATGAGTTCTATGAGAATTTAAATTTACTAATTTGGTCTAAAGGGGATGATCTAAAAGTTGTCTTTTCATTCTCCTTGGGTTCTTTTTTCCACGGTCTCCAATATAAAACAAATGTAGCGAATATATTCGAGTTATAACGTTCGGTTTAAAAATAAAATGATATAACAAAAGCGGTGATTTTTCATGGGCGATTTAAAAGTATCAACTATAAAAAACAAAACAATAACAAATTGCTCTTCCAATATGAAAGTAGTAGCGACTGCTTCTTTTAATAACTGTTAATTATACTGTTATTGTGATCAAAGACTATACATGTGGTGATAAACCATGAATTCAGCACCGTTGTTATTTTCACCGTTTTTTTTTTAGTAGCAGTAGTAACTATTATTAAAAAAAAAAACAGTTGGGCACATATCTCTTACCAACTCTTACCGATTCGTTTTCAATGCAACGAAATGAAATAAATAATAACTACTAAAATGAAGCAGTCTCCGTTTTTCACTTCCACATTACATAGTTGTTATTACAATAGTAAACCAGTGTAGTCAAGCTTTAGATTTTAATTTTCTTATCAAATTAATTGAAATGCTGATTCAAATTAATATTATATATCTAAATTGTTTATAATATATAATTGTATCTTCTTTATATTGTGATACAAACGGAGAATTATATAATTATTAATTTGTATTAAAAAATATAAAATTTTCGTATATTTTTTTTCAAATAAACAATAGGAACTCATAAGGTCAGCGGACACGAGGCTTGTTTTAGTGTGGATCGCCTGATTAGTCTAGGTTTCCCTCACTGCGGCCAACTGGTGACCTAGCGTCGTGTGCGTCATATACACTGGACTTTGGAAAATTATAATTTGGATTTGGATTTATCATGGAGGAAATAATACACAGATTAAAAAACTAGAACCATTGGTAAACACTGTAAACAAACGTATTAGACGGCCATTTTGTCTTAAATTTTTTCTTGTTGGTTGTTTGATTTGATTTGATTTCTTTTTATTTGACATTGCTCTTACGCGTATACAGTTGACAATTTATTTTTATAGTTTATATTTGTACAAACGTTCTGTTCTTGTTAGTTGTCTAACAGTTTTCCGAACTTGGTTTTGGACGTTTTATAGTAAGTAATCAAATATATTTCTTTAAATCATTAATCTATCATGTACGCTGTTGCTAACTAGAATATATTATATAATGAAGAAATTTCTAATATTTTTAATTTTAAAATTTTGGTAGACAAGATTTAAAATTATTAAAAAAAGTTTAAAGTAGGCGATAGTAATTTAAACATTATGGGAATTAATTTTGATCTTCTTTGTTTTTAAACTAAAGTATTTTAATTTCAATGGATTTGTTATAACTATAGATTATTCATCATGAATCAACAGCAACAACAATCTCCACAGCAGCAGCAGCAGCAGCAACAACAACAACAGCAGCAACAACAACAACAACAACAACAATCATCTCCACAACCCCAAACTAACGAAGATCAAAAGAGGCCTAAAGAGGAAAATGATGACGATAATCAGACTAATGAAGGATTTGTTGTAAAAATGCGTGGCCTGCCATGGTCAGCCACAGCTGATGATATTATCAAATTTCTTAGTATATTAGGTATTTTTAAAATCAAGTTTATACCCTACTTGTTTTATTGTAATAGAACTCGCATTTAAAGAAAAACTTTTATTAATTATTAATTAAGTATGATTTCAATAATGCAATACTATTGTGATACACATTATCATCTGAAAGTATTCTAAATCACACATTTTCGTATTATAATATTTTAAAATCTGACATATTGATAATTTTTCTAATTTCCATTATAGGATATCCGTTCAATTGATTGAATTGCACTTATTACCATTTAAAGCTGATAATGATGCATAATTTTTCTAATAATTTATGGTTAATATTCACCATTGATTATTTAATTTTACACATGTTTATGTTTATATTTATATTTATATGTGGTTGTTTGACACGAATATAATAATAATAACCATTGAGAATTCAATTGGGAATCAGCGTGTAGCATTATTGAAGGGTCGCTAATATATTATTAGTTTAATAGCTATTTTATCTATAAAGTTTAATATTGATAAAATAAAGAAGCATACCTTTATAATTTGATCTTATTTTTTTTTTTTTTTTTTGCAAATTATCAACCACGGATTTGAATTTTATTGTTTAATGTAGTTAAATGATTATTAATAAGAATGCATTTGTATCTTTCATAAATTTTGGACCAAAGAAACTGTTAAATTATATTTTATTAATATAGGTGAAGCAAAAGTTAAAGGTGGTGCAGCTGGAGTACATTTGACAATGGCTAGGGAAGGACGACCTAGTGGTGAAGCTTATGTAGAAATGGAATCTGAAGAAGATCTTAAGGCAGCTCTTAAGAAAGATCGAGAACATATGGGAAATCGTTATATTGAAGGTAAAAAACTTAATAGGTATATACACTATATGCTTGCTATGAATCCAGAACAAACCATCCCCATTATAATTTTATACACAGATAATTCATACTACATTTTTCCTAACATTAAGTCTTATCAATAATAATACAATTATATTTTTGAAACACAAAAATGCATTATAATACAAGTAGTTTAAATTAAAAAATAAATTATAGTTAAAATGGACAAAATAATATCATCAAATTAAATTAAAAATTTGAAAAATATAATAAAATTCAAAGTTTAATATTAATACTTTCTATATAATTCAATTATCGTGTCTTTGAAAAGTTTATGTTAATTTTATGACAAATAGATACATTTTTTTTTTCTGTGTCATTAATAGTTTTCATAAAATTATTTGAAAATAAAATCTTATAAAAACATGCTGAAAAAAAATTATCGTGTACCGATTGTCTGTTTAAAAAATGGTGATGAGATTGGATTGTCTGCATGCGAAGCTTTATCGCGGGGACCAATTGTCTGTTTCCTGCTAGCTATATCAGATGTATAATTATAATTATAAAAGTTTCGATCTTACATTAAACCTAAAATATAATTTGTGGTACTATTTAGGTATTCCTTAGTGATACTTCAGTGTGTCAGATACAAACAATTATTTTTATATTAAGGTACAAATCTACTTTACCAGAACTTGAAATTTTTCATTTAACAATTCAGTATAAACTTCCATATAACTGTCAACTGAGGAATTGAAATAATGATCGCTATTTAGAGGTGACTGTCTTTTAGAAGTTTCCTAATAGAGGCACTTGACGGAACCAAAAGAAATGAGGTGGCTGTTAATGGAAGTTTTACTGTACTTTTTTGCTGATTACAATTTTGAAAAAATATTGCATAAATCAGTATAAGTTGATGAAAATATATACTTCATTAATTACTTTGCATAATATTTTAGTGTTCAATTTATATTCATCAACTGTATTATACTATATAGTGTAATATTTCAAAATTAATTGTATATTTTTTTGTTTTTTAGTATTTCGATCAAAACGTTCAGAAATGGAATGGGTTATTAAAAAAACTGGCTCAACTCTTGATAGTGTATTAGATGATAATTGTGTTCGATTAAGAGGTCTTCCATTTGGATCTACTAAGGATGATATTGTTCAATTTTTCCAAGGTATACTTTCATTTAATTTTATAAATTGATTCACATTATTTATTTTTCCAATTTTTGGGTTCTTATACATTTGCTTTTCTTTTTTTTCTTTTTTTTCTTTTTTTTTTTTGGTGATTCAATAAGATTTTTTTTAAAAATTTCACTTTGTGATATTTGTTTAATGAGTTATTATTTTTCTTTTAAATATCAAAATCCTACATTATATATTTTGAATAAGGAGAAAAAATTAGCATCTATTATACTAAACATGCATTTGATGTTAAATCTTTTTTCAATTTTGTGATATTTATGAAACATTGCATTTATGAATCTGTATTATAATTAGATATATTATATTATATTATGAATTAAAAATGTTGATATTATCCAACATGTAGTTACTAGTTGACCATACATTATTTATTATTCCAATATACTACAATCAAGTAACAGACTAGTCGATAGCTATATTTTTTCCAATGAACGGGAGGTGGACAATCGTATAAAGATTAAAGATCATTATAATAATAATAATAAATTAATCATATAACTATTTCCAATGTTTTTTGACGATAGTAATATGTTAAAGTCCATTATTATGTTTTATTTACTTGTACAGGAAGGTTTAGCTCAAAATTAGTGATTGATTTTGTACTCACTTCCTTGGTGATCTATTTTTATTTATTGACTTGAAATACTAAAAATTAGCTATATTAAATTTTACATATTATTTTTACATTTTTTATTAATTTAAAACTTAAATTTACTTTATAATTTGTTTAAGAGTGGTTTTCAGAAGTAAACATTTCAATTTTATAGTAGGAAAAAAACTATTTTCTTCCCATTAGGAAAATATGTGGAGTGCAATTGGCCGCTCCTTTGCTGCTGTCATAGTTACTATAAATAGTGTTATAATTTAAAAATCAAAATATCTTTTATTATCAATAACTTAAGATTCAATTTTTTAATACATACATTTTATAATTTTAATATATTTTTTCATGTGGTTTACATATATTTTAAATTAATTATTATTCTAGTTAAAATAATAATTAATAACATTTTACTAAATTTAATATATAGAAATATTTTTATTTTTTAAAATTGTACTGCCTATTAAAAAATATTTATTAAAATTAATGTAGTGTAACAATATACAGAAAAGTTATAAATATAAATGTTTTCATTAGTTTTATGTTCAAACTAACTTCAACAATTTCTGTACATACAATAAATTTGTGAAAATAGTCAATTTAATTTAATTTAATTGCTTAACTAATACAATTTACAAATTTTAGTCATTCGGATTCATATAATGTGTATTTGTCTTATTTAAATATATATTAAATACAGTTATTTGTGTATTACAAAACGCGTACACATATTTTCATTCTTCTTTTGATCAATATTAATTTATAAAACTTTTTTTTGACACTTGATAATAGTAAAATTTATTAGGCCTTTTTTTATTGTACATTTAGAAATATGAGTTAAAACTTTCTAAAAGCGTTACACTATGGATAATACAAATATGTGTATTATAATGACCATAAACTGCTTCAAAATTTAAATATCACAAAACTATTAGTAAACAGTTAAAATGACCTTAATGAATTGCCTTGTTTAAAAAAAAATGTTGTAATATGTATATATTTTCAGACTTAATTATACCTTTTGTTAATTTAACTTTTTGTGTTTTTGGTTGTGCTAATGATTGGGTTATCTATGATTGGTTGTATTGTGGGCAACAGGGTTGGAGATGACACCAGACGGTATAACCATAGCAACCGACTTCACGGGGCGGAGTACGGGGGAAGCTTTTGTACAATTTGTAGACAGAGAGAATGCAGAGAAAGCTCTGCAGAAACACAAGGAGAAAATAGGACACAGGTGGGGTATTATCCTCTATCTATCCCGGTGAAAAATTGGCGGGTAATATAATCACATGTAGTTAAACAAAGGGAGGTCGGGAGGGTAATCCTTCACTCCTCCTTATTTGTGGTTTGTTTTTATTTTTTTTTTTTTCTAATTTAATTTAAGTGGTAATTTATATACTTAAAAATTCTACAATATTAAAGCTAAGTTAAATATGTTTAGACTTATATTTTATTTTTAAATTACTAATACTTTTTTATGGTTCTTTAGATATATTGAGATATTCCGCAGTAGTTTAGCAGAAATCCGCAATCAAGCATTGCAAAGAAGACCTCGACAAACTCCATATGATAGAATGGATCGTTTTGGTAGTGGTGGTGGTGGAGGTAGTGGCGGTGGAGGTAGTGGACGATACTTTGATATGCCTATGAGAGCCGGACGTAATATGAAATCATTTGGAAATAATGGCTATGATAATGGTGGAGGTCCATGGAATAGTGGTAGAAATATGGGTGGACCAAGAGGAGGTGCTGGTGGTGGCCAAGGTATGATGGGTGGTGGTGGTGGAGGCGGTGGAGGCTGGAATAATAACAACTGGAATGCTCCACCAAATAGACCATTATATGTAGTTCATATGAGAGGATTACCTTTTAAAGCAAACGAAGATGATATTGCTACAGTAAGTATATTTATTATTTATATAATTATAAAAATAAGTTTTAATTTAATTATTATTTCAAATGTAGTTTTTTGATCCATTGGAACCTGTTGATATACGTATTCTTTTCAATAACAACAATAGACCATCAGGTGAAGCTAATGTTGAATTTTCTAATAAAGATGATGCAATGAGGGCCATGTCAAAAGTAAGTTTACTAATATGTTAATAATTGACATTTTATTTAAAAAAATTATGTATTATGAATAGGATAAAACATATATGCAACATAGATACATTGAATTATTTATGGATGGACCAGTTGGTGGTGGACCAGGAGCTGGTGGTAATAATTTTAGTATGGATGATATGGGCCCACCTAATGCAGGCAATGGCGGTAATTTTGGTGGATTTGGAAGCAATTCATTTGGAGGCGGTGGTGGCGGTGCAAATTCTTTTGGAAACAGCTCATTTTCTAGGCGTAATGAGAACTCTGGCCCTCCAAATTCATTTTTTTCAAATAATATGGGCGGTGGTGGCTACCCAAGACCTTCAGGACCTAGAAATATGTCAGGACCTGGCCCAAAATTCAATCCTTTCTAATTTGTTAATATAAATAAAAAATTGTTTGACTAAGTATTATCTATGCTTTATTAGCAGGTTAATGTTTATTTTTATTTTTTTTTTTTAAATTCTTAAGCTAATAATAAAATTGAATTTACTTTTTGACATTTAGTACTAACTATGTTATTATTACTACCACGCAGCAAATTTCCTATTGATTTTATTGTAATAATCAATAGTATAACTTAACAAGTTTCACTTCTATCTAATTTGACCTTATTCATGGTTTATGTACACAGTAAAAGGTTTTATAATATAATTTTATTTTTAAAAGCGTAATTGCATAATATGTCATAGTACTAAAGAACATTTAGTTTTATCATTTTCCTATTTTGCAAATGTGAGGTAATTTTATGTTTTTGAATCTTATAAGTTTAAATGTTGCATAATTTTCAAATTACAAATAATATAAATGAATTGGTGTAATTATAATATTGGGACTTTTTTAAAAATTTATTTAAAACTTACGTTTTACATAAGTTTTTTTTTTTTTTTTTATGTAAACATTAAGGAAATAATTTTATATTTATTAATATTAGTATTTGTATTTAATATAGCTTCTGAAAAATACATGATTACTTTTATTAAAAATTATATAGATTTTAGTTTGGTTTTAATAATTATTATGTACCTATATAAATTACCTATAAATTATGCTCACATCAATTATTTATAATTCAAAACCTATTGTATTTTCTATTTATATCTTTATACAATTCTAAATATTCTTATACATGTTTGGGCTGTCTATCTGTCCTGGTTAAATATATTTATTTTAATGATCAGTTTCGAATATAAATAAATGATAACCTAATGATAATATATTTCACCAAAAAAAATAAATAAAAACAAAAAATGATAAAATTACTTTTGGATAATAGTTTCCACATTTTAGGTAGCTATAAAAATAAATAAATAATCTGTAGCTATATCTATTTACCTAGTAGGTAGGGCTAATAAACTATTAGAGTATATTTAAGTACCTATTAAGATTCAACGATTGATGTAATACTATGCTTAGCAAAATCAGCAATAGGTGCCAGAAAAATTAAACATTGAACAAAAAAAATATGGTTCCAACCTACCTGTTGGGCATTCACTCATACGTTTTTTATAGATATAATAAATTACAGAACTAAACAATTTTCAAATAGCATCAAGTTAAAGCTCTCGGTTAGTAGCCACTTCTCTTACCATCTTAGTCATCACCCTAGATGAATGAATATTACCTAGTTTGCTCTCTTAATTTAATAAGAAGGATGAAAATTTTACAGATATTGGAATAGATACCTATATATTTAATAAATTATTAACTGAAATAGTTTTTCTATAATTCCTAATATAATAATTAAATTATCTACTTATATGATATTTAGAAAATAAATTCAGTTATATATATTGTTATTTGTTAGTGTATTTTAGATTCTGAGTGTAGCAAAGAATGTATTAGTTTTACAAAGATATTTATTTTTTTCCCAATAAATAAGATAATTTTTTTTACCCTAACATTCACCTTGATGACCACCTTATTCAATTTGATACCACCGTCACCTATCTAGGCATCACGCTTGACACAAAACTACGTTGGAATCCTCATATCTCTTCGCTTTCCGCTATCACATCTCGGTGGGCTAATTTTCTCAGGACCGTATCTTGCACGTAGTGGGGTTCTCATCCTACCTGCTTGTTATTCATTTATCGCTCTATCATTCGTTCTAAATTAGATTATGGTTGCTTTCTCTTCGGTTCGGCTGCTCATTCCAACTGGAAAAAATAAATACACACCAAACGTCTTGTCTTAGAACTATAATGGGATACGTGAAGTCCTCCTCCGGGCTGGCTATTGAAGTCGAGACAATCTGTCCTTTTAACATCAAGTACCGGTGGCTTGCTGGAAAGTTCATATTAAAATCTTTAGCTCTTTTTAACCATATTATATTTGATACCTTCTGTTCCCTTTTTTTCACCTGGCGTTATACACCCAAAGCAATGCCTGTCCTCTCTATTGTAGCTAACAATCTATTCAATTTTCACCAATATGTTATAAATTCAAATAAATTTCCACTCTATGAACATCCATACAACTCTCTTCTCTTTATCCCTGCAATTCAAATTATTAATTTCTCTGATTTATCTGTTACTGAACTTAAATCAATGCCTAATTCTTTTGTCAATAATTCCTTTTCTAGTTACCTCCTCAATTTTTCTAATTTCATCATCATTTATACTGACAGCTCAGTCTCTCCTCTTTCTGCCGGTTATTCCTTCTACATACCTGAACTTCATGTTTCCTTCTCTAACAATCTATCTTCTTCTTCCTCTTCTTTTACGGCTGAGTGTTATGCTATACTCGAAGCCCTTCATTTTATTTCTAACTTAGCTCCTAATAATTATTTAATCGCCTCTGACTCTATGTCCTGCTTACAATCTCTTATATCCAATTCATTTAATTCTAAACTTTCACCTCTAGTCTTTCAAATTAAATCATATCTTTATTTCCTAAATCAGTCTAATCGTCTAATTCAAATTATATGGATCCCTGGACATGTCGGTGTACACGGTAATGAAAAGGCCGACGAACTCGCCAAATCTACTTCCAATACTATTCTTCCTCCTCTTGCTAAATTACCTTGGACCGATTTTACCCCTTTACTTCGCCGTCACATTACCTGTCTTTGGTCCAATTACTGGAATAACTTGCCGGCTCACTTTGCTTCCAAATATAAATCTATTGTCCCCTCCATCTCTAATAAAAAAAACTTGGTTTTTTAATTTAGATCTACCTAGGTCTACCATAGTCCGTTTTAACCGCCTTCGTGTGGGCCATTCGCTTCTTCCTGATCATGCATATAAACTTGGGTTAAATAATTCTCCCTTTTGTACACTACATTTAACCGAAAGCGTCTGTGACATCTTTCATTTATTATTTGGCTGTCCTTCATTTTATACTAAACGTTTATCACTGTTCAATAATTTAAAATCTTTAAATGTCTCACCTCACCTTCCTTCAATGCTTAATACCCATTCTGAAATGGTCATTAAGCAAATAACTACTTTCTATTGGAAGCTGGCTTTGCAGTTTAAGTTGTTTTTAGATTTTTTCTAAGAATATTATCTAAATACCCATATTTGATACAATGTAAATTTTTTTTTTTTATATATATAGTTTTTGTCAATCTGTCATTACTTATTGTTTTTCTTTATGTTTATTGTATAATTGTGTTAANTCATGCATATAAACTTGGGTTAAATAATTCTCCCTTTTGTACACTACACTTAACCGAAAGCGTCTGTGACATCTCTCATTTATTATTTGACTGTCCTTCACTTTATACTAAACGTTTATTACTGTTCAATTATTTAAAATATTTAAATGTCTCACCTCATCTTCCTTCAATGCTTAATACCCATTCTGAAATGGTCATTAAGCATTAACTTTCTTATTGGAAGCTGGCTTTGCAATTTAAGTTGTTTTTAGATTTTTTTTTTTTTTCGCACAATATTATCTAAATACCCATATTTGATACAATGTAATTTTTTTTTTTTTATATATATAGTTTTTGTCAATTTGTCATTACTTATTGTTTTTCTTTATGTTTATTGTATAATTGTGTTAATCTTTAAGTGTCGAGCTGTCATAGTTTTAACTAGAAGCTAATAAAAAAAAAAAAAAAAAAAAAAAAAAAAAAAAAAAAAAGATGATTTACCAAAACATTGATTTTATTATTTTCAATTTTGTTTTTTTATTATAATTCAGTGCAAAATATTACTAATGACTTTACATTTGACTTTTATAGACCTGATAAAATGTTTAGAACATACGAGTCAGTTTTAAGCAAATCAGACATTTTATTTTTGTGAGTATTTTACGTAATATTTATTCGGTAGGTACTCGGATAAAATTGGTGGATCAAATAATTTAAAGTAAGTTAAACAGTAATGCTTGACAATTTAATAGAAGATTCATTATAAGTTGTACTTAGTAATCAACAAAAAAAAAATTGAGTTTGATCTATATTTTTTTTTGAGAATTTATATTTATATTAAATATAAAATGTTGACAAAAATAGTAAATGTTATTAAACATATATAACCAAATTTCGTCCATAATCGTTTTTCGTTAGCAAAGATTAATCATGTACATTCAATTTTCCTTTATCTTCTACCTTTCTAACTTCTCATCTACAACAGTGGTCCACCCATCGTGTGGAGTATGTACATCTTTTTATTTATGATACATTTAACTACTAGTGATTAAAGATAATAACTAATGAGCATCTCATTTTATTAACCTAATTTCTGGATATTACTAAAATATTGCTTACCTTAATGTGGACTATGATAAACAGATGACAACAATAATATTTTCAGTTTATGTGCTGATAATATATTAAAGAGACAAACAAATTGGAGGTATTATTTTATATTATACATAACTATTAATTATTATTTATTCTTTTACTTCTCGACTCCTATTACTCCAGCATCCAAATAAATTATGAGAAAAGAAAAGAAATTCAAGTTTAGTAATAGTATTTATTCTAAAAAAAAGATTTAAACCCAATATTGACAATTGAACAAAATTATGTTTATTTCAATCAAACAATAAATCCATCAGAGTTCAATTACTACTGATAATTTAAAATCTTAAACAAATGTTTTACCACTAGCTTTTAATGCTTTTATTAACTAAGGTGTGAGGGTTTATTGCCACTCCAATAATGACAACGTATGAAATTGGCTTGTTTTTAAATACAAATGTAGATGACTGTTTGTACACTATAGTGTAAATTATGGAATTTACTTTTAATAAAAAATCATGTAGTACCAAATATATTATGTTTATCCTTTTTTATTAACAAATTTAAAAGGAAAATAAGTACAATGACATTTAAATATTTGGTAATTCTTTTATGATCGGTCTACTAAGAAAATCAAATTGGACTATTTAGTTAACATTATAATTTATTTTATATAATGTATATTAATTAATAATAAAACATGCATATTATATTATATAAGTATAGTAATGTACATTTGATATTTCTGCTAGTTTTTTGTTTTTTTAATACTTTTTGGATGTGATTTAAAATTCTATATTTTCTTAATATATTTCATATTGTTTGGTAATGTGCAACATAATTATTTTATTTCTTAAACTATAACAGCAATAGTTTTATTATTTATATACCTATGGGAAAAATAAAATGTTTGTTAGAAATTATTATAATTTATAAATTATGTATCAATTTATTATTTACAAAGGTTATGGTATAATTTACATATATTATTTATTGTGTTAAAATGTGATTCACTGGTAACAATTTATAATACCACTAACAAACAATACTAAACTAAATACATGGATAAATAAAGATGTATGATTTTTAATACATAGATGGGTCATCTATGACATTTATGTTCAGGTACTTATTTTCAGCAATTAGTTACTGAAAATTGGTATCAAAACACATGTCAGAATAAATATTATCTAACATGTTTTTAATATATTATTCTATTCATTTGCATATTATAATACAAAAACACAAATGAGGGTATCTATCATAGAAAAAAGACAAATTTGTAGTACATCATGATTTTCAGTCGATCTTGTTGTTTGGTGGTAATCTAAAACCGATCATATCTGCCGTTTGTTGTACGGTTTTTTCCTGTTTCTGGTGTTCGTCGGACAGTTCGCGGCATACGCGTTGAGCCCTTAAGTATTGCATATATGTGTCAGCAATCCAAGCCATCTCGTCGGGTCCGCGACAGTATTGGGCTGGGGTGACACGATTGAATCGATACTCGGACAAGAGAAACCGCACCAAAGGTCGGTCTAGTATACGTTTACTACCGGACGACGAGGAATGTCGAAGCCGGAGTTCACGAGCCAACGACCGCAGAAGTGCAAGAGACGATCTCTCAAACATAATATTAATAAACCTGACGAAATTCAAAAATTTGCTATTGTTGTTGCTTAATTGCTTTGTTATTGTTATTATCATAACTGTGATTTGGGCATAGATAATTTAAGATCTTATATTCTCTTTGGATTTGGGACTGATGGTATAATAATTCGTCAACCGGTATAATATAGTTTTTATATGTGATAGTATATAGTATATTATATATAAAATATAAATAGATACCTAAATTTTGGTATGCGTGTCGTTCACAAATAATTGGCGTATGACGTTGCTAACATCACGTGGTATTTTTCTACAGAAAAGCCACATAATAGCATGTGATTGGCTGACGCAGTGTTCGTGTAGCGTTTTTATTGGTGTAAATCGAATATATTTTGTAAAACGTTACGGTGGACGCGGGTGTCGGCGTACAACGAACTTCGGTTTTTTTATTATTCACTAATTTAGCAGAATTCGTTCGTCAGTGTTTGAAGAGCTTCCGTGTTCAGTTGTCATTTTTAAATTCTGTTGGAAGTTGTTCGACTATTGGCGTGTTGACAATATCAACATTTGACCCATTTGGCCAAATATCACGAACAATATGCTGGAACTCAAGTATCTGATACTTGTTTTATGTTTGGCGTTATCGCCATTAAGCGGTGTGTACTTTAGTTCAATTTATTTTAATGTCAAATTTTTAGGTATTTTTACCATTAACTATTATAATGTACTTATTTTTAAATATAGACCGATGTATAGCTGAAGACTTGGAAAATTTAGAAGGAGAAATAATCAAAGAATTTACTGTTGACGGGACAGTTGAAGGTGCCAGTAAAGAAGGAGCAACTACTGGTAAATTAATAAATAATATTTGCCATTGTTATTTTTTTCATTCATTTGTACACCTATCTAAGTAGCTGAATCTAGAATTATGTTTATTGTAACTTTATTTATCTATTTTAAAGTTACTATGTATACAATTTTACTTTACCTATATATGTAATAATTTTGTTCATACTTTAAATACAGCTAAATACTTAAATGAGAATTGTGATATGTATAATCTCTAGGTACCTGTATATATTTTTGTTATATAATAGCTGCTATTTGACCTATACACTTTAATTTTTTAAATTTAAACTACCAGATTTAAATCGTAGATTTTTAAAGTTTTAACTATAGTTACAAATTTTATTGTAATTTTATCTGATGTTTTATTGAAAATTATTATTTCAGATGAGCATGCAGCTGTCATAGAAGAAGAACGAATCAAATTAGATGGTTTGAATGCAGCTCAGTTACGTGAGTTAAAAGAACAAGCTGAAACATTTACTTTCCAGGCTGAAGTCAATCGAATGATGAAACTTATTATTAACTCATTATATAGAAATAAAGAAGTATATTATCTTTTAAATTTAATTTGATACATATTGTACTTATGCATTTATTTGTATAATACTTAATTGTATTTTTAGATTTTCTTACGGGAACTCATTTCTAATGCTTCGGATGCTTTGGACAAAATTAGATTGTTATCATTGTCTAATAGTAATCTTTTGGATGCAACTAATGAACTCTCTATTAGAATTAAGGTAATTTATATTTGATTTTTAATAGAGGATAAATTCCTACATACATCAGACTGAGTAGTTGGAATTTATTATTGTATTAATTATTTAAAGTTGAGATATTAGTAGGTTTTATAATCACCACCAAAAATAAAATTCCTAGTGTTAATCTAATTGATCATTGTTCTAGCAATATTTCAAATATTGCACTTCACATCCTTTTTTATATATTTTAGTTTCCATTTTTACTTGTTTGATTTATTATAGTTTCATAGTTTTTGTTGTGAGAACTTATATTGGAGATTATGTTACCTGATTACTGATGTTTTTACTATGTTGCTAATAATTAACTTATATATTAGGTAAACAAGGAATCCCGGATGTTACATATAACAGATACAGGTATTGGAATGACACGTGATGATCTAGTGAAAAATTTGGGTACTATTGCGAAATCTGGAACTGCTGAATTCTTGAGCAATTTAAGTACTGGCGAAGGTCAAGATAAAAATGTCAATGATATGATTGGACAATTTGGTGTTGGATTTTATTCGGCTTTCCTTGTTGCGGACAAAGTTTTAGTTACTACTAAACATAATGATGATAAACAGTATATATGGGAATCTGATGCTAACAGTTTCTCTATTGTTGAAGATCCACGTGGATCATCTCTTAAGAGAGGCACACAAATCAGGTTAGTTAATAATAATCAAGATATTTCCTAAGCGTAAATTTATTTTTATTTTTATTTCAGCTTACAACTTAAAGAAGAAGCTATTGATAATTTAGAATTAGAAACACTGAAAAATTTAGTAAAGAAATACTCACAATTCATCAACTTCCCTATTTATTTGTGGTCAAGTAAAACTGAAACTGTCGAAGAACCAATTGAAGAAGATGAACAAATAGAGAAAGAAGAAAAACCAGAAGAAGATGAAGCTGCAGTAGAAGATGCTAAAGAAGAAGAAAAACCAAAAACTAAAAAAGTAGAAAAAACTATTTGGGACTGGGAACTTCTAAATAATCAAAAACCCATTTGGACTAGAAAACCTGATGATTCAAATGAGTATAAAGAATTTTACAAAGCATTGACTAAAGATACTAAAGATCCTTTGTGCTATACACATTTTAATGCTGAAGGAGAGGTATCATTTAAATCATTGCTCTATGTTCCTGTTGCTCAACCTTCAGATACTTTTAACAAATATGGTACTGTTACCGATAACATTAAACTTTATGTTAGAAGAGTGTTTATAACAGATGAATTTACTGATTTATTGCCTAAGTATTTAAGTTTTCTACAAGGAATTGTAGATTCTGATGATTTACCATTAAATGTGTCTCGAGAAGTATTACAACAACACAAACTGCTCAAAATCATTAGAAAAAAACTTATACGTAAAGCTTTAGATATGCTTAATAAATTAGATGCCGAACTATACAAACAATTTTGGGCTGAGTATTCTACTAAGTACGTGAATAATTATTGAGAATTAATGTAAAAATAATAATTTAGTATTTCTCAAACTAGTATTTTAATTTTTTTTTTTTTTAACTGTATAGCATTAAGTTGGGCATCATAGAAGATCCATCTAATAGAGCTCGTCTAGCCAAGTTGTTGCGATTCCAATCATCTGTCGAAGAAACTCCTACCTCATTGGCAGACTATGTGAAACGTATGAAAGAGAAGCAAGAACATATATATTACATCGCTGGCTCTAGTAGAGCTGAACTGGAGCGCTCTCCTTTTGTCGAGGGAATTATTCGCAAAGGATATGAAGTGCTGTATCTTATTGAAGCTGTAGATGAGTACACGTTATCTTCTATTCCAGAATTTGACGGTAAGAGATTCCAAAATGTAGCCAAGGAAGGAGTCTCTCTTGCTGAAAATAAAGAAAAGGTAGAAGAATTAAAAACACAGTTTGAACCACTTACTAAATGGCTTGGCGATAACGCTCTTAAAGATCAGGTTAGTTAAATAACTTAATTTTGTATTTCTTTTTGTGTTTAATTAGTAATTAACATTTAATAATTAGATTTCAAAAGCAGTTGTATCTGACCGTTTGGCTGAATCACCATGTGCCCTTGTTGCTGGAATGTTTGGTTGGACTGGTAACATGGAAAGATTAGCTTTATCTAATGCCCATCAAAAAGCTGATGATCCCCAAAGAGAGTTTTATTTAAAGCAACGTAAATCACTTGAGATAAATCCTCGTCATCCACTTATAAAAGATTTGTTAAGAAGAGTTCAGGATGATGTTGATGATCAAAAGGCAAAAGATATTGCAGTCATGTTATTTAGAACAGGTAATTTTAGATATCCAAGTATTGCCTACATATTCATTATTTTCTCATTTGAAAAACAATAAAAATTTGTTCCTAATTGTTTAGCAACATTGAGGTCAGGATTTATGCTCCAAGATTCTGCAGATTTTGCTGAAAGTGTTGAAGCTTTAATGAGACAATCATTAGGAATTCCGTTAGATGAAAAAGTCAGTTATGATGATGATGAACCTATTGTTGATCAACAGACAGACAAAGAAGAAGAAGAAGAAGAAGAAGAAAAAGAAGAATCACCAGAACACGAGGAATTATAAAAGGAAAAGTAATATATTTTACTGATGAACTGTATCAGTTTGTCTAATTATAAGTCTGATATTTGTGACATGTCTGCATATTATTTGAATAAGTAATATATTTATTATCAATTATCATAAATTGACCAGTAGTAGGTACTTTGTATTTATTTTATATAATTTTTTTTCTCATAAAATATTAAAGTACATATAATTTTTTGTAAAATTTTGATTAAAAAAAAAAAAAATCTGTTATTGTATGTAATATCTATTGTATTTTTCACCATATGTCACATAAGTTTATTGTACAAATCATTAATTTAAAAAAAATATTTGATTTATTAGTCTAATTTTTCATTTATCTAAATAAAATAAAAAGTTGTTTTCAATTCCATATTATATACATCTTTTCTAATATAATATCAATTTGTTATACTACTGTTAAAATAATAAACTGATATTTTGAAAAAAAAAAAACTTACTTTTATTTATTTATTAGTAAATAATTTATGTTTAATTGAAAAATATTTTATAAATCTAATATTAATATTAAAAATTCTTTCCTTTTTTCCTATTTTGACTTCTGATGAAACATATAGATTCTATATCCATGCTATTGATCTATTAGATTAGCGACCTGAAGAATTTTAATGATCAACAAACAGCTGGTATGTGAGGTGATTAATACAGTTTATTATCAATAAGCATGGACTGGTTATGACATTTGGGCAAATAATAGGGGATGGATAAAAAGTTTCCTTTTATCAACACTGTGGACAAACATATATTTGATAACTGAAAAATAATGTTCCATATGATACGACTGCACTGGACAGTTTTTCGGCAATATAATGTGCTTTAAGTGCAACGGTGCACTCAGGTGAAAACACAGATTTAAATAATATACTAGATTGCTAACTAGTAAAAATTCACAAGCGATGCCTCTTTTCCTGCATGTTGGTTGAATGCTGTGGTATTTAATCAATTTTTATTGTTGTAATTATATATATACAATTCATTAAATCAGAAATATTTTCAATAATAATTTACATTACACTACAGTAAAATTGTATGTATAGATAACCATGTTGAAAACTATTGAATACATACTTACTATCAAATATTGCTTATTTTTAATAAATAATTATAAATAAACTTGTATTATAATATATATTTTTATACAATCATTTTGATTAATAATTTATGTGCATAATTTATTTTTCATTACAGTATGTTTTATGTATATAAGTAATAATTTAGTTCGTCTATGGTAATATGTACGATTTGATTTGAAATACCTTTGCCAGGCGCCAAATGATAGATTAAGTATCACATAGTTATGATAACACTGCAAAGCCTTACAATCAACATGGTACTTTTTAACACCTACTGTTATTACCAATTAGCAATCTATATAGTTTATTAACTATATCTGTGGGTGGAAAACGATATTAGGCGGGCCGGTGAAAGTGATTACATCTTATTAATCTACCTTAGTTGGTTGTATTGTCTGTTATCATGTATTCACGGGCTTTATGTCGCATAGTTCTTTTCGATTGACTTTTTGACGATATTTTTGTAATGTCAAATGTGTATCTAAATAGTAAATATTTTGTTGGTAGTGCTGTATAATGTTTTTTTGTTGAATTATGATGATGGTGTTTTGTTGTTATCACGTCGAGTTGCTTTATATGGTGTCACCAGCATATTATCATAAATTAGATAGATCAATATATTATCTCTTATCTATAGCTGCTCATAATCAAAGCCCAAATTTCATGGGTTGAAATTCATCTACTAATCTATTTTGAACTTTCAATATTATAAATTATTTATGTTAAACATACTCAAAGATTTCATCACTCTAAAGGTTTAAATTTTTAATAGATTTACTAAAGATTAAATAATATGTAACATACTTAATTATATTTTAATTAAAAATACCATTTGAAAATGACTATTTACAACATTTATATATTTGATCGAATGGGTACATTATTATATCATAAAAATTGGAATCGTCTCAAACTATCTGGAATGAGTAGTGAAGAAGTAATTTTGATATTTTGATCTTTTTTATTAAAAAATAAGTTTATCTATGACTTTACAGGAAGCCAAGTTGATGTATGGTATGTTATTCTCAATCAAGTCATTCGTTTCGAAAATATCTCCACTTGACCCTAAACGTGGGTTTTTGTGTTACAAGACTAGTAAATATGCATTGCATTATTATGAGTCTTTAACTGGTGTTAAATTTATTTTAAACACTGATAATACAATAAAAAATGTCAGAGATTTATTACATCAATTATACAAAGAAGTAAGAACTGATAATTTCTCAAATGATTTTTATAAATAAGCATTATAGTTATAATTATTTTGAGTAATATTTATTTATTTAATATTATTGGTTATTTTTTTTTATTAATTTGCCTAATTTAGTAAAACACAAAGACCATATTAAATGAAATTAAATATTACTTGAAAGAATTATAATAAACCTAAAAATTATACTTATTATTGTTTTATTACCTTGGTATATTTTAAATTTTTATTTTTATTTTAGATATATGTGGAATACGTTGTTAAAAACACTGAATGTGAAATGGGACAACCTATTGAGAGTGAATTATTTAAACTAAAACTTGATATATTTATAAAACAACATATGAAAAGTTTGCAATAATACAAATAATTAATGATTTATTGTAATAATAATAATATAATATAGTTTGTTATAAAAGTAAATAAAAGTGATTTTATTTTGTTAAGTATTGCCATTGGCCGGGATATTTTTTTTTGACAGCGGTGTCACTGTATAACCTATTATCCCCCTCCATTTTCAATTGTTATTAGTAAACAAATTTGAATCAATCAATCTAATTTCCAATTTTTATATATTTATTTTATTCAAACATTTCAAAAATCGTATATGTAATTTAATTTATTTATGTAGTTGAATAATCAAATATTAATTCAGTATTATAAAAAAAAAAAAATCCTTATGTATTTAATTCACATTTAATATTGAATATTTAACATTGGATATCATTATTATACATCTTATTGTCTGATGTACATTTTTTTTTTTTGTGTTTTTATAATTTGATATGGTTGCCCATAGTTATACACCAAATTCGTATAGCATTTAATTTTCTCTGCTATTTAAAACAAAAATGAGTTTATATCTCGAGTTTAAAGTAAAAACTATTGAAACAGATATAATTACTGGTATAAGTTATCACCAACAACTTGGTCTATTAGCAATATTATCTTCTAACCAAAATGATGAAGCTCAAATTCTCATTTGTGATGAATTAGTAAGTATAATTTAAAATTCTAAATTATCATTATTTTTGATATAATCATGCTCAGGGAGAGGATTTACACTATTCTGGACCAAATGTCTGTAAAGGTCAAATTACTTCATTTTGTTGGCATCCAACTCAGCGTACTTTAGCTATTGGTTCAAACGATAGAGAAATATGTATATGGAATGGTGGATTAGTAACTGCTTTAGATTCTGTCCACGAAGGATCTATTATATTTGCCAAATGGTCATCACTTGGAGGATGTTTAGTAACTGGAGATCAAGTAAAACAAAAAAATAAACTTCAATTGCATATTAGAAAGATAAAATAAATGTTATTTTATATTAATAGACTGGAATTGTAGTTGGATGGAAATCTGATAGTCGAGGGTTGCTTAAGATGGTCTTCAAGTCAAAAGTAGGAGCTATTTTATCCAAAGAAATTTCATTTAGGGCCGGAAGAGCTGCCACTGATATTTCTAATTTAGCCAAAATGGCAGTAGCTGGTGATCAAAGTGCATTAGATATATTTAGTTCTTGGCGGCCACGTACAACATCACATGGTCCACGGTTAGTTACTACGGATAACACAACATTTTATTGTGCTTCTGTGACGGGTAAATTGCTGATTGTACCTATAATATAGTTACAAGTTTTAATTCAATGTATATTTTTACAGGAGAATTATATTATTTTGATGAAGATGGAGAATTTAATGTAGTATTTACATCAAAGTCAACAATATTAAGAATTTTATGTCACGAGTCTAAAGATATTTGTATTGTTGTTTGTAAAGATTTAACTGTCGCTTATTATAAATGCCATAAAAATGGTTCCATAACTGAAGTTTCAAAAGTAAATTTTTAATGCAAATATCATCATATTTTTATAAGTGTGATATTAATAATTTTTTTAATTTACTTTTATTATTCAGGTTAAACTAAATGGAATAAAAGAAGATGTGTGTATAATATGGTCAGGTCCATCTTTATTAGCATGTACAACCAATGATTTATCTATTCGTTTTTGGGATATAGAATCTGGAAACAGTTATGTTCTAACTGCGCCAATTTCTTTTTCTTCATCATTTCCTAAACAAACATTTTTAAATATTTCTTATTTAAAAGAGAAAGGTATTTTTTTTTTAATAATATATTGTTTTGTATTTATTATTTTGTTGCAATTTTCTTAATTTATAGTGTTGTTATGTGCTTCAACAAATCTTGGGAATATTATTATTTGGCGTTTTGATGAAGAAACTGAAGACCAATGGAATATTCAAGGTTTATGTAAAATTCAGGATAGTATAAAACATTGTGTTTGGGGGCCACTAAATTTAGCAATACATGCAATCAATGGTATTTATATTTTACGTGAACACGCATTGTTAGCAAGCTATAAAGAAGAAATGGCTGTTGTGCAGTCCTCGGCGAATAATCTTAATATATTTCATTGTAGTTCAGATGAAATATTGAGTTTTAATACTGATTTCCAAGTCATTGGTTTGGCTTTAACAAAAGAACATATTTGTTTATGGAGTGGTAAATTTGAATTTAATGTATAATAAAGTTATTTATACATTAAATTTTAAGTTGTGTTATGAAATGTTCAAGGTAAATTGATAGCAGTGTATACTATAATAACTAAAGAATTGCCAACTTTAGTTGGGAACTTTAATTGTGATGTACAAGAAGCGTGTATATATGATAGAGTTGTAATTGTTGCGGAAAATAGTGGAAAATTACAAATTAGAACATTTCAAGGTACTATTAAACAGACCTTAGATATTGAAGCACCATCAGTCTGCCTTTGTTTAAGTAATTGCTATTTAGCAGTTGTCACATTGTCTGGAGTTATTCATATTTGGGATTTAAACCGAAGGTAATTTAAAATATTTGTTTTAAATTAACAATTTCATCTTATTATGGATTTTTATGTTAGGGAAGCAAAGTCAATGTGTAAACCTAAAGATATAACATTAAATATAGATGATTTCAGTGAAGTTATTCAATTGCGTTTGAATAGCAATGGTACAAAAGTTTCGTTTACTGCAGCCAACTTAAATTTAGTACCAATGGCTCGGTTATATGTTTGGGATCGGGACTTAGATAAAATATATGTAAAGCATTTTGAAAAAGGTTTAGATGTAGATGAAACGTATGTATCTAAAAAGTATTTAAAAAATTTAATAAAAATTTAAATAGTTAAATTGATACTTGTAGAAGATATAATGATACACGATTTATAGTATCACACTATTGGGATACAAATGAGCCGAATTTATTATTTTGTGAAGCTAAGTGTATTGATAAGCCAGAAAAAAAACTATTAAAACCAAGTTTATACAATACATTTGCATTCAAACAGAAGAAAAATAAATCAATTGGTTCCTCGGTATTTAAATTAATTGCTATAGTCGTTATATAGATTTTTATTTAGCTACATATTTGTTTAGGTTATACTCAGTATATTTTTTATTGAACAAAAAGGTTTACAAATACAAGATATTTTACACTGTCCTGATCAATTTTGTGCAATCTTAGGACTTGATGCTCCTTATTATATAATATTGTGCAAACGAAATACTAATACAGTAAATAACACCTATGATATTTATAATTTGAATTTTTTATAATTTATTTGTATATTTTATAGAAAATGCGAGTCGAACGTTTACTGATGAAAGAGTTTGAAGGAATTGAAAACTGTGATTCTGATATTCGAGCAGCTATTGTCAATTTTGGTTATAATTTATGTCTTGGTGATTTAGATCTTGCTTTTAATTTTATTAGTAATATTAAAAGGTTGGTACATTATTTATTTTTTAATTTTTTTTTTTTTATAAATTGTTTTCATATTGTCTTCAACAGTACTGCTGTTTGGACAAGTTTGGCTAAGATGTGTGTGAAAACAAAACGTTTAGATGTAGCGGAAATATGCTTAGGGCATATGAAAGATTGTAGAGGTTTAACTATTTTACGGTCAGTTATTAAGGAGCAAGAATTAGATGCGAAAGTAGCTTGTCTTGCTGTCCATTTAGGAATGTATGTAAGTATGAAGTATAACTATGATTTTACTTATATTGTGAATTATTATTATTATTTAAAAATGTATAAAGGATGAAGCTGAAGAATTGTACAAAAGTTGTAATCGCTATGATCTTCTAAATAAATTTTATAGAGCGAGAAATCAAATAACAGCATCCTTAGATGTGGCTGAGACAAAAGATCGTATACATCTTAGAAACACATACTATAATGTGGGTAGAAACTTAGAAAATAAAGGAGATGTAGCTGGAGCAGCTAATATGTATTGCAAGTCTGAAACGCACGGATTTTCTATACCAAAGATGTTGTTAGATGATCCAATAACTTTAGAAAACTATGTAGTTAAAAACAAAAATCTGTAAGATCATTTATAATAATATAAATAATTTACAAAGATATTTAATTAATTATATTTCTAGTGTGTTATTAAAATGGTGGGCTCAATATTTAGAAGGTAGTGGTGATATGGATGGTGCAATTAAATATTATCAACAAGCAAATGATGATTTGTCTACTGTTCGTATATTATGTTATCTTGGTAATTTGGAACAAGCAGCTCGAATTTGTATGAATACTACTGATAAAGCTGCTTGTTGTCATCTTGCTAGAGCGTATGAAATGCAAGGACTGTATGAGGAAGCTGTAAAGATGTATGTTGATGCTACAGCTTATGTGAATGCAATTAGATTATGCAAGGTAAAATTAAATAAGCTATTGACCATAATTTACCCATAAACTATTTTTCAGCTGGAGTTTTTATTTATTTAATATTTTTCAAATTTTTATTTAAATTTTAGGAGCAGTTCTTTGATAATCACCTTTGGAATATTGCTTTATTATCAGATACCAAAGAAAAACTCAGTGTTGCTCAATATTTCGAACAAATTTCACCTGATAAAGCAGTTGTATTATACCATCAAGCTGGTTATTTGCATAAAGCAATCGATTTGGCTTTTAGGTTAGTAATAGATTATAATGTTATGTTGGTGCTAAACAACATATCTACAACTATAATAATAATACACTTACTTAAGAAAATAAATAAGTTTAAAAATAACGATTTGGTATAAACTTTTTTAATTTTCTTGTAAAATAGTTGTAATTAAAATATTAAGATCAGTGATGATGTAAGTGTTGAATGTTTAGGTAAATATGTGGTATGACCTAGTTGGATTAGATTCGAAATGTATACATTAGTAATCTATGAGTAGAAGATAAACAGACAAAATGAAAAATAAAAGATTGAGATTGTTAGGACTGACTTAAAAAAGACTGTGACCCTGTGCAGTAATTTTTTGCGGAGCCTCAATAAGATTTTTTGCTTTTCACATTCTAAGACTAAGTATAAGTAAATGTTTACAATACAATTCTTCTTAGTTCTTATTCATTTTTTTAATCTTTATTTTCCTAAATACTATTTTGCAATGATTGAGACTAGACGCAGGGCTGGCCTGCTTTCAAATCAGCTCTAGAGATTGTATAGGCATGTTGAGAGAAAGAGAAACAGTAAAATAGTCTAGATAATAGGCGAGTCATTGTGGATGGAAACCATGGAAGGTTAGGTCAATTAAAAGTGACTTAAGGTTATAAAGGGAGATTTAGGGACTCATAGAGTGGACAAAGATATTGTGAATAGAATATAAGGCTAGGCGTATCAAAAATATCGTATCATATAACATTTTTTTTTTTCATTCTAGATAATAAATCAGTATTGCTATTTGAAAATTAAAAAAATTAATATTTATTTAATTTGTTCAAAATAGAGATTTTCTTTTTTTGCCTTCATTCCAATTATTTGGGGTCGACAAAATTTGTTTTAAACATCCAATCAACTTAATCTCTCACATTGTCCTCACATACACCTGTAGTCTTCATATCTTTCTCAATCGTATCCAACCATCTCTTATTCAGTCTTTCTCTCTACCTTTTTCTTCTTCCTATATTTATTTTTATTTCAATTCTTACTGTATCTGATACCTCTCCCCATGACATGCTCAAACCATCTCAATGTATTTTCTCATATTTTGTCTACTATCAAAGCCACACCTAAGCTACTTTATTATTTATTCATCCTTTATCCTATCTTTTCTTGTCATTACTCATCCCTACTTAAGCATTCTCATTTATACTACACTCTTTCTCTGTTTTATTTTTATCTCTATTGCCCAAAACTTTGATCCATATAGCATAGTTGGTCTCATCAAACTTTTGTAGAACTCAATTTTATGTTTCATTGGAAATCTCTTGTCACATAAAATACCTGATGCTTTTCTTTACTTTATCCAGCAGTATATAATCCTATGGTTCACATGTTTGTCAAACAAAATTTGTTCTTTTGTTCAGAAGATTCTTGGTACTTAAAACTTGTTATTACCTTGCATGATATATTACTGTTTAGAATACAGAATAGGGATACATTTTAAAATAAGTATGTAAATTTTATTACAATGATAAAAATGGAAAAAATTTACTTTAATTTTATATTTACTATAGGTGTCAAAATTATGATGCTATTGTTACTATGTCTCAAGAACTAAACATAGAAGATGATTCAAGTTTATTATTAAAATGTTCAAGTTTTTTCATGAATCAAGGACATTATGACAATGCAGTCAATTTACTAGCAATGGCTAATAAAGTACACATTAGTTATTATTGTTAATTTAATATTTTTATCAATGCTTGATATATTTTAGTTTGAAGAAGCTGTGGATCAATGTCAAGAACACAAGGTAACTATTACTGATACCCTTGGTGATCATCTAACCCCTCCATCTAATCATCCAAAGCGTACACTTATATTAGAGAAACTTGCTGAATGTGCATTAATGCAAGCGAACTACCATATAGCTGCAAAAAAATTTACTCAGGCTGGACAAAAGGTTAATAAAATTGTGTTATTTATTTATTATAAATCACAAAAAATGGTTTGAATTTAAAAATATTTTATATTTTAAGTAAAAAGATTTCAAAAAATGTAAAGATGTATACATTTACTTTGCATCGGCAAACTATATTTTTCATGTTAAAATTTTTTTTATGTAATTATTTAGTAAAGAAAATTAACAAATTTCAAATGTTTTATTCTCGTAAATAATGAACAAATTCATATTTTTAATAATATTAGTGTGGATTTATTAAATAAAAAAGAATTACAGAAAAGCAATTACAAGTTAAAGTTCCTTATTTTCATAGATTTTAAAAAAAAATTGAAAAGCATGTTAAATAAATGTGTTCAACAACTAATATCTATCTCTAATAGAATAAAATATTTATATTGATCTTGATGAGCTAATAAATAAAATAAAGAACAGTTTTTGTATTAATACAATATTACTTTAAAACTGATTTGTTACCCAGAATTCACTATACTAAAAATAATAAATCTATATAGGTAAAAGCTATGAAAGCATTATTAAAATCTGGAGACACGGAAAAAATTATATTTTATGCAAACGTATCAAGGCAACATGAAATTTATATTATGGCTGCTAATTATTTACAAACACTTGATTGGCAAGAACGTCCAGATTTTTTGAAAACTATTGTATCATTTTATAACAAAGGAAAGGCGCCTCATTTATTAGCCAACTTTTACATTTCTTGCGCTCAAGTAAGAATTCACTCAGATATTAATAAATAATGTACTATTGATTCAATTTAATTAAACCTTATATAATATTATAATTATAATTATTATAAATACCTAGCTAGAAGTTGATGAATATCGTAATTACAGTAAGGCTATTGGTGCTTTATCAGAAGCATTAAAAGTTCTATCCAAAGACAGTGATCAGTATAAGACATTTATGGAAGACATTGCAAAAAAAATAACTTTAATTAAAAAATTTCTTGATATAAAAAGGTAAACAAATAAATACCTAACCTGCAACTATTCTGGTTTATTTTTAATATAACAATATAATTTAGGCAAATTGATAACGGTGTTGGTGACTCAGCAATGACATTGTGTCGACAAATTTTATCATCTCCAAATATGGATATACTTAGATATGGTGATGTCTATTCAATAATGGTTGAATATTATACAGCACTAGGCGATAATAAATCAGCAATTCAATTAGTCAATGAACTAGTTACTCGAACACAACAAAAAGACAATTTGCTATTTTATATTGATAAAGGTCTGTATTAAAAGATAATTAAATGACCTATTTACTATTTATTGATACTTTAAAATGTATTAAAAAATTATAAATATAATAATTTTTAGCGGTTTACTGAAAGTTATAACTATAGTAGACACACTATATTTTAACAAATCAATATCCAATTTATGAACATACTTGTACATAAAATTATTGATTTTATAAATTCAGCGATAAAATTTGACTGTATTCTATCGAAAAACAAATTTAAACTTCCCTTCATATTATAAAAAATGTATTTTACACAGCTATTTATAAAATATAGTTAGTTACTATATTATATATTACAAACCAAAATTTACATTTCTCTATTTATTTTTGGTCAAATGATTTGTATAATTATAATTTAGATATGTATTCAAATATAGTATAGCTTAGAACACTTGGATATTTAAATCCTCCCATTTTTAGGAGGGGGGACTTAAACACTGCTTTAGATAATTCTTTTTTTTTCTGGAACAATGCTACTATTTACTGCTATACTGTAGTAAAATATAAAATTAGGTAATTTATTTTTAATTAATGATAATCTTTAACTCAAAATTATTATATTACAAATATCAGAACTCATGTTGTATGCTATCTTCACCGAATTTACTGCAACCATAATTTACTGCTTCACATTCAGTTGTTTTTTTAAGTCTGAAAACTATTTTGTTTTAACTAATTATTGTTGAAAAAAAAAATAATTGTATCTGCATAATATGTATATCAGTGTTTTAAAAGCTAAACACATCTGTTGTAAAGGATAAACTAGTTTATCCTGAAATCGGTATTAGCCAGTAATAACATACCTACACATAACTATACCTATGATATTTTAAGAGCACGTTGTCAACGTCCGACCCACATTTATCGCTTGAGACAGATAACATACAACACGATCAATATTCGTGTAGATAGCATAAGACACGAGTTTTCAAATATATTTTTAATTTCTTATTTTATTTTATTTGTTTTAGATATTTTAAAAAAATTAGGATTTGAAAATGAATATATTAAGGAGAATAGCATTGATGAAGACGAAGATGAAATTCCTGAAGTATAAATCTTGGGACACTTTAAGTACAAAGATTCAAATAATGTATTCTTAGCCATTGAATATTTAAGATAACAAAATAGTCAAATGAGACCATGGAACTTAATAGTAGATATTTTGTCTAAAGTTTTATTTGGGTTGATTAAATGAACAAGTGTTAAAACTGTACATCATCATGCAGTGCATAAATAGGCGGAAAAATATGTCACTCTATATAATTTTTATATAATATGACAATTGTCATCAAGTTGTTAGAAACATACATTTTCAATATTTTTTTTCAATTCAGGCACTTTATTGTAATAATTGGTATTTTTCCAATTTATATATATTAAATATATAGCACTGACAAGTTGTATAATCTATTATATTAATTCAACTATGTGTACTTTTCATTTTTGTGATCACAATGAAATACAAATTAATATTGCTTAATAACACAACCAATTTTGTTCTTTAAAAATTGTTTAATTCAATTTATTTTAGTGAATATTAAATAATTATCTTAGTACAAGGCTATAATAATATTTGTCTAAATGTATAACATAAAATATTTAAAATGCCATTTTACTAAATCAAAAAGTATACTATTATTGCATTTCAAAGCAAAATTCAAGGCTTAACGTCTTACCAATTGGATAACTACTAGCCAGTGGTGCCCAACCTATAGTCTGTGAGACAATGCCTACAAAATTGAATAAAGAATTTAACACGCATGTCACTGAATTGCTTATTTAAAAATTCCTCAACTTGGTCTGGCCTGATTGGATAGCTGCTTGCACATTACTAAATTAGAATGTTTTTTTTTTTTTGTTCATCTCAGCCCTGTAAACCATGGCGGTCCACGGGTCATCAAAAGTTCTCAAAGTAGTCTGTAGTGTCAAAAAGGTTGGGAACCACTGTACTAGACAGTATATTTAAAAAAAAATAATAGTAGTTAAAAAAATTTAAAATATAATTGAATTACATTAAAAAAAATACATAATAAAAGTAGGTGTTTTAGAAACTAGTCTTAATGAGGTTAAATAATAGTGATTAAAATAATTATTGTATTAAGTATGGGTAACCCCTCGCTCAATAATTGCATCTTGCCTAATTAATTTAAGTGTCTTACATGACTTAGTTAAATATATTAATAATGTATAAAAAGCATTAAGATTATTACAAATGTATAAAAAAATTAAAATTACAAATTAACACATACAGCTGCTTTCGGACTCTTGAGAGTCTCCCTGATTGGCCGCATGGTTCTGCAAGTCGACAGCTATAGAATGTGTTAAGGATAGTAAGACAAATAAATAAATGCGATAAAATTTCAAAATTATAAAATATATTTACAGTTATGATTACCAAACTACTTAGTTAAAAATTAAAATGGTGTAATAAATAAAAATAATTTTTTACAAAACAATAGTAATGTGGCGTTCCTTTAAAGCTCTGGGAATGTTCAGCGAGGTGGAAATATGTTCTCAATTGTTATTCATAAAATGCATTTATTATAATAAAATACTAATAATGGTATTTTAATTTTTAGAGAAAGTATTTTAATTTTAATTTGTTTAATTATAGGTCCTAATAATCTGTTATGTACAAAATAGAAGTTAAATCGTTAACTCAATAGACCATGAAATTTTTTTTAAAGTTAATTTTTAAAAAATGTTAGCCCTTAGTTTTTTTTTTTAGGCTTTTTATTATACAAAAAAAAATTGGATGGATGGATTGCAAATGTTTAGATTCAACTATGAATGTTATATTAGCATGCACAACTCTTCTCTGGATTTGCTGCATCATTTGGTGTGTCTTTAAGCACAACTTCTTGCACTGAAAACAAGCAAATAGTTAAGGAATCAAACATGCTGCAAAAAAAAAAAGTGACAACACTATAATTTCAATTATACTAAATACAAGAATTTATATTTCCTATAAATATTCAAAACGATAGATTATTTACTTCAACATTTGTTTACCTCATATTAACAGGTTAAAAAATTAAATTTATTAAACATCATGTTTGAAAAACCTCCTATAATAGCTTTATCATTAAATCAACTAAATTAGAATGCTAGTGAGTTACTTGCTCAAGTAACAGTATTTTAAGTAATATCATACGTTCAACTTTCATTTAATAATGTACCTATACAATTAATAGAATTGAGTCATTGAACTTACACACTCACAAACTTTGGTTAAAATAAAAAGCCTCATTTTCACACCACAAAACCTTTGAAATGGCATTTCAATTTAAATCATAATTGCTGAAATGCATCTATCAAACTAGGACTTGTAAAATTAATACTTAATTATAAATACATATAAACATATGAAAATTGTATAAGTTTATAAACTTAATAAAATTATATATTTTTTTCAATAATAAAAAACTATTATAACTTATATGTATGAATTCGAGTTCGAAGTTTGACAAAATTCAGAGTTAAACCTATCCCTGAAAAATATTATAAAATTAAGTATTATATTTTTAGAATAGTAATTCAAATAATTTGTTTGTTTTCTAAACCTATTTATTTAAGTTTTCATTATATATGTTTACGAACATATTACTAAGACAAAATATATTATTAAAAAAAAAAAAGCATAAAATTTAACTATAAGTATCATGCAGTGCTGAGAAGCAGTGTAAATGATATATTTAAAAAGGATACTATCTTCAGGTGGTCGATTTTCAGCTACATCCATGCCAGGTAATGCTGCTGCCACTCTTCTGAACAACTATAACACAAATTAATATAGAAACATACATATGATTAATGTTGTAAATTATAATAACTACGAACTTGTTTGACATTGTAACCAGCTTTAGCACTTGTTTCAATAAACATGACATTTAATTCCTTTGCCTTACGTTCACCATCTTCAGCTAATACTTGTCGTTTATCAGTTAAATCAGTTTTGTTCCCAACTAACATTATAATTACATCACTACCACGTTCTGTTCGAACATCATCAATCCATTTAGACGTTTGATGGAAAGAATTAGCATCTAAATAAAATGACAATGAACCACTCTTTTATAAAATAAAAATATTCTATTATTTGTTATAATAATTATTTCAAATAGGAAGATGAATAACTAACTTGTTATATCATATACAACAACAGCAACAGTTGAATCTCTTATATATGACGGAATGAGACTTCTGAATCTTTCTTGGCCTGCTGTATCCCATAACTGTAATCTCACCTGTAAAAAAAGTACTTTTTTTTAAAAATTTTGTTTAAGTAAATTATACACTACATAATCAAAGTAAATATAAAAAGATACATTTGTGATTTATTTTTAAAATTAAAAGAAATAATTAACCATAGCATTTGAAAAATAATTTTAAGTCACGCCCAGGAATAATATTTTGATCCTTGTCTCAATTTAGTCTTTATTTTTCACTTTTATATAATTAAAAAAATCAAACACTGAATTATAAAAAAAAAAGTACCTCCTTAAAATACCTTAAGTATTCAATTATAGATAAAAATATGGAAATTTTTTTTTTTTTTAATGTAAAACTAATAGCTATTATCATTCTGTTCAGAATTTAAAAAAATACTAATTAAATATTTATAATTACATTCTAGAGAATTTTACTCTTTAAAAAATCCTTTCCAACAAATTTTAATTATACTATCCTTCTTACTAACTCATCCAATAAATAATTTTTTTTAAAATCAATAATTTTGGTTATTGTTTCATATGTCATCAAATAATATTTATATTTATGTATACTTATAACTTAGAGGCAATTTTAATTACATTTATGGTAAGTTGTAATTTAATGCAACATTTCTATACTTTCCATATTTTATAAATTATTCTGATAATTTATGAATAAAATATTTATTAATAAATAGTAATCCATTCAAAAGATATTAAATATCCTACAAAACTTTCTATTTTTAAGATGTACATATGATATTTGAACTAAGAAGACAAAGTGTAATCATATTTAATATATTAATATTGATACACTGTTTCATTTCAAATATAATAATAATTTTGGTTCACATTTTATCTGAGTGAATATATACTTATTGATAATTTAAAAAGTAAGCAAATGATTAGTTGGTTTATTAGTTTAATAAAAATGTGATGGCATATTGTTTTAAATATAAAAAGATGGACACACTTAGCACAATAAGTGCAGCTACTATTGTTGGTGAGAAGTTGAAAATGTAGGATATAAAGAGGAAATTATTTTGTATTAGTAAGCAATGATAAACCCAGTTATTAAATCCATAGGAATGCTTTGTCAACAATATATAATATGACATATTGTGGTAAAATAATTAAATAAGCATTATGTATATATTTCCTTTCATAATGTACCGATTTTCCCTTTTTTTCAAGGTTTTTTCACATTTGCTGGGAAAACTCATGGGAAAATCAAAAAATTACCTCACCAAAGTACCTCCCTACACCCATTTCATTTTAGAAAGAGTGCTACACTTAAAAATTTGAGTAAGGTCGCTGGTAGAAAAGTTGTCTACAGAAAAAAATAAATAAACACTTTTGTAAAACCATAAACTTCATCGCTCCATTTAGAATCTAAAATAAAAGTAGATTCTGCTGATGGGCATGGATGTAGGTTTAAAGGGGGCAATATAAGACATATTTTGCATGTGTTGATGCTGAAATAAATTATGTTTTCACTAACTTTTCTAAATTAATCAGCTTTACTTGTATACCTATAAAGAAATAACTCTGGATGTGCACACACATCTTTATTTAATCTTGGTCATAGGAAGGGACTAATGAAAAAAAATTCTCAATAAAGTTTGGTTAAACATTTTTTGAAATGTTATAATTTAAGTAAACTACAAGAAAAATTAAAAAATAACCAACAAAATTTACATTTAGAAAAGATAAACACTTGATAATTGGAGCAATATTTCTCGTAGAAAAAATCGTTTGAAAAAAAAAAAAACAATAAAACAATTATGTTCTCCACCAGGCTCAGAATTTAAAAGAATTTATATAACAGAGGAGACAATTATTTCAAAAAGATTGTACAATAATTCTGTTCAAAAAGTTGAACATATAATATGGTACTTTCAAACTCATTTTTCAAATGCAATAATTATGGTAATCAAATTAAAATAATAACACACTGGGGTTTATATAGTTAAATAATTCAATACATAATTGTTAATAAATTTTTTTTTCTGCTTAAAATTAAATTATTATCATAAAATGTATTTCTTTTTAAAATATGTACCTATATGTACAACATACCATTCAGGTATAAATATTTTAATGCTCAGTTTAATGTTATAAAAATTATTAAAAATAATAAATTATAGGTTTAAGACTACATTAATATATTATAAATAACACTTACAGTTCTATCTTCAAGATACATTGTTTTAGACAAAAAATCAATTCCAATAGTAGCCTGTAATATAAAATAAGTTCATTTTTCAATTGCTTGAAGACTCATATGAAATTAATGTGATTGATTTATTAACTTAAAATATTTTCAATATTCTTTCTCTAAATATATTTATGGAGATTTATCTATTTTAGGCAAATTCACACGTTTTTACTACCAAATAATTTTAAAGTTAGTATTGATGTCATTTTTGATTGTTGCATCATCTTACGAGCAAATAAAATTTACATTGAAAATAGATTTTTGAAATTTTAATAATTTGTATAATATTAGTTACATTAGATTATTAATGAATATTTTAGTCATAACTTATAATTATAAACACATAATTTAGAGAGAAAAAATTGAAAATATTGTGTGGGTATGTAATCCACATTTAGGTAGATTAGTTTTATAAGAAATAAATAATAATAGAATATTAAAACTTACCTGGTAAGTATTATCAAAACTATCATACATAAATCTTGTGATCAGTGATGTTTTCCCAACTATAAAATGTTAAGCAATAATATATTAGGAATAGTTACTTTATGAGTAAGTTAATATTCGAAAATATAAAAAAATTAATTTTAATATCATACCACTTTGTTCGCCCAAGAATACCAATTTGAATTTCCTAAGAGGATTACCAAAATCTCCAGAAGACGACATACTTAAGCGATTATCTTAATTTCTATAATATAACATATACTAACTATCAATGACTACTACAACATGATTATATGCAAACAAACTGCTCCCCACGATAGAATGACACTAAACTATTAATACATTTAGATGTATAAATTAATATAACTATTTATATGTTATAACTTATAATTATATGAATTTATTTATTGAAAAAAAAATTAAGATATTTGAAAAAAATTCACAATCTTGTCTCACAGTACAAGCAATAAACGCCACGTTCGAGTGTAATCACACATTTACATCGTAGCCATTTTTATTTGATTACCCATATTCACAGCTGATTATAATACCAAGGTAAAGGTAAACCGATGAACTTTCAATCTATGTTATCATTTTAAAGTGAGAGGGGCGAAATAAGGTATTATAATTTTTTGACATTTTGAAGGGCAAAAAATTTGTATAAATTATACCATCGTTCATATTTATATTATAACTATAGTTAATGACTGGTTGACTATTTAACTATTTGTAACTTTGAATTTGTACTAGCATTATATAATTTATTTAAAATGCAGTCTAATTTATTAAGTAGGTTGTCTGTGGCTGTAAAGGTTAGTATTTATGAGAATTTGATGTGTATTATTCTATTAAATATATTATTCACTGATAGAAGTAAAAATATAAATTTTTGTTTAGCCTGCTATACTGAGGAAATCCAACCATGTTGACCGTGGTTTTATATTCTCTGTAGTTAATCGCCGTTATGCAAGTGGTGATTCTGTAGATTTAGTTGTTATTGGTTCTGGACCTGGTGGTTATGTAGCTGCCATTAAAGCTGCCCAACTAGGGCTGAATGTAAGTATAAAATAAGTACTTTAATATAAAATAGTTATATTGGTTATGTTTAAATACATTGTAGTTTCTAAAAACAGCAAGAAATTTATTGGCTAACTACTATGTTTTTTTTTTTTTTTTTGATTCATAAACCAATTTTGTTTTTTTTAAATAACTCAACTTTTCACAGAATTGCCATGAAAGTTTTTTCCAAACATGTTATAATTTCCCAAATATTTTTGTTCTTTTTAAGTATTTCTTGTCTTAAAGATAACTGACATTTTGGAGTTTTAGATTCTGAGCAGAGCAAGGAATGTATTTACAATATTTTTATATTTATTTACGAATATTAATCATTTAATAATTTTGTGTTTACTTTATTTTTTTATTTTTTTATTGTAAACAACTTTTCTACCAGAAATTTTGTTCCAATTATCAAGTGCAGTATTTTTTCTGAAAGGAAATTTGACTGGAGTGGTACTTTAGGAAAGTCATTTTCTGATCTTTCCAGGGGTTTTCATAATAAATGGAAAAAACCTTAGCATGAACAAGAAAATGTATTATTTTCAAATCATGAATATTACGGCCTTTCAAAACATGTATAACTGAACTCCATTCATAATCATTTTTTCGTTAGCAATGTTAAATCATTACATACAGATCTACATTAAATTTCCTCTCTACCTTCCCAATTTCTCACTTATAATAATGACCCACTCATCATGTGAAGTATGTCTGGTACCTTTTATTTTTCAATTTACCTATGTAATTAAAATTGTTTTTCCACAGTTCAAAAGCTCTGAATTGTTAAATGAATTTGCAATAGCTCATGTCTCAAATTTCATGAAAATAAAACTAACAAAATTGGATATTTTATTGTAGATATCAATATTATTGATTATCATTTTGTTTTTTAACAAGCAAATTATAGAGGCTTAAAATTTTCACCAGATATTTTCATTTACAAATTCTAGTTAAGATATAACCTGCAATGTGTTATAGTCTAATTTTGAGCTATTTTTAGGTACTTAGAATGTTGTAAGTTTTTATCTGTTAAATAAATACAATTTTTAACTCCTAACAAGATTATACTTAGAATCATTTTTTGTTTGCAATGAATTATTGATTATTATGATTGTTTACAAAAGTTTTTCTACTAAATTACTTAATACTTAACTCTGTATTAAGTTTCCAACAGCGAACTATTCATGATTTGAATATGTATCATTTATCATTATATTTTATTCTTTGTAGACTGTGTGTGTTGAAAAAAACCCTACACTTGGTGGTACTTGTCTGAATGTTGGGTGTATTCCTTCCAAAGCATTGTTAAATAATTCTCACTATTATCATATGGCCCATTCTGGTGAACTTAATACTCGAGGAGTTGAAGGTAAGTTAAATTTATTTTTATTTTTTTTATATTTTAAGATCAAATCTTATCATTCGTATTTGAATTCTTAATATGCTAGTTGAAAATGTCAAATTAAATTTGGAAGCATTAATGAAAACAAAAACTAATGCTGTTAGTGCATTAACTGGTGGAATTGCTCATTTGTTTAAATCCAATAAAGTAACATTAGCCAAAGGTCATGGTAAAATTAAGGACCCAAACACAGTATCAGTATTGAAAGAAGATGGTTCTTCCGAAGATATTAAAACTAAAAATATACTTATAGCTACTGGTTCTGAAGTGACACCTTTTCCAGGAATTGAAGTTAGTTTTAAAAAAGAGTTTTAGTTAACTTAATCATATCTTTTTTGATTATTTAAAATTGGTTATTAAAAACAAATTGTTTAATATTGATTACAGATTGATGAAGAAACTGTAGTTTCTTCTACTGGTGCTTTAAAACTTTCAAAAGTTCCAGAAAAAATGATTGTCATTGGTGCTGGTGTTATTGGTCTGGAATTAGTGAGTAGTTCAAAATTATATATAAATATATGGTTAAGTGTTAATTGTTTTGTGATATTAGGGATCTGTTTGGAGTCGTTTGGGAGCCAAAGTGACAGCTGTTGAATTTATGCCTTCAATTGGTGGTGTTGGTATAGATGGTGAAGTATCAAAACAGTTTCAAAAAATATTAACCAAGCAAGGATTAGGGTTTAAATTAGGAACTAAAGTAATCAGTGCTAGTAAATCGAGTGGACAAATATTAGTTGAAGTTGAAAATGTAAAAGATCCATCCAAAAAAGAAACTGTAAGTAATGATTTTTATAATGTCTAATGAATATGCTGTGGTGGGATCTAGGACTTTTAGGCGCTGCCTGTTTCCAATAATAGTTTGTTTTGCAATGATGATAAAAAAGTGCAAGGTCACACTTTAACTTACTGTGGTGTAGATTTGGAAAATAACTGTTTCTCATGTGGACAATTATATATAGCATTTTCTAGATACCAATACAATTAACAATTATAATTATAGAATCATTTTTAATAATAATATGTGTATAGAATCATTGGAATCATTTGTAAATATTATTATTATTTTTTTTTATTTGTTATTCAGCTACTACTACTACTACTACTACTATTTAACAATTGATTCAATTAAGTAAAATCAATTTCTTTTTCTTCTTTAAAACACAACAATGAGTTTTGAACTTAAGAATTTCATTTAGAGAAAGCAAAAACTACACACGGTAATTTAGCTAGTATATTATATTCCTACTCATTTTTTTATTTACTTTTATCCACACAATTATTTTATTTTTTATATTGTATTATTTTTGATATGTATATTACTCAATAATTTTCAATAGCATTTATTTTTGCCTTTATTGCCTAAACGACAGCACCAAAAATATGTATTGCTTACATGGCAGCGCCAAAAAATCCTACTCCTGCTGTTTTGCCATGCATGCATTTTACTATGTATTATAATTTGTTTGGTGAATTATTAATGTTTAGTTGGACTGTGATGTATTACTTGTAAGTGTTGGCCGTCGGCCTTATACAGAAAATTTAGGTTTGGAAGAAAATAATATTGAGAAAGATGTTAAAGGAAGAATACCTGTAAATTCCAGATTCCAAACTGTAATACCTAAGTATGAAGTTTTATTATTTTATTCATTATAAATTAAAATAAATGTTTAAACTATATTTTTAGTGTATTTGCAATTGGAGATTGTATTCACGGTCCAATGCTAGCACACAAAGCAGAAGATGAAGGAATAGTTTGTGTAGAAGGTATAACAGGCGCACCAGTGCATATTGATTACAATTGTGTTCCTTCGGTTATATATACCCATCCAGAAGTAGCATGGGTTGGAAAGTCAGAAGAAGACTTAAAAAATGAAGTAATTCAAATTTGTATTCGCTGTGGATAAATATGAATATATTTTGATGTTTTTAGGGCGTTGAGTATAAAATAGGGAAATTTCCATTTATGGCAAATAGCAGAGCCAAAACTAACAATGATACTGATGGATTTATAAAAGTTCTCGGTGACAAAGCTACAGATAAACTATTAGGATGCCATTTAATTGGACCAGTAATTGTGTTATGTAAAAACAATTAATTTTTGATATTTATAATTGTATTCTTTTAGGGAGTTGGAGAAATAGTTAATGAAGCAGTTTTAGCAATGGAATATGGAGCATCTTGTGAAGATATTGCTAGAGTGTGCCATGCACATCCGGTAAATTTGTTTACAAATCTATTGAAAAACATAGCATTATTAATAACAAAAAAAAAAAAAATGATTTCTTTTTCAGACTTGTTCAGAAGCATTAAGAGAAGCAAACTTAGCTGCATACTTTGGTAAAGCTATTAATTTTGGTTAAAAAATTTTCTTATTCCATAACTGACCAGTGAACAGTCTCCTAAGCAAATCAATACATACTAAAAATAAAAATAAAATTGTATGTTACTATTTAATTTAGACTAAAATTACATTGTAAATTCATTTTTGCTTGTACTTTTTTTTTTTTTAAATAATACTCCAAAATCACTTGTAGATATCATTTCTACTTTGTAGTATCAGTGTTAAATTAATTGAAACAACCCAAATTATCCTTATACTCAACCCTAGAATTGTTAATAACTAAAAGAAAATTGTTTGTATAATTAAAGTTAACACATATATATTTTATTATAAAAATATTATTTTCTTTTGTATAGGTACCTATTTTAAATTGTTTTTTTTTTTTTTTTGCCAAAAACAATTCTAACCATATTCATTATAAATTTTGTAATATTACATTAACTAGTTGGGTTATTACTATTTTTCAATTAATTTAACTATTGGTACTAAATATGAAACATATTCTTCTGTTTATTTCATTAGTTGTTGTTACATAATATGATGTGATTGTTAATATTTTTATTTTATGTAATTATTAATGTTTTTTTTAGAATATAATACGAGACAAATTTGAAGCATATTATTTTTACTACTATATTCAAATAGTTTTTTTGTATAATTAATGGACTGTAAAATATGTTGTTTACCTACATAATTATTTATACAAGTTTTACTATTCAAAAGAACATTGCTTATCAACTTAAAAATTCACCCTTATAAGTTACATATATACCAATTATCATAATATTATCTATGTCGGTGTGCTTAGATCACAATATTATGATTCATAGATAATATACAGTGATTATTTTATTGTTGAACATTCATTATTTTGAAAAATATTAACTTCAATATAAGAACAATTATTGGAAATTTAAGAAACATTTAGGGATGAAACGACTACCTACTTTAAAGTTTTAAATGGTTATCTACATTAAAAGTTCTATAAATTGGTAGAGTATAGATTAAATAAATTTTTGTGTTTTAATTTCCATCAACCCATTTATGAGATATTTCACTTTTAATCGAAAATGGCGGGAAAATAGCAGTGTATCATGTGTGACTGTATGAGCAGTACGGTGCGTTGCGTTTGAATAGTGTTCCACTGCTGTCCCCCTACAACTAAACTTAAAGTGGAATTCTCGTAAATGGGTTGACGGTAGAGTATGACAAAAAAAAATCAAAATGATGAATAAAATGTAAAAGCACAAACAACTAATTATTTTATTATTAAAAACTGTCGATATGAAACATCGATACTATACAAAATAAAATAACTAGGTAAAGCAGTAAAGCCCAATGTGTGAATAAATAACATGTCGATATCGAGTGCTAAACTAGTTATCCCTTATCAATAACATTTATGACATTTTCGATAACAGATAATACCAAACATACCGATTTTTATTTTCAATAAAGTTGAAATTTCAAGTTATCTATTTATAATAATCATGAATAATGAATAAAAAAATTTAGAATAACCGAAAGAATAATGAATAATGAGTTTTTGTAAAAGTTGAAATGATGTATATAAATAAACTAAAATAATCATATAAAAAATAAATGAATTAAAAAATATTTTTTTTTAAATAATTAATCGAATAATTGTTTATTTGACTAAAACCCAACTCCAGTTAACGGAAATTAAAAACATCAACAAAATTTATTCAAATTTTAAACTATACTCTATCAATTTACAGAACTTTTAATGTAGATTAACATTTGAAAATTAAAAGTAAGTAGTCGTTCACCCTAGAAAATAATGGTAATGTAGGTAACGTTTTAGATTTGCTTGTTTCTTAAATTACCAACAATTTTTTTTTTTAAAGTTAATACTTTTCAAAATAATGAGTGATCAACGATAAAAGAATCATTCTTTATAATGATCAAAGGTGTCATGCCTTATCTATCAAAAGTATTTTGAGTATTTTTTAACATTTTTAACATTCGGCAGTATAAAATCCGTAAAATAATTATTTGTATGGAATGATAAACACCAATTTTCCCAGTCTATCATGAGGCTCGCTTCGATCGCGCTCATGTTGGATTTAAAATCGAAAAAAGACCTTGATTTGTTTCACAAAATCACCTAGGATACTTCAACAGATAGCTTATGAAAGTACGAACACGAAACGAACTACAAAGTAATCAAGTAATGAATAATTTTAAAAGCCAATGATTATTGTTATTATTTGCATAGATAATAATAAAGATCACAGAAAGGTGGATTAATAATAATAACAATGACTAATAATAATATTAATCCATCTTGGATCATAGATAACTTATTATCAATGGTTCCTCATCCTTGGAATATCTCTTACAAATTTCAAAGAGTATAACAATAGTCTTATGGAGTGACCAACTTTTGTACATAGCATATATATGTGTGTTATCTATTGTTTTTATGCTTGTCATCATGATAAATCAATATGAATACATTTTAGGGAATATTGGTTCATTCCTTATTTCCTCTGCCGATTAGCTTATTGAGTTATTTATTAAACTTATTTAATTTAAATATTAATTATATTTTATAAACTAACTTCTTTAATATGTCATCCGGAATACCAGTTGACCCAGTGAGGGAGAAGATTTTACAAGAAAATCGGAAGAAACTTATGGAACATAAAGAAATTTCTAGTCGATTGAAAGGAAGTAAGTATTATAATATTATTGATTTATTGTAATGTTTTATTTATTTAAATTATGTTTAAACAACTTTATTTAAGTATCCATGGATCATATTTATCTCTAGTAATATCTCTATTTTCATATTGATATTATTTATTCGTTATTACCCATAAAAAATATGTGTTATGCTTATGAATATTAAAAAGGGATTCATATTTTAAATTCAAAATTGTTTACTTTACAAAAGAAGATGTGAATTGACTTTTTATATTTATATATTTGTTCATATAATCTACTATCAATATTTATCATTTTTCATTATTTATAATCAATAAATGACATTTAAAATTTGTATATTTTTTTTTTTTACGTTTAGAATAAATATGATAACTATTGTTTAGTTTTATTTCTTAATTGTAAACATCATTGATACGAAAACTACCCAAATAAATTGCAAAAAAAAAAAGAATCTATAATTGTTTATTTTTAATGTTTATACTAATTTAAAGTAGGTATACTTTGTAAAACTGAACCATAATATTTTAACTGGTTAGTTATGTTGTTTTGTGTATAAAAGTATACAAAATAAATATCTTGAATATTAATTTGTTATTATGTGGTAATGAATTGATTTTTTATATACTTACCTAATAGTATTCAATATGTAATTACTACTTACTAGGTAAAATAAAAAAATATTAAATATATAATGAACATAAATATAACATCTTAAAAAGTAGTTTATAATAAATAAGATATTTATTGTTTTCATTTTGTCATCTATGTTATTTACTTATTAACTTTACAGTGCGAGAACAAGCCAAAGACCTTACCAAACAATATGATAAGTCTGAAAATGACTTAAAAGCTCTCCAAAGTGTTGGTCAAGTAAGTTGAATATACTGATTACATATATACAAACTTTTAACATCCTTAATTATTATTTTTAGATTGTTGGTGAAGTATTGAAACAATTAACTGAAGATAAATGTAAGTATTATTAACCTCTCAGAGATTAAATTTCAATTAGTAGTAATAATATTTCTTGATTAGTTATTGTGAAAGCAACAAATGGTCCACGTTATGTAGTCGGGTGTAGGCGTCAGCTTGATAAAGCAAAATTGAAAGCTGGTACAAGAGTAGCTCTGGATATGACTACTTTAACTGTTATGCGTTATTTGCCTCGTGAAGTAGATCCTTTGGTTTATAAAATGTCACACGAAGATCCTGGTGAAGTTACATATTCAGCTATTGGTGGATTGTCCGAACAAATTCGTGAACTTAGAGAAGTATGTATTTTTTAATTTTCATATTAGATATATTACTAAATTGTCAACATCACCATTTTCAGGTTATTGAATTACCATTGTTAAATCCAGAATTGTTTCAACGTGTTGGTATAACTCCTCCTAAAGGATGCTTGCTTTATGGTCCTCCGGGTACTGGAAAAACTTTATTGGCTAGAGCTGTGGCTAGTCAACTTGATGCCAATTTCTTAAAAGTTAGGCCATCAATATTATTTTAGTTATTTTTTATAATATACAAATCATTTTTTATTCAGGTCGTGTCAAGTGCTATTGTCGACAAATACATTGGTGAAAGTGCTCGTCTTATTCGAGAGATGTTCAATTATGCAAGAGATCATCAACCATGTATTATATTTATGGATGAAATAGATGCAATTGGTGGTCGTCGTTTTTCTGAAGGAACATCTGCTGATCGTGAAATTCAAAGAACTCTTATGGAACTTTTGAACCAAATGGATGGTTTTGATTCATTAGGACAAGTGTGTAATTTTATATTCTATTTTAGTAATTATAATATATATAACATATATGTATATATAACATATTTTTTTATTGAAAAATGAATATTAGGTTAAAATGATTATGGCTACCAATCGACCAGATACATTAGACCCAGCTTTATTAAGACCAGGGCGTTTGGATCGTAAAATTGAAATTCCATTACCCAATGAACAAGCTCGTTTGGATATTTTGAAAATACATGCTGCACCTATTACTAAACAAGGCGATATTGGTATGAATTAGTTACATTTATTTCTATTTAAGTACTAAAATATTTGAAAATAACAGTAATATAGTTATTAGCTTGATTCAATCACTTAGTCTTTTATTAAAATATATATTACATCACTTTGATCGTAATCTTCAACTAAAAATGTATTGATTACTCATCATTTTTCAATCTCTTGTACAAACCTGTTGTGTTAAATCAATTTTTTATCATATTTCAGTAGGATTTGATTTATATTTCTATGTATGGATTTATTTTACTTCTTTAAATTACATATTACATAATTAATACATATGCATAATAGTTACAATCAAAAGTTAAGTAAATAAATTTTTTTTTTAATATACTGATGTGAAAGTATTTACTTTTGCAGAGCACATCAACCAAAAATAGTATCTTAGATAACATCAAATGAGTACAAGTTTTTTATAAGTACTTTTTTTATTTTTGATTAGTTAGGCCATATAAAATGCAATTTGTATTCAACATTTTGTTTGTTCAGAGTAATTTAATTAAAGATTTTTAAATTGCATCTTACTTTATGTAAAAATGTTTTTGAATAAATTTAATTTATCAGCATCTAATTTTTTTAATTTCCTCCAAAACTATTGAGAATTTATATTTATTATATATTATATATTTATTTATATATGTATAGTTTTTATTCGCTTTATATTTATGGAACCAATGTATGGTAAATTCCCATTTGACAAAATATTTTTAAAAAGAACAAAAATTGCTTAACTACTCAAAATTTGTATGTCTATGACTTCGAATAGTATAAAATTGTATTTTCCTTTTTGGTTTTAGATTATGAAGCAATTGTAAAATTATCTGACAACTTTAATGGTGCTGATTTGCGTAATGTGTGCACTGAGGCTGGTCTTTTTGCTATACGTGCTGAAAAGGATTACGTGACACATGAAGATTTTATGAAAGCTGTGAGAAAAGTATCAGATAATAAAAATTTGGAGTCCAAGTTGGATTATAAACCAATATAAATATATCTGTTATTTATAAAAAAAAATTATTATCATTATACTATGCTAGTAATTTTTATTTAAAGTGTAACAAAAAATATAATCATTTTTATATTAAAACTTAAGTATATATTTAAATTAGTCATTATTTGAAAATAAAAAAAACATAATAATAAATTTATCATTTTTAAGTCAAAATAAACATGACATAAACCTCACTGTTTATGAAAATAAAAACATCTTACAATCATTAAGTCTGTATACCCAAGTATTTTTTTAGGTTCTGTATCTCTAATTCAAATAAAACAAAATGTCTCCATTGAATCAAATGTTCCCCATATACATAGTGAAACTGCTTTTTTAAAAAAAAATTTAATTTTCAAACCAGGAAAAATTGTTGTGAAAAGTGATCACCGTAGTTAGGTTAAAAGTAATTAAGTGTAATGCAGTTTTTTTTTTCTGTAAGTTGAAATAAAATTATGATGAAAATTATAAATACTACAGTCTTTTATAACTCGTGTACCCAAATTTCACCCCGAATCGTTTTTCATTAGCAATGGTTTATTTTTGGTTCAAGTAGATAACTTTTTGTACCTACCTGACTTCCCACTTACAATCAAGGCTGCCCGTAGGGAAAGGAGCAATGGGGCTGTGCTCCCACTTTAGATGATCTACATTAAATGAATATTTAATTATTTAAATCGCCCGACTCTGATTTAGAATTTAAATTTTAAATTCAATTTTTGTATTTTTTATTATCTTGTAAGAAAGCATGGCATTTTTATTTAAAATATAAAATTCTTATTCCTTGGGTTTAAAAAATATAATATATAGTAAAGATGATATTTTCTTTTTGGCTTCCTTTGAGAAATATTTCTGCAAGCGGCCTTGTCTACAACAGTGCGTACCCGTCCATAGTATTAGATCTTTTTGAATTAAGTAGTACTGTAAAATTTTTAGGTTAACTGCACTAAAACAAGAAAAAAAAAAATATAGTTTTTGCTTTATAATTAAATTTTACAATCCAAATGTCTTAAGCTGGGTTTCAGTTATCTGTTAGATTGATGTAGAAATTAGTTGAGAAATTTCCTGTAAACTTCAGATTGGCCATTTTATCTATAGATAATAGTAAAGAGCCTCTATAATATCACAGAGTAATATATATTATCAAGGCTTTATTTTAATGAATAACTTTTATGAAAGGTGGTAATTTAGAAAGGTTATTTTTGAAACTCAATTCTGTCATAGCGATGACATCAATGAAAATCTTGGTGTCATCGCTATACCAATGAAAATCTTGCAACTCAGACTGTTGGTCCGAGTTGCTGGTCAACATTGGCTAGGGTTGTTCAGGTCGTTATTGGCTTGTGAATTTGTAAAAAGCTCATTGTTTGGGTAGTCTTTTGCAGCAACACCGGTGTCATCATCATTGACAACAATCATCAATTCTATAACTGTGGGCTCGGGTTTACAAAGTTTAAACGAAGAAAGTATATTGTTAAAATCGACCGTTTGTAAAACTTGACGGTCCGGGGAACCTTGACTTAAGTCGAAAGTTTTTTTTTTTTCTGAAATTTAATAATATTTTTATTATGTATTTGATTTGGAAAAAGCCGCGGGTATGTGTATAGTGTAACATTAATGTTGCCCATGTTTAGACTCGTCTCTAATAAAATTGCTAAATATCAATGATTTGCTATTATTATTAGTTTATCTGACCTTGTTCAACGGATTTTTCTAGCGCTGTTAATTTCAAATTTTTTTTCATTCAGTTGGTCTCCGAGGGGGACGTTGATTTGGAGAAAAAATACATTTTTATTTTCATCCCTTAAACAAACAAAAAAAAATTTACTTTTTGCTTTAGACAATTTTCAAAATAGTCATTTTGTAAAAAATATTATTCTTAAAATTTGAATGCATAAAACATTTATATTCGATTAATGGGTTCTTAATTAAAGCCGTTTTAATTTGTAGAAAATAGGCGTGAAAACAATTAATAATGTATAGAAGGTAAAGAATCAACGTGCTGATTGTGATTCCTTATCGCATAACGTGTTATTTTACTCAATATTAATTGTTTTCACGCTTATTTTCTATAAATTAAAACGACTATAACTAAGAAATTATTTAGAAGATATGAATGTGTGATAAATTAAAATTGTTTGAATATATTTTTTACAAAATGGCTATTTTAAACATTTTTTAAAGTGAATAAATAAAGATAATTTTTTTGTATTAAAATAAAAATTTAATTTTTCTCCAATTCGATGTTCACATCGAAGACAAACCGATTGAAAAAAATCGAAACAAATTTAATATTACAGCCCTAAAAAAATCTTTCGAACACGGTAGGACAAACTATATATCAGTAACCACATGTGTTTTTTGGGGAGTGGGGGTATGCAAGAATTTATAGAGAGACCCGGTGAAATTTTATGATCGCCAAATCAACCCCAGCCTCCGAGTGGAAAACTCACAATCCTTCAGGTCCTTCAGTCTCTTTAAACTCTAAACAGTTAAATTTATATAAAATAATATGCGCATGGGTTTTTTGGGTTGTCGTTTTTTTGAGGTACTCTGAGGTACTGTTATATAATATGTATATAATTCCACCGTAGGTATATACCAATAAAAAATAACCACCCTTTAATGGACTGAATAAATTGTTACTTTTGAAATAAGGGACTACTCTTACTACCCGCCACAATCGGGACTTGCTAGTGAGCCGGCACATATTATACATTTTCCTGGGTCGGTTTTAAGTCCAAATCTGTCCCTGAAATTATTTATTTAAATTCCGGAGAAACTTTCTGGGATTATACAGTCCGGGCATATACTTTTCGGATAAATGCGGTTTTTAGTTTTTAGATTCCTGGGAAATATGATCCAGAGAAATAGATTTTCCGGACATAATATATTATAGCCTTCCACTAAGATAACGCGCTTTTGAAATGAAAATGAAAAGTATTATTTAGAAAAAAATCGATACTATGCACAACTTTTCTATTAGCAATTTTGCTCAAATTCATAATGATAGCAATTAAATTATTTTACCATAATATGATATATATATATTATTGACAATGCAACACATTAACAACTGAATTTCACTCAGAATCGTTTATTCGTAGCTATGGTTAATTGTTGCTTACAGATATACATTAAATTTCCTCTCTACTAGTTATTACTTTCCCAACTTCTCACGTATTTGGTAATAAATTCATAATGTAAAAAAAATATTTATTATTTTTGTAATTTAAAGTGCAATAATTTAAAACGGTGGAATGAAAAAATGTCTTTTCGTCATCAAGTAGGTACTTTTGAAAAGCCTCTGGAAATCCGGACGAGGCTCTGTCTGACGAATTTTGGACTATCGACGCTCTACTGTACTTTTATCGCTGCGTGAATAGGTAAATATTCATCGATATCGTTACAGTGCCATTGAAAAATATAACGTGGAAAAAATATATTGAGGAATTTTTTTCCGTACCCATAACGAACCCTGTTCTTGACATTAACTGATACGATTTCTTATCAATTATGCATAGACAATTCAAATTATTTTATTATCTCTGGTGATTTATCAAAGTTGGTCTGATATTAAGATAATAGTGTTGTATAGGTTTTATTATACATTTTATACCTACATAATATTTCGAACTTTAGTTAGTACCTTGTTTTCAAATTTGAATTATCATAATTTGTGAAAAATTAATGTAATAAAGATCTTGAATATAATACTCAAATTTTGTTTTCTAAGATCTAAACATTATTATTAATTAGCCAAGATAACATGATATATTATTTAAAAGATGCCGAAATAACAAATAGTTTTTACTGCAAATCATATCTACAAATTAAGGTGAGAATTTCATTATTTTTACTGTTAAACTTTTATAAACTTTTTTTTTGTTACTTAAACAAAATTTTTTACTTAGGTATCACATTTATTTGCTATAAAACATTTGTACTAAGTCAATAATTAAATTTAAGTTTTATATTTAAAACTTAGTTAGGAGTTGATATAACAAATTATCTTATAGTAACTTTAATTTTCAGTTGTATGAACAGATACTTTTTAAAAAGGTAGTTTCTCAAAATATTAATGATCATCATTTTATCAGATGCATTTACAAAACAATTATCTGCTGTTAGTAAGCTTTGGTTTGAGAATCTTTAAATAAGATAAATTGCATTCAAATTTGAAATATAATAGTTAAAAACAAGACAATTTTAATTCTGAATTGAAGCATGGCTTTTTGGTTTAAAAAAAAACCCAAAATCTATACTGTAACCTAATTTTGTATAATATTTATTTTGTTAATTAACAAATACCTATTTATTTTTTTTATAGATTACAGTGTTCTTATGGTTCTTATGTTAAGATGATGCAGAAGATAACGTGAATATAGTTGAACAGTTCTGTAAAGTATTTGCATAAAAATTGTAAAAACTGTAAATATGGAATTCAGTACAAATTTTGTGTTTGATGTCTTAGTAATTTTACTCTCACAAACAGTTTTCTTTATGTGTGGTTGGGTATATTTTGTCAAGAAACTATTTAAGGATTATGAAGTGCATCACAAAACAATCCAATTAATATTCTCAATCACATTCTGTTTATCATGTACTATGTTTGAACTAATTATATTTGAAATTGTTGGTATATTGGTTCCCAGTTCTCGCTATATATTTTGGAATGTAATACTTTACAAAATGCTATTTATGGTAGTTGTACTCATACCATATTACTTATGTTATTTCACTTTAAGTAATATGTATCCATTTTTTCAAAAAAAAGTTTCAATTTTAGCCTTATTGGTTTGGATATTATATTTATTCCTATTTTGGAAAATTGGTGATCCATTTCCAATGTTACCACAAGAAAAAAAAGGTCATTTATTTATAGAAAATTGTATTAGCAGAATTGGTGTAATTGGTGTTACAGTTATGGCACTGTTATCTGGTTTTGGTGCTGTAAACTACCCCTATACTTCAATGGCTTATTTTATAAAAGCTGTAACAACAGATGATGTACTAAATGTGGAAAAACAACTTCTTCAAACAATGGACGTTATTGTTGCTAAGAAAAAAAAAGTTTTATTGGCAGAAACAAATGCTGGAGTTAGTACATTTGGGTTTATGGATATGCTTAAAAGAGTTAAGTCTAATGTATCCAGTGATTTAAGAGGAATAAAAAGTGATATTAAAGCATTAGAAGCACTTAGTAGACATTTATTTTTAGATACACACGATCTACATAATACTCTTGATCGTTCTGCTTGGGCCAAAACATGGAAAGGGAAATATTTTAATTTCCTTGGTTATTTTTTCTCATTATATTGTGTTTGGAAAATAATCATATCCACACTGAATATAATGTTACAGAGAGTTGGCAAAAAAGATCCAGTAACCAGAGGAATGGAAATTTTGATTGAATGGGTTGGCATTGATGTTGATGTTTCTTTTTGGTCACAACATGTATCATTTTTATTAGTCGGATGTATTGCATTCACTTCTATAAGAGGTCTCCTATTAACACTAACAAAGTTTTTCTATGCCCTTTCAAGCAGCAAATCATCAAATATTATTGTTTTAATATTTGCTCAACTTATGGGCATGTATTTTGTATCATCTGTATTATTAATGCGCATGAACATGCCAGCTGAATATAGAGCTATTATTACAGAAGTACTTGGAGATTTACAGTTCAGTTTCTACCATCGTTGGTTTGATGTTATATTTTTAGTAAGTGCAGTATCATCTTTAACATTTTTAACATTTGCTCACAAACAGAGTAAAGTAGACCTACTGCCTATGATTTAGTAATAAATTGGGTATTATTTTTATTTAATATATTTTATTACACATGCACTTACTATTGATGTGTAATTATTGTTATTAAATTTGGAGTAAATAATAAATTACGATAAAAAATAATTGTATTTATTTATAATAATTTATAAATTATAATATCTTCTTCCTATCTATTATAATATTGTATTACATCAAAATTAACTAATAATCATTAAATATTTTTATAAAAAATTGAAATGATCTCATTAAGTATTTTGATATAATGAAATAAATATAAGCTAATTATTTATTCAAAGATATTGTATTTTTTTTTATACTTATCATAAAATCTAAATCATAAAACCAGAAGTTGATGAAAAAAAGTATTTTCCTTTACCTTTTCATATTTATATGATTTTATGGTCTTTTTAAAATTATTTTGAATGTATGATTTTAGATTTTGAGCAAAGCAAGGAATGTATTGGTTTTACAATGATGTTTATTTTTTTCTTCGGTGAACACATTTTTTACCAGAAATCTTACTATGATATATCAAGTGTAGATTATTTTCTGAAAAACAATTTTATCTACTTGGTACTTGGGCACTCGCGGCACTCCAGTTGGAAACTTCTAGGTTAAGTTATGCACAAATTCAAATTCTGATTTTTTATTATAGATACCAAGTAAAAGATGATATTTTTAAATATCTAGGTACTTAGATTTTTCACGACATAAGGAGTATTCTGTGACGATAGGAACTTTGGTTTTTCAAATGAAAACCTACATGTTTTAATGTAAATTGCCAATAGGATAATGATTTTCCTGAAAATGTTAATTCTGCTTTCTTTAAATATACCTTCCAAAAATAAAAGCCTTTTATGAGGATTAGATCTGTGTCACTCGTTGCACACAATCAATATTTTTACCTATTAATCAACGACCCATTTGAACGCAACGAAAATACATATATTATGTATTTTAGATTCTGTGCGGAGTGAGGAATGTATTAGTTTTACTATGTATTACTTATGTATTACTTTTTTTTTTTATCTGTGAACAACTTTTTTCCGATTTTCAGAAGTTGCACTTTTTTTAAAAAAAAAACAACTTACTGGGGTAGTATTTTACAGTCATTTTTTGATTTTCTTAGGAGTTTTCATAATAAATGGGAAAAACTGAAAAATGTATAAAGTGTATTATTTTCAAATCGTAAATATTACGACCTATTAAAATATGTACAACTGAACTCCCTTCGGAATTGTTATTCGTTAGCAAAGATTAACCGTTACGTATATAATGTAGATATACATTAAATTTACCCTCTACCCAACTTCCCATGTATAACAGTGGCCCACCCATCGTGTGAAGTATGTTCTTATATTTTTACGATTAAGACTATTGCAAATGTCTTTTTTATTTATTTTTATTTGGCCCTGGCAATTTAAATAAGTAATGCAGATATAGTAGAAATGACGTTGAACAAATATAGGTACGGTTTACGCGTTAATAGAATGAAACATTAATACCGGAAACAGAAAAACAATTTGATATTTCCAGTATTTAATACCTATACTAGTATCCTCTACCTTCTATCATGTAAAAAAAAAAATATAATAATATTGTAAACGTTATGCACTTTTTTATTTTTATCTGCGCGCAACTTTTCTACCAGAAATCTTGTTCCAATTTTTAAGTGTAGCACCTTTTCTAAAAGAAAATCGATGTATGAAGGTACTGTAGAAAGGTTATTTTCGAATCAAATTTGAAAACATAAAAAAAAAATGTAGAAAAACAGGAAAATATAAGAAATGTAGAAATGTACCTATTAGTTAAATATATTACGATTTTTTTTTTCTGTGCACAACTTTTTTACCAGCAATTTTGTTTCAATTTATAATGATAGCAATGTTTCTAAAAGGAAATCCTACCTTGGGGAGGTAAAATTTAAAGGGGTCATTTTTCGATTTTCTCAAGAGTCTTCTCATCAAATGTGAAAAACCGAAAATAAACGGAGGAAAACTGGGAAAATCGGAATAAATTTAAACAAATATTATTAAAGAAAACATATAAACCCTATTTAATTATTTTACTATAATATGGTACATATATTGTTGACAAAGCTTCACTATCAATTGAACTCCGTTCAAAATCGCTTTTCTTAAGCAATAGTTTATTGTTGTTTACAGGTCTAGGTTGTTAACGTACTTACTATTATAGGTACATTAAATTATCTATAATAGTGGCTGCATCCGACTCTCTTATCTTAGTACGTCTTTTTTCTGAATCAAATTACAATATATTAATTATACGGTAAAATATATTATTTTTTTTGAACCTTATTAACTGTATAAAATAAATTATACAAAAAATACACGATATGGTTAGGCGACATAGATTTTTTATAATAATAATTATAATTTTATAGAAATTTTAATATCAAATAATTATTGAGCAAAAATGTGTTTTCGTACTTTCAATAATTCTCAGGATCGAATTCAACAATATTTCACCAAATTAAAGACAACAACATTTACTATGCTTTTAAACCGAATTTTTTTGATATTTATTAACCAGATAATCTAATCTTATCAACTTCAAATTTTAAGTTTTCCTATGGGAAAACCGGAAAAGTAGGTACAATATCAAACAAATATTATTTAAGAAAATATAATGCATATGCAATTATTTTACATTAATATGACATACATGTACATGATGAATTCAAGTTCAGAATAAATCGGGACTAAGAATATATTTGGGAGTCAACAGGGTGGGGATAATCGGCCCTCTCCGTGATCAACTACTACTATATCTATACACAACAATAAATGTATACATTCATAATATATTAGTTATACATCATAAATAGTAAATATTTATTTTTTTAATAGAATAATTATCATTTGGGTTCACCTACATTAATTTAGATTATTGTGGTTAATTTGCATTTTAAATCATTCTAGACTACCAGAGGTTCTCAAACTATTTTGTTCACGTACCACATATGTGTATTATCTATATGGATTTATTAAATATTACTTATAAGCTGTGACTAAAACTTGAACAATTTATTAAAAATATCAATACATTTTTTTCAAAATGATTAGCTAGTAAAATATAAAAATATAAACTATAAAGTATTTTTCAATTTTTAAACAAAATGCACACAAAATATAAAATAGTATCAGATCCGTTAAAAACATTCGTATCCATAAATATTTATTATTAATTTACCATATTACCACCACGTGTGCGTTTCAGTAGCTTATCTAATGCATAGAAGCATTTGTTTCCCATTTTAATTCTTTATTGTATTTCTATTTGACATTTGTTTTTCTGTGTTACAATAGTGCCCAGGTATTTGAATTGTTGCCATTTTTTGAACTCGTACTGACCCACTGTTATGGTCTCGATTGTAGGATTGTCATCTAGTTCCCTACTAACTTTCATGCATTGCGTTTTCTCCGTGTTAAGATGTAGTTCCAGCTTTTTTGCCGATTCTATTAACCTGCTGCATAAGTCTCCCTTTTGTGTTCCTCTTCTCCTAGCAGTACTATATCGTCTGCATAGGCGAGCAGACTAAAGAAAGTTCTATCCATTATTACTCTTTCATATCTTCCAATCTTCATTTTTCGGATCACCTTCTTTAGTATTAAATTAAAAAGGATTGATGAAAAGGCATCATCCTGCCTAAGTCAGGTTCTTACCTTTACTATCCTTGATGTTGCTTTTCCTACTTTGACTTTCATTTTTGTCTGTTTTAAGCTAGCTCAATAAGATGTATTATTTTCCTTGGGAAATGGAAATCCTTCAATATTTCGGTTATGCTAGTTCTATCTATACTGTCATACGCTTTTTGAAAATCTACAAAGATTATATGGAATTCTTTATTGTATTACCAGTTTTTCTGGAATAGCTGTCTGATTACAAAGATATGGTCACCGAGTCGCCGTCAACTCTCTAGTATGTTCTTACATTCGTTACGCTGTTGGTAGTATATGGTCTATTTGATTTGAGTATCTACTAGCAGGTGACATCCACGTCCCTTTATGTATGTCCTTTTGCGGAAACATTGTATTCTTGACTCTAAGACCTTTCCCGAAGGTTAACTCTAATACTTTTGTTCCATTTTCATTAGTAAAGACCGAATTTATATGTTTTTAAATATCGTTACTGAGCTTATGAAGTCTTATGAGAGTAAGAAATGTTGACGATTCGTTCAATTCTGAGTTCGTAGGAAAAAGTTTTTTTTTGCATATTTGAGAATATTTCATGGGTTAAGTAATATTTAGATTATTTTTCATGTTTTAGAATATTTTGTAAATTGTGAAGAAAAAATATTAATTTTAATAATACGATACCTGAAGAAATATATTTTGAACATTTAGAATTTTTTTTTTTTGTATCATTTTGATAAAAAAATTAAGTGTATGGTAACACTAAACATGGTGGCTAACTTGCAATACTGACAGTTATTTTCATACTGACAATAACATCAACCTATTCGTTTATTATTAATCATTATCAACTATTCAAATGTTCATATTTTATTTTGCACTTTTCCAATCACGTGTAGCGTGATTTTTAAGTTCTAAAAATTAAACTACCTATATTGTTATATTTATATTATATTCTTACTCTTATTTAAGTGCACTATTATTCTATTTTAATACGCAAGTGTCACTTATTATTTATGGAATGTTGTAAAAAAAAAATATTAAAAAAATTGTATATTAGAGCATATATTGATGTTCATTGAATATTTTTGCATATTTTTTAAACTTCTAAGAGAATATAATGAGAATATTTTAAGGTTTTTTGGAGAATATTAGCATCATATTTTAAGTATTTTAAGAGAATATAAATCCGGTTTTTATTCATTTTAGGTCTAAATGATCTCTCTTTCCCTATTTTGGCATTTATATCTCCTAGTACAATTTTTATTTTACTATTACCTATCCATTCTAGTAATAGTTCTATCTCGGTGTAAAAATCTTCTTTTGCTTGTTGTGTTTTATCCTTCGTGGGTGCGTATGTTAATGAATACGATATCAAACCACTTGGTCTCTATTTTTAAATACGGTAGTCTTGGGCTGATTACTCTAAATTCTTTTATCGTTGGTACTATATTCTCGCGTACAGAAAAATCAACTCCGAATTGTCCTCTTTCATCACACCCACCCAAAAGAGTTATGTTATTGCCTATGTCTATACTTTTTGCTTCTTTCCATCTTCTTGCCTGTAGAGCGACTACTCCTTAACCGTATCTTTCTACTTATTTGATCATATTTTGTGCAGCACCGGGTTTTTTAAGTTTTCGTACATTCCAAATTCCAAAAGTCAGTTCCGTGTTTCCGTTTCCATTTCCAAAGAAATCTTTTTCCATTAAATTTAGTCCGAGACTTGTTCTTAGGTTCCTGAACAAGGTATTTTTACAAGGCAAGGTTGTTAGCCCTGCGCTTAACCCCCAACCTGGAGGACCAGACTATCATAACTACTTAAGGTCAGGGTAGGGCTACAGCAGTGTACTTTTTAAGGCACACTGGGCGATGGGAGTGTCACTTTCCCTAGGCCAAGTATTTTAATTATTAATTACGAGATTAATTATTAGGTTTTTTTGTCATAAAATGAAACAACATATTATAATAAAAACGATTTTATCGCATTTTATTTTTTTTTATATTGAATTTCATGACACATGCTCATAAATTATAAAACCTTTTATCTACATTGTGCTCCTTCTATATAAGTCGATATTTTTTAAATTAAGATAATAGAATATCTGAATATGAATACTATTATGTTCATTGTTATTAAATCTCTACACGGGAGAAACTGAAGTCAAAAACTTGCAAAAACTAGACCCAATTTGATTTTATGATGAAATGTTATTTTTGGGTGTGATAAAAACATTCAGTGTATTTAAACATTTTTGGGAGATTATTATTAAGATTTGGGATGTCGTTTGGCCCCTTAATACTTAATAACTTGAATAGAAAATCTATGATGGCTTTAAGAAAAAATTAGGCTTTAAAAAATATTATTTTATATCCCCCTCTACAATAAAATCATATATACGCCTATGTACCACACCTATGTTACCTACCATGTACCACTAGTATGTGAACCACAGTTTGAGAACCGCTGTTCTAGACCGTTTCGTGTTATATATGAGTTAATTTTTTAGGAGTATTTTCAGCACCATCGCATCTGTAATATTTTGGTAATGTAATTTAGGTAGAAATTGTGTAACATCGTGTTATTGTAATTAATTTTAATTTTATGTAAATATAAGTAGGTAGGTTTTATTTTTTACTGTGAATTGTGTTAAAAAAGTTATCCTTATGTTCGTGTTTTTGACTTTAAAGAATAAAATAATTAAGTAAACTTCTATTTACCTATATTATTTCTAATGGTTTTTATCCGCGATAATCGTGATTAATTAAGCATTTATGTAACTATGGGTGTCAATAGCCTTACTATTTTTATTTGGGGGTTTGGGGGGCTATACACTTTATAGTATTAATTATTTATACTTAGTATTGACTTGATAATGATTTGATTTGGGGCCAAGTCCCTCAAGCCCAATCTGGATAATAATTATTGAGCATAAATGTGTTTTCGTATTTTCAATAGTTCTCAGGATCGACTTCAAACATTATTTCACTAAATTAAAGACAACAACATTTACTATGCTTTCAAAGCGGGTTTTTTTGATATTTATTAACCAGATAATCTAATCTTATTAACTTCAAATTTTAAAATAAAATTTGCTTTTTATTATTATTTTTATCCTAATGAAAAATTGTATAATCCATATATAAAAAAAAACCTCTTTGAAAACATAATAAATGTTTTCATCTTTAATTAGGTGAAATAATTTTTATAGGTCTATTAGAAAGGAGTACTTATTGGAATAGTGGCATATTTATGAGAAGGGCACAAGGGGTCCGTGCTCTCTCACCATTGGCCGTACCTATTTATATATTTTAATAACTATTATAGTAAATACAGATGAGTATAACCTTACGTAATATATATATTATAATATAATTTGTATCATCATGATCTGAGTGTAAAGACATTTTTTTAATAAATTGAACATAAATTAATATAAAATTATTATATTAATATATTATTTATTGGTTTTAGAATGATGTTTATTTTTATTTTATTTTTTTATCTGTAATCAACTTTTATTCTTCCAGAAATCTTGCTCCAATTTTCAATTTTCGCAACTTTTCTGAAAAGCAATTTTATCTTTGGGTACTTTTAGGAGGTCATTTTTTAATTTTCCATGCGATTTTCATAATAACTGGGAAAATCTAGGGAAAACTTAGGAAAAGTGGGATAATTTACAAAAATAATTTTTTATTATTTTCAATTTTGTTTTTTGTTGTAATTTAATTCATAGAGATTTTAAATTTTGATAGAAACTTTTTCAGACGCGTTAAAATTTTAAAAACATTTGAGCTATTTTTAAGCTATTTATAGACATTTTAATTTAGTGAGTTTTTTACATAATTTTTATTTGTTAGTTACTTTATGGATGAAATTTTTTGAATCAAACAGATGTTTGAAAATTTAACAAGAAATTCATTTTAAGTCGTACATTGTGTTAAAAAAAATTGTGTAATGAAGTTTTTGTTTGTAATGATTTATCATTGTATACAGATATAAATTAAATTACCATAATATAATATTATGGATTGATTGTATTATTATAATAATTTATTCCAGTAATTTTTGATATTCGCTTTAACACTATGTAGCATCCTATGCCCTTTTTTTACCTATTCGCGCCTGGATACACGTGTATTTTTAGTATACATTTTGTATAGGTACTAACATAAATCATTATAATAATGCATAACACTAACATAATATTTGATTTACTATTAATAACTATATATTATTAATCATTATAGTTTGTACGTGTCTTCGTATAGGTTTACACATATTAGCGTAGGGTAGAATTTGATTTGATTTTAAAAATATTACATCTATTCAAGTCTGTAGTGGATATACATAATAATAATAACCTGTAGGCTGCATGTACCTTAAGTACCTACTGAATCCTTTTAGGAAATAGGTCAACGATGTTTTATATTTTCAAGGAAAATGATGCATAAAAAAATCCTACATTGGATATAAAATTTAAAAAAAAATCAAGAATGTTTTATGTCTAGCGTGTAATTTTCGTAATTATAACGTTTAAAAAAGTTGAAATTATTGTTAATAAAAAGGGCGCACATTGTATACATATACATGTATAAGTTCATAGTTTATATATATATTGCGGACCGAATGCGGCAGTGTATCCTTTTTTTTTTGTTATCAAGTATTGTTTTGTTTGACATGCAAAATAGCGATTTAAAAAAATATGCAAAAAAAATAAAAATAAATAGCACGCGGTACCCGCTCGCTGCTCATGGAAAGGTACGAAAGTATAAATGGAAACTTAATAGCTCGTACCGACCGCGGAGGGATTGAACCTAAACAGATTGGTTTTGACATGCAAAACAAACGCTCGCCCGTCGCTTGGTGTTTTTCCTTTTTGTCGGCGCCGACATGGATAAGGTGAGCAATATTCAAGTACATATAATATCATTAATATTTTTTTTCTGTTCTTTAACTGTTTATTGTTATTTGTTTATTTGATTTATTAATGCTAAGTAGCGGTAATACTATAATAATATTAAGATTTTATTTTTGTAATATTTAAAATGTATAACTACTATTAATAATAATTACTGTTAGAATCACAAAATATAAATGCGTATAGTATAATAGAGGTACCTATTATTAATATTAAAATATTTTATTAAGAAAAATTTGTATTTTCTTTAGAACCGCAGTTAAAATTATAATTTTATTGGTACCTATATTTCATGGCATATTATTGTACTGCACAATATGTTATACATTGAGCAAATGAATATTAGACTATCTACCTCCAGAAAATACATTTTTGTTACATTGTCCCTGCGACAGAGTGTGTGTGAATGACGTGACCAGGAATGTTCAATAGGAAGGGATGTAGTAAATAATAATCATGACTCATGAATAGATCGTAGAATATTATTCTGTCACACCTAACTTGACAATTAGAATTTAAAAGTTGGATCGAAAAATAGTAAATTTTTATTCCATAAATCTAGCCTTTTTCTTGTAATTTGGCTGAAATAAATAATTTCTTGATAAAATTACTAAATAAATACTCATAGTTGTTGGATTGTTAAGCCAATGGTGGGGAGGGCGTGGAGGGGGGACATAACACATAACGTATATCTGTGTACGTCATTGGTATCTGTCATCATATTGTGCGATATTCTTTATACGTGTGATCGAATATCATCACGACTCATGAGTAATTTATATTAAATACCTAAAACCATTATACATATAGATATTAGATAATATACAGGTATTTAGAGTTCATTGTAATACATTAATCATTATATGATATAATATGATAGAGGCGTATAGGTACTGAGTATAATAGCATATATTATAATATATTTGAATGTGTATGGTAAAATAGATTTGTTTAATGTCAAAATAGCACGCGTACCTATACATAATAAACGAGTTAGAAAAAAGATTACGTGGTATGCGGATTCAGGATACGTTATAAATACCTAAGGTTAAAAAAATGGAACGTAGTATAATATCATTATTAATAGCATTTGATAATACCTATAATAAACTGTAATACTAATGACGATTTATCAAACATAAAAAAAAAGAAATGTATCCATGCTCTTTGCTTTGTTGAAATGTTTAGATAAATATTACTAAATATTATACAATAATCATTAATACAAATATATTGTATGATTACAATAGGTATTAGATATAAATATTAAATATTGGTCATAAATATATCTTTAGTTCCAGGGAAGAAGAGTTTAAGTCATTTTCACAAAAACTATACTAAACATTTTTTTTTTTTCACTAAAAAATATATAACATTTACAATCTGTACATTAAAAAACAAATTACAATAAGCAAATAGGTGAACAAAAATAAAATATTTGACTTAGAGACGTGAAACAGGGAAACCATACAGTGATAGAACCCTTATAACTTAAAAATTATCTAAAAAATGACGGACATTTTTGGAAAATTAAGGGAAATGATTGAAAACGATTAAAAATACGTAAGAAAAATAAATACAAAATAAGCATTTCTTCATTGGGACCAAAAATTAAAATAGTTGTAAAATAAAATCATTTTCGATTACGATAAAATCATTCAGAAAGAAAATAAGAATATATTATTCGGAAATATTCTACGGTACGGCAAGGGAAATAAACCTTCATATCCCTCATAATATAGATAGGTAGACGTCATTTTATGCAATTAATAACTGACGAATATTTTTAGATGTTATTTTAATACGTCTTCGAAGTTTATACTCTAATATAACCGACGATGGTTTTAACAACTTTTATTTATTAATTGACATAAATATAGGTATAGACGGTTGAAAAAAAAATAAAACGTTTTTTAAAAGCATACCGTTTAAAACGCTTATTCGATGTTTTGATTATCAAAATACTTTCACTACCTATAGAAATAATAATGACGAAAAATATGTGCGTATAGTACCGCCTGTTAAAATATGTTATTACAGGAATATATTCGTTGTTATTGTTTATTTTGCGATCAAACCTAACCTGTATAGGCTATAGAAAATAGGTATATATATTTTTAGATATTTCTATAGGTTAGGTGGGTACATACAGGGTGATTTTTTTATCATGAACCAGCAATCATCTTAGAGGAATTTGAGTGAATTTGATTTCTGTTTTTTCTAATCATTATGGAATTGTTTAAGCTTTATTTTAAAGCCATTTTTAATTTTTCATCCTTACTCCATATACCTTAAATAAGTACATACTTTTGATTTTCAAATAGGAACTCCTGTATGTAGGTATACCTACATTAAAACTCTTTAGTTATTATTATATTAAGTTTTAATAATGGATTGTTTTTAACAATACTATAATTTCAATGACAAATTTAGGCTAAGGCAGGTTAAATAGCGTAGTTGACGTTTAGCATAAACATTTTCGGAAGGACGAAACATTTGTTTTAAATGATTTTATTTTAGATTCGGAGCGTGGCGAGGAATGTATTGGTTTTATAATCATGTTTTATATATTTTTTTTTTTTATCTGTGAGCAAGTTTTTTATCAGAAATCTTGGTCCGATATATCAAGTAAAGCGGTTTTTCTGAAAGGCAATTTCATCTAATAGGTTCTTCTTATATGTTGTTTTTTGATTTTCCAAGCGGTTTTCATAATAATTGGAAAATCATTTTTAAAATTATTATTTTTCAATTTTGTTTTTTTTATTGTAATTCAGATAAAAATATTCGTAGAGACTTAAAATTTAGACAAAAATGATAATAATTTTAAAACAATTGTGTCATTTTTGAGTTATTATTTGAGGGCATTTTTATTTTACGATTTTTTTTACATAATTTGTATTTGTGGATAAAATTGTTAGACTATACAAAAATACATCATAATTAACAATGAAATTAACAAGAGGTTCATTATTTATAAGCCGTAGTTAGTGGCCAAAAAAAAAAAAAAAATTGTTTAATGTAAGATTTTTTTTTTATAAAAATTTTAGTATTAAATTTTGACGAAAATTGTAAATGTATTACGGCTTTTCAAAACATATATAATAGAACTTCGCTCCGAATCGTTTTTGTTAGCAATAGTTTATCGTTGCGGACAAATATGAATTAAACTCCTCTTTATATCCTACCTCCTCAACCTTTCATCTATAACAGTGTCCCAACCGTCATACGAAGTCTTTTTAAATTTGTCGCGATAAAAATATAGTAACAATTGAATAATGTAGCTTCGTTTAAAATATTGTAGTTTTTAGATCCTTAATAAAATGAAGAAACTTCAGTGGTGCACAGGAGAATTTTGAAAGCACATGCAGTTTACAAATGTATATCCAGCCACCCATTTTTTTTTACATGTAAAAAAAAATGTTGTCACTTCACATCACAATTATACTCAAGAGCTCTTGAGTTAGTGTTTAGCAACGTTAGCGTTTTGTTTAAAACTATTTAATAAAATAATCAATACATGGGTGTAAACATGTATTGCTTAAAGACCCGTTTAAAGATTAATACAAATTTGAACTGTATATAATAATTAATAAGATGGCTAAAGACACACGTAGTTGTAATATTTGGTAACCTATATGGGCGCCACTAAGAAGCTTTATTATAGTTTTACAATGATGTGTTTATTTTTCCGATTGATAAAAATAATCTTATTTCCTTATTTTATACCGGTACTTGGTGAGGTTTGAATTTATCACTTAATGGTAAGTATTTCATTTGAACATTTTCAATACTTTTTCAAAAAATTGTTTTTTACAAAAAAAAAACGTGTGTCCACTGCCTTTCTCGTTGGTTACGTTGGTTATCCTACCCACAACTATTTATCTGTCTACAATAGTGATGCACTTATGGTGAAAAGTATGTCTGGCTTTTTTGGGGGGAACCGCCACAGTGAGAGTGGTTAAAAAACTAGTCTAGGGCGTCAAAAAGATAAACTGCAAGTACTTAATATAGATGATTTTGTACACATTAAGATTACATTGTCATTACCATTTTTAAACAATTATAGATATTTTATTATTTCTTAATGATAATTGTAATATTATATACCAAACATTAAATATGTATTGTATATATGGGTATTAGCTATTGAATAGAAAACCGTGTTTTGTCGAATTAATTATATAATATTTTGTATATTATTGACTGTACATTTCAGTAAAATAATGTGAAAACAATTTTCATCAAATAAAATTAGTAGTTTACACATGTTGTAACAATGTATAATATTATAATCTATAGGAGTGTATAGCATTGTTGCCTGTAGGTATAAATTCATTTTTTTTTTTTTTTTTTGCAAACAATAATGACTGTATGTACAAACGTTTTTTTTGCAACATCTTTATTATTATAAAATTATTCGTAATAATTAAGTTCAGAAAAAGAAAAAACTAACATTTTTTTTTTTTTTTTTACGCCGAGATGGAATATATATGGGAGGGGTGGATGAATTATACCTACATGTATAATTATTTTAAATCGTATTTGTATTTTATTTTTATTTAACGTGTCAATATACTTATATAATATTTAGTGTTCTTATACAAGTTAGTTTATAAGAAATATAAGTATCAAATTCAAAAGCGATTATTATTATTATATTATACTGACAAAATACGTACGTTCACAAATGAAAAAAAAAAAAACCATGAATAATATATAACGGATTCATTATATTCACGCTTACTCTTTATATTTTATATACTCATTATACAATAAATGTTGATGTTTTTCGCACGGTCAATTATTATAATATAATATTATGCGCACTACGTATAACTATGTAGGCACTGCGTAGTGTGTACTCATACAAATCGAATATTGTAATAAAAACATTTGTAAAGGTAGGATATCTTATGCAACGATGATTAAATACGATTCTGAGCAATATTCAGTTGTAAATGTTTTTAAACTGTTTTTAATTTTTGCAAACTATATTTTTTCTACTTTAGAAATGGTGCATTTATATAAATATTTCCTCTCGACCTTTGTTTATTAAATTTAGGATCTAGATGCTTACGAAGAAAGTCGTTTTTTTATTTTCTAAGTAGTTTTCGTAATAATTTGGAAAACCGGAAAAAGACGAAAAATGAAAACTGATAAATTTACGGCGTAATTATTTTATTTTAAATTTGTATGCTTTATGTTTTCTACTAGAAATATTATTCCAATAAAAAAACACCAAGTCATTTTCGTTGTTGAATTTTTAATTTAGTTGGTGAGTAAGAAAGTCGTTTTTTGATTTTCCTCGTAGTTTGTTTAATAATTTAGCAAAATCGAAAAAAAAACGTAGAAATAATAGGGAAATGTACGAAAATATAGTGCTTTATTATTTTAAATCTTGTTTTTTTGTTGTAAATTAGTTAAACATTTTCGTAAAGACTTGAAATTTTGATGAAAAATTATACTTGCTTTTTCTGGACGTGATAAATTTTTTTTTAATTTTTGAGCTATGTAGGTACCCTATGGATAAAATTGTTTGACTAAACAGATTTACTTGAATATTTAACTGGAGGTTCATTATAAATTGTACTTAGAGGTAAAAAATAATAGGAGCTTTAACATCAAATTTTGAAGACAATCGTAATTATTATTATATGTACGGACATTTAAAACATAGGTAACTGAACTTCGCTCAGAATCGTTTTTCGTTAGCAAAGTTTAATCATTGCGTAAAGGTATACATTCAATTCCCAAATCCCCACTAACAATAATTTTGAAACAATTTGCTTTTAATAAAAATAAGTAGTAAATGTAAATGTACAAATTAAAATTTAACCTTTCTTCTTATATTCACGAGCATGTTTATAGTAATAGTTTATTCTTGGAAATAATCCAGTAGACAAAATATACATTTATTTATTTCTTCAAATATACGGATATTACTCATGTATATAAAGTTAAATTGATAACATAAATAATTTTAAAATTTTTAATAAAAAAATAAAACAGCATAATAATAAAAATGTTTTACTTTATTCGACTACAAATATTCTAAAGGAAAAAATTAATTATTGATATAGGTAATTAATATTATAGCTAATTTTGAAAACGATGTATAGAATTATTAAATTAATTTGCAGTAGACATCAGGGTATTCGAGGGTGAATATTTCATATAATTTTTAAATATTTATTATTAGTAGAGCAACGATTTGTTTTAAAAATTAGTTGTGATTGTATTACAATTAAGTCGTTCTATTAATTCAGAGCAATCTACCGGGTTATTCAGTAATTTATAGAAAAACTCTTAATTTAATATTTTTGATCGATTAGATGGAAAATTGATAGAAAAAAAGCCTAAACCAATTATTATAGTCAGTTTGCGTTTTCCTGAATATGTTACACGTAAAGTATAGTAATCGTAATAAATTATTTTGTACTTTAAAATATTATGATTTTGAGTTATAGAGTTAGAGTGTTATATTAAATTCGCATATTTTGGGGAAGGGTGAACTAAAGTAAAATATAATAATTTTAGTACATGTTCATTATGGAAAACTTTACACGCACGCTTTAAAAAAAATCTAGTTTTGAAAAAACTTTATTGATAATATTTTGTACATGAGAATTAAAATTTAGTTTCGAATCAAATATGACACCAAGATCTTTTATCTTACTTACTGTGGTATAGACGGAAATTCAATATAATGATAGGTACCTATACATAAATTGAGAAATATATGTATCCAATGTTATCCAATGTTCTATGAATATTTTTAACTTGTACGATAGAAATATTGAAATCGTGTAGCCTACCCTATTAATTGTACTTAAATCCGTGGTATCCTCTATTTTGTGTTTACTGTTTAGTCAAATTTTCATTATAGGTTAACGACACTATTTGCAGTTAAATTTGTAGTGATGTGAATATCTTCATAATTTGTCCACTAGTTTTTATAGATTTTTTTTATCCATACAAAAATCAAAAAAATATATTTTTATGATAAACCATCGAATATCAAACAATTAGCTTTGTCCGTAAATAACTGCATATCTTTAATATAGTTTTAAACTACTACACTATAGAAACGACAAATATATTATCATAAGAAATGCTTATTGTTTATTCTTCTTTTTTTTCGGAGTATAAAAGCGGTCTACATACATCCAGACCTCAAGTCATCTCTATCTGATTATCCAATCGTCTCCTTAGTTGTTCCCCTATATCTTTGTTGAACTATTTCTGTTCGCCTTATTCTTGGTCTTTCGAGGAGTCTCCTCTAATTTTTTTTATTTATTTTTTTAATAATATTATATTTTATTATTTTAATATAAATAATTTACCTACACATTTTAATGACAATAATTGTATATTGAAATAAAATAGCATAATATTACCTACTTATACTCTTTTTTGACCGTCATTAATGAACTACATATATATATTATGTACAATGTATTAAGGGGACATATACACATAGTATATAGGTAATATTTGATAGCGTACTTATAGTCAAAATTATTTACCTACCTACCTATTATAATGACAAATATGTTTGAAAAAAAAAAATGATATTTTGTAAATCCTAATATTTTAAATAATACGAAAAAAATTCTAAAATGCACCTGTATATACAACTATGACAATATTAAACGTACAAACGTATGCAAACATCAAACATAAATTTGTTCGTGAACTGATTTTCTACGCTATATTTGTATTATACATCAATAGGAATTATTAATACAATGCAATCTATTTTTCGACGCATATTTTAGGAAAATACTATACAAAAATAATGATAATGCACAAAAAAATTATGCTACGATTTGCTGCAGTAGCGTATTTATGGGAGGAGGGGACTGGATATGTGGGATAGATGTCTTCCCTTGCTTTTTTTTTTTTTTTTAGGAGTGTTTTGCCACAGTGAAGTTAACGTCAAAACAGATGAAGTTTTAAATTTGTTGTGTATAACAAAACAGAAAAACTTGAATTAATTTTTATATTAATAAAATAGAGTAGTTTATATTAGTAAAATAGAGTAATAAAATAATATTCATATCAGAATATGAATATCATTATGTTCATTGTTATTAAATCTCTACATAGGATAAACTGAAATTAACACTCAACAGGCTACAATAACTAAACCTAATTATTATAAAAGATTATTTTTGGGTGTTATGAGCATTCCGAGTATTTACACATTTTTTAGGGACTATTATTAGGTTTTGGGACACCCTTCGGTCCCTTAATATTTAATATTTCAAAAGTTTATGATACCTTAGGGAAAAATTGGCTCTAAAAAATAATATTTCATACCACCTCTCTGCAAGAAAATCCTATATTCGCCTCTTTTATGCTGTGCTATATAACTTTTAGTATAGGTTATTATAAGTAGGACTAGGCATGATGTAGAGAAGATATTTTATATTTTTTGTGTCAATATCGTAACGTTAAAAGATACGAGAATGGCATAACTTCACTATATCATGTATTTAAGTATTAAATTGCAATAATTCGACAAACGTGTATAGAATCAAAATGTATTATTTTAGTAAGAGTTTTTTAATGCTTAATAAGGCACATAAACTAATCAAATTATTATAATCCAATGTTGTTATTCTTATTTGATACAAAGATATGTTGATAGAATTATCTATCTGCAGATGATAATTTATTTAATGAATCTTGTGGTTTAGAAATATTTACTTTTTCATATATTATATTTCCATTATATTGAATGAGTTTCTCAAACACAAGTATAAAAATTGCTCATACCCGTGTTGAAAAATATACAACTATCAAATACAAAAAAAAAAAAAAAAACCACTTTAGAAACTCAATATCTCGATAGAAACATATATTTTACATTTTTATATACAATATTGTTATAAACATTTGTGTATACACCACAGCGGTAGATTAAGCGATTTGTCGCCAACAAGCATAAAAGTATTTGACTTCGCTTCGCTATCGTAAGATTTTTTTAACCTAAACATAAAATAAATAAATAAAATAATTATTTTAAAATGTATGAAAAGTGGATTGGCATAAAAGATGTTTGATATAATCAATAATTGATACAAATACCACGAAGGGAAAATACGTACACAATTTAAATTATCATTTATTAATATTGTTACCATAAAAAATCGAAACTTTGAAGTGGAAAATTTTAAACACATAAAGAGAATATTGTTAAATTAAAAAAAAAAAACACAAAATATTATGCAAAATCAATTTTATTTTGAAACTTGTTATAATGATGATTCAAATTTGAACTAGACATTTTCTTTGTAATTTAAAGTACCTATGTATTACTCGTATATTTTGTGTATTGTTTCGTTAACTTTTTCCAAAAACATAAAAGATGAATTAAGTAGGTACCTACATTATGTTAATTGTTAGTGTTTTATGTACATTTTAAAATCAGTATATAAAATCATCACTATAAGATGTCGAAAAACAATCTCTAAAAAAACTATTTGGGATTAAAAAAAGTAAATTAAGTTTTTGTCTTCTTTTTTTAAAAATGGTAAGTTTGACACCCTAAAAACTCGCCACTCCAATCAACTACTTATTCTGCTTGTAAGTAAACTCAACGCTGATTTATATATTTTATTCATTCGATTCTTCGGTACATAACTATACTGTTTAGTAAAGACCTATAAGCTTTAAATTTAAAACCTTGTGTTGAAAAAACGTTTTATCTCGAAACGACTGTAATCTAGCACAAACGCCCATGTTAAATATAACATATCTTGAATGTAACTTATTGTAAACATTATCTGTAATCGAGTACCTATTAATTCATATACAAATTCTGGTTTTTTTTTCTTTTTTAATAATAAAAATATGGCATTTTTTAATTCTTGAATATCTGCCTACATAGTAAATACCGTCTCATTCAAGTGAATTAAAAATCGATATGCTAAACCTACCTATTATGTTATAATAATACTTACCTTAGTTGTTGTCTTTAATATTTAGTATTGAAATATATTTATACATAATAGCTAATTTGTTTCTCTTTTTGTGCGTGAACATGTTTTGGAACAAATTTCACAATAATTCACAATAAATACTCGTAACGATAGTGCGGGACTACTGTTCAATTTATTTTAAATTTAATTTAAATATTTTGTTGATAAATTTAAATATTTTCTATAATTTCATTTAAATTTTCCCATTGCCTTTTAAATATTATGGATTTGTGCCTTGTAGGTAATTCAAATTAAGCTTAGTAAAAAAATAATATTTTGTTTAGCATTACCTTAGTTTCAGTTTTAATAAACACTATAATTTAAAATTATATTACCTATATAATAATATAATATAAATATGTTTAGTATAATTATTATTAGGTATATCTTATGAATTGAATATACTACCCACGGTTTATATTATAATACAATCAGACTTGTGCTCAGAATTTCTTCATGGTGCAGGAGAGGGGAGGTTTATGAAGAAAAAGGAATTATAAAATAATCACATCAATTATAAGTCAGATCAAAAATTCAAAAGACAAAAATACAAATTATGATTTTTTGACCGAACATTATGGAGTCATGGTGAAGTAAACTATTGTTTTTAATTCGACACAACTAATATCTATAACTATCAATAATCTAAATGAATAAAAGACAATGCGAGAGGTTTGAACACTCTCCCCCCAACCCTTACGCACGGGCATGAATAAAATATTATATTCTAGTATTTTATATAACTTCCCTAGACAAGGTTATCACTTATATACGAGTATAAAATACAACACATGAAGTATCTAAATTATGCTTATATACCAATCTTATTAATCATTTTAAAATTTGAAATTGTACCGATTCTATGTGTGAATTATTGTTTCTATTGCGAATTAGGATAGTACTATAATACTATCTTAATTCGATTATTTCTATACAGGTACTTGTGTTTAACAATATCTGCATTATATACAGACAATGACACAGGATATACTTAGTAAGTAGTAATAATCATAAATATATTTATTTTATGCGATATTACATTGGTTTTGTACACAGATGTATGGTTTATAATTTTAAGTTATAATTTATTCTGTATACATGTATAATAGGTACATAAATTCCTATTATATGTGATGCTGCTGTGTACCTATACACATTTTTTTAACAATAATATAAAAACATAGTATCTATTGGTACTTCAGTATTATAAAATAAACGCATTCCCCACTAAAATTAAAATTACAAAATAAACATAATACTAGGTAATATATATGACCTACTAGAATAAAGTATGAAATATTATACGACAATTTAAACAGTTGGTTTGATTTATTTGTGTTTGACAAAGACGAATGGCCTATATATAGGTATTTACTATTTCTAAACAATAAAGTAAGCACATGATATTTTGACGCTTGTCACTTGTAAAGTTGTTGGTATATACGATACACCTGTATACTCTGTAGGTATAGGTGTAGGGCGTAACTAGTAATTGTGTACTTTTTAAACTATTGAGATTGAGTCATGTTTTTAATAATATTGTTTGCCTAATATGATTGATCAGAAAATTAATATTTCAGTAATATATGTATAAAATTAACATAAATTATAGCCATAATGGATAATTTAGAATCTGGAATTTTGAGAACATTTAATTTATGAGTATCACAAGGGTTATTTATACTAATTATTAAATACTTTAAATTTGGTTTTTAATAGAATCATTTCAAAAAGGTATCTGCAGTTATCTTATTTAAATAATATGTAGTTAACCTGAAAGATTTTAATTTTGAATTTATTTAATAAATAATAATATTAAAAAAAATCTTTTAATTCTTTAGGTTAAAGGTAATTTAAAATATTTATTATGATTGTACAATCACCGTTTAATTTAATCAGCGAACTTAACGGTTGTATTTCAAATTTAATGATTTGTTTGATAATTAATTAGTCTAAGATTTTCAAGGAAATATATTGATTTTACTATGATGTGTTTTTTTTGTTTTTTGTATTAATGAGTTATTCTCGAATTAAATTGAGTTGAGGAATTTCTATCAAAAATTTTCCTTCAATAAAAACTTTTTAAGATCCCTGTATAGCATTTTTGACATAGGTATTGTATTGAAAAGGTTAGGCTGATTTCTGTTGTTTTCTTAATAAACGGAAAAAACCGGTAATTTTTGTTGATTTTTGGGTTACCTTGGTAAGAAGGGAAAAAATATGATTAATAATATCTTACTCAGAAAAGTTTTTCATTAGACATGGTTTGTCGTTTCGTACAGATACCAATTAACTCTATGTATACCTCTTCCAAATTCTCTCCTAAAATAGTGCATACATCCATCAATATCATCAGACTGTTTACATTAAAAAATTTACAAAAAATCACCTTGGTAGTTTGAGTATATAAAAAAAAAAATCAATATAAAACTACTCGATTAAAATAATTTCTCTTTATATATTGGGGAAACTATACATGAGTATATAGGTATCAGATTTCCATGTAGGTAGTGAAATCGGTGAAGCGGCACACTAATGGAACTGTCACGAAGAAAAATAACAAAAAAAAGATTTTATTATAAAAGTACCAATAATTTCTCTGGGGATTGAACACGATAATAGAATTAATTATTATATAGACAATATATACATAAATTATTCGGAAAAAAAGATTTTAGAAATTTTAATTAAAATTACAGTATTATATTATTATTTTTACACAGATATTAATTATTATAAACAGTTCAATAGTTTTAAAACAAAATAATATTTGTGTATCAAAAATATAATCATAGGTAAACGTCATAATAATGTAGTGTGCAGATACATTAAAGGGTCTCCCATATTATGTGTATTTCGCTATCACATAGAAAGGACTATCCAGAATTTTATGATAAGATAAATAAATCTATTTTTTGTTAAAATCATATATTTTATTTTCAAAATTTAGTTTGAATTATAGAATATTTGAAGACGAAATTCAATATGTCTTACACAGCTTCTCTAATAGAAGGATAATATTATATAAATATATTATACCTAAAAGTTTACCAATTAATTGGTTTTCAAGAAAGAACCGAAAAATTATGCTTTTAAACTTTAATAAAACCATATTAACGTAAATTCGGAACAATATACCCGTAGCAAGTTTGCTCTTGTGAGCGGGCTTTTTCCAAGATGACTATTGTGAAATCTTAACTCAGAAGTACTACTAGTACAATTTACAGGAACGTCTTGATGATTTTCTTACGATGATATTTATCTAACGGAAAAATTGCCTGAGACATCAATACCGAAAAGTTATACCTTCATGAATTTAAAATGCATGATTATACAAAGATAGTTTACAACACCGGTTGATTGTTGCAGTAGGTTAGGATATTGTTCAAATAGAATTACGCGCATATTTTAGTAATATGGTTGAATAAAATAATAACTATTTATAATAAATATTTTATGTTTTGATGACTACCTATATAATTACGTATTCAAACATAATATGCACTGCAGGCCAATGGGTATGGGCGATCCCTCGCTCCTGCAAAATCGTTCCAGTAGGTTAGTGCTATAATATAATATTAGTATACATCATATCTCATCATATACCTAGCTATTACACCGTGTACTTGTACTGTATAAAATGATAAAAAAAAAAATACGCGATTATTTTTAATATTATATTATTATATCAAACGTGCAACCTGTAATAATAAAATATATATATAAAAACTTTTGTTTTTTGTTTTTATATATTATTATACAAAGAATGGAAATATTATAAAACGCACGAAAATATAATGCAGTGAATTTTAAAATCACGAAACTGACTTTGCGAATTATATTTCCACTGTATAGGTACCTAATATAGAGGTATATAGGTACGAATAACACGCGAGTTTTACAAGGGAGAATGTATTTTATTACTCTCTCGTGAACTAAATATTTTGTGTACAGTCTATACACTATACAGTCATAATATTGTTATTATACTGGCTCTGAAATTTACCTACCTGCATATTAATGAGTATTAGGCATATTATATGTCCTACAGTATAAAAATCGGTATGCAGTTTTTAATAAATACATGTGTTTGCGTTGGTTATGACTTATGAAAAAAAATGACACAAAAACGCGAATATTTTAAAGTTAAATGCGACCATAATATACATCTGTACAGAATGATTAAAAATGTTCTGTTAAAAAAAAATATATTTCACGCTATATTATAATACTTACACATTATGCTTAATTTAGAAAAAAAAAGTGTATATATTTGAAATATTTAATGATATATTGATTCGATTATCTGCTGTACACAGATCTAAATATAACCAATTATCCGCTTGTAATTACTATGTTTTTACCACTAACCAACTCAATGGTGTTTTCGGAGATTTTTAAACGGGGGAGAAACAAAAAAAATATATAACTTATAAATTCTCAATAGATATTATAATTTATTAATATTTTACAATAAGCTGCAGTAAGTGGTGAAATTTATTTACTTTTAAAATCACAATTGTACATTTTAAATTTTTTAAAAAAAATTAAAATTTTGAAATAAATTTTAAACGGTTGTATTTGAGGCAATTTTTGAGATAGGAAAAATAGTATCTATAAGTCAAATTTGATTGAAAAAATATATACATGATTATTAGAATCCGGTGTTAAAAATAGTGATTTTAAATTTAGAAGATGTAAGTTTTATTGCAAATCTGTTCACCGTAGAAGTCAAAATGTTGAAAATATGTTCAACATTATGCGTATTTCGGTACCCCTGATATTCCTAAATGAACCCCGTTTTAATCTAAATCCATATGGCTGAAATAGTAGTGAAATATATTTTGCGTGACAATTGAAGCAAAGCACGCTGTAAATAAGAAATATTTTAAAAGCTGTTTTGGTTATATACAGGGGTTTTTTTTATCGCGAAACAGCGTGGCCAGTTTGACCATGCTCGTATTTATTTAAACGACGAATTGTAATGTTCTCTATCGTTACGACACAGGTCAATAATAATTATAATTAATAAATAAAGAGCTGGGGACGTGAGCAGTGAGCCACTATTGTAGGAAGTTGGGAAGTTAGAATACATAATGTTATTTAATTTATATTTGGAAGCAACGATTAACTATTGCTCAAAAAAATAATTTGGAAGAAGTTCGGTTAAACATTTTTTAAAAGACCGTAAATAAAAAAAAAACTACGTTACACTCAATTTTTTTTTTTTTGACCACTAAGTATGTCTTATAATGAATCCCCTTTACATTTTCAAACATATCTGTTTAGTCCAGTGATTCTCAAACTCGTTAATTCTCCTCCCTATGTGGATGTTCAAAAATCTCGCTCACCTCCCTCCTAACAACATAATAATAAGAAAAAAAAAGTGATCAACAAAAAGATTTGTACGAGGACAAAATTAAAGCTACGCCATAAATTCAGCCATCCAAGAAACTGCCCCTGCCCCTGTCGCCCCCTACTTAAATACAGCCCTGCTTATAGCCTCACTCGAAATTGGAAAAATATTGCTGGTAGAAAACATTGTTTGCAAAAATTAAAAACAATGAAATCGGATACACCGTAAATATGTGCCGTGTTACCTATAATTTTCTTTTTTTTATTAAACTTCTTGGAAAATCAAAAAATTACCTTCCCAATTTCCTTTCGGAAAAATCACTTGCACTCTATGTTACATCGTAGCAATATTTCTGGTAAAAAAGTTGTTAGAGATACAAGAAAAAAAAGAAATAAGGAAATACACATCGAAGTAAAACCAATAAGATTGCACACGCTACGGTCCAAATCGGAAACAGTCCGTCAACGAGTCGACGGAGAATCGATCACGTGGGGGGGGGGGGAGATTGTGATGAAACGTGTAACCGAACACGTGGCGTTGAACGTGAAAATAAATAAAAGAAAAAAAAAACCTGACAAGTCGCCGCCGATCACCGCGGGGACTCCGGGAATTCACGCTGTAGTTCTCGCGGACCGCGGTCTTACGCCTGAGCCCCTGGTACGGTATTTCGGTCGGCGTGCGCGCGTCTCCGGCGATGACCTCCTCGGCGACCGGACGCGGGCCGCACCGGCGCCAGTGCACCGTCACCGGACGCTCGCGGACTCTTGCGACGGCGGCACGAAACCGCGATCATGTACCAGGGTCTCATGCCGAACGCTGCCGTCCGCGGCTGGACGAGTATCTCGGTGTCCCCGCACTCCCGAGCCGCTTATATTCGCATGAGTTCCTGATACCGAATGGCATTCATTCGGGCGCCAGGCGTTTGGAGTCACCGTCTGACAGTCGGTGACGGATTTTTTTTTTTATGCTCGTAATGTCTAAAGGGTTAATTTTGTAAACACGATTTCTCTTTCTTTTTACTTCGGACGAATCTGGAATAATAATGGCATCGTCGGATATATATATATATATATACACGTTTTGTCCACAGTTGAAAGAATCAGTAAAAGGAGTATTAATAACGTGCATTTAATTTAGGTTTTTTTTTCTTTAAAAAGACGTAAAAATAATAATTCTAGCGTTTTCGAGCCATTGTTTTTAAAATATTATGAATCACACGATACGTTCACACACACGCAAGCCCGGATTTAGACTTTCAGGGGTCAATGTGTGGGTTCCTACCAATGAAAACAACTTTTTAAAATAATAAAACAAATTTAAACCATTTAATTAAGTATAATAAAAATAAAATCAAGTTCGTATTTCATGTAAGTCTTTTTTCTTACTTTTTGTGTAGCAAATGCTTTTAAGGTTTTATTAAAGCTTAAATTTTGTAGAATATAATTTTCTGTAGACAATATCATTAATGATGACAGACTATTTTGAGTTTGTGAAAATCTATTTTTATTTATAATTTTGGACAACTTCGAAAATGCTCTCTCTGTACAAGTAGCAACAACTAATAATGCAGTGTATAGTGTAGACAGCAGACTGCTGTAATCAGTAGGTATCTGTGTTCTGAGTACCTATGATGGTCACATACTCACGTAAACAAATTTTCCAAATAATTCTACTTTTAAATACAGCGATAACAAAATATACCCCCATTCCCAACACACACAAACCTGGCCATATGCCCCACTTACCACGCCCGTGGTGGTTAACAAGGTAGCCGGGTTGTTAGGGCAGGCCTGTTAATTCATACACGAAAAAATACAAATACAAATACTCTTGTGCACTATAAAATTTACAAATTACCACTCAATATAATTTTAAGCCGAGAAGTCTATGAGTCCTTTACATACGTGGACCCCGGGAACGTGCCCCCCCCCCCTTAATCCAGGCTTGCACACACGACTAGGTTACTCAGCGTACTAAATGTATTTATGTTTTCCAATATATTATTATTAGGGCTGTGCATTTAATGCAGTGAAAAACTTTTAAAATTACATTGAAAATGCACAAAAAAATACTATAAAACATACATTTAAAATCTCAAAGAATGCAATATAAAATTTAATTTTTATATTTATTTTGATATTACTTATGTTACTAATATCGATAAATCGCAAGCCCATTAATAACTAATTTAAGCAATATTACCTTATTTTATCGAATCTTTATCTTTACTTAATCCGTATATAGCTTGTGTAAAATATTATTTTATAAAACATAAATTTTACGTCTATATAGCATGTGTAAAACAAAAAATATGAATTGACGGAATTTGATTAAAAATATCGGAAAATGAACTAAAAAAGAAAATATGACTTAAAACGTCCAAAAAAAACCAAAATAGTTGTTAAGTTTAAGGTGTAAGTAATAAGGTTAAAATAATATTATAAATTAACACAAATAATCGTTTGTTTTTTGGGCAAATTATTTTTAATCAATATATTTTTGAAATATTTTGTGCTAATATCCTTGTGATTTTAGGTGATCCCAGGGTTATATATTGGTAGTTTTAGAGATTCAAAAGATGTTGCTCAGTTAGAAAGTAATCAAATAACTCACATAGTTTCCGTAATGGACGTACCAAAGAAAATTCATCAAGTAGCCACCTATTTTTTTCTTATAATAAAATTAAAAAAAGTTTTTAAATATAAACTTGCGTGTATTTTAGGATAAAAACTACTTGTGCATTGAAGCTACCGATAGTCCCGAACAAAATCTAATACAATATTTTCAAATATGCAACAATTTTATTCACAAAGCTCGCCTTAAAAGTGAAAATGTTTTAATTCATTGGTAATAAATTAGTAATTTCTTAATACATTCTAATGAAATTATTATTATTTTTTTTTTAGTTTGGCTGGGATGTCAAGGAGTGTAACAATAGCTGCTGCTTACATTATGTCAGTTACTACTATTAAATTAAAACACGTTCTTCGACTTTTGAAAGCATGTCGATCGATTGCCTGTCCTAACGAAGGATTCAATAAACAACTCCAATATTTTGAGTGCAATTATTTATTAGAAGTAAGTAGCTAACTATTTATAGTAAAATCACTATTTTTGGTAAATGATCAAAATAAAAATGGAATAAATTCAATAAAAAAAAATGACGGACATACTTTACTAGTGGGTGCACTGTGCAACCACGGTTGTAGGTGGAAAGTAGGGAAGGTAGGATACAGACGAGAATTTATTGTATATCTGTAAGTAACGATAAACCATTGTTAACAAAAAAACAATTCTGAGCAAAATTCAATATTGATAGTGTTGCTTTGTCAACATTAATATATATTTCATATTATTGTAAAATGATTACAATAATGCGCGTTTCCATGACGATTGCTTAAAAAATATTAAAATAATAAAAACTTAACAATAACAAAAAATAAATAAAAACGGTTGCCAATGACTTTATTTTTAATTTTTCAATTTTTTTCAACCTATAGAATCAGGTTTTCCTCATTATCCCAAATATTAATGAGAATTTCATAAAATGACCTTTCTAAAGTACCACTCAGAGAGCATTTCATTTCGGAAAAGGTGCTATACTTGATATTCAGAGTAATTTTTCTGGTAGAACATATTCAGATAAAAAAAATAAAAAAATAAAATAATAAAGATCATTGTAAAACCAATACTCTCCTTTTTCTACTCAGAATCTAAAATATATATATATGCATATAATGTATTAACTTTACAGAAAATTAGATACAATTATTTCATTATTTGTAATATTATTTAGAAATTCATGTATTATAATATGATAATAATAATAAAACTACCTAGTTTTTATTGTTATTATTTGATACAATATTACAGGTTGACAATTATTACCTACCATGTTAAATTTTAAAATGTTGGCATTATAGTAATATAGTAAAATATATAAAGTTAAATAAATACCTACATTAAATATAGCTGCTAATAACAATGTGTATTAAATAATTATTATACATATTAAAGAGAGATAAGTACATAGGCACTCACCTCACTTCAGAAACCAGTAGTTATTATGAATAATATGAATTATTCATTACAAAATTAAAAATCATTCTGATTAGAGCTTAGAATTAAAACTATTACTTTTTTTAAAAATTTTATTTCAACATGTATTAACTTGGAAATTGTAAAAATTATGCTTTTCCAGAACAAACTATTTATTTCCTAGCCAAAATTCAAAATGTTTTGCTTAAATGAATTTCTACTTAAAATGTAACACCACACAGTGTGTACCACAATGTTCAACGGATTGTTCTAGAGCTCTTAATATTAAATATTTTTCAATTTTTTTTTTTTTTTTTTATCGTTATTTCTTTAGTATCAAATAGGAAAAAAAAATTTAAATATTCAATATTAATAACTCTAGAAAAATTTGTTGAATATGGTTGGATATACTGTATGTGTAAAAAAAATTATAAACAATAACTTTGTCATATATTCTATGTTAATTAAATGTTAAATAAATCTACATAAACATGTAGAAATTGTTAGAATAATAGTATTCAAAAAACAGATCAAATAATTTTAAAGTGCATTTACATATCAAAAAATCATAAATTTAACTATTTTGAAATTTACATTAAGTAATTATAGATATTTAAAAATGATCCCAATAATTTGTTTGTTACTAAAATTTCACCAATATCAAAATATTAAAAATTTTTGACTAAATATAAAAGCAACAAAATCATTTTACAATTTTAATTATTTTTACTTGGTTTCAGGAAAGAAACAGACTAAAATTGATCAGTAATTCCAATAATCAACTAACAGCAGATGAAGAATATTGTAAGAAAATCATTCACAGTGGAGAAGATCACAAAAAATAATAAATATACATTTTTATATTTAAATCAATAATTTATGATAAATAAAACAATCAATATAATTTTAGAATAAATACTTAATAATACACTTTTTAAATATAAACAGTTATTTAAATTTAATTAAATAAAATGGAAGACCAATCTCAAAAATTTTTTTTTTTAAAATGATAAATAGTAGGCTAATAATAGGCATTATATTATTTTTTTAAAACTTTTTTTAGGTTTAATAGAAATAATACTTTTACATTAATCACTAGATCTAATTATTCTTCGAATGCCCCGCCCTGGAGCTTTTGGTTTACTGAATTTTGGTTTATCTGATTCTTTTTCTGGATATAATTCATCTAATAGATACTTTTCGTTAATGACATCGTCATTATCTATTTCCAACTATAAACATAATGTATTACTATATAGTTTATTTATAAAATAAAATAATAAATTATTACTTTTTTATTAATTTTTAATTTATATAGGTTTTCTAACTCTTCGATAAATGGTGATTTGCAACTGGAATATAACATCCTCACTTTTATAGGGCACGAATACCCTGGCATCGAGTAAATGAAAACTAAAAAATATAAAACAAATAATAATTATACACTTTCAATACATTTTCTATGCATACATTAATATTTCAATTTCAACTATTATATGCAATAAGTTTAAAATATTTTGATTACATGTTAATTTATAATAATAGTACAAATTATTAATATTGACTATATTTATGTAAAAAATACAAAGTGTTTCATCGATATTTTCTTTAATTAAGTAGTAAGAGTGATATAAACAGTGTAGTACAATTTAAATCAAAACATATTATTTGTAGGGCACTTGTATGTTAAGCATAGGCGTATTAAATTCTAAATTATGTACTTATAATAAGTTAGTTTTATTATATGTCTGCAATTCTGTTGAATTATTAGCTAAGTTATTTTTAACCCTAAAAATGTACATAACAATTTAAGAAACAACATATATGTTATTATATGTATGTATGTATGTATATAAATACTTCACAATTTGTAAATTGTAAAACCTTAAGTTTTAATAAAATATCTCATGTTATAATACAAGTTAAGTGAAAAAAATATTTTAATTTAAATTGTATACACTTTGTTAAGAACAATGTTTAATTTAATTTTAACTGCAAAAATGTAACCCACAAATAATCTGCAAACGTATAATACAATGTTAATTATCACTCCACTATTGAACATTCTTTTAAAATTAATACCCATTGATAAATATTCAAAGATATATCAAGTTGTTATCAAAACTAAATTTTGGTTTTGAGTATAATAAGAGGGAACTAATTATTTTGAAAATTAACATATTTTTATTTATATATTTAAAATCATTAAAAATAACACATTATAAATTAGTAAATATTATGATATAATGAGTGGTGTGTTTAAAAATTATTTATCTTTATATTTTCTATATAAATTAATTTTCTAATAATTATTATTCAAATGAACTTACAAACAGAATTGGTTTGGTTACCATTTCTTTTGTGTTGATACTTATAAAGATGATATCTAGCATCAGTTTTAGGAACTTGGTCATTGAGATTATTCACAGATATATAGTCTGAAATAGCTAATTCAATACTCTCTTTTGTTATATCTAATAAAAGAAAAATATTAAAATTGTATTAATATTACATTTTAACAAAACAAAAAATTGATGATTATTTATACCTAAATAAAACTGTACATAATTTATTTCACTACTATCTACAAATGTAGAAAGTGCTTTCACAGCGTCAACAGACATAGGGAATTTGATACCAGATACTGTCTGTGAACGACTATCTATAGATACAGATGTGCTATGGCCAACCTCAGCTTTTCGTAGTTCAGCTATTTCTTCTTCACGTATTGTTAAAGGCACTGGTGACTTTTGAGATAGTTGACTTTGTTCCAAACCGCTAAGAGTAACATCACTCTATAAAATTAAAAAATAAATCTTAATATTATTTAAACGTAAATAATGTAATTATATAAATTTAATCCTTTCATCACCAAAATAGTTCCATGAAGTTCTTCTTTAATTTTAGCACTACCGAATTCTTGTTTAAGTGTAGCTTTTGTAGACGCATACAACATTTTTTGTCGAATGGGTGCTATATCTGGACACCAACTTACAAGTAGCCAATCATAATTTTTAGTGTCACTTTTTATATCAAATCTGAATATTTAAATTTTTTTTTTAAAGTTGATTTACAATGACATTAAATTATTGTAGAGAAATATTAATCAATTTACCTATACAATATGTAACAAGGTATTTCTGGAAGTATGAAATGTTTGATAACATTTTCGAAATCATCTTTCCACGATTTATGATATTTTTCATGACCAGATAAAGCAAGTTCTTCTAAAATAATTAATTTAGATTCACAATTAATAAATTGTATAATATAAAATTATTTACTATGCCTTTTATCCAATATCATAATTTTAATAATTTTCTTTTTTTTAATTCTATGACTATCAAATTTATTGATACTTCTGAGTTGACACATGAATTTCATAATTATTAAATTCCCATGACTTAAAAAAAGTGAAAGTAAATTTGGTAATGGTCCAAAGAAATATTTAAATGTTAAAATTAAAAAAAAATTATAACAATTTAATTCAGTACTTATTAATATATTAGTCCAAAATAAATTTTAAAACAAATGTTAGGTCATATGCTTAACTTTAGTTATTAGATAATCTATGAATTTAGCATTATGAGTAATAATAATAAAAATTGGATTAACGCCAATATAAAAAATAATAGTCGAGATACTTGATACATTTATAAAGGTAACATTTTTTAAATCTTTTATATTAATGATATTTTATAGAAGAAATAGTTACACTTAACTATACTATTATACTTAAAAGTAAAACAATTATTAGTTGAGGTCTGGCAAAAAAATGTCAAAATATCAAAAAACACCAAATATATATTTTCCCCGATATGCGCACAGACCCTGTCTGACCAATATCCCACATTTGAATTTTTCGATTTTTCCTTTTATTGCCAGCATAAGACTAGTTTAGAGGTGAGTGTTTGCGGATTTGAATAAATTGTATTATTCACAGAAACTGTCTGCTTCTCAGGGTCAAAAATAAACTTGAAAATATGGAGAAATCTTATAGCAGTTTTCTATTAATATAGTGACATCATAAAATGCCAACATACAGAATATCGATACTTCAATTTTTTAACTCTTTTTAATGGTATGGCTTATAGGTAGGGTAACTAATAAGTGTTAATATTTTGGATATTTGTATAAGAAATTAGAAATTCCGACTACAGAACATTGATGATGTAATTAAGGGGAATGGGAAATATACAGGTGATTTTTCAATTCTTTGACAACAAGAGACAGACTTTCAGAGATCAACATTTTTCAAAGACTGTGAATGTGTACTTTTAAACCAGTTATACCTCTGCGGGAAATAGGAAAAATCGAAAATTTAATCATGGAACATTTGCAAGACAAGGGACAGGGAAAATATTTTGATATTTTTTTGTTTAATCGAATGAACAATACCCAAGCACATAAGTACTTGTAATATTTTATCACTTGGTGGAGTGTTCTAAATTTGATTATTTCACTTATATATCTATTTAAAAAAATTACTTTCAACTAACCATCTACAATGGATACTTTGATGGCCCGTATACTTTTGTCAGAAGCAGCTTTGCTGAAGAATTTTTTTAATGCATCATTTGCTGAAACGAAACGAACACAATTATATTAAACATTGTTTTGTTTTGTTCGATTCATAGTTTCGTGTAAGATTACGTTAATTTCAGAGAAGGGTAACAGTTAGGTACCTTTGATTCCAGTTTGATGAGACATTTTTGCACCGAACTAAGAAAATAAATTGCGAAACTCTGTTGAATACACAAAAAACGCATGAAATAGTTCACAATAAATCGTTGCCGTCGTTGTATCGTCAATTGGATTAATCAACGAAACGACGATAACAGAAATTGAGTAGTGAAGTGTTTTTCTGTGTAATCTGGATAGATAATTGACAATTATTAATAAACAATATTATAAAAATGCTATACAAAAAAATATAAGACGATAAAAGTCCCGTAATGATGACGAGTGACGGCCGTGATAAGAAGTGTGATAAGAGAATCTTTGGCAACGTGTGAAACGAAGTTTCTCGACCAATCCTTTGTGTTTTGTACCGAACTCGTTTCCCGCCCAATGCACATCGTTCTCCCGCCCAGTCCGCCATATTATTCATGTTGTCGTTTGTTTACCATTTTATATCCGTTCATCAGTTGACGTAAACCGTTTATTTTGTTTTTGTAAATCCACCTTTAATTGATTCCCGTCGGTCGCGACTTTATTATTATTAATTTTTATTTGTATCCAATGTGGTATGTAGCGATGTGTTTTGTTGCCGTAAAGGTCGTACGTGTGTTCGTCTGAGTGCAAAACCAAAAACTACATCCCGTTATCATCTATTTGGGAATTCTACTGACTGGCAAGTAAATTATACCTAGATTTTACTTTTTGAATTTATTTTACAAGAACCAGTTGAATACAACAAATAATTATGTTTTTAGATATTTAATACGGTATTCGTTTCCCAGTCGTCATGTTTTATTCACATTTCTCGTTGTCCAAGAAAGGGCCTCTTGCCCGTATTTGGTTAGCAGCCCATTGGGATAAGAAGTTGACCAAAGCCCAAGTATTTGAAACTAATATTGAAACTTCTGTTGATGGAATATTACAGCCAAAGGTACAAATCAACCTATTATCCTATAATGTTATTTAATTTATGAATATTTCATAAAAATTATCGATTGTTGGATTTTAATAGGTGAAAATGGCACTTCGGACGTCTGGACATCTTTTATTGGGTGTGGTCCGAATTTATTCTCGAAAAGCTAAATACTTGTTAGCTGATTGTAATGAAGCATTTGTTAAAATTAAAATGGCTTTTCGGCCGGGTATGGTTGATTTGCCTGAAGACAATCATATAGCAGCAGCCAATGCTATAACACTGCCAGAAGTATTTCATGATTTTGATACAGCAATGCCTGATCTAAAGTAATTATATTTACTATACCTAGTAATTGTTTTTAAAATAAACCTGTTTTTTTTTTCTAGTGATGTTGACATTGAAGCTCAATTCAGTCTTAATCAATCTAGAGCCGAAGAAATTACATTACACGAAGATTATAATATGAGTTCTATGGCATCTAAAAACACTGGTTTCGATCAAGGATTTGGATTCTCAGAGGTTGAAAATTCTGATATACTTCGTCATGGAATTGAACATTCTTTGCTGTTTAGTGAAGGTGTTGACCATTTAATGGATCGTGATAAGGAACCTATAGCTTCTACCTCTACTGGATCTGGAATCTTAAGTCAAAATAGTTTGGGAATAGATGCTCCAATTAGAGATGATGGTTTTGGTGGTAATATTGGTCAAGTTATCACAGACAACTTTTTTCAAGCTGGAGGTTTATTTGATGATGTACCTGCTGCACCCATGGAAGTACCAGATGGTCAACCTCCTGTCTCTCCCCCTTTCAATACACCTATTCGGAATGATGATGATGATGATCACTTTATGCCTCCTAGTCCGGGCAGGCAAAGTTCAGACGATGAAGGTTCAAGGCCAGCTTCACCAGTCAATTTACCATTCCCTAATGCTGGTGCATTAGGTCTTATACCATCTCCAGACCGAGATCAAACATTGATGCCTCCACCAGATATAGACATGCATGACATGCATGATATACACGATATACAAGCCTCTGAAGAACCTGAGCCATTAAATGAACAGAATGCTTCTGTAGATCAAACAACTTTAGTACAAAATGAGGAAGAAAGTTTTGCATTGGCTCCAGTAGACGCTAGTGCATTAAGAGGTTTACCAAAGACAAAAAGAAAGCGTAAACTTATTGTAGATGAAGTAAAAAATATTTCGGGCGAAGAAATGAAAGCGCAATTAAGTGACACAACAGATATTGTGATAACATTAGATTTAGCACCACCTACTAAAAGATTAATGCATTGGAAAGAAACTGGTGGTGTAGAAAAATTATTCGCTCTTCCAGGAAAAACTATACCAGCGATACCATTAGCTAAAGTAAATTTACCCAATTGTTTTGTGTTATTTGTTTAATTATAAATTTTTAATATAATATTTATTTTTATATGGTTTACATTAAAAATATTATGTTGTATTTTAGAACTACCAAAGACATTTAACTGCAAAAACATTGACTAATGAAGAATTAGAAGGCGATGGTGTTGAAGGAGATGAAGACAATGCATTACCAGCAATAGCAGGTCCATTACCTGCACGACGTGGCCGTAAAAGAAAAATACCGTTAGAAGATGAAAATCAAGGACCTGCCAAAAAAGATGTTTTGCCACCTATTCCAGAAGTACCTTCTCAAGTTGTGAGTATATTTTGTCAACTAGTTATATTTAGGTTTATATAACCAATTTTATAATTACTTAATAGTTATCGCCACTACCTAACCAAATAATTGTTTGGTAATAAATAACAATTCAGTTATTGGGACTACCACAGTAACGAGACGTTAAAGATTTTAAGTGGTTGTTATTATTAATATCAGTTTTTCTATCTATAATACATTTTTATTTTATCCTGTTACCTATTGAGGGTTATATTTGATTAAAATTGTCTAAATGAGCGCAGCGAAAAAAAAGAAAGAAAGGTAGTTGCGATAACCAATAAGTACCAATTTTACTATTTTAAACTAAAATGATGTATGTATAAATTCATAGTGTAAATTTGTGTATTTAAATTCAATAATTTCTTACTGTTATAGTCAATGAATTGAATTAGATAATGTATTTCACTTTGGTTTTTATTAGGAAATTATGGAAGTTGATACTCCTGCACCTGTATTGGTTGCACCTCCTACTCCAGCTATTCCTGAAGAAATTGAACATGTTGAAAACAATCCACAAAATCCTGTTGAACTACAACCAATAACATCACCATTAAATAATAGTGGACTAATGTTACCACCCGATGAAATACCGCCAATCAAGTCAAATGAACCAATTAATAATGAAAACCAGGTATTTTCTAACTATTTAAAAACTATATTTTTATTTGAAACCTTAACATGTTTAGAAAAAATTAATTTGTCGTTAAAATTATTTTTCATTCTTAGTATAGATTTTTTGATAATTTAACTTTTCAAAAATTATTTTAATAATGAATATGTATTCTGATTTTTAATTTACTTTATAAGTAATACAAATAACTCAAAATGATTTTCATGTAGTGTCTCAATATATTATTTGTATATATATAAAAAAAAACTAAATATATTTCATTAATATTTATGTTATGTTTCACATAATATGTTTAGTCTATAAATCCATTTGATGAACTACGACCACCAACACCAGTTGATTCATCAGTAGTAGATACATCAATAGTAAATAATCAGTCATTACCAGAACCAGAATTACAAAATATGGGATACGATAATCATATAAACCAAGTGAGTAATCTAAATAATGCATAACTGAATTTATATAAAATATAGCATTATATATATATTTATATTTTAATGTTGCGTAGTAATTCTACAGGTGTACTCTCAGAATTTAAAAATGATTGCAGTAGTTTTTATAAGTGTGTCTATTATGTAATGCATTCTTCTTTTTTAGTCTGCTGATTTCAATCAAGTCGTAATGGACAATATGGGTTATGATGGTCATCATAATGCTCCTGTCACACCAGGCTTACCATCACCCAGAGGCGGTGCAACACCATGGCGAGACCAAGATTATGATTATCCTGCGTCTGTTGGACCTGTAAGACAAGTTATATTATTAAATAATGTATGCATTTTCTCTTGTTTACTATTAATATTATATTTAGGTGGAAGAGCAGCAGGCTCCACATGAAACTAATGAACAATATGAAGAACGAGTAATGAACAAAAGGGCTAATCAGTTGTATCATACAATAAAAACAAGGTTTGCTAAAAAGGATACACTTTTGTTTGATGATCTCACTTATAGAAATCGAAGAAAAGAGGTATATTATTTTATTCACATTAAATAGTAATTAATAAACACAGTTTAATAATTTAAAAAATAAAAATAACTATTATAAATATCTTTTATGTTAAATATTGATAGAAGGGGAAGAAACAATTAGTAATTTATAATTTGATGTTACAGGCAGCTCAGAAGTTTTATTCTGTTCTGGTACTAAAGAAGTACAAAGTATTGGAGCTTATTCAACCAGCACCATACGACCCCATTGAGTTGGTAAAAGGTGTATGTTTTACTGACCCTAAGCTGTAAATATTTTGTACATTGTACTTGGAAATTATTTAAATTGTATTACTGTTATCATAGCGGTATTTTATTCAAAATATATTTGCCGAGTACAACCCACTATACGCTTTATGTAAACAAATGAAAATATTTTTAAAATGTTTTTTGATAGAAAAATTAGGTGTAATATTAATATATATATTAAATTGAGGGATTATTGTTCATATACATTATTTTTGTTAGTATTAATTTGATTGGTGTACATGAGGTCAAATTAATATTTATTTTTATTTATTTTGTCCTCCGATTATTTGTTTGTTGTAATAATAATTTGTAATGTATACTTTCACCGTTTTTATAGTATTAAATAGAGTATAAATAATTATAATCATGGACAAATATTGTCACATTTTATCAGAGATTATGATATTATATTATTGCTATAACTTAACTCTGATTAAGTGTTAATCCATGATTTTAATTTTAAAATGTTATAATTGACTCTGCAGATCATCAGTCTCAGATATATTTTGTTTTAAAACTTTTTTAATGAAATGTTTTAAGTCTATAACACTAAACATATAATATATATATATATACATAAATTATTTATGTTAAGTTAACCGTTTTAAATTAAATTATAATTATTAATAACAAATTTTGTAAATTTGAACATTTGAATAACCGAGCCATTTTATATTGACATTTAAGTTCCAATTACAACATGTTTCGATTAGTTGCAATTTTGCAATTTGATTTTCAAACTGAACAGTACAGATCATGTTCGGTTCGGTTCGTAAATCAAACAAATTGTAACATCACTAGTAAAAGGAGCTAAAGTAAATATCAGCCTTAATTTTATTTTTATTATCTATTCATTAATTTGTGATAATTTGACTATTAACTATATGGTACAAGAGAATGTCATTAATGAGGTGACAGGTTAAGCAAGTGTTCTTCTAACTTTTGAGGATTGTATTTAAAATAAAAAAAAAAAAAAAATGTATTTATAAATCAAGTATATTTTCTTAATGATCAAATTTGTGTATCCCCGTTTAGATTTATATTATAAACTTAATTACTTGGAACTAATCATTTCATTTGTCATAAGTTATAATGTTTCAAAAATATGTCAAACAATGATTTTAAATTTAAGGCATTATAAGACCACTTTTTACAAGAATTATTTTTATTTCAATTCTATTCACATTTAAACTTAATTATATATTTTTTTCTAAGAATTATTTTTAAGTGTCACCTTGTAATTTTTTTGAAAATAACATGAAAACTGTTACCTTTTAACTTCATTTAAACCATTTATTGCAATTTAAAATGTTTTTTATTTCCACTTATTATCGAAAAATGTTAAAATAAAAGAATTTAAAATATCAAACATTTGGTTTACAAATAATATTAAATTACCAGAATGTTTGGAGGAAGAAATTAATCTTATTTTTTTTTATGGCTTGATGGGGAATAGACTTGAGTTTATTTGGTTGATAGTGACATTCAGTTATTTTATTATAGTTTTAATTTGTAATTATTAGTTAAAGAAGATACTTAATCTAGGTAGGTACATGAATTATGTTATATTAAAGTTGTTTTATTTTTTTAAATCCAACACTGTTCTTCATTCGCACCTAACAGTAGTGAACGCAGGGGAGGACTTTAAGGGTTTAAACCTCTAAAAAAAATAAATACCATTTAATTTATATTTAAATTTTTATATAATAAATTGATCTAAAACAATAAAAATGTCAAATGTGATGTATTTTCTGCAATGCCCTCCCCTAAAAATTTTTTTGCGTTCACCTCTGGTACCTTATAACTTATCTCTTATTTTAATACATAATTTTGATTGCAACTAATTAAACTTGTAATAATATTATGTATCTACAGCACATATTTACAGAAATAGAAATTATAAAAGATAATTTTGCAGAAATTCTACAGACATGTTTTGGTTCGCCTCTAAAGGTTTTACATATTGGTTAAATTGATAATTTCTTCAACAATCTAACATAATGCTTCACATCTTCACAGCCCATAATTTTAAAGTAAAACATAAAATAAATTCTTTATAATGGTTTTTCTCCATTCATCTCCAATTTTGTAACAAAAAAAGCAGTCTACATTTATTTTATTAATTAGATGGTACCAGGTACAGGTACATAAATATTATAAATAATCAAGACATCTCGATAAAAGCACTCAGTAGTTTTTATTTATTTCTAAGGAATTTAGTTAGGTACATACCTAAATAAGATACAAATGATAAAATGGCTTATAATTCTCTTCCGACTTCTTAAGAATTCTATTTTTATTATAAAACAATTTTCAATAAAGAAAAATAAAAGTATTTAGTAACTTTGAGAGCATATTATACCAGTTTCATTTTGAGTATATTTCAAAACCTAATAATAAACCTTCCTATTAACTAATTATGCACCTATTAATATTGTCTATAATTTTCTATTAGTATGTAACGTTTATTATACTTAAAACTTAGTATCCCAATGTACAGTAATTAATAATTATTAATAAACTAGATACTTACTATACTACTACAAAGTAAATTTTTTTGGAGGATTTTATGTGAATTTTATTTGTTATTTTTTTATTATTTTGGAATTGGTTAACCATTTTTAATTATTTACCCCTACTACTCTTTTATGCTTACCTTGTATAACTTGAATAAGTAGGTATATACTTGTATGTTTCAAATAAGAACTGCTCTTTTTGAACACATTTAAATAGAGAATATTTTTCTAAACATTTTGATATACGAAATACTAATGTCAGATTTACTGTTTTATGAGTTACAACCATTTAAAGTTTAGACCAGAAGAGTAAGGAAAGTACAAAATTACACATCTATTTTTAAATAAAAATAAATCTGATATTTTTTTTATCTGAAATTAATATCAAATCAATGTTCAAAAAAGCGGGTTCATATTTAAAAAAAAAACAAAAGTATATACTTATTTAAGGTATACGGAGTAGGGGTAAAACAAATTAAAAATGGTTTTAAAGGATTAAAAAAAAAAAGACCTAGAGTGGGGATGGGAGCGGCCACTGTTGTAGGTGAGAAGTTGGGAAGGTAGGATACACAAGATTATTTCATTTATATTTGTAAACAACAATAAACTATTACTTGATGAAAAACGATTCCGAGCGCAGTCCGGTAATACATAATTTAAAGTGCAGTAATTTTTTTGCAATTTTCGTTTAAATTTGATTTCAAAACGCTTATTAAAAAAAAAAATAGGTCGTCCGATGATTACGGAAATTTTACCACGTTTAGAGTAAGTCCAATAAAAATATTATTACCAATTTTCAAGTCTCTTATAAACGAATTACAGTAAAAATAATTAAATTCCTTAAAAGGTCAAAAGTTTTTGTGATTATACTGTAAGGTAAGCAAGTATATTAATAAGGTATCTTGTGATTTTTCGATTAAATCATTTTTTTTGATAGAAAACGTCGTGTTTTTATAAAATAATAAAATCGTAAAATTTTCCGTTTTCCTACGTTTTTTCCCACTTAAGTGCTTTTATTTAAAAAATGGCGTCTAAAATCAAAAAATTACCTTTTGAAAGTACAATCTAGACAACTTGAGCTTTCTGAAAAGACGTTACACGTAAAAATCGGAGCAAGTTTACTAGGAAAACACGTGCCCAAAGACTAGAACAAAGAAGTAAACAGCATTGTAAAACGAATAGCTTCCACGCTACGCTCGGAATCTAAAAACAGATATCAAAATCACTAAAATTTTCCGACATAATTGTTGGTTCAAAAAATCACTCTATATATTATAAGTTTCGTATAGTAATACCATTATTATTATCTAATATATTGATTTTATAATAAAAAATCAATGGTAATACGAATGTTGAAGAGGATGTAACACGTTCAATATTTTTATTAGGGGTTGCGTATAGGCAATTTTAATAAAATGTTTATTTTGAGGGGAAAAATGAAAATTTAATAATAATAAAATAACTTCATATAATATACTTAAGTCTTGATTTCGCAGTTCTTTAAAATTACACTATTATTGTACTACATTGTAGTATTGTACCTACTAACGGAGTTACCCACTTATATATACATAGTGTACCTGCAGGGTTTGACAATGTTCTATGTAATTACATAGGAATCTATTGTAAAATCCTCTAGACACAGTCTGTATATAATATTTTGTACCTGTTCACAAAACGATGTCGCGGCTATTGTGGTCAAGTATAAAAGTATATTATTGTATACTCGTATCTATATTAATTTTACTGGACTAAAATGTAAAACGTGTCCGTTTGTTTAGTGCTGTTTTCGACAACCGTATAGGTAAATCTTTTGTCACGCCCGTGATAAAAATATACGTACATACAGAGTGTTGCGTTTAATTTTCTACTAGAAATTATTAAACCAGAATATAAATACATATTAATTTTAGGCTTTTAATTTTATGAACTTTCCGTGTAATATATGAACATAAAAACACATGTGTACAATCATAGTATATAATTTTATATTTTTCGCAATAATTTTACAATGCTATAGAAAATATTTATTTATTTTTAGAAAAACGTCTTGCTTCAGTATTATAATTTATAATATAATTCGAAACAAAGCATCTGTACAGCTGCAACAGTGATTCATCGCAGTATGTGCGGGAAAATAAACTGATGTTTTAATATTATATAGTTACGATAATGATGTTCACAGTGAAAACGCGATTGTGCCAAACGAAACACCTTGTACGTACCATAAATAGGTATATAATATTTATGGTATACTTATATATTGGTAAGTACCTGTACACATATACTAGTATATAGGAAATTGCGTAAAATGAATGAGTAAGTATGTATTTTGCGTTTATATTTTTATAATCTAATATTATATCATATCAATTATAAAGGGGACTTTGCGAGATTAGTTCCCCCTCTCCTAAAAACTTGCTTTGCATGGTAAATTGGGAAATAAATATTTCTATGGATTAACCTATAGATCCTATAGAGTCCTCAGTCCTTTCAAAACATGGTAAAATTCAGCTGTACATGCCAATTATGCGACTAATGTACGAACAGCAATGTCGGTCACTATATATATATATATATAAGAACAACAAAATAGAACAGTCTACGTGTATCTGTTTGAAAGGAAGTTGTACGATGAGATATGTCTTGATCGAGATATTTAAGAACGGAGAAGAAGATATAATCAGGGTCTGGAAGATTTGTTTAAACGGCCAGTTATTGTGAATGAAGTTAAAAAAAATGAATTAAGAAAAAAAAGCTCCGCGACAAAAAAAAAAAAAGTGGGTAGGCACCTATTCCAGAAGAGCCCAAGAGGTAAAATGCCTTTGTAGGCAGACCAAGATCGCGTTGGGAAGATAGCATTAGAAATGATTTTTTACTATTGTAGTGGCAGCGGAACAATATAAGGGAGCAGTGATTGAAAGGAAATATCAAAGAATTATAGGGAACAATGGATGCGGATTTTTTGTGATTTTACGGCAAGCTGACCGGTTTCATACGAATAAAAATAATAATCAACAAATAGTAATAATTCGCCGCGCGCGGAAGCCAAAGAAAACTCCCTGAATATTTTTGAATTGTACGGCTTTTGGGTTTTCGAGACGCCTTGTATTGTGACGGTCCATATCGGGGCCGTGACAGCGGCCCCCGTCGTGACGGAGATCGCGCGCCCGACCGATATTATCCGCAATGTTGTCCGTGCGACGGACGCCTAGGTGTTTTTATTTTGTTTTTCACTCCGAAAATACCGGCTTTTCTGTTTATGATTCGCCATGTACGAAATACAATAACGATATACCGCGGCCCGTCGTGTAGACAGACGGAGACGATCGGTATACCGATGGCAGGTACGGGTATTGGCGCGCTGGTATATTATAATAACGCGGCGATGACGGCCTCTTGAAAAAACAAACGCGACATTGTATTATTATTGTGCCGGACCGGCGGCATTGAATGTCCGTTTATTCATATATGGTCAAGACCGTGGGGAACGGCCGTCGCGTCGTCGCCGAGGGGAACCGGATCAAGGAAGCGGCGGCGGCGGCGGCGGCGGCGGCGGTGGCGGCGGCGGTCGAGCGGCGGACCGCTGCCGCGCAGTGTGCAGCAACGGTGTCGTCCGTGTCGCTCGTCAGTGTTTTTTCCGTCGGATAAATTTCCGCGTTACGTGTTGTTCAAAACGGTTTACCGTCGCGGTGTCGCTGTGTACCCATCTCGTCGTTTTTTTTTTTTTTTTTTTTTTTT